TACTCCCAAGCACCTAACCCGCTGCCGGTAACGGCGCCAAGCAATACTGCTGACCCTTTACCCACCCGGCCTAGGACTTATCGCCCAGCCTAACCACCATTGCTCCCTTCCCTCCCTCTCCCGCCCCGCCCACCCTTGCCGACGTGTCGTACGACGCGAGTGCGTTGTAGTCCATATCGTCCAGTCCGATGTCGCCCGAGTAGTAGGTCTCGTTGAAGCCGCTGAGGAGCACCGTCTGGTTGGCCGGACTGAACCCAGACAGCGGGGTCAGCACTGCAGCGGTTGGGCAAAGGTTGGGCGGTTGTGGATGCCAGCGCAGCGGTAGGCAGGTAGGGTTCACAGAAGGATTGGATTAGGTAGAACCAGCGACCCATGGGTCATTTGCTCAAGCAGTGACCCACGGGTCACATGGAAGCCGACCAAGCAGGAAGAAGCCCCATTGCTACGATGCGTGCATGTGCCACTCACAGAAAAGGTTATCAAGAGAGGCTCGGGCCTTCAGTACCGCCTGCGCCGCGTTGACACGGCTGCTGGTCCGGACCGGCAGGTTGGGGATCTTGTCGGAGGAGTCGACCAGGATCTGGAGCGCCTTGGAACCCTGTGACGGAATGGAAAAAGGGGCAATAACAGGGTGGCAAACGAGGCGAGCATTCAGACCAAGCCCCTGTCCCCGCTGCCTCTTTGCCTTCCCTGCCCTCCCGTGGCCCAGTGCCTAACCTGGTAGTAGTTGTTTGAGCCCGGTCCGAGCACCGACAGGATGAGAGCAGCCACACCAGCTACCAGGGGGGTGGCCGCGGAGGTTCCATCTAACCTCCAGTACAACTCATCACCTGGACGGGGCACCGTTGCGAACATCATCGGTGATGGTGCATGCCGATGGTGAACCTGGAGAAATGCAGTAGCCCGATGACTGGATCGAGGGAGTTAAGTCGCATGGATTCCGTCCGCTCACATGGGTGTGCTTTAGGACTGGTAGCCGCCCCTCGTTGTGTACCACCCGCCCATCTCTGCCAGTTCTACGCGTCGCACCAAGCAGTAAGTAAGCAGTAAGGGCATAGGGCAATAATGTAAAAGTGCGAATACAAACATACCGTTCTGGAGTACAGCCGTGTTGGCAGGCACAGTGGAGATAATGTCCTGGCCGGGAGCAGCTATGTCCACATACTTGGAGCCATAGTTGCTCCCCTTCCACATGTTCTGGTCGTACTTGAGCAGACGCTGGTCCTGCGGAGAAGCAGAACCGAACCGCAAGGTTGCCACTGATTGCCACTGGTTGCACAGCCGACTGCAACTCAAGTGGCTGACTGAGAACGGTGGCATGGCAACCGGATGCCATCAGACATCAGAGCTGCCCTCCCACACATACACCATTGCATGTTCCCTCTGCTGCTTTCCTTCCTGCTCCCAAGCACTCCTGTACCCATCTCCCTACTTTCAAAGCATGCACATTTTGCAAACCATTGCGTGGTTGCTACCCCCCTTTGCTAGCGTTAGGAGTCCCAAACAGACACATCTGCACGCTGATGACAACGAACCCGCTCGCTGGCCGTACATACCGTTTGGTTCGTTGCCATGACGCACATCATGTTGTTGGGGTAGTAGCGGGCCATGGAGCAGGGGTTGTAGGTGCTGTTGACCTTTTCCAGGCTGTCTAGCAAGGTGTTCTCGTTGCCTTCGCACGAGGGAGCAGAGCAGGGGACGCACAGAAACATATGGGCCGGCGTGCATTGATGGCAGCATTACGGGGCCGTGGTGCACCATACACTTCTATCTCCAAGCGATGCCGGAATTGCGGCATGGAAAGCATTTTCCCCAAATCGGCCGTCGACCCAACATCCCACAAGGTCAAAACTGAAGTCCCCCACCACCTGCCGCGGCGAAGATCAGCATGTCCTTCTTGACCAGCGGGTCGAGCGCTTTCCTGTAGGATTTGACCTCATTCGCCATGTCTGCGACATCTTGCCCCGTAGGGCGCAACTTGGGCGTTGATGGGCCAAAGCTGGCGCTCACGATGTGGGCGCCGTTCTTATACGCATAGTCCAGGGCCTTCAAGACGCTCGAGAGGTAGTAGTTGGCCCTCCCGTTCGCTGTGTACGCTACCTGGGAAAGGACGCGGCGGAGGGGGGGGGAGGCGCCAAGTCATGAAGGAAGTGCGAAGCCAACAGCGTACACAAGACGTATGCCTTGCTCGCCATCAAGATCGACACTAGGGGATACACGAGCAGGATGAGTAGCATGAAAGTATACGGCTGGGCAGTCGTGACCACTTACCTTGAGGCACATGATCTTGACGTTTGGGGCGACACCCACCACTCCCACCCCGTTGTACGCCGCTGCTGCAATGCCCCTGTCGTTTCATCCAAGGAGAGGACATGAACGCATTTCACAGACGGTTTCCAGTTACAGAAACAATGGGTAGCAGCTAGCTTGAAGACGGAACTACTCCGACGGTTCCAGGATGGCGTGCTCGATTGCAATGGCGCACACGCATGCCAAGCTGTCGAACCAGTGACTTACGCGCAATGCGTGCCATGGCTGTTAATATCCTGCGGAACTGGCTGCCCGGTGCATGCTGTGGCATTCAGGGCTACCCAGTCCTTATCGCAACTGGGCGTGGTGCCAGCAAAGTCGTAGCCATACACGTCATCAACGTAGCCTGTTTGGGAGGAGGGTGGCGGGGGTTAGTTTGACAGTGCGGTACACCTGAAAGTCAAGGTACCGGTATTTGTGCAGATGCATGCAGTGCTCCTCCTCCACGCATGCAACTACCCATGTCCAGACGCCTTGGTGTGCATCACCTGGCTACCTTGGCTTCCGGAACAGAACATGACATTTGGAACTGAAACGTGGCCCTGTCGTTTGGCATCTATCTTTTGGTGACATCTATCATCTCATGGTCAGGCCACTCCCCACGGCAGGAGCTGCTGCACCCACCGTTCTCATCATCATCCACATCGTCAGAGCCAGCGCTCTCCTTGACGTTGACCCACAGATTGTCCTTAAGGTCCGGGTGGTTCAAATCGCATCCCGTGTCTAGAACGGCGACAACAACGTCTGGGACACCTGTGGAAGGATGTCGACAGGCCACGTCATAATGACAATCCGCACATGGCGCAAGGGACATGCATGCATACACATAACGGCAAGAACCGGCACATGTTGCCGCCCAACCCAATAACCAGGCGCTACCCAACGCACCCGCCGTGACGTTCCAAGCACCATCATAGTTGACTGTCTGACGATACCAAAGGGTGCCCTCTAAGTCTGTCTGCGAGGATTGCGCCAGATGTCTGCGTGACAGTGCCTGAACCGCTGAGGACAGATTGGCTCCCAAGCCGTCGCCGACAGGCATCTCATAGGCCACGTCATGGAGAAGAAGGTCGATGTCTGGTGTAGATTGCAGGTTGGGGGAGGGGGCACGTTTGGTGGGGGGCCGGGGCGAATCATCTAGGAGTACAGGTGGACTAAACGTCGTACAAGGTGCAAAAGCCCATAGCGCTAAACGCACCCAATTGCGTTTCCAAAAGCCTCAAGACTGCATTCATGACGTCGTTGTCCGGAAATGAAACGATGTGAAGCCCAGAGCTCTCGAGCAGTATCTCCTCAACGTAGTCAACGAGGGCTGGGGGCACTAAACCTCTAACCGTTTTTTCCAAGGTTTGGAAGCTGACTATAAGGCGATTGACAGGAGCCGCATTCTGCAAGGAAAGAGCCTCTTACGCAATCGGAAGCAGACGCACAGACCCGGCAGGGCAGTGCTCAATCTGCTCATGCAAACCTATCTACCTGTTCCAAGTCTCCACTGCGGCCGCATCCGTGCAGAATGCACACTGGGGGAACTACGGCTACAATGACGATGCATGCAAATGCTACGAAGGCAACCGACCATAGGACATATCTACCTCCCTGCAAGCGTGTGGAAGGCCTCGATTATCATAAACGCCAAAACAAAATAACGGAATGCCCTTAATGTATCTCACAACTCGTCGGCATCCTTTGTTCCCTAGCTGTTCCTTGCTTGCATCTCCAGCGAATGTCTCCACATGTACCACCGGCTGAGTTGCTGACGCCATTGCATACTATAACATTAGCTAAACATAAGATATAGCTTCTGCGCAGTTTGCAAATTATTTTGGCGTGAGGACAAGGAAACGCCCCACACAAAGCCTTTTCAACGCCCAGCACCTCGTCTAAATTGACCCTTGAAATGGCGTAGTAGTGCAAGGTAGGACCGATAGTATGCTAATAGTCACCCTTTGCAAGCGCTTGATAGGTACCTGTGTCCCCCGTACATGGTTGGAAGCCGGAAAGTGGCAAACAGCAGCTTCCATGAGCCTGCCATGAGCCATTTCATATCCATCTGCCAGTTGCCACACGAGGGATATGACGTTATTACTACGGCTGACTATACCTGAAGAGTAACACATAAGTGTGCCTTCGGGAGCGGAACCCCCGACACCGCAACCCGGCATCGACGGGAACATGCGGCCAGCCAGCAAGGCGAATGCCTTCACATATCCCCTCGCGCTGCCTTTTGCTGGGCCATGTGGTCTCACGCCAACGCCGTTCACGCATCCCTCACGTGACACACACCGTCACCGTTCGCCTCGTATTGCCCTTAGCTTGTCTATCTGGCCATGCGGGCTCACATTGTCGCCGTTTACGCAGCCCTCGTGTTCCCGGTAATACGCATAGGCTAAATTGTGTAGTACTTTGCCCAGAAACCGCAATCTGGTCGGCAAATAGATGGTTATAAGCTTCGGCGAGTTCATTAACGTTCAGTAACGCCTCCTTACAAGGTAACGTCCTTTCACGACGTCGACGACCAGAGGCGTTCCCCATGTGGACACCCGGGAGTTAGGGAAGCAGGTGTCTATGCCCTTATAACGGTTTGGAGAAGCTAACACCCCCTGTCACCTTTTGTCTTACTCAGGAACACGCTATACCGCATATTCTCTTTTCTTTACATTGCAGCGGCACAGGCTGAGACCTGGGCCATCGACGGGCCCGGTCGTCCCATGGGTCATGTGCAGTCGATGGAGACTGTGTAGACAGTCCCTTTGAGCCCCTGACAACACACTAGCGACAACCAACCTATCTAGACCAGTACGGCATGGCAATGTAGCGGCTAGCCTACCATAACATGACATGCCAGCACGGGCTATTACTCAGGAAAGCTAGTTCGTTGAACGTTTTCAACGTCTGGCAACCTACAACAGCCTCCAACAGTAAGGAGGTGCACACGGCAAGGGATGAACAGCAGGGCATGGAGTCGCCTGTCAACCGGCACTGATCCTTCCCACTATTCCTTCTCCGAACAGCCGATAATAATGCTTTCGCGGGTGCCTTGTAGCTATTGACCCTGCCCTTCCTGCAACTGCTGCCTCACGCTCCTCATCCCCTCAGCTAGCCGCCTGTAACGGCCACTCCCCAGTCAAGTGGCCTCAGCGGGCTTAGCCCATCCCACAGTGCTGGTGGCTGTGGCTGCCGCAATGATGGCTAGGGCAAGGGCGTGGCTCCTTTATCCTGCTGCTGCCCCCTTGCAACCATCATGCGTTGCAAGATGATGGACTGTGCCTACAACGTCTGGTTGGGCCACGGGCGTGTGCCCCCTGGTGGCAGGCAGATACACCTACGGATGGAATTGCACGTAGACAATGGAAACACCGAACGGTTATGAATGGCAGACGGGGAAGGTAGGGTGTGATAACCCATGCCACCATTAAGCGTCGGAATGGGTCGGAGCAGCTAGAAGCCTCCAAAGAGTCAAGCAAGGTTGCACCCTGGAAACACACGCAACCGCACTCACCTTGTTGCTTAACCCCTGGCTTCGGTCGTCATCGTCGTTGCAACATGAGGCAAGGGGCTCGACAATGGCAGCGTGCTGCCCCTGCGTGTCCATTTTCCAGCGAAGTGTAAGGTGAGTATCTAGCATTCAAGTGGTGCTACGCGCACCGGTGATGCAACGGGTACAGGGATGCAAGCAGGGCCGGCACAACTCACCTCTCGGAGTGACCATCATAGCCGTGGCGATGTGCGTAACAGCTTGCACGGCTATCAACCTCCGCCTTGGCCCCCTGCACACTGTCCTCGTCCACCTTCATTGCCACTCTGTCATTGATGAGCCAACCGGCATCGATCACCAACATCGGCTGCATCCCACTTCACAAGAGACCCCACAGTAATGAACGTGCGAATAGCAGGGTAATGCATTCGTGTATTGCTGTTCAACAGCACAGTCAGCCATGGACCATGAAACCTAATGGGGCGATTCATAGGCCATACCCGAAGCAGGAAAAATACGAGCCGGCATCTCGCATCCACTATTCGCTCCATAAGCAAGAACTGAAGCACGAAAGATACAAGCCGGCACACCTGTGCCAACTTAGGCAACTTAGCCGCACGCATGTGCAGCCCCAACCGCACGAGCAACGCTCAGTACAATCTAACCCTAGGCATTCTCAGTCCTATGGCCTACGAGCCCCTGTCACAATCATCACATTCCTACTACGTACAGTTCTAGACTGGCTTTGACTCACAGCACGCTCAATCAGGCCTTTCACCAGAACGGCTTGCTCCCAGATACCATATTCACACCACGCACTGGAAGAGCGCGTGCCAAGCAACATGTGAGGCTCATGAATAAAGCCTGGTGCTCAATCCTTTGCTTCACATGCAATCGCTACGTCAGCCATACTAATATTCTTAAAGTACAAATTATAGAAGCTTCCATCGCGCCGCCGAACCCCTGGGCTCAGAGCCCAGTCGCGCTTGGGTCCGCCAGGGAGTACCATTCCAGGGGCGACTCGGGGATTGTGGTGTTCGTGGAGCTCGTCAAACCCAAATCCAGCACCACCGTTGAGTCGTTCCGGTTGTTCTTGACCGTCACCAGTGTGGGTACGAACCCAGCTGGCAGCATGACCTCGGCCCTCGTCTGCGGCATGGTAACCGCCGGGAACTCCACCGCATTTCTCACGGTGATGTTTCCCATGGTGATGGCCACCGACTGGCCCTCGCCGTCCCTCACACGCAGAACGTACTTGCTCATCTCGCCCGCGGCGGCAGGGCTGCGGAAAAAACCCTCCACACGCACGTAGCGGTTGGTGTCTGTTCCGTTTTCAGGAACCGAAACTGAGCCCGAAAGGCTGCCTGCCACCGACACCATCGACTGAACCGGCGTGGCTGTGTAGTTATTCACGACCAGCGACGAAAAGCCGTATAGCGCCTCGTAAGGCGCCGATGCATTGTAGGGGTAGACCGCCGCGGCAAATCCCGCTGACCCCACCTGCTCCATGCTCCAAGCGGAGCAGCCCAGGGCCACGGGGACGTAGCCGCTGCGGGAAACAGGCGTCTGCAGGAGCCGTCGGCGACCCACTGATGCAGGGGGTGGAGGTCGTGGGCGTGGAGGAGACGGACGAGGTGACGGAGGACGGGGCCGGGGCGACGGAGGACGGGGCCGAGGTGATGGTGGGCGGGGCTTAGGCGACGGTGACGGTGGGTTGGGTACTGGGGGAGGCGGTGAGGTGATGACAAGCACCTTGACGGGTGGCCTTATTGTTACGATTGGGATGGGCAACAGCGTGTTGGATAGGTCAATCCTAAAGTTGTCGGAGGCTAGGCTTGCGTTGAGGCCGCCGTCCAGGATGCCGACGGCGGGGATGGCTGGGTTCACATGGCGGTACTCTGCACGCAATGTGTCGTACAATGGGCGCACATGGGACGAGCATGTGGTGTTGTTGATTAGGGAGGGCAGACGGTTAGGAGGACCAGGGCAGCCCGGCGAACTGCCAAGTTATCGCAGCAGAGGGGACTTTAAACCGGGGCAATGAGCACAGCCGCAAAGTTGCAACAGAGAGACTTCCTAAACAACTAAAGAGCAGCTAAAATGAGTAGAGTGCAGCGCCAAGTACGACACCAAGCCCCAAGGTCCCCAAGACTTACCAAACGTCAGCAGCTGGTAGTGGCCCTGGAGGTTGGTGACATTGGCCGCTATCGAGGCCGCGTTCAGCGGTCCTCTCTGCTGGGCATTGGCCTCGGACCGGAAGACCTGGATGGTACAACATGCCGTCGGACAGAAGAGATAGGTTGGGCTCTTATATAACTGTCGCCGCACAATACTCATGACAAGGCAGTGAATCCTGGGCAGCTGCGTGCGAAGATGGATTCCTCCCTAGCCCCAAGACTCACCGTTTGACCACCGAGGTACGTGATAATGGTGTTTGCAGTGCTTGCGCGCGCTTGCGTGACTCCGTTCCTGCACATGTCGTGAAGATATGAGCACAGTTAGCCCCTAGCCGTGCTTACCAATGGTCCGTATGGCGGAAGTAACTCGCATCGTTACCTGAAGCCACGGTTGACGTAGGTGTAGCAGCGAAGGTAGATGTAGTAGAAGGGAGTGCTGGAGAAGATGGATTGGTTTGCAATGCTCTGGAACACGTCCTGTAGGATTTCAGGAGCAATGGGCACATGTTACGAGATGATGACAGACAAAGCGTGCAAGCTTTGTGGCGCACTGGGCGTCGTGTGCACGTCATGAAACGTGTTACATTCTTTGCCTGCATCCATGAGACGGATCCCTGCACTCTTCCGCACACAACAGAAGCCAGTGATGGAACACCCAGAAAGCAAAGGGCAAGTAATGCTGACACACTTTGTAGCGAGACCCAGCTTACCTTTAGGTTGTAAGAGGCGTAGGTGTAGCAGCCACTGCTGAGGCTCTCGTTATCCGCACGGCACCCCGAAGGCAGGAAACTCGACGTGTAGATTGTATTGTTCATGAGAGTGGCGTTGAGGGACTGCAGGCAGGGCAGAACAGAACAAAACAAGGATTGCGCACATGAATGTGATCTACTGTGGCAGGCTGGTTAGGACGCGCACCACTACCATCATCAATGTCGCTTTACGGATATGCGTGCTACCCCAGCATCACCACCGCTGCCGTCGGCCTTACCTTTGCTGACTGCCCCAATGCAATGGGCAGCCGGAATTTGAGCAAGGGCTGCGACTCGTAGGGGTAGTTCCTAACGTCAGGGCTAGGGTTGTCCGGCCAGATGTCGCACTGCATGCCGGGAACGTAACCTGCACGGGACAGCCAGCACAAAGCCAGGGACGAGTAGGCAATATGGTCATATGCTTCAGCGCGATTAGGGAGACAGGGGTCGAGAGGGGGAGACCTTGCCTGGGCTTATGTCCTAATTGCGTCCGCGTGTCTACTAGGACAACTACTCCAGACACCTTCTACCACAATACCCGCGACCGCACCCGGCCCTTCTTACCTGCCACTCCACTCGAGGGGTTCCAAAGCAGGTTGTTGGCCACATGCGTGGTGATGGTGGTGGCAGTGCTGGTGGCCGCGGAGGTGCACGGCAGCCAGGCAAGCTTGAGGGCGGTGCTCGAGGTGTTTGCTAAAGCAAAGCGGATTGTGAGGTCGTGAGTACCCATGCCGCCGAGTTGGGTCATGCAGCCGCTGTTCTTGGTGGAGACCTCTTGTACACTGGACCCGTACACGTCCAATATGGTGAGGTTGTTGATTGCCAGGGAGCACAGCTGGCAGGTCAGCTGCAGAAGCGTGAGAAAGGAAAATGATCAGTGGGTACCAATAGATGAATAGGCTCTGGTACTGCAGATACGGCACGCCTTGCAACGGAGGCTAAGTTGCGACGGAAGGCACTTCACACCTGGAAGCGCACAGGAATCTCCGGTGCCCGCAGACGTGTGTGCACGATGCCGACAACGGACATGGGCGCAGTGTCGTTCATGTTTGGGTACAGCGCGTCCCGCAGGCCGGTTGCCATGTCGGTGAAGCTGAGGTCGGGGAGCACGGAGCTGTAGTTGTACGGCTGGTCCAGCTGCAGCTTGGGGAAGGGGCCGTCGGCGATGCTGGCGCGGGTGAGGGTGGAGGCGTTGACGGGACGAGTCAGAACCTGCGAGGGAGGGGCGAGGCACCAACGTTAAATCCACCGACAAAACGACAGCCCATGGCATAGCTCCATGCAAAACATGCCCCGGTAGCTCGCCTTCCTGTTTAATGGCGTCCATTGCGCACACCTGGAATGACGACGACAAGGCAATGTTGGGGGCGTGGTACAGGAAACGCTGGGTGTTGGTGCTGGTGTAGAAGAAGTCTTGGTACTGGTAGTCGGCCGCCGCACCACCGGATCCCGGCAGCGCGATCTTGATGTCAATCGGCGCAACCGGGTTACGATATCGCAGCTGAAACTCGTACCAGCCGCCTGTGTGACGGCACGCATGGGTGTGCATACTTAGCCGCAAGGCAGAGAGGTCAGGAAAGCATTCACGGGCATTGCTTGCGGGATTGCGGGAGGGATGTCGCAAACATAGGCCGTGTAAGCTTCTTGAGGAAGCACTAAACGGCGATAACAGCACGGCTGTGCTGCTAGGTTGCGAGTCATATGACAAAGGGCCCACCTGCAATGCCAGCGCTCATCTGGATGGTCTGGGTGAAGTCGGTCATCTTGTTCTGACCAAACTTGATGGCGACATCGCTCACGTTTGCGGTGGTGGTCACCTGGACAATGCCAGAGACAAGGCAGCAGGGGGAGCCTTTAATGTTACCCAGGCGGGGGGGTCATGTATCGTCATCCGTCAAGCACATGGGAGAGGATCAAGGCTTGCAGGGCAAGGCCCAAAGTCTCTGGCGGAGTACCCATTTAAACAAGGTGCATTGCGCCCATGTATGAGCGGAGCACCCCGTGAACTATGGCGCGTTGCACCCGTGTATGATCCTCACAGAAGTCCCCCGCTAGAGCAGAAACGCCCTTGGCACGACATGGCGCATAGATGTGTGCATCGTGCCGCAAGCTAAACCACACCGCGCACATACCTTCATCAGATAGATGCCACTTTGGTTGAGGAACACCGACGCTCGGACCACCAGCGTGTACCCTGCTCCGTACTTGTAGCTGTCGAACAGCGACTTGGTGAACTGATGGGTGTAAGGGGCACGGCAGGGCTGGGTACTTACATGGGCTGAAGTGGGCGCGCGCCGGTTCTTTCGCACGTGTATTGTTAAGCCATCATGTAGACCTCGCCGTAGCGCGGCATGTCATTTCACATCCGCCCCATCCGGCAAGCAATCCCAACGGCCTCCTCAACATCCCATCGATAACCACTCGAAGATACTATCCTACTGCTCCCTTCCCTCCCTCCCCCGCCCCGCCCACCCTTGCCGACGTGTCGTACGACGCGAGTGCGGTGTAGTCCATATCGTCCAGTCCGATGTCGCCCGAGTAGTAGGTCTCGTTGAAGCCGCTGAGGAGCACCGTCTGGTTCGCGGGACTGAACCCAGACAGCGGGGTGAGCACTGCGTTGCAAACCAAGAAGCGTGGGTACACGTCATGGTCAGGTAAGGTTGACCTCCAGGGTAATGGCATGTCGCTAACAGCGACTCAGATGCCAACGCCGACAATACGTCGCTGCTGCATAGTAGCACTCGTACTTACGATACAAGTTCGTAAGTGAGGCCTGGGCCTTCAGTACCGCCTGGGCCGCGTTAACACGGCTGCTGGTCCGGACCGGCAGGTTGGGGATCTTGTCGGAGGAGTCGACCAGGATCTGGAGCGCCTTGGAACCCTGTGACGGAATGGAAAGGGGGCCATAACAGGGTGGCAAACGAGACGAGCACTCAGACCAAGCCCCTGTCCCCGCTGCCTCTTTGCCTTCCCTGCCCTCCCGTGGCCCAGTGCCTAACCTGGTAGTAGTTGTTTGAGCCCGGTCCGAGCACCGACAGGATGAGAGCAGCCACACCAGCCACCAAGGGGGTGGCCGCGGAGGAGCCGGTCATATTCCAGTACATCATGTCCTCTGAAGGCAGCAGCAACGGATGCAGCCAGGGTTGAGCAAGATCCGCGACACGCACGCATGATTGCCCTTTCTCCTTGCAGTGTAGGAGTTCATTCACTCATTCAACCCTACCACGCATGGTAGGTCCCTTAGCTGCTCATCCCTTTACACTCCCGGCAGCTAGCTCGGTCAGGAAGACGTACGATTTAAGAGCGACGCCATGTTAGCTGGCACCGTCGAGAGAATCATCCGACCAGGCGCGGCAATGTCCACGTACTTGGTCCCATAGTTGGTCCCCTTCCACTGGTTTTGCTCATAGTCCAGCCACCGCTGATCCTGCAGGCACAAGGTGGGTCCGTTCGCAGAGTGCAGTAAGGGATGTCTGGGTGGCGCAAGCAGGCAAAAGAATGTACGAAGGGTGTAGCCTTAAGACAGGCATGCACAAGTCCTGTTCATACTCCCTGGACGAGGCCGCCTGCACATGGGCACGGGGCCATGACGCACGGCATGACGCAATTCTATCCCTGAACGATTCCACTCGCTAACAACCCCTCGCTGGCCGTACACACCGTTTGGTTTGTCGCCGCGACGCACATCATGTTGCTGGGGTAGTAGCGGGCCATGGAGCAGGGGTTGTAGGTGCTGTTGACCTTTTCCAGGCTATCTAGCAAGGTGTTCTCGTTGCCTTCGCACGAGGGAGCAGAGCAGGGGACGCACAGAAACATATGGGCCGGCGTGCATTGATGGCAGCATTACGGGGCTGCGGTATACAGGGCACGACAACATGTAATGCTGTCCGTTGGCGAACCATCCCAGAACTCGGTCGTCGGCCCCATCCCACACAGGGTTTGCAGTACTCTACCTGCCGCGGCAAAGATCAGCATGTCCTTCTTGACCAGCGGGTCGAGGGCCTTCTGGTAAGACTTGACCTCATTCGCCATGGTTAGCAAATCGCTCGCTGTAGGGGCTAGATTGGGCTTGCTTGGGCCAAAGCTAGCGCTCACAATATGGGCGCCGTTCTTATACGCGTAATCCAAGGCGGTAAGGACATTGGAAAGATAGTAGTTGGCCTTCCCATTTGCAGTAGACGCCACCTGTGCAAGTAGGGGTGCGACACTGTGAAATATGGGGAGGGTCGAGAGAACGTGGCGGGGCAACGAAGCAAGCACTTGTATGCGCCTGGGTGCCTGCCCAAAGAGGTACAACCGTGATCCGGAATTCTCAAGACCCATGGGTCGCTGTACTGCAGTTAGGCGTATACCAGCAGTAAACCCCCTTCCCTAACCGTCCGAACCCGATGGCCTTACCTTGAGGCACATGATCTTGACGTTTGGCGCTACGCCCGCCACTCCAATGCCATTGTACGCCGCTGCTGCAATGCCCCTGTTGGCGAGAACGGTTCAGGGCGATCAGGCGCCTTGACGCATGCTTGCAAGAAGCCGAACCAACAGTGGAGTCCTCGCACAAGGCTAGACACCTCTACATGTTTCATATCCAACGGGCGGAAGCCGCCATTTGCAAGGCGTTGGTGCTCAGCTGCCTATGCCCGACAAACCGTGCCCGGGGCAACCTTTAACGCGGCCATTGCCCGGCACCGGCCCAGTGACTTACGCGCAATGCGTGCCATGGCCGTAGTTGTCCTGCGGGATGGGCTGTCCCGTGCATTGCGTCGAATTGGCGGCAATCCAGTCGAAGTCACATGTGCTGGCATTGCCAGCAAAGTCATAGCCATAAATATCGTCAATGTAGCCTGAAAAGGATAACAAAGGCAAATTAGCTATGTCCGTGTGCGGCTATCACGTCCAAAATAACTGCTGTTGCCAGCGCCGGGATCTGACCGGGAAAAGTCAAAGGGGTGTTTATTCACTTGCAATGTCCCCTGGTCCCAAGCTCCCAACCCTTTCACAGGTTATGCATTGTACATTGTGTATTGCCGCGTGCTATCGTGAACCTTGCCCTCACCATTGCCATCATCGTCCACGCCGCTAGTACCAATGCTCTCCTTTACGTTGACCCACAAATTGTTCTTAAGGTCCGGGTGGTTCAAATCGCATCCGGTGTCCAGCACGGCGATCACGACGTTCGGGACGCCTGTGGGACAGCCAAGCAGCCAGGCAAAGTCACCGGACAATGCTAGCTGACGCCACCTTAGGTATCGCACCCCAAATTGCACCCCGACATCGCCCAATCATCCCCCACCGGTGAGAAGGGGCTACCCTGCAGGACACGCTTTGCCCCGCCCGCTCCAGGTCATGTTGTGAGCCAGCTACCCAGTAGCCTGGGCTCGTCACCGGACGCGAACGGCAGCCCCAGGCCTAGGTATGCAGGTGACACCCGCCTCTCCACGAGGTGCCTGTGCTGATGTATCGCCCAACTAACCAGCTGTGATGTTCCAGGCGCCGTCGTAGTTTACAATGGGTCTCTGCCACAACATGTCTTCGTAGTTGTCGGGTGAGGCTTGTGACAAGCGCCGACGGGAGAGCGTTTGCACCAGTTCGGTCACATTCACTTCCAAACGGTTGCCTTGTGGTATCGTGTAGGCCACGTCATGTAAGAGGATGTCCAAGTCTGGCAACGATGAGCACGAAGGGGGCGGGGCAAGTCGGAGGGGAACGAGAAAGAGTGGCATACCGGAGCCCGCCGTGGAAGTAGAGGAACCCCGTAGGCGGTTCACCCAACAAACGCACCTAATTGTGACTTTATAATCTTTAAAATTGCGTTCATTATCTTGCTGTCCGGGAATGAAATAATGTGAAGCCCGGAGCTATCAAGTAGGATTTCCTCTACGAACTCGAAGAGGGCCGGCGGCACAATACTTCGGACTGTCTTTTCAAGTGTTTCGAAGCTGACGATAATACGATTTACTTTGATTCCATCCTGCAGGAAAAAGACGGTCGGGATAAGATAGAGATAGATGCTGCAAATACGAATGCAGGCATACCTCTTCCGCTCCTCCTCCACGTCCGCATCCTTCCAAAACGCACACCGGCGTAACCACAGCAACGATGATAATGCACACAACTGCTGTTATAGCAAGGGACCAGAAGAGACAGCTGCGCGCCTGCGAGACCGAGAGACTTGTAGTGTCGATTAAGCCTTCTTGCTACCAAAAACACATGCATTCCACTCACAAAAGGACTACGTTTCTCAAGCCCCTCCTTCTTTGATTCTTCAGGTGTTTCCACCGTCGCCTTTTCTTGACTTGTCATTTGTCGCTAGGAATGTAAGCGTCGCTAATACAGCATAAGTTAGAAGCAGCGCTGCGCTATGTAATGCAATATATAGCTTTTTGCCATTCCGGCAGCCTTGAGGAGGGCTACGAGGGGCTACGAGAAGGGAGGAGGAAGGCGTGCGGAACCACTTATGGCTGCCTCTACGTATTCATATTTAGTTATCGCCACACTGCAAAACATGAAGAGGATCCGGCCATCTGCATCGGCGCTTATCCCGTAGACCCGTACTCTTTAATTGGTCATCACATGTTTTGAGTCACGACCGTGTGTACCTCTGCAAAAAGAATAACGTATGCTGGGGAACTGTCTTACGGAGCGATACAGCAAAATGGATAGCAAAAGGGAAAAGGGATAGCCAAAGGGATAGCAGCGGCTAGACGGTGCCAGGCTACTCACTTGGTCATCTTATCTTACCGGTACTCACTAGCATTATGCAGGTGGAAAGTAAGCCGCCTAAAAGGATATCGTCGCGTTGCTTGGAACGTGGACCGTTATGAGCGGAAGATATGCTACGCGTCGTTTACAAACTATGTGAAATGACGCAGCCCATGGCCTGGAAGACCTCTCTTCTCTTCGGGTGGGGAAGAACTTCTATCCGCACCCTGACGCAGCATGCAAGCATGCATTCCGGACCTTACCACTGCAACCCTGCCCTTCGCTGCAGCATCCGTAAAATCACTTCCCGGCAAACCCATCCCATCCACTTCACAATCCGCCTCCCCTCAGCAGCCTCTGCAAATGCGCCTCCTGCTCCGCATCTCCCTGCAGTGAACCCCACGTCCTCGCATCCACAACCGCCACGCGCCAGCCCAGCCGCTTCAGCTGCCGCACCCTTGCAGCCCACATGCCCGCCGGCCCGCCCCCCGCCATGCTTCCACCGCCCCCCTGCTGCTGCTGCTGTGGTGCTACTGCCGGCGGTGCGGCTTGCATGGACGGCGTGCGAACCTGAGGTGCGAAGCGATCACGGACCAAGAGCTCAAGCGTCTCGGCTGTAGCCGCCTGGAGGTCCTCAAACGTCCCAGCGCTGCTGCTGCTGGCACCGCTGCTGCTGCTGCTGCCGCGCACGTAAATGGCAAGCCAGCGGGAGGGAACCACGATGTCTACATCCTCGGGCTGGGCCACGGTGTGTCCCATGCGCCGTGTAAGCAGGTAGACCATCTGCGGGCGGAGGTTCGGGGTTGGGTCCAGAATGGGATCCAGGGTTGGGTGCCAATTCCGAGGACGTCACCCCCTTACTTCGCTAAACCCGAAACCGCCATGCAAGGATGACGCAGCATTGCAGAAGGCTTGTATCTGCACTTCTGCACGGCGTGTTCTCATGACTATGCGGGTTCGCGAGCTGCAACACAAATGGAAGCACGCCTCTAAATCCCGCACAGCACCTGCTTCTTCCGCGCCGCCCCGAGGTTCGCCTGGTGCCCCAATCACCCACCTACCCATTATTCAACCAATGGTGGAGCCTTGTCGCACGGTTAGTTACCGGTAGTTTCGTCGTCCCAACCCGCCCAGCCCACCCACCTGGTTCCGCGCCCGCTGCACCTCGTCCAGCAGCGTGTCTCCGCGCCAGTGGTACAGCAGGTCCCTCCGCAGCCGTGCCAGCTCCTGCGCGGGAGCGTTACCGCAGCTCGGGTTCTCGGTGCCTCTCCCATACCGGTATCCACAGAGCATACAAGCCATGCGAATGTGCAGTACACTCACCCCACGGCATCCCAATTTTCTTTCGCATGCAGTATCTCCCATATCGATAACGGAAACAGGGATGGACCGAATAAAACAAAGCCGAGGAGAGTGTGAAGTGCCAACGCCAACTCCCTCCTGCCTGCCTGCCGTACCTTTGGGTTGCCCAGCATGTTGGCCGCCATCTCCGCAGCTCCCGGCGGCACCCACCCGCCCTCATCCGCCCCCGCGTTGCCTCCTCCCTGCCCCGCACTCCCTGCCGCCAGCTGCTCCATCACAAACAACAGCGCCAGGTACGGCCCCTCAACAGCGGGATGCAGCGGCACGTACTCGCTGTAAGCCTCTCCCAGCCGGGCCACGACCTTCCGCCCTAGCGGCGCTGCCACCGACAACACCTCCTCACGCGTAGCACGCGGCTGGCAAGCCGGCGTTGCCGCCGACGTCGGCGAAGCCGGCGGCGGCCGGCCGGCGGTGCTCGCGGCCGTACGACGGCCCGCTGGCGCAACGTCCGTTGCATGCAGCAACGCAGCGTGCAGGAGGTAAAGCAGCGCGCAATCGTCGAGGGCGGAGGGTGAGGAGGCGGCCGAGAGGCTGCGGAGGGCGGCGTCCCAGACGTCGGGGGTGACAGCACCCAGCATGACGGCGGACCAGAGGAGTACGGCATGGTGTGCGGCGCTGAGGCGTTGCTTGGGGGCGCCGGGTAGGGAGCCGGAAGCGACGGCGGCCTTCATTGGGGCGTGGATGGATTGGGACGGGGGGCGCGCGCTTATCAGTAAGTATGCGAATGTTAAGAACGCAAGGGTATGTATGGGACAACGTGCTACCCCGAACGACAAGGAAAGTGCAACCGAGACCCACCACCGCCGGCACCCCAGACCCATTTGCCCTGCTTGCCTCTTACTACTCCACATGCCCCCATCTGCAGACGGATGCCCAGCTCCCTGGACCCACCTGCAGCCGCTTCACGAACTCGGGCCCCGATTGGTGGCCCGCCCAGGCGAGCGCCCAAACCACCGTCACCACCTGCACACACCCGTCGTCGGGGCAGAGACCGTCGTTACGATATATAACTTGCCTGGTACTAACACTCCATTCGAAGCATCGTAGGGACCCAGTTGCGTTTAGGGACTAAGCCGCAGCCCACAGAGGAGTAGGTACCTGCAGGGGCTGCGATGAGTCAAAGCCCGCAAGCGCCGCTGCCTCCAGCGCTGCCAAGGATTCCCCAGTCAGGGGTTGCCGCGTGTAAGGTGCCACATCGGGCATGTATGAATACAAAGGCTGCAGGAGGCATGCTCGATACGCCGTTTCCAAGGAAGGCGTGGGTGCTGGGGCATCAGCTTGCGCAACGGTCACCAGCGATGGCCAGCCCGTAAGCATGTGCTCGAAGCTGGGCAATCCAAGAGTGGTGATCTTGGAGTTTTCGGGTTTGGTTGTGCTCAGCTGCCAAGCAGCTAGAGTAGACAGCGACTCCATCAGCCCGCTTGCGCCAGATCCATTATGGAAGCTACCATTCTCGCCCATGAAGTTCCATGTCCCTGCCGCTGATAGCGCGGCCGCCAATGGGACGGCAGCTGCATAACATGAGTGCCTGTCATTGTCATTGAACAGTTCTTCCTATGCATGGCGAAAGAAAATGGGGTTTGCTTACCACGTCTCCATCTTCCCGTCATGAAGACACAGAGCTCGCAAGATTAGGTCTTTCAAAGCCTGAACGCGCTTCTGTCTTCTACGATGATTATGTATGTTGTTGCTATGCATACTTCTGCAATCCTGCCAGATTCTGCCTCGGTACGACGAGGTAGCTAGGGATGTGACACATAATGGCCCACGGAACTTAGCATATATCGCAATACTGCATTGCTGTCACGCGTACTAGCACCTTCCGGTATCTTTCAATTTCGGAAAATAAGATACTAGCCCCACGACTAAATCCAGATGCCCCCGACACCCTTTCAACCACACTACTGTCCGCCTTTGAAACAAACGCAGCAGCACGGAACCCCCTCCAGACTTCTATCGTTCGCTGATCTCAAACATTCTCCACTCCGGCGTTGCATCCAGCCCGCACGCCCAGAACCGCAGCGCTGTATTCAGCGCTTACTTCACCCAGCCGTTTGGCACGGACGAGCTGAGCGGCCCCTTGCTGGTCATGAAGGGCTTGCCCTTGAATACCGGCGTCCCGGCTGCACGGCAAAGCAACGGATATGTACAAGTCAGTACATGCTGCAGAGGCATGGCCATTTAAGAACAACCCACAGCGTGCAACTCTTCCCCCGACACAACAGTACATCAAGTTGGGACCACCGTGCAATCGCGCCCATGCTCACTAACGGTCATGACATTGTGCGGATTGTCGGTATGTAGTCAGACAAAGGAAGACGACACGAACATGGCATGCGCCTCCTTCCGACACTCTTATTTTTCCGACGCATGCCGATGTATGGCACACCCATCAAAGTCAGCTGCTCTCCGTCCCGCCCCGCTCACCCTCGTTGGTCTTCATGTCAGGGAAGAGGCGCTCCAGGATCTTCTTCTTGGGGTTAATCTCCTCCAGGGGGGCGGCACCAAAGCTGTGCGGGAATGATGATGATGACGCAAGGCGCGAGGTTTACTTGTTTTGTAAGGAGCCAGAGAACATGGCCGTTAGGGCCTACAACCAAGCACTAACAGGGCTTTGATCGAAACATCATCCCGTTTCCAACCGCTGGCTCTCATCCCGCCCCTCTCCACTATCCTCTCCCCGCGCGCCCCCCTCCCGCTCCCCGCCCCTCCATTCCCCCGCCTCACCCCTCCACTGTGATCCGCTCCCCCACGGGCACCCCCTCAGGCACCAGCACCGGCTCGACCTTGCTATGCGCCTCATCGGAGGCACACAGCACCTACGCGCGGCAGGAGGGGAGGTAACTCGGCTGAAAGGAAAGTATGGGCGGCAGGTTTTTTTTTTGAAGGAGCAAAGCCACAACGAGCGGGCCACAAGGCAACGAATGCACGCGAGGAAGAAGCGGCGTTGCAAGGAAGCGCTTTGTGCAGGGCTTGAGGGAAAGATACTCCCTTCACGGCAACTGTGTTAAAATAACTGGCCGCGAGGCGAAACTGTGTGTGGGGGGGATACCTCAGATATTCTCAAACTTTATGCCCTCATGGGGCCCGAGATTGGGCGTCAGGCGTGAAAAGGTATCATCACCGGTCCGTTCCCCCATCGCGCGCCTCTCGTTCCAATCAGTTGCCCTACTCACGGCAAGCAAATGCCCCTGCTGACCCGCCCCAACCCATGCCGCATGTGCCGCAACCACCTGCACCCTCCACAACCTAACTTGTTACAAGGACTGACCCGCCCCTCGGCAGATCCGTTCGCTCCCCATGCGATCCCAACCCACCCCATGCCACCCCAACCCACCATGCCGTAACTCATGACTTCGCGCATCTTGGCCGGCTTGAGGTTGCACACCACCACAACCACACGGTCCTGTGCAGGCAACAGCGGGATGGGGCGCCGGGGGGTCAGCTAAAAGGCAAGGCGTTCAATTGCATGTCCATGTGGGAACCTAATGACACCAGCAACAAAACCAACTGTCGATCTCCCGTCGATTGACCAGCGTCATCGTGCCAAGACGTATCCCTTCTCTGTTCCTCCCACTTCGTCGACTGACACACTGCCACCACTGTCTCAACCGGGTGTGCAGAGCCAGTTTCAATCGCTCGCTGCTTAACCTCTCCCTAGCCCTGACCCACATGGTTTGGATCTTCCCTCACCCAGCCCTCTTCAGCTCTGACCACACCACCCCACCCCGACCCTGACCCACATACCTGCATCTGCTCCAGCGGCACGAAGTTCCGCAGGCCCGAGATCACCTGCCGCGGCTTCTCCTCACCCACATCGATCTGCGGGGCGGGGCGGGATCGCCAGGACCGCACATGGGTTACCGCCTTACCGAGATAGCAGTCAGGAGGAGGTCGCATCGCGGCAGGAAACTAAGCAGGCAACGGGTCCTTAAACATCGTGGCAGGGTATCCCAAACCCACATCACCACCACTAGCATGTTCGCTAGTCACTACCAAATCTACCAGGGGCATGAACAGAACCGCCACATGCCGTAAGGCCCAACATGTCCAGCCGCCACACCAGCAGCGCCCCAGAAAGTAGCCCCCATGCCTAGACCGCGAGCCTAATGAAAACCCCAGGCTGCTGGGCAGCAACATGAACCACCGGCCCCGCGCTCATCCCCCAGCTTCTGGCGGAGCCTTACAAAACACGGTTGGTCTCTTATCCCCACCCCAGCTCCTACAACCCACCTCCTCCAGGTAGAGCGCATCCGCATTGGGGTGCTTGTCCACCTTCACAATCCGCCCCACTCGGCAGTCCAGCATGTCAATCGTGGCCTCCTCCTCGCCCGCCTTGCCCCCAGCTGCGGGCGGCGCAGCAGCCGGAGCCGCAGCCTCCTTCTTGCCCTCCTTCTTAGCTGCCTTCTTGTCCGCCGCTGGCGGCGCCGCCGCAGGCGCGGCTTTAGCTGCCGCCGGTGCTGCGGGGGCTGGGCCGTCCGCTGCTGCTGCGGGCGCGGGGGAAGGAGCCGCCGCCGCGGCCTTGGCGGTCTGCATGCATGCCAACGGGAGATTTCAGGTCGCTGCAGCTCAGGGTATCAGCGCGTGAAAGGGGCGCACATGCGAGTGCCCGAGGGAGGTTTCCGTGATGTAGGCTTAGGAGCGGCGAGTGCGGGGTGGCCTGTACGCCCTGTAGGAAACATCCTCTGTCCGGACTTGCGCCCCGACCCAAATGGAATCAGATCAAGGCCGACAAAGGTGACCCAAATGGGCTAATGTCCGTTGTCGGGAGGACAAGGTCAACCTGCCTCAACTCACCACCATTACGGACCCCACCAGCATTGTAACGGGGGCTGCAGCCCCCTCCCCATATCGGTAAATCCAACTGTCCCCCTTCCCCAGAGCCCTCGTACCTTGTCCTTAGGAGCCGCGCCCTTCGCCGGCTCAGCCGCTGCTGCCGCTCCCTGTGCCGCTGCGGGCGCCGCTGCAGGCGCGGCCTAGAGGGGGGCGCGGTAGGGTGAGTTGGGGGCCAATCTAGGCAGCCGGAACGGTGTGTCTTTCAGGGACGCCAGCAACCCGGTGATACACACGTAGCAAACCCAAAGGCGCCAGTGGGCTGAACAGCACCGCAGGCAGTCACAACTGTTTTCACCCAGTGCCAAGTCCCGCCTGACCCAGATGGCCGCTGATTGGAGAGGCCACACGCACAGAGCAGCTAACCGCACCCGTGAGCCTAAACCACGTGGGCGACCACGTTACATGTCACTCCTCATGCACGGCTCTTACACCCCAGCAGCTATAGTCCATGCAGCGCACCTTGGGCGCGGGCGGTGCGGGCGGTGGCGGCGCCACGTAGCGCGGCTTGTCCAGCACCAGTCGCGGCTGCAGGGCGGCTGCAGAGGCGGCCGTGTTTTGGATGAGGTCCACCCAGCGGAGCAGGCTGCAGAAGTGGAGCTTTTGGGCCGCGGGGAAGCCCACCTGGTGGGGTAGATAGGTGGCGGCCTCAGTAATGGGCATTGCTTATGGCGTTCTGGGCTCATGGCTTCTGTGGCAAGGGGCTGAATGTACTGGAATCGGGGGCCTTTAGGCCCGCTTAAAGGCCCCCGTCCCAAGATCCTCACAATCGCCACAATCCTCTACACTTGTGCACGTACTGTGTATCCAGAAAGTCAAATCCTTTCGTAACCCCGGTAAGGCAGCGCCCGGCTGGCTGTGGCAAGTGGCATACATCACCGTTGGCAAGCGACTCACAGCGGCAGGGTGCACCAGGGCGTAAATCACCAAGTCCGCCAGGGTCGCCGAGCCTCCCACCAGGAATGTGCGTGATGACAGATGGTCATTAAGCTGTCCAGGAGGGGCACAAAGAAGGTTATGGACTACCCAACTGTGATCACGTCGCCATGTAGGGTAAGAGGCCGTTGTTAATGCCAACTTACCTTCACGAGCTTGTCATCCATAAGCGGTGTTAGCTCAGAAGATGCCCATGCCAGCCACTCCGCTACCTATTCGCAGTTCCGGCGGCGCCAACAGACCAGGAGCATCATTCGCCAGATCAAAACAATTGTAGTGTACTTCCATAATTCGCAGAAGCATGTACATACTTGAGCTTGCAGTTCTGGTGACGCGCCGAGCAGGTCATTTTGCCGAGCACACTGTCTGGCGAGATGCGTGCACACCGTCGCAAGCCCACTTAAAACCACATCTTTGCCTGAAGCTATTTGGACCTGTCCAGAGGTGCTGGCGCTTGGCTGCTCTGACGAGCCAACGCAACTCGCTACGAAGCGCGCTGCGATAAGCGCTGCAGATTCTGAGGACATCTTTCCTAATCCTAATGTTAAATAAAGCTTGCAGAATGAAGTTAATACTTTACTTCATAGGCAAAGCTCGCTTCACTACATGACGAGCATGGAACCGGCAACGGGCGAACCGGCAACGGGCAGTACAATCTGCATGCAGGCAAGCAACCGCGCATGAGCTGCAACATGAAAATAAACTTTGATGTAGAAGATGCCAATCGCCTACAATTGTATACCCGCTTGAGACCTTGTTGCAGTTGCGACCAGGCAACTCTCTCCAACATCGCACTCCAAGGAATAGCTTGTCTTTTATAGGGACACGGATAAGATGACTGTGGTTGCATGGTTACATTCGGGTGTGTGACTCTCAGAGCGTCACCTAATTCCTTCAGTTGGAATTTTGTAGTGTCGGCGAATGCCAGAGGCCCTGGCCTTTATCTAGGTATGCAGGTTCAGGATGAAGAGAGTCCACTGGAATTGCGGCAGCCATATGGCCGTCCGGAGGAACTGAGAGGAGGCGGCCGCGATGACAGCTCATCATTATTCCTGACGTCCTCAGAAGAAAGCAACGCAACAGAGGCTTGGGACGATGCGCCTGGACCTGCTGGCAACAGCCGAATGCCTGTCCAGCAGGATGCCTTGTCATCGGTTGGCGCGCAGGTTCTTCAATACAGCTCGTATCCAACTATTTTACATGGATCCAGCAGCTCTATCGCCGGTGCCCTGGCAGCGACGTCGGGGACGTCCCTTTCATCCACGTTGCAACATCGCGCGCGTCCTCGGCTCTGGCGTCTCTTTCCACGATGCATCCGGGCGACAAATGAAGAGGTCTGCATCGCCGCTGAGGTCACCTTGGGCGTGGCACCTTCAGAGTGCACTGTCACAGCAGTTAAAGGCAACCGCCCGCTCCCTGTTCGCCTTGACTTCCTGAGCGACCGCCAGGCAACCGGCGAAGACACCGACCAGCCAAATCGCCAAGCTCGCGGCCCGGGAGCAGCTGCTGCGCGCCGCAACGCTGCAAGGATAGCCCGCCACATGCTCCGTCCACAGCGCCCTGACAGCGAGCTGGTCCTCATGTGGCTAACGCCTGGCACAGCACCGGGATTAGTTTGGATTGAGCTTCACGCCCACATGCCAGTGACAGCTCTTCCGAGCAATGATGGGGCTGACCCGTTGCGCGTTGGGGGCAGTCTACCACATTCTGTGTCAGCAAACATGCTGCTGTTTGCCCCGGCAGCGCAGCCGCCTGGCGTGGGCGCCGGCTCGGGCGGCAGTGCTAGCTTAAGCGCTGCTGATGAAGGCAATTCGGTATCCCTCAGCGGCCTTGGAGCAGCCGGCGGCTCCCAGACGTTCGGGCTTGCGGTACGACCGCTCCACCATGCGTTGACAACGCCCTCCCTGTCCCGCACCAGGGTACTGGCGTCAAGAGCAGGATACCTCCCACCGCGCGCAGCGGATGCTGCGGCTGCCAGCAGCAGTGGCGGTGCCGCTGAAGGCAATAACAGCAGCCACAGCTCAGGTGCCGTGTCTTCGGGCCCGCTGTCGCTGGTCATCGTACCGGATGCGGATATGGAGACTGAGATTGGCGAGCTGCTGGCACAGCAGCACCAGCAGACCCCGCTGCCGGTGTCAAGCAGCTCGGAGCAGCTGCTGCTGCCTGAGCAAAGTGACCCGCCGTCAGCGTCTCCTGCTGCCGCCGCCGCTGCGGTTGGCATTGGCGGCCCCGCATCAGGATCAGGAGCGACGGTCCTGGCCAGCGACGCTGCCATTCGCTACCCTGCTGCTGCTCTTACGGGGGGCGCCACAGCGGCTTTGGCGCCCAGCGGGCCTATGGTGGGTTCCATGTCCGCCGTCCGCCCTGGTGAGGTGCGGGTGGAGGGGTTGCTGCCGGAGGGAGAGGACGACAGCGAAGATGCGGGCGCACGCGAGCGGTTCCTGTGGGACTTGGGGGCATGGCTGGAGGCGGCGGCAGCGCATGCGGCGGAGCGCGAGGCAGCAGCGGCGCTTACAGCGGCGGCAGGGGCGCTGCAGCAGGTCGAGCCGGCTGCGTTGGCTCCGCCCACGGCTGCCTCCGCGGCCCCTGCCGGGGCCGACACCGGGGCCTCCGCCGCTCTTGGCGGCCCCCCGCAGCGGCAACCTCAGTGGCTGTTCCCGCAATACCGCCAGTTCCAACACGGGTCCCACTTGCAGGAGCAGCAGCAGCAGCAGGAGTCGCCAGTGCAGCGGCTGGGCCCTAGTGTCTCCGAAATAGAGGCCGCCATGGACCCCATGGACTTGGACAGCAACAACAACGGCGTCCTTGCCCCCCGTAGCGTGCCTGCGTCGCTGCCGGCGCTGCAGTCCACAGCAGCACAAGTCGCGGACCCCTCGCCCGCTGCGCCTGTGCTGCCTCCACTGTCCATAATTCCCGACGGTACTGGGCTGTTGGCAAGTACGACAGGAGGAGTCGCTTCACAGCCGCCGCCTCCTTCTCAGCCGCTGCATCGATCCGCGTTGGAGCTCCTGGGGTTTGCATGCAGCCGTGGCTGGGCTGCAACCTCGACCCACATCGTGTTGGGCCTTATGGACATGGGGCACTCCATGGCGGCCATTAACGCTGCCGTGCAGGCGGCGCATGGGTGGTCAGCGCTGCACCTGGCGGCGGCGTCGGGCAGCGCGGAGCTGCTGGCGATGATGGCGTTGTGGCGGAGCTACGGGCGGTACGGCGATAGTACGACGGTTCAGGAGGAATGGCGGGCGATGCTAGCTGCGGTGAGGTGTTGCATGGACGTGGAAGGGGCATGGACAGTGGCATAGGAAGTGAGGGATGGGGTGGATGCGCGGGGTTTAGAAGTGTAAAGGCTTCCCGAATTCCGATACAGGCCGTACACGTTTGGCTCCACCGGGCTGTTCACCTCCACGGTACTCGAAACGCACCTACACCTGACGTGTGCCCTTCCGCCCACGCTGCAGCCGGGACCCGGTGGTCTCACCCCCCTGCACCTAGCGGCGGTCCTGCCGCAACCCGCCACTGCAGCCCTCGACCTGCTGTCGTCCATGCCTGCGGAGACCCTGTCAACATGGTTTGGAGCCACCGCGCACGACGGCTGCACCCCGGCGCACTACGCATCCCGAGCGGGCAATGCCCACCTGAATGACCATGCGCTGCTCTGCCTGGCAACCGGTGCCGCCGCTCTCGGGTACGGCAGCGCGCAGGATCTGCCTGACGTAATGTCGTACACGGAAGTAAACACGGAGGCGTTGGGCTTGGCTGCTGCGGATTTGGAATCCACGGATCTGTCTTCTCGAGACGGCAGCGCCAACGGAAGCGGCAACGGAAACGGCAACGGAAACGGCGGTGTCAGCGGAGGCGCCGGTACGGCACTGCCGGAGGTGTCAGCTTCAGTGTCCACGTTGGGGTCGTCGGGTGACGGCGGCGGTGGCGGTGGCGGCGGCGGCAGTCTTCCCCATGTTGGCGCATGGCCGCTTTATGCCGGCAGGAGCGGCTACCACCATGCAGCAGCCGCGACGACCAGTGCGGCCGCCGCTGAGGCGCTTGCCACGTTTTCGCACTGGGGAAGTCCGAGTACCGGCAGCGGCAGCGGCGCCAGTCGCATGCTGCCTTTGCAACCCTTTGCAGCGCGAACGGCGGCTCCGTCGACGGCTGGGCATACATCTGACACTCATCGCACTCCCTCGCCCTCTGATGGCAGCCATCCGCCGGCGTCACCGCCGCCGCTGCTGGAGCGTGCAGCAGCCGCCACACGGGTCCTGGGTTCTGCTGCGGCTAATGCCACCGCACGTAGCACCCCTGAGCAGTCCGTATCGGCAGCCTCCGAATCCTGGTACCCGCAGCGCCGCGCAACCTGGTTCAACCCAAGCCAGATGGTGGCTGGGCTGTTGGACCGGGTTGGCTCCCCAGCCGTATCGACCCGTGGATCAGATGAGCTCGCGATCCCGGCATGGCCCGGCCTCGCTGCTCCCTCGTTGCAGGGCCAAACCAGCCTGGGTCCAACCAGCGCAGTGCCTGTCGACCCAAGCTCCGATCTTGCTCCTCCTCAACAACAGCAACTGCCGCCGCGGCCATTGCAACCGCCAAGTCCCTTTACGGGCCCTGCTTTGGGACCCATGACGATAGAACAGGCACGCGAGGCAGCGGTGCGGCTGGCGGCGGCATCCATGCGCGCCGTGGCATCTGCTCCGGAACCAGGGGCGTGGTTGGAGGCGGCCAGCGACAGCATCGCCGCCGCTGCCGCCGGCGAGCGGGTCAGTCGTAGCGGTCCCCCAGGGGCGACGTCGCGTCTGCTGGCTGGGTTGGCTGCGGACCCTGCTGCTGCCGAGCTGGTTCAGCTGCAGGCGGAGGCACTGCGGCACCGGCAGCTGGTGCAGCTGAGGGTGCAGCAGCAGCTGCGGTTGATGCAGCCTGCCGGGTACATGCAGCAGGGGGTGGTCGTTCCCCTGCAGGGGCTGCAGCTGCAGCCGCTGCCGCTGGCGACATCGCAACAGCCGCCGGAGCAGCAGCAGCAGCAGCGGAATCCGCTGGTTTCCATGTCCCAGCAGCCACCCGAGGAGCCGGTGGCAGTGGAGCTGCATTACCCTGCGCAGCTGCAAAGGTACCATGAGCCAGAGCAGGCATTGCAGCATCAGCACTTACCAGGTCATCATCAGCAGCAGCAAGGAACGCCGCTGGATCTTGGTTTGCTGCCTGCCGTACCCAATCAGCAGCTCCCGGGGGCTGTGCTGCTGCCAACGCGGCGGGAAGCTGGTGCCGGCGAAGATGTGGGTAGCCGCGTCAGGACAGACGCGGGGGCAGCCTCGGCACATGCAGTCCCGGAGGTGCTGCCGGGTGCGCAGGCGCAAGACGCCGCATCACAGCCGGCGGCCGCAGCCGAGGCAGGGACACAGGGGCCCGCGGGGCGAGCTGCACATGGGCTGCAGGGTGCGGATGGGGGCTCAGCGGCGCTGTGGTTGCTGCCTGCGAGGATGCGGTACGACAACGTTCTGCTTGCGGTGGCGGTGGCGGGACTTGCGGTGGCGCATGCTGTGGTAAGAGCAGCGCTGCTGGCCTTCGCGGTTGTTGTGCTGTGTTCTGGTGCTGGGTGTTGCTGCGGTGAGAGCGCTGGTTGAGGAGGAGGTGAAGGGGCAGCAATGGAACGTGTGCGCTGCTGCAAAAGCCTGTCATGCGCTGCCGTGCATTTCCATCGTGCTGTGCTTCTGTGCTGCTGTGTGCATCTGGTAGGAGCTGTTGCGCATGCAGCCCCGCATCCGGGCTCCCTGGCTAACGCCTGTCACAGTTCCTGCCGCAGCTGATCCTGCCCGTGGATCCGTCCTCTTCAGCGGCGCGGCCGGTGTCGGCACTAGCCATTTGGACCTGCATGGCGGTGCTCTGGCCGCTGGTATCGGCCTCAGCCTCAGTCAGGGTGAGATCAGTCGGGGTGAGAGAGCAAAAACGCACGGCCTGTTAGGTCAATCATCAACTTCAGATCAACCCTTTTTCCTGTAGTACCCAAGTGGCTTTCCAGGTGTTGGCATCTGTGTACGCGGCCTGTACCTTTCGCACCCACCCCATCACCCATTGCAACGTAATGCTTCGCCGGCACTTACGGTAACACCGCTTCTACTCGGCTTGGCTGTACGCTCGCAGGTTCGTACCTTACGCGCGCCCCACCACCGCTTCAGCCTGGGTGTGTTCTCACAGCTGCTTGGATCGCTGCTGCATGCGGCACTTCTACACTACCGCCTTGCATCGGGTCTTCCTTGCTGTCTGCTGCTTCCGCATGCACCGCAGCTGCCGCCTGGGGGTGCGATGAATGGGCGCATGCCGGTGTTGGCAGGCGCCGTGTCAGCGGATGTGATCACTGCCCTGCTGGTGGGACTAGTGGTGCAATGGGTGATTCACGGGCGTGACAGCAGTGCACAGAGGCGTTGAGGCCGCATGCACCCATGCGGCCTACCACCTTGGGCGCATGGGCGCTGAAGGGTACTGAAGGGTACCGGGGGTTTGTACCAGATGGGTGCTGAGGTGGAGGAGGAGGAGGAGGAGGAGGGAAAGGAGGAAGGAAAAGCGCTTAAAAGGGGGCCACAGGGCTCTCCCGCGATCTGGTGAGGTAAGTTGAGACAGCGAACGAAAGAAAACCTTGATGTGGAATCTATTTTTCAAGATCCTACTACTGCGGATGCGGTGGTTAGTTTGTCACCCTGCGTCGCACGCGTGGTACACAACGTTTGACGACGACGGCAGATGGGAGCTGCGGTTTTTGAGAGTAGAGGAAGTGGCTTCTTGTGTGTGGTTGTTTGTACAAAACCGTGATTGGTTTTGCGGTGGTGCTCGTTGTGTTTTTGTTTTGATTTGTGCTTGTTGTCTCTCGTTTAATGTTCCTTTTTTGTCCTTTAAGTCAGACGATTGGATTATGTCAGTTCTAACGCCCTAAAACCATGAACTGGTCTGGGATACCGAAGAGTGCCGGATGCCAAGAACAAACATTGCGGGGGTTGTTACACTTTGGGTCATATCCGATGATTCTCCGGGATCTGATTTCGGCTTTTGTCACGTGAGGTGTTACGTTTGGTGTTGGGAGAGACAAAGCGAGGCCGTGGAGTGTAGCGAACCGCACAATCTAGCCGGCAAACGTTCGGAACCCTGGGAGAAGGGGTCGCAAGGAGGAGACAAGTATGGATGTCTCTGGAGCCTCGTTTCGTCTAAAAAGCGAGGATGGACGGTTACCTGCTGCGCGAACTGTTTCCTTCGTGTCCTTGATATTGTTGCTTGGATGAGATGTACCGAAGGGGTCCGAAAGAGCGGTTTGCGCGTATCTTTGCCCGCTGCTACAGGGGCCTGTTTCCCGGCCCGGCTATTTGCTGGGCCTGCTAAACTGGCGGGCTGTCATTACTCTTGACGTCTCTCAGCTCATCTTGTCCGCATCTAGGCGGTTGGAAGGGGCACTGTGGTGTGTGCTGCGCCCTGCAAGTGGGAATGAGAACTGTGGGCCGGCGGTAATTGCATTTGATAGCGGTGTGCGTAACTGTCAGCTAGACAGCTGCCTTCTGGGGGCGCCCTGCAGATTCTGGATGGATTTCTGCTTGCCTGCCTCGGTTTTCTGGGCATGTGCTTTCTGAATGCTGGCTTTTATCTGAAGCCAATATATTGAAGGGTCCGCTTTCATGCCGGGAGTAAACGTCTTCGTGTTTTGGGTAAACGTGTCAAGTTCAGGGAAGGTCCTGTCCCGTACAATTACAAAGCCAGAAAGGTTGTCATGCCCCTTAGTCAGGCTTGGCAGTGGAAGGGATGCGAGGTGTGACAGGGAGTAAGAGTGTTTATTGGCATGCCCGCTGTCCGTGGTATGTGTTTTGTCAGGCTGCTTCTGTTGTTCGTCATTTTTCGCCTGCTGCTGCTGCGGTTTTGCATGCGACAGCAAGCGCGGTAGGTACGCATGCGCTGTACGGTAATGATGTGAGGGTTTCCTGTGTTGTTGTGGCATGCCATTGTGGGAGTGTGTTACACTTGTCAATTGGCCGCAAAACGGATAGTGGCGAGTTGTTGTTGCTGTAGGAGTGCTGTAGGTGAGTTAGCGACTCAATCTGGCTGTTGGCTGCTACCGCAAAGGGGCCCCTTGTTGGCCCCTGACATGCGGACCCATGTGCACTTGGATAGGTAGCAAGCGGCTGGTGGGGTGGGGTTTTACTTTTGGAACGCACTTGCGTATGGCAGGTGGGTGCGGCCTCTTTTGCTGCGATGGCTGCTGCTATGGCCGGCAGTGGGGCAGTTGTTGCTTGTACTCTCTGAGGCTGCTTTGGGCCGGGATAGCGCCTTGGCATGGAGTGGATAGAGGTGGAGGAGGCGAGTGTTAGCAAAAGCGGATATGGGTGTGGGCGGGTTTGGGATTGGATGGGCCGCAATACCGGTACGCCTAGTATTCAGGAAGGATTTGCACTGGCGCGTTCAGGGCGGCGCGGGTTAGGGTTAGGGTCGCGAAGTTCAGGGTTCGGGAACATTGTGTCAGTGAATTGGGGAATGTGTTTGAAGTAAGAGGCGCTAGGGTCTTGGGGGACACACCCTGTGGTGGTTTTGGTGTGGTTTCGGGGCGTCCAAGGTGGGTGCTTGAGGCGACATGCGGGCGCACATACGGAGCCGGGGGACAAAACCCGAGACAGTGGAGAGCGCCTACCCGAGTATCGTGCACAGGCGCAACCGGGTTATGCGAGGATGGTGTGCGCTGCGGTTGCCGATGTGAAGCACCCTTAAGAAGAGTCAAGTGGTCAAGTTTGGCTGGGGAAATGTAGGGGAGAGGTGGTCAGTAAGCCGTTCCTGGGGGCTTCCTATGTTGGAGAGAGTGCCGATTGTGGGAGACACGTATTTACCACCTGCACCCCCGTCTCCTGCCTGCTCTAGATCACACATGCAGATGATGCTGTTTGGGGTAGTCCATTCATTCCTGAAATGCGCAGTTTCCCGTGGTTACGAGAGTATTCGGTTGCTCGGCTATTTGCTTTGACCCTTGCGATGGCGTTTGGAACAGGCACTTCGGAAGGATGGAATTGCGATGCGTGTGGTTGTGTTCCAATGAAGGAGTGACTTTAAAGAGCCCTGGGGCCATCATGTCACATGATTAGGTGGCCGGCGATGCTCGATTAGCTACATCCTTCTTCCGGAAGCCGGGATGGAGATCTGCTGTGTCATTCTTTCTTGAATTGGAGATGTGTCACATATGTACCCATAGCAATTGCGAATGGGTGGTGGTTGGGGCAAGGCGGTTAGCACATGCTAACACGGGTCGTTTTCCACTATTACTAAGAGGCACGGACTCTTGCGCCGTCCGCAATTCTTTACGGTTCGCTGTCATACTTTCACGTGAGGGGGAGGTACCATTGAATCCTTTAATTCCCAAGACGTAACATGGCCGTTCCGTCAAGCTGCGGCATTGCGCAGGGCATTGGTGCGGGTAACTAAACGGGAGCCAGGTTGCGTTTGCAGGCTCAAGCTTACCGATGCTTTCACTGCTGTCGTTGTTGTTGCTCAGACCGCATATGCCCCAATAAGCCTGGCGTTGGCGTGGCGACAAACGCCTCCTGCCACGTTGCTTGGTTTGGCAGCAACCTTGCTCCTTGTCTTGTAGCCACGTGTGCAATTTTCCCGATTTGTGTTGGTTATAATGATTTCGAGTCATTTCACGAGTGGCGGAGGAGTCGGCGGTGTGCTGGTCACAATATGTTGTTGGAAGGGAGCAAGGAAAGAAACGCCTTGTGTGCGGGGCTGCCGACATCTATGACGCCGATATATCTATGTCCCAAGACGTCAAGTGTGTTCCCAGCGTGTGGGTGTGCAGTGTGTGCGTCGCTGGGGCGGCTAGGCTGGGGCGGAAGGTCCTCTGCTGTCTCGGCGCTGAGCTAGCTGTTGCAGGGGTGTTAAGAAAACTGGCCGCGAGTAGGAACGTACGTGCATGTGTGTGCACGTGAGCAGAATCCAATACGTGGACGTTGCCGTCAAGTGTGACAACGTACACGAGTGTAAGTGGTTCACTACTTCGAAAGGATTTGAATTGTAACCTTGGGAGTGTTCGTAGTCTAATTGGAACGGGGTCTTCCCGGTGTATTACCCTGGCAGCGCCAACCATGGCAAGCGTGTCGTCGGTATCGAGCATACCGTACCGCTCGTTGCCTTTTTATATGCATTTGGACCCAATGTTTCAGCCCAATTTGACAAGAAGGAAACATTTTCTGCCCCAAATGTCTTCCGGGCGACGTTGCCCCAATTGACATGCATGCGCCAAACGCCCCAGAAGCTGCCATGAGCGCCGTAAGGATTCCGGGCTCTCGGCTTTTTATGCCCCCATTTGACGCCTTGCTGAGGAATTCCTAGCCCCAACTGACAAGGCCGAAAGCACACCCAGCCCCAATTGAAGAAACGCAGAAGTGTCTCACTTAGCTGAGCGGTAAGGTCGGTGTAGCAACCTCACACCCCTCAAAAACCACTATCGGCCTGCCTTACATCAATCCTCTGCTTTTGTTCTCCTGTCTGATCTGGTACAATTCGGCCTAGTTTGATTGGGCAGCTAGCTGAAGAAGAACGAGCGATCCACCAATCCTTGATCCAATGCTTACATGCGCAACACAGCAGGCACGGCTGTGTACCAAGAAATGCGCTGCTGGGCCCCTCTTCCTCGCCGCCGTTCCCCTTCTGTTACTCCTGTCCGCTCATCTCCTTTGCACTCGCATCGAGAGAATGTCCAGGGTCGCAGCCCCCATGTCCGGCACGCGCCTCAGCACTAGCAGCGACAGTAGCAGAGCCATCGGCATCCTCCGTCTTGCCCTCAGCAAGAATCTCAGCAGCCACCTGGGTTGGGCTACCCGGGCGTCGACCTGGGTCCTGTGGGGATGGATGTGTCATGGGCTGACAAGTCATACATGCTACCAGGTTAGAGGGAAATTAGGATAACCCCCAAATTAGCACCACAACACGGCACCTTATAGTTGTGACACGTGTCATTACAGGAATCAAAGCACTATAACGATTGATTAGGGATGTTGTGTTGAGGTCTTGCATGTGCTGTCTTAAGGATGTTGCATGTGCTGTCTTAAGGATGTTGCATGTGCTGTCTTAGGATGTTGCATGTGCTGTCTTAAGGATGTTGCATGTGCTGTCTTAAGGATGTTGCATGTGCTGTCTTAAGGATGTTGCATGTGCTGTCTTAAGGATGTTGCATGTGCTGTCTTAAGGATGTTGCATGTGCTGTCTTAAGGATGTTGCATGTGCTGCCATGTCGTACCTGGCAGGCATCTATGGCGCTCTGGCTACGCGCCCTGGCCTCCGCTTGCTTGGTTGCATCCGCGGGTTCAGGTACGGAGTAGAGGATGCTGGTTTGGCCTCGAGGCTGCTGCAGGGGGCCTGTTGGGGGCGAACAGGGGTGACAACGTTACAGGCCCACAGGCGGTGGGCAGCTGCCGTGGTGCGGTGGTAGGTGTGGGTGCCGTGTGGGCGGTACAAGAAGCACTCAAGCCAGCGCCGGTGGCCGCGGTCGTCAACAGCAGCAGCTGCAGTTATCAACAGGAGCGGCCCTGCTAAGGCCCTGATCAGGCAACTGCCTCCGCACCTCCGTTGCCGGGCGCCGCAGTGGAGGTGAGGAAGAGCTTCCAACTGATCTGCAGTGTGGCAGAGTGATCCGGTATGTAAGGACAACAGCAGCAGCAGCAGCAGCAGCAGCAGACAGGCACGTGGGTGGGTCAATTGGAAAAGGTCTCAGGATGAGGACACAGGACCAAGGGTCGGCAGGGTTGGTTTGTCATCAGCAGGTTTTGCCCTCATGGGATCGAAATCAACAGTAGCGATGTCAAATATTTCAAACGTAGCACCGCATGGCGAAAACACCGTGCGTTCACGCCTGCTGTTCCCTCCCTTGCACGCATGCACTCATGCTAAATACCTACCAACCCCGCCCACTTTTATCCAGGTAATTGAACCTGCACCTGCACCTGCACCTGCATCCACCCACTCACCAACCCAGGCAATTGGGCTTCAACATCCATACACTGCCTACCAACCCACCCAGGGGAAGAAGCCGCCGCACTGAGGGCATTTGCGCAGGTACTTGTCACTGCCGGCGCCTGATGAGGCAACCAGACCTCGCCCGCCGCACACCTCACAACGACGCTGAATGAGCTGCGTGGGGCAAGAGTGCCACAGGGTGTTTGTTGTAGGGGACATGCAGAGTTACAGGCCTTCAGCAGTAGTAGCAACATCAACAGAGTTGTAGCCCCGGTTACGTACCCACATGCAATCCCCAATACAGCAACCGCTACTCACAATGCGCTTGCCGAACTCATACGCCCCGATGACAAAGGGTGCCACTCCTGCCACAAAGCCGACCCACACCTCCCATCCGGGCTCCAACGGGCTTGGTACGTAAGCGCCATGGGCAGTGGGTGTTGCGTCTGCTGCTGCTGCAGCCGTCGTTACTGCCGCCGTTAACTCGCCAGCTGCTGTAGCAGTTGCAGCAGCAGCCACGGCGGTACCGGCGGCTTCCACAGCCTCAAAAGCGTGAGCCACATGGACGTCTACTGACAGCAGCAGCAGCATTGGCGCCGCAATTGCCGCTGCCGTCGCTACTGTCGCCACGGATGTTGGGGCCCCGGAAAGCAGTGCGGGGCGTTGGTTGTCCCTTGAAAGAATTGTACTGCTGGAGGCTGCGGAGCGGTAGCAGCTTCTACCGCCAGCGCCGTACATGCAAGCACTGTCCGGTGCGGCGCTGTGCTTTATGGTACCGTAGCGACCGCCAGAGACCGAGCTGCTTCTGCTGCTATCGGCGATGTTGCAATCAAGGCCATGGCTGCAGCAACCACGACTGAAACCGCCGACCGGTTGACCAGGAATTGCTCTTGCTGTTGCAATTGAATTTGTTACTGTCCGGTCATCGGGGAGGTGAGTCCAGGGCCGCGCGGCGCTTGCTAGCCGGAGGCATGCGCGGCATGCTACTGCTTCGGCCCGTGGAGGACGAGTTAGGCTTTGTGATGAGGCAGAGTGGATACAACTACCATCGCACTTAGATAGTACGGAGTGCAAAAGCTGTGGCATGGCGCGACTGAGACGAGTCTCAGCGCAGGGTTCTAGTGAAAAAAACTGTGTCGCTATCAATAAAAACACTGTCGCGTGATGGAAAGTAAGCATCTAAGTGTCTTTTCGGGACTTATAGCTTGCAGTGCTAAGCAGCGGAGTAAAGCGACGCATGTACGAGGATGGACGAGCATCTAGACGTGTGGTTATCAGTTGCCACTGTTTAGGAGTCTCAGGACTGTTTTGATCACATGGAAAGAATCATACTTTGTCACCTGTACTCCTTACTACCTTTCTGGCTGACTTTCTTTTGAACACAAGAACCGACGCAACCTTTAGGTTTCTAACCAAGATGCGAACGATGCTTGCCTCAAAGCGGGTAGCGACCATTGTAAGCCGTTGAAGAGTACTCCATAAATGGCAGCTGCTAGTGCACTGCCGACTGAAGATGCTTGCAGCAGTGACCCGCGGGATTGCAGCGCAAGCTTACATGTGACGCTTCACTGCATTGCTCGCGTTTAATCTATACAGGCAGCACCAGCAATTCTTCAACGAGCGGCATTCCGCTCCTTTCCCACCCGCACCATGGCATTGCGGGCGTCATCCAGTTCCATGGCAACTACAGGTCAGCCTGCCAGTGACATGAAAGGCTTCGATCCGACCTCAGAACATAACAAATGTCAAGACAGTAACCTTCAAGGCCCCAAACACCACACTGCAGACCAGCAACCGCCTTCTCGGTCACCATCTTGGGACATCAAACTCCTGTACGATGGCGACTGCCCGCTGTGCTTAAAGGTACGGCAACCACATGAGCACATGCAGATTGGCGACTGCAGTGACTGCAGTTCAGACCTAGTCCGAAATGAGGTCACGATAAGCGGGGCACCCATGGATTGGACAGCCATGGATGTGCCTTAACGTGCATGTCCCATTGCGGGTGTGCTCTGTGCTCTGTGTCAGCATGCCTGGTATGCCTGGGATACCGGTACCAGCACCTTCGCAGCAGAGGCGCGGCTTTCGACCCAATGATGGCTCTCAGATGCCACATTGCCTGCCGTGTTAGTAGAGGCTCCGCAGCCACTGCGGTTGCCGCACGGGTTTCGCTTGCTCCTGCCGTCCTCATACATCCATGCACCGCCTCCCTCCCTCCATGCGCACTGCATGCCCCCGCTGCCCGCAGGAGATCAACTTCCTTCGCGGGTGAGTCGGGGTCGGGGTGTGCCTCCAGTTACCGAAGTCCCGAAGTCCCGAACCGAAATCCAACACCGTCTTCTTTACACCGAGGCCTGCGCGCACATCGAGGCATTCCCAACCTTCAACCTCACCACCACACTGTCACACTTGCCGCACACACACCGGCCCAGGCGCAACGGCCAAGGCAAGGTGCTGTTCGTTGACATCGCGAGACCGGATTACGACCCAACGCAGAACGCCGGCATTACGTTTGAACAGGTTTGAACGGTGCCGGGCCATCATAGGCAATGCTAGGGGTTTGGGCTACGAGTCAGTGTCGTTGTGTTGGGTTCGGTCCTACCCTATCCTACTGCTGACCGTGACCTTCCACACAATCCTCAGGCCATGGCCACCATCCACGGCATTACAGCACAAGGTGAGCGCCGTACAACAACAAAATGCGGCTTGAACGTATGCTATGCCGTGCCTTCGCGTTCTCCTTTTGCATCTCTTGAATCGATGTTTTAACATGTTGGGGTAGCTGTCTGGGCCGTTATGACCCTCATGCCGTACATACACACCACACACTTGTCGTACATTGTAACACGCAGGGCGGGTCTACACGGGCGTGGAGGTGTTCCGGCTTGTGTACGAAGCCGTGGGCTTGGGCTGGGTATACGCGATTACCAAGTAAGTGAGCGACGCGAGGGACACATTTCCGGCACTCGGCAAAACCAACAACCCCAACTCCCCTGGATACCGTAATCGGACTCCTGCAATGCTCTGCTTTCGGCTGTCAGCTATTGATACCCTACGATTGCCCCGTGTCGTACAACCGGTTGAAGTACGACATACGCATGCTCGACACGTTGGGGCTCCCTTCCATGTGTCCATGTCATGTTGCCATTACAGGGTTCCTGTCGTACTGGCTGTTGCAAATAAAGTGTACGACATTTGGGCCAAGCACCGTACACAACTAACTGGGCGGGAAGCGCTGGAGGTGCTGCTGGAACGGCGACGGTTAGAAGCGGTTGGGAGGGCGTCTTGCCGTACAGCTACGACGGGGGCTGGCGCAACAGGCGGCGAAGGCCAGCAGTCGTCAACTGGAGCGAAGTGTGACTTGTAGGCTTAGAAAGGGGTGTAAGTGGAACGTTTAGTGAATTAGGCTGAGAGGGGCTGTAAGTGGAACGTAAAGAGAGGGGGTAATAGGAGGATATAGCATATAGGAGTGACAGGAGCGCGAAACGCTATTTGACTGAACGCAACCGGGGGTCCTGAAGGGGCCAGTGGCTCCGTTTTTACCTGTCGAGTAACAATTGTCCAGTAAACTGCATGGTCTGTAAGCATGTACGGCCTGTCCGTACAAGTCGGGTTGCCCCATGACATTTGGTGTTTAGGGTTTGGCCTAGCGTAGGTCAGGATCGCTGCCCCATTCCAGGCCTTTCCAAAATATAGTGTTGGTGCATTTGACTTTCACAAGATACGATACCGAGCTACTTGCAGGCGAATCAGCGGTCCAGCAACGTTTTAAATACGCCAAATGTTACACGACACCAGCACAACACGTGCCGCGTCCTCTTCATCCTGCTTGCCACACGGGTTCACCCCCGCATGCAAGAGCCTGCATGTTGCCTGCTGCGATTGCGGTGCTGCTGCCGGCATACGGTAGCACGAACGACGCAGCAGCTCCAATCTTGCATGTCAGTACACAACAGCCAAGCCCCCTGTCATCTCCTTTCCTCTCATCGCCATAGCACACCCCGTCGTCGATAACATCCCCGCCCTCTCCCTGCCACCTGACACCGGTGAGTGCCACCATGCTTACTGCATGCGCGCGCATAACACCACTTTTCCTTTGCACGTCCTTCCCACACGCACGGTCACGCGAGGCACGGCAACCATTGTACCCCACGCACGTGCAAGATGTGCGCGTGTGATAGGATAGCTGGCCGGAACGTACTGTAATTGCCGGAAAATGAAGTCCTCCCACGGAAACGCGCGTATGTGCATATACTCCTAAACACACGCAGAGCGCTGAGACAGCTGCCCCTGACGACCCAAGCCTCCTGTGACCCAAAATTCCAACCTCCCTCCCCCTCCCCTGTCCTTACGTGGGTCCATGTATATCCATGTGCCATTGGACCTCCGGTCTTCCCGTCTGGGTATGTCTGACCTCCCTCCACCTCGCCAACCCTCCCTTCGTCCTCACTCGCTGCCATCTCCGATTCGGGCGACAATCTCATCCAGGAAGCATCGCCTCTCACACATCAACATACTCCTGCAAGCCCTGCATGCTCGCCTCCTCCTCCCTCCCCTCGCCCCACCTTTCCCCCTTCCCTCTCCACCATCCTTCCTGCACGCCGACACCCCCTTCAACACCTCCCTTCCCTCCACCCCCTTCCCTTCCCTCCTCTCCCTTTTCCTCCCCTTACTTGGTGACCTTGTACGAGCGTACCTTCTTGAGCAGCTCCTTCGCCTCCGCGTTGTTCTCAAAGTGGTCGCGCACGGGCTGCAGGATGGCGTTCAGGTGGCGCGACAGCCCCGCCTTCAGGTCACCGGGGTGCAGACCACCCTCCTCGTAGTCCGCCACCAGCTCATCCACACAGGTGTAGCGCCGGTCGCCGCCGTGCTCCGCTGGCCGCCGGACCTGGGAGGGGGGAGGGAGGTGGGGCAAAATAAGTGATAGTGCAGCAACGGAAGGGGGGCAGGGAGGAAATAGAGGGGGCAGGGAAGGGGGCTGTTGCTTGTTGGGCCGCCAGATGAGAGACAGTAGATGGTACAGTTGGTCAATTAGTCATGGAGGGGTCGACTTGGAGAATAAAACACCAAGAGCAAGTGCGGGATGACTTTCAGTCGAGCAGCCTGTGCCATGTCGGGTCAACGGGTCATGTACCCTACGTGTGTGTGTGCCGTACGCCCCCCCCCCTGGCAAACCCCCACGGGCCCCTCCCCCACCTCGAAGTGTCCGAACCAGGGCAGTACAATGTACTTGACGTACTCGATGCATGGGTTGCCGGCGGTGACCTTGGGCGGGCAGAAGGCCTTCTTGATCTTGGTGTTCACCTGGGGTGGGGGGGCAGGGTTAGGGGAGGGGTTAGGGATCCCGGGCCTCCGTTTTTAGCGCCCGACGTCTCACCCCACCCCTGCTGCTGCTCTACCTCCCGCATGCATGCATGCCCATACATGCCCCAACACCTACACCCTCCCTCCCCCCCACCTCGGCCTCCGAGTCCTCCATGAAGATGGCGGAGTTGGGGTCGCTCTTGCTCATCTTCTCCTGGCCCTCCAGCAGACCCGGCATCATGCTGGAGCGGGGGGAGGAAGATGATGGGGGAAAAAATTAAATAAGTGAAACAACGAGTCCCAATCCCATATCCCGACTCATGCAGTGAGCGCATTCGGAGACACTATGAAGATGATGGGGGAGGTCAAGAGGAAGCAGCTGAGGGAGGAGGGGTTCGTGCTCAGGAGCCACCGCTGCCCCCACCTCCAAAGCGCCCGACCGACCACCTCCCACCTTCCCAGGGCCCACGTTCTCCCCCCGCTGCCTCGTTATACAGCGCGTCAGTTTCCTCATTTTAACCCCGCTGCCATTCCCACCCCGCTGCCCCCCCACCGCTTCCTATGGTTCGGTATGGTCTTTGACCCCCCAGCTCACCGGTGCGAGAGGATGATGGGTTTGAGCTTGCGCTTGATGTCATCACAGTACTCCCGGGCAAGCATGTTGACCTTGGTGGGGGGGAGGGAGGGGGGAGAGGGGGGAGGGAGGGGTGTCAGGGTAATAGGGCAGATGGCAGGCAGGCAGCCGTAGGGTGGGAGGGCAGTCGTATCGGCGCTGCTTGGCCCTCTCTTTCCAGGCAGGCAGGCAGGCAAGCAGCCTGGAGGGGTGGGGGAGGAGGTTGACAGCTGCTGCGGGGAGAAGCCGCAACCTCCCCAGTGCGGGCCCTGTGCTGCCGCCACCACCGCCGCCGCTGCCGCTAGCCCTCATGGGCTCAAAGAGGTGAACCACAGGGAGGGTTACCCCGGGGAGGCAACCCCCCTGCCCTCATCCCTATGCTGCTGCTGTGGCCGCTGCTGCGCCCCGGTGTGATATCAGTCGTCTTCCGCCCATTAGCCCTGTGCCGCTGCCGCTGCTGCTGCTGTCCCTCCCCATTTCTGCCCGCCCCTTGCCTCCTCCCGCTGAGTCAGGCCGCGCGCATTGCAATAATTCGAGTCCTCCGCTGCTTCCCAACCCCCATCCCACCCCCTTCTCCCTCCTCCTCCTCCTCGCCCCTGCCTTTCCCCTCCCTCCCTCCTTCGCCAGTTTCCTCCTCCCTCCCTGACGCTGCCCCCACCTTGCGCTGGTCCATTCCCAGCTGGCAGATGTCGGCCTTGAGGAAGAAGATGTCGGCGCACTGCATGCAGGGGTAGAAGATCTGGGCGGCGCTCAGGTCGTCGGTTTCGGAGCGACCCATGATCTGGGAGCACCTGGGGGTGGACGGAGCGGGAGTGGGGGAGTGTTGGGGGGAGGGGGAGAGGCGGGTGGGTGGGGGAGGCGGGTGAGTGAGGGGAGGAGCTGAGTAGGTGGGGTAGATGAGCTAGACGTTGAGTGGACGGAGGAACGGATGTGGGTTGGGTTGGCTGTGTCCATGGGTGGGCTTCTACCAGCACCCTCGCGCTCTTGCTGCGTGGGAACCCCCCTCCCAGACCTATGCTCCCCTCTGCCCCTCCCGATAGCTGTAGCTGCCCAGTGCCCGCCTGCACCCCCCCCCCTCTACTCCCCTGCCTCTCTTCCCACCTCCCATGCGTCGCCCCCCCCCTCTCATGTCCCCCTCTGTCTCACCTTCCCTGCTCACTCCGGGCCACCTTCCCCACCCAGGCAGCACATTACACCACCCATGCACCACCACCCTCCGGCCCCCATCGTCAGTGTCTCATTATTTCTTAGACCCCCCCCCTCTCACACCTCCCTTCACTGCATGAGTCGGGATATGGAGTGGGATTGGGACTCGTTGCTTGACTTATCTCCAATTTTACCTCCCTCCCCCCGCCCCACCTCACGATGGCAACCCATTGAGAACACATGGAGGATTAGCAACCCAAGGAGAAGCCCCGTCTTTCAGCTCGTCAGTTTTCCTTGTTTTCCCCCCCACCTCACGATGCGCTTGAGGTTGTTCTTGCGCGCGATGTCCATCACCAGCGTCCAGTACTCGTCCGGCCGCTTGTTGATCTCCTCGCTACTGGACAGGAACTCAACCTGCGGGGGAGGGGAGGGGGGAAACTTATATAAGTGAAACAACGAGGAGGGAGTGCGGGGAAGGGGGAGGGAGGTAGGGGGAAGGGGGGAGCAGGGTGGGGGGGTAAAAAGAAGAAAAGGATATCCAACAACCCGACGAGCTCGTGGTGACTGGAACCGATTAGTCGAACCGAACCAAATGAGAAGTGAAGCAACTGGAGTGCCAACCCCGTACGCAGGAAGTGGGAAGCAGAGGGAGGGGAGAAGCATTCCCAATGATGTGTCGATTGAGGGGAGAGGGCGAGGAGGGGGTGGAGAGAGGGGGTCGGAAGGGGGTGGTGGTGGTGGAATAAGGTACCAGCATGGTAGGGTGGTGGTAGGGAAGGGTGGGCATAACCGGAGGGGTGGCGGGCGTGGGAAGGGACGTGTCTGCTGGCACATGCTATCCGGAAGCCAGGGCGTTGTTAGCCGCAGCCCTTACTCCAAGGGGGTGTGTCATGTACGCGTGTATACCCCCCCCACACACACACACGGTTTCCAAACCCCCCAAGCCCCACCACCCACCCACCTTGGAGAGGTCCATGCCCACCGCCTTCCACACCTCCACCATGTACTTGCCCACGGTCTGGATCTTCTTCAGGTCGCCGCCCATCTTGTTGTTCAGCTGCGCGAACCAATCGGCAACCCAGAACTTGAAGTGGCAGCCCGACTTCGTGAGCTTGTTCACGTTAATCGCCTTCATCACGCCCTGCGCGATGTGCATGCGCCCGGAGGGCTCAAAGCCGTCGTACGCGACGGGCACCGGCTTTTTCGCGAGCAATGTCCGAAGCTCCTCATCGTTGATGCACTCCTCCGCGACGCTGCGCACCAGCGCGAAGCGCTCATCCAGGGTAAGGCCCGATGGGTGCGGAGGCTCAACGGGAGCCTCAGCAGGGGCAGCGGCCTCGCCAGACAGCTTTAGCTTATCCTGCAACTCCTCAGCAGGCGCCGCCGAAGATGCTGCTGCTGCCGACGCGTCCGACATCCTGGCTAGAAGTCTAGTAGACGTATGAAATAATGTGTGATGCTGGATAGCACAATCGCTGCTGATCAGAGCAGTGGGACGCGCGATGGAGCCAAGCAGCGCCGCCTGCTGCACAGCAAAAGCACGGCTAAGCCGCCAAAGGCTACGTGTGGACTGGATTTTGCCAATGGTGTTGCTTACAAACGCAATGAGAGATATGTCACGGGGTAACTGCTGACGCGTAAGTAGTAACAAGCATACGAGTGCGAACAAATGTTATCTCGTAATCCACCGCTGCGCGAGGTACGTCTATACAAGCTCTTAAGGATGTCTTTCACAAAGGGCGTACGGTTGCAACAAGTTAGGTAGGCACGGAAGTTGATAATTGCTCACTATCGCTGCGTGACCATAGCATTACACGGAATTACTTCTTGTGCATAAGAGAAGCGTACTAAACTGCAAGAGAAGAAATTGCTTTTGTGCACTGGTATGCCATCATCGATCTGCAACGAACACATACTGCTGAGTCAAAGCCGGCTGAGCGAACGGCTCTAAGTTTGTTTGTTTTTCGTTTCAACGCTTAGGCTTGAATTCATCGTGGCTCGGGAACAACGCCATCCATCCCGCGGCTGCCATCGCGCAGCCTTTTTGTGACCGCTTCACAAATCTGTAACGGGGTACATCGCGACGGCATCAGAATAGTCGTTGGCAGTTATTTTGCAGCAGAGGACCGCCAGCGGAGACGCCGCGTCTCCGGGATGGTGAAAGCTGCATGTTGACAACACTCTTCCGCTCTGGATAGCCACCACAGAGCGAAACACTGCACCGCGTCAGCAGCTCCGGCTCACGTTCCTGTGCTTGAGACTGGACATTACCTAGCATCCAGGAACCTACCCAGGCCGCAGCCCCTGTCCTGACGCAGCGTGCCATAGCTCTTTCGATTCGGACGCCAGGCGACACAGCCCAGCTAGTTCAGTAAATTCAAACAGCCCAGAATGGATCTCTTTGAGACGCTGGGCCTAGGTCCACGTCAGCCGGAGGAAAACGAGTTATATATTGCCATCTACGCTGACCCCGAGGGCGAGGGAGATGCAGTGGAGGGAGTCGAGGGGGCAGCAGCGAAGCCTGCTGATGAGGGCGTAGGGCCCTATAGCGTGGTTGGTGGTGTTGCTGGTGGTGATGCTGTCGACGAGGCCGCAGAAGCCGCCCGGCTGGAGGCCTTGAGGGCCCGATGTACGGCATGGTTGTTGCCGTACATCTCGGATTACATTTGGAACAAAGATCCGCTTGTGCTACGGAGCTCAGCCCGCCAGCCGCCACCTTGGGAGCGAAAAAGGGGGCGATGGCAGCAGCAGCGGCGGCCGCAGCAGCAGCGGGGACAGCACCACCATGCTAGCGGAGGCGCTGGCAGCGGCAGCAGCGGCGGCGGCGAGGAGGCGGGTGCTGCTGAGGGTTGCGTGTGGTCGGTGGTTCGGTTCGGCGACGCGGTGGATGACGAGTGGTGGGCGGTGTGGCTGCTGCTGCGGATGAGCCGCGAGCTGCAGGACCTCAGTGTGCAGGTGGGGGCGGGGTAATTGTAAGGAAACTGACGAATTATATGACGAGGGGGTAAAGAGGAAACAACTAACTGACCGTGTGATAAGGCATCATCATGGTTTGCAACATGACGAGGGGGGGTGGTGGCGGGTGGGGGAGCGGTGGAGCCGGGAGGGGAGGGGTATGCAAGGCACACCCCCCGCGTCGTCAGTTAGTTGTTTCCTCTTTACCCCCGCGTCGACCTGTGACATGTCCTAACCCCTCACACCCCCGCCACCTCTTCCCCGCCCCCACCCGCTCCCCGCCCCCCCCCAGGTGTGGGACAACGACGGCCAGTTCCTGCTCATCGAGGCCGCCTACGCGCTGCCCCGCTGGCTGAAGCCCGAGACCGCGGAGCACCGCGTGTGGCTGCGGCGCGGGCGGCTGCACGTGCTGCCGCTGCCCTCGCCCGCCGCGCCCGACCTGCCCGCCTGCCCCACCCGCCAACAGGCGCTGAGGGTGCTGCGGGAGGGAAGGTAAGGGTGGTAGGGGGTGAGGGTAGGGGGTGCGGAAGGTGGCTGGCTGGCTGGGGTATGGGCTGTGTGTGCCATATGGGGATCCTCATATCCATATCTGTATGGACCCCTCACCCCCCTCACATGCCTCCTCTCCCCCATCCCCCATCCGCCATCCCTCCCTCCCGCCTCCCCAGATACCCCACCGCCAGCCCCCGCGTGCAGCGCCCCCTGGACGCCCGCCTGGCCGCCTATCCCGCCGCCGCGCGCACGCAGCAGCAGCACACCGCGCGCTGCCTGCTGCCCGGCCCGCTGGCCGCCGCCCTGCGTGCCGAACCCCAGCTGATCGCCCCCCTGGTGGAGGCCTTCTACTACCGGGACGCGGAGGACATGCGGCGGGCGGCGCGCGGGCGGGTGCTGCCGCCCGGGCCGGTGCCGCGGGGTGCGGTGCTGGTGCGCATGAGCCGCTGCCAGTATGCGCAGCTGGCGCAACAGCGGTTCGCGGCGCCCAGGGGGTGGAGCATGCCGCCGGCTGGCAGGTGGGTGGGGTGGTGAGGTGGGGGATGCGGGAAGAACTGAAGCCAAAAGCATGGGTGGGATAGGCGGCTGCGAAAGGATGTAGTGTTCGGAGGTGGGGCGAGTGTGATGCACACTCGCACTTGGAGCTGTGCTGTTGCTGTCTCCACGTGTGCCACGTCACGCCGTTGCGTCCCCGCCTGCCCTCCCTGCAGCCCGCTGGCCAAGGCTGCGGACCTGGGTCTGAAGCTCACCGTGGCGGCCGAGATACTGTGTGCGCGGTACGGCAGCAGCAGCAGCAGCAGCGGAGCAGGAGGGGGAGGAGGAGAAGGAGCCGCTGCTGTGGGGCAGGCCGGGGAGGCTGGTCATAGTGCAGCTGCTGGCTGCACCGCCACCACCATAACAACCGCTGGCGCTGGTGGCAGTGAGGGTGGTGCAGCTGGTGGCGTGCAGCGGCTGGTTGCAGCGGCGGGTGCGGTCAGCGAGGCCCCGCTGGCGGGTGACCCGGTGTGGCAGCGCTTCAAGGCCTCGCTGGAGGCGAACGGCTACTTCCAGAGCAACATACCGGGGTCCAGGAGGTGAGAGGTGGAGGAGGAGGAGAGCGAGGGGGAGGAGGGCTGGGTTGGAGGGGGAAAAGAGGGTTGGGTGGGGCTGGTGCTGAGGTGGCTTCCTTGGCTAGGGGAATGGGCTGCTGCTGCTGCTGCTAGTCTCATATTCGCTGCCTCTCAGTAACGCCAATGCCATCAGCTGGTGCATCATGTTAACCAAGCAAGCAAGTAAGCAAGCAACACGCTGATTGGCGACCCCCCCCCGGCGCGCCGCCGCCCCCTAGGTACAAGGAGCTCTTGTCGGCGGCGCTGGAGGCCTTCTCGGCAGGCAGGGGGGAGGCCGGCGGGGGAGGCGGAGATGGCGGTGGTGGTGCAGCTGCGGAGGTGGTGGAGGTGGATGACCCCCGGCGGCGAGTGGCGCTGCGGGTGCTGGATGCGGCTGCCCGGGGGTTGCAGCCGGAGGACGTGGCAGGTGGGTGAGCGTGGTTGGCATCGGGAAGTAATGGGTTATGGGTGGGGTATGCCACATGGGAGGTAGGGCATACCTCATGCAAGCAGCGCTCTCAGGGTGGGAGCAGCAAAGTAGGAGGTGCAGGGTGCGTGCACTGCAACAAGGTGACAAAGCGGTGATCCATCTCCCACAACTGAACTCAACGAAAAGACATGTCATAGTTATTTTGTGTGTCGAGGCAGAGTAAGTATGTGTTAGGCATACACCTGCAAATAAGTTGCGTTCGAGATGAGGTCCTGCGTGCTCATAAAATCAATGAATCTGTCGGTAGAGGTAAAGGAAAACAAGAGGGCACGGAAGCTGCCGTAGCAACAAGCACACAAGCAAAACGCAGTAACGAGCCATATATTCAACTACCCATTCATCCAAGCAACCGAACCTATCTACCCTTTCCACCTCTGTGTATGCTGCGATGGCAGCGGCGCAAAACATTTACCGTAAAGTCCTACCCTACGCCAACCCTACGGAAACCTCCAGAAGAAAGGCGAGACGGCTAAGCAAAGCGACATTCCTCCTCCACCACCAACCCTTACAGCAACCAGGCAACTGCAATTCTCAGGCCTTCCTGCGTCCCGTCCGCCCAAACTTCAATCCAACTTCACAGTTACCAACTACACCCCAACCCACTCAATTACACCCCTAGTCATACGTCTCCCGGCCGAGGCCGTGTTACGGCACTTTCTCTCGTTAAAACCACATGCTGCGAGAGTTCACTTCTTGCCACCGCCGACGCCAAACTTGCCCTTCTTGGCCGGCCCGCCCTTGGCAGCTGCGGCACCCGGCGCGCCTTTCCGCTTGTTGTCCTCCTTCTTGTCCCCTCCTGTGTTAAACGTAAACAAATGGAGAGCAAGGACCCGCTTTAGTATCCAAGTAAAGATACGCATGCGGTAGTTTAACCCAACAAGCAAAGCCTATCAAGGAACGCATTCCTCAACGCTTTTGCTGCCCCACTGCCCGTCACCTCCCACCTTTAGACTTCGCGGCGCTGTCGCCGTTGTTTGCCTTGGGCATGACGGAGAAGAAGGCGTCTAGTCGGCCCTGGTTGGCCTTGCCCTTGTGCTGCTTGATGCGCCCCACGGCGGCTCGGATGCGCTGCTCGCTGAAGCTCTTCTCGCCCACCAGGAACTGGGCGGGAGCGAGGGGATGGGAGACGGGAGCGAGGGATGGGAGACGGGAGGGAGGAGCGAGGGATGGGAGACGGGAGGATAGAGCATGCCAAGAAGCATGTGTTAGAAGGATTGGAAACGCACATGGGCATGGTTAGCAAGGAGGGAAACGCTAGAGGGACAGCAAGAGCGGCTAGGTCTGGGGTGGTGTCAGGGTCAAGCAGCAGCTGCCCAGCCCGGCCCACCTGCACCAGCCCCTCCTCATCTGGGTCGCTCCACTTGAGTGTCGGTATCTCGGCTGCCGGGGTGACCTGGGGGGGTAGGGGGGAAGGCAGGGGGAGTGGGTCGACGCGAACACGGATCCCAACAACCAATAATCCAATGCATATGCGTGCGAAAAGGCTTCAAGACCTGGGCCCATTGAATACACGTGCCCATTGCACCTCGCCCAATTTACACACAATTTCACTAGCTGGCCAGTTTCCTTAACATACACACGCGCACCTCGGGATTTTTGAAGAACTCGTGGCTCTCCTTGTGCGGGAAGGGCTCCGGAACCGGGTACTTGGTGGTGTCCAGCTCCGCCAGCAGCGCCTCGATGCTGCCGTGCTTCTGCGGGGGGTGTAGTAAATTGTAGCAGCGAGGGGGGGGGGAGGTAACTGGCGGCGGCGTTGAAACGCGCGTGATGCGAAGCGCCAAGGCAACAGCGACACATGCCACATCCGAACGAGCCCGACGGAAGGAGATATCACGCCCGAGGTGTGTCAACTGCGGTGCCCGCACGCGCCGCGCACCTTGATCATCTGCAGCGCCCTCACCGCCCCGATGCCCCGGATGGTGCCGCAGTAGTCGCAGCCCATGAGGATGCACAGGTCGATGAACTCGTCGTCCGTGAGCCCCAGCTCCTGCAGCGCCACAGCCCGGTCGATCTCCTGAACCGGGACCTGCGGGGGGAGAAGGAAGGGGGAGAGGAGGAGGAAGGGTGAATCGGGAGGAGGAAGGATTTAATGTGAAGTTGTTTTTAGGTGTGGCTAGCCTAACACGCCTCATGCCCCTCCCGCCGTTCATGCGGGATGTCGTCCACATGGTGCCCGATCTACATGGGGACTTGCTTGATAACGTCTTTGCTATTCCAAAGTCGTCCACAAGCCTCTCATGTAGAGCAACCAACACGTGCTCAAGGCGACTCCGCAACATCCCTGGAACTGCACCGCAACATGCTAGAACAAAAACAAGCACGCCACCGCCGCGCCTCGTACGTTTGAGCTGCTGGGTGCCATGAGGTGGCGGATGACACGCGGCGCACCAAACGTGAGTGCGTCCATGTCCTCCGTGGCTAGGCCGTACACCAGCCCCGACTTGGCCATCTCCGCGCACTGCGCCTCCGCCTCCGAGGGCGCCTCCACCACCGGCACGCCCATCAGCCGCAGCAGCCGCTTGCACTCCTCGTTGTGCTCCTGGAGGGGGGATGGATGGAATCGGTGGATGCGATGGATGCGATTCGATTGGGATGGGGTTGGGGGTTGGATTGGAAGGGATGGAGGGAGGGGAAAGAGGGAAAGCAGGCGTGGAGTGCGTGAAGGAGGGGCAGAGAGGGGAGTTGTGGTGGGGTTAGGAGATTGGATTGGTGAAGTAGGTGTGTTTTCGGACCTTGGTGACACGCACGGAGCGCTTGCTGTACTTCTCGATGGCCTCCGCGTCGCCCGACTCCTTAGCCTTCTCGAGCTCGGCGTTGGCGTCAGTCCTGCGGTGTCACGTTCAAAAGCCCGTCGTTGCTGCTACCTTGCTAGCCGGTATCGAAATAAGTGGGCATATGCGACTGTAGGAGCGTTGTAATAGGTGGCTACCTGCGCTCCGTGCGCATAGCAAGCTGGTCCTTCTTCAGCTGCGGTGGCTTGCCATCAAAAACGTAAACAGGCTTAATGCCCGCCTCCAACATCTTGGCTGTTCGGAAGAACATCCCTTGTAGATGGCTGGTAACGTCGCCGGCTTCGTTGGTCAGCAGCTGGTCGCCCTGCCGGCCCACGACGACCATGAATTGGTAGATATGCATACTTGCATCGACTGCCACCTTGCGTCCGAAAAGGTTTTCAAATTTTGTTTCTTTGATGCATCCTGGCGCGTTATCGCTTAGCAACTTTGTGAGGCCGTGAATGCCCATCTTGAAATGATCTGGCCCGGGAAGGAGTTTAAAGTCGGAAGCAGCTTCTAAAAGTAGGGACGGCTTACACAAGAATAAGGTTGGTTTCTCGCTACTTTTGCAGTGAAGCCTTACGCGCCCAGCGAGTACGGCCAACACGGCAACCCCTGCTTGCCGGCCTTGGCCCCAACAGGAAATGACAAGATGGGGTCAAACAAGGGACTTGCCGTAGTGACCATAACGCAATTTTAATATCCTAGCTGGCTGTTTTGCATGTTCCGATGCAGGTTCCGGAGCTTACACCGACGCTGAGGACGACGACAGCTGGCTGGACCAACAGCCCGACCGCTTGCAGGCTGAGCTGGAGCGGAGGCAAGCTGAGCTCAACGAACATGCCGGTCGGCGAAAGAACGATAGCGTCAACGGGGAACCAACCACTTCTGGCCGCGATGCGCGGCCAACCGACAAGCGAAAGGAGCAGGTACATGTCACGGCCGCCAAGCCACATCACCACGATATCATGCATTGCTGTTGAGTTACTATATCAAGCCCTTTGAAGTATTGACAGAGACCCCAATCTAGCACCCATCGCACGTGTCCTATCCTCAAATCGAAGCATCCAACACGGCTACTGTATTACCCTTCGCCGACATGCCTTCCTCCTCCTGCCCCTCCAGCTTTCTCTTAAACCTTTGCCCTTAAACCTTCCAACATACACAGGAGGTGGATGCGGATGAGATTGCATCCAAGCTGCGCGGCTTCATGCAGCAGCTGTCAGGTCTGGAGGGTGTGGAGACCTCAGGTGCCGCCGCCAACATTGTCGGCGACAGCGGAGGCGGGCCGTACGAAAAAACTGAGGACGTTCTCGGCCTGGATTTCGACCCTTCCAAGTTCCTTCGTGAGCTTAAGAAGGTCCTGGGGCCCGGTGCGCTTCGCGGGCGAAGGAAGGGAGGTGCAGCGGAGGAAGAGGAGGAAGAGGAGGAGGGTACGACATCCTCGTCATCATCTGGGGACGACGAGGGCTCGTCTTTCTTCTCGGACGAGGAGGATGAAGACGAGGAAGCGGAGGAGGAAGAGGAGGAGGAGACGGGGCATGCAGCAGGCACCCGGCCGTCAGTCGCGACTACTGCGGCAGCTGCTGCTTCTGCTGGCAGCGGCGGCGGTGATGGTGGCGGCCGGAAGCCTCCCGCTAACGCTGAGCCCCGGGCTGCGGCAGCAACCGTAATTGCGCCCAAACAAACTGCGCAGCAGCCACAACAGCCGCAGAAGCAGCCTCCTGTGCTGAAGCGGGGCTTCCTGTCTGCTGCTCCTGCTCCGGCTGCTGCTGCGGCGGCGACGGCGGCGGCTTCCAAGAGGAGCGACGGCAGCATTCGTGCCCAGGCCTCAGAGGTGCAGCGACGGCAGATGCAGCAGCAGTTGCCGCTGCAACCGCAGGCCATGTCCGCTGGAGGCCGCCAAGCTGCCGTTGCTGCTGTGGAAACAGCAGCGGCGGCAGTGACCGTGGCGGCACCGCCGGCAGCAGCGGCATTGGTGCGTCCTTCTCCGCAGCTGCAGGCGCCCTCCGCTCGACAGCAGCAGCTGCGATGGGAGGTGGGCACCGCAACAGATAGCGATGATGATGAGGACGATGATGATGATGATGTTGAGGATGATGATGATGATGAGGAGGAGGAGGAGGAGGAGGAGGAGGAGGATGACGCTACGGCGCAGCTGATGGCCGCCCTGGGTGTGCATGATGCTGGCGAGGTGGAGGATGAGGACACCGACACATCGGCAGCGGCAACAACCGCAGCAGCAACAGCAGGGAGGATAAGGACAGCAAGCGCAAGCGCGGCAACGGTGGCAGCCACGGCAGCATCAGCAACAGCGCACAAGGGAAGAGGAGCAGGCGGAGGCGAGTCAGGGAGTGCTGGCGGCGGTGGCGGTTCAGGCTTTATGGAGCTCTACGATGCGGCAATGCAAGCGGAGTTGGCTGGGACCACGTTGACGCAGAGCTTTGAGGCGGTTTCGGAGCACATGCTGCAGGGGCCCCCGTCGGCTGCAGCCGCGTTGGCAGGTCATGGGGGCGTCGGCGTCCCCTCGGCAAGGGCAGCTGAAGAGGCAGGCCAGGGTGAGGGATCAGCGGCGCTGAGGCCTGTGGACCTGGATATGAACCTGGTACGGAACTTACTAAAGTCGTACACGGCACAGCAGGGCAGCTCGGGTCCTGCGGGTAACATCGCGGCGATGCTGGGGCTGTCGCTTGTGGCAGGGGATGTTGTTGATGAGTGAGGGAGCAGCAGGGGTATAAAAGGTTGGTTTGGGGTTGGTTGTTGGGGTTGTTCATGAAAGTGTGAGAGCGTGGCGGCGGGGCAGGTAGGTGTGCTTGGATTGGCGTGGATTCTTCATCAGATCGCAGGTGGGAGATATTTCGCGAAGGAATTCGTAGTTTCGAGAATGTTTGGAACTGGGGACGAGTTGAAGGGCAGGGTCTTGGGGTGCCAAGATGGTGCTAAGCCCACGTACGCATGACGTTTGAAAGATCTCAAGCCGAGGGCGACCTTGAAACTCGTCCCGATCGCGGCCGAAGATACGTTCCCTTGGACTGGATTTTCCGACGGGCGCTTTGCACTTTTTATCATTTGTTTGCACACATAATTTGTGCTGCCTTATGTCTATGGGACCCGCACTTGCCACCTTGTCGCCCTAACTTGTGCCCCCGCCAACAGTCGCGACTGCGTAGACCGCTGCGCATTGCGCTGGTAGGCCTCCCTGGCGACAATTGGGCCTTTGCTAATGACATATTTCCAGCGGAATTTAGAGTGTCATACTGGTAACAGTTCGTGGAACTAGCAGGGGCGATAACTAGTACGGAGTACAGGAGTTTCTTGGTGAACGAAGGGGCGCCCAAAGACATACCAGACCAGTATTAGCCACATAGCAATATGATTTCCACATTTATGCGGGATAGATAACAGTTTACGAACTTCGGCACTCCCACATCCGACGACGCGTAAGCGCACGCCTTTACAGCCGCCTCGGACACTTCAGCGTACATTTTGCCTTTACAGTAGAGCTGCGCTCTTGCCTTACAACAATTAACTAAAGTCGGGCGCCGCAGATAGGTCAGACGACTTGCGGTTACCTTTGGACAAATTAGGCAAGCTTCGACAAGCCTGCTTTCATCAAAATGGGTGCCCAGCAATCAAGTATTGCAGGTAAGCTGTCGGGGGTCTGTCGCCACAGTTAATCGTTACCGAAGTAATGGTCATGACCCTCATACGTTGCTTCTGCCTTTCTTGTGTTGTCTGTTCCTCTTGATAGGCACTGGCACGAGAGGCAATCCAGCAGGCGCGCATGAAGCTATGGTGGTCAACGACGCCTCCTCGGTGAAGGCGCATGCCATCGACTGCTGCTCTATAGCGAGCTCCTACCAAAGCCTTTCTGAGCTGGATGATTTCCTTAAACCTGGAGGTGTGGACGATAGCCGTGGCTGCCGTGTTGCTGACTGGGGTCTGGCGGTTCTTTGGGTCCCGCGGGCATGCGTTGCAGTTTGTACGCCTTCTTCCGAAGTCCACCATACATACAGCAGGATTAGCATTCGCAGAGTTGGTGACTAACTATAGCTGTGTGCACCCTAAACCCTGTTACATTTTTTCACTCTTTCGCCTAACCGCTTACCGGTTCCTGCTCTCTCGACCGCGTACTCGCTTCATCGCCCCTTCGTCCCGTGCCTTGCCCTCATCACAGGCGACCCCTCTCTCGGCCGCTACAGCGTCCGTTCGTTGGCAGCCGCGTCGGAAATCGTGGCGAATACCATCTACGAAGGGGACGAGCTACACACGCTAGCAGAAGAAGAGGCCGAGCACTCCCAAGACAGGAGCGGCAGCCGAGGGAGGCCAGCCGCCTCCGCCACAACGACATCCGTTAGCCCTGCCGTACAACTAACTAATGGCAGCAATGGAGCGTCCGCACCGGCATCCGAGGACCCAGCGGCAGCAGTAGCCACACTCGTGGCGTCTGTGTTTGCTGCCGTCAGGGCAGCACACTCAAGCGCTGCGCTCCCCGCCGGCACCACCGCCGCCACCGCTGTCGTACCACTCGCTGCTGACGACTGCCCGGCGGCGTTCGGGCGGTCATTGGCACCTGCACCCTCCGCCGCCCTCTCCGTCAGCACCCAGGTTACCACCGCTTCAGACCTCGCGCCAGGCGTCAGCGCCATAATTGCAACCGCATGCCCAACAGCTGCGCAGCCTGCTGCAAAAACAGCTCTTCCTCCTGGCACGCCCGCGCCCACAACAGGGGAGGCGCCAGCGCCCGCGTGCACGCCTCCATCGGTGCGTCCCTCCCTGGAGGCGGCGGCCAGTCTGGCCTCCGCCTGGTCTTCCGACCCTCAGCCCTCCATCCTCAGCCCTGGCAGCGCCTCCCCCTTCAGCACGCCCTCGCCTGCCGCCGCCGGCACCGCGGCAACCTCACCCTGCGGCAGCTTCGGCTCCTGTACCACCACCGCCGGTGAGGGTGATGGAAAGATGGCAGCGGCGGAGGTGCCAACAGAGGCGGCGACTGCCGGCTCGGTGACTGCGGCTGCACCGCCCTGCATGTCGGGTCGGCTGCGTTCGCATCGTGTGGCGGACTTGAGCGTTTCCTTTTCTGAAGACGGCGGCGATACGGAGGAGGCCGCAGCAGCAGGGGCAGCGACCTCAGGGGCAGGGGCTTCTGGGGACCGGGTACGGCAAAGCCCGGCGGGTTCCGTACAGCCTGCATGTGGCGGCGGCGGCGGTGGCGGCAGCAGCCTGGAGTCTGATGCCGCGGTGGCACACCATCAGCATGCGGACCGCAGCACGGGTCGGCTTGCAGCTCTGAATGCCGGCCTGGCCAGCATTTCCCGCAGCCTTTCGCGGAGCCTTTCGCGCAGCATATCCCGGAGCATCAGTCGTGGCAGCCCCGGTCCCGGTGTGTCGGAGGTTAGACTTGTGCTGGACCCCGTTGAGCCAGGTGTGATAGCGCCGCGAGTCGCGGACGCTGCTGCTGGTGCTCCGGCGGCGGGTAAGGACGCTGGCGTTGCGGCGGCGGCGGCGGCGGCGGCGCCAGCCGCCCGATCTGCTGCTGCTGCTACCAGCAGCGGCGGCGCCACGTCAAGGAATGCGCCCCGCAGCACTAAGGCGACGGAGGGAAAGGTCAGTGCCGCTGCCGTTATTGGCGCCGTTCGTAAGGCCGGGGGCGTTGCGAAGGCCGGCGGTACGGCGGGTAGGACGGCAGCAGCGGGCAAGGGTGCGGCTGCGGATGGGGGCAAGGCACGGCAGCCCTCTTCACCGCCCGGCAAGGTGGGGAAGGTGCCTTCGTTCAGCTGCTTTGCGTGCTTTTCACCCGAGGTATGAGTGCAGGCGCTTGGAAGTCCCGTTGTACCCTGCAGTTGAATCCTAGTTGCTTTTGCGGTTGCTACTAAGTGAAAGAACGTTGAACGGTTGGAGTTGGTTGGGTTGGCATTGGTTGGAGTTGGTTGGGTGCTTTCAGGCACCCCGCAATGTCAGTTCGCAGGGCATGCATGGAATATAACTTAATCGCTTCGCAGGTCGCGTAGTAAGTATTAACGTTTGTCAAAGCGGGTGGTAATAACAACGAACGCAGTGGGTCGTGTTGTGTTTGCAGGCAGCAGCCGGTGTGTTAGTTCGTTGCGCGTTGCGGCTGCATTGGCTGCTTTATGCAATTGCTTGTTTGCAACGTGCTTCCTAGCTGGGTTCTGGTGCGGTGTCTGCGGCTTTACCCTTACTACCAATAGCTCAGGTGCCGATACGTACCTGCTTAATAAAGGAACGGGCCAAGGTGCAGGGATGTGTGCTGCCGGTGTGGTAAAGGTTTGAAAAAACTAACTAATGCGTTTAGGGGGGCACCCAATTTGCATGTGCTGGTGTCTTCATTAGACGTGTGCTTGTCGTACGTGTACTCGTCTCGTCGTGCCGTACGGAAAGCCGTGTCGTGCTCTTCTTGCACAGGGAAGCAGCCGGTCTACTCGTCGACGTTGGGCGGTTTTTGACAGCCCTTGACTTTGCCCGTGGAAACCTATTAATATCATTGCGTTAAGGCAACAGAGCCGCGTTAACTGGACGGACCGTAGCTGTGAACGTCTTAACATGTACGCATGTGGTGGCATGGCCTTATGACAGATGCTGCGTTGAACCTCTTGTTTCATCGAGTTGCAGTGCAGGCGGGGAGGTAAGAAGGAGAAGCTGCTGAAGTCTGAACTGTGAAGGGCGCGTCCGTTAATTGGGAAGAATGCATTGCGGTGGTTGTTCGGTTTTGCATCTGCGGTGGTTGAATACGTGTACGGAAGACACAGGACATGTACGGGAAGATACCAAGTGAAGAGTACGTCTCACGCACGGGGATACGGGCCTGCGTCAGGTCTTAGGGACAACCTATTCGACGGGCGGTTGAGTTTGCAAGGTCATTGCGTACGGGTCAACCGAGTCATTCCGGTTCCGATCCATTATATATTCAAACAGGCAGGATGTGCACTGCTGCTGCTGCTGTCGCTGCGTGGAACCGGTGACAATTTACGAAGGGTTGCTAATATTATCAAGTCGGTTTTAGTCTATCTATTTAAGCATGCGTTCCGTACTGCACACGTAAAACGTTTGATGTGGAGAGCGGTGCAGCCACAAGCAAGGCGTAAGGCGTCCGGGCGGTGCGAGCTATGGTGTATATAACCGGCGTGCAAAGGCGCTTGTCGTTGCTGTTGAGCAAGTTGTGTGTGACTTGGACTGAACTTTTGCAAGTTTTGGTTTAGGGAGGGAGGGCTGAATAAAGGCAGTAACCCCAATGCACGTGTTTGTGCTTGTACGCGAAGCTGTGGAGGCGGCAGGTCGCGTGCACGTGATGATGATTTTGTTATCCTCCTATCCATGCGCGGAGGATTACTTGCGGAGAATAAACATTCGTGGAGCAGCGTGGGGAATGAATTCCTTTGGTGCTTGGTGCGTTCACTGTTGGTTAGCACTTACATGCACCCCGATGAAGGCAAATGGACCACTTCCCGTGTCAAGGAAGGTTCGAGCCCGTCTTCATTCCCCGCTTCCTAAGGACTACTTGGAGCGTAATGGTCGATTGTACACGGGGGTGGCATGCAGCACGGCAGGCTGCCTTGCCCTTTCGCTGCTGTCGTTGAAGCACGGCGATATGCTTGTGGCGGCATGCTCCTGCGCTGTCATCAGCGGTTGATGCCTACTGCCTACCTAGTATTGTATTGCGTTTAGAGTCGTTGTCCAACAAGCAGCAGCCGCAGCACTTGCGGGTTCCTTTCTCTGTTCATCATGGCCCTGGCGGGTGCTCTTGTTATGATACCTAGTAAAGCAACCTCTTCGTGCATGTACGGCAGGTACCGGTACGGCATAGTGTCCGCCATCTGTGCTGTTGCCGTACAGAGGCGACGTACGAATGGAGGTTGTCGTCCGAAAGCTGTTGTTGTACTTCCCCTTCAATGCACTAGGTTGTATGTGCAGTGCTACCAGCCATGTAACCATCAAATGCATTGGTGTGTGATGCGTACAAACAAGGTGCGCTCCAAGCTCACAACCCGTGCAAAGGGCTCAGCTGAGACGCAGATGGCGAGTGGGGGTCAGCTGCCCGGGGAAGGGGGCCGAGCTGACAAAACGATTGAGCATAAAGTCTTGAGCATGGCGCACTCCATAAAAACGAGCCTCGCCCTTAACGCAGCAAAATGGAGTTAAGAACCGACTAGGCCCCAGCTGCCGTGAGTGCCCTGCGGGTCATAGTTCGGAAGTAGCACGGTATGAACTAAGCTGAAACGTTATGCCGTAAACTGTGTACATTCCCAGCTCCTAGTAGTGACGGGGTACACGCGGTAGCCGGCGATGTACGGCAGCGCGACAACTAACGGCTAGCGGATGGCAGAGCGCTGGTTGTGAGCAACACACTATCACGCCTAAGTTGTCTTGCGTGCTTTATGATGTACCCATATGGTAGGACTGCGAACCTGAAGCTGTGAAAGCGGTAAATGTTCGGTTGCAACTTAGACCTGCGTCTGCTGCACGCCATGTAACTTGTTACCCTATACCTTTGACATATTTATCCTTTACATTCATGTTGCGGACCAGAGTAGGCGATCAGCTTGACCTCAAGGGCGACTTTCCTCACTAATGTCAGGAGCAAAGTCAACTTTCATAGTATAACCGGAAGCATTATGTTTAAGGATGATGGACTGTTTATAAGGCTTACTAACAACTGGCAGCGCTTACCTGCGACGAAAGCAATCCAGCTGCATTGACAACTTGTGGAATGGACGCAAAGCAGCACTACAATGGGGACAAAAGAAACTCTCTGACAGAAATGGAGGGGCTGACAAGGAAGTCCGTCAACTGGGCGCGGAGGAAACACGCTGCCACGGATGACCTGCAAGGTATGGTCTTTCCTGCTTCGACCGATTACATCTTCAAACTCCCCTTCCAAAGCTGCACCGAATTGGGTTTAGTCGGTCTCGTAACCCATATTGTTTGCGGGATGGGGGTAACATGTGCGGATGGGAAATTGTACGTGGGATCGGTGGGGCAAGAAGGGGCACGTCATGTGGAGAGAAGCATGGGACGAAAGCACATGTACCCGGCGGCTAGGCGTGTTCCCCGGTCGCAGCCTCATCCGTATTCTTTACCTGTGCCAACTGTGCGCAGCCGTTGGCGATGCTGGGACGCCCCCGCTTGTGGCTCCCCATGAGTCCATAGCCTGCTCCAGGGCCTTCCACCGGACCACCAGCATTACCTCGACAACCGGCGGCATCAGCAAACCTGGCAGCATGTACGGCGTCCGGTACGGTAGGATGGGCTCCGGGACCTCCCATAACGGCAGTACGGCGTTTGGGGCTGGCGGTGGCGGCAGCATGGCTGGCGAGGCGGCTGACGGCGGCAGCGGCGGAGGAGCTCCGGGGCAAAGCGAAAGGTTCGGCAGGCGGGCGGCATGTGAACAATGGGATAGGGAGGAGTGTGTTGGGATAAGCATGGCGGGGTTGGGCAAGCCTGGCTTGCTGTCCTGGACGTGCGTGTTGTTGGGACGCCTCCGGGCGGTGCATGATCCATGTACCCCCTCCTTTGGTACGCATACCGTAGCTCCTTACCTTCATTGAGCCCTCCACTTTGCCCTTTGGCACCTTTTACCACATCTCCGCCACTTCAGCCCTCTTCGGGGTCCTCCTCAATGCAGGTCACGCAGCCTGCCTGCTCGTGCCGCCGCCTCCCGCGCCACCTCCGTCGGCCCGCTCACCGTCAACGTCGGTGGCAGCTTCGCCCTGAGCTCATCCGCCTCGCCCAACCGCCCCGCCACGTCAGACATGTACGGCGGCGGCGCCTCGCCGCCCCCCTCCACTCCCAGCAGCCCCAGTAAAGTGGGCCTATCGGCGCGCCAGCGTGCCATGATTGATGCGTCGCATGTGGGCACCTTCCGCTTCGCACGGATACGACAGCCGCCGCCTGGCAGCGGCGGCGGCGGCTCCGCCGCCGCCAATGGGACCACGTGCGACGGCGACGACAGGTCAATGTCGCCGTCGCCGGCGGCGCCGGCGCCGGCGGCCAATGGCCTCCGTACTGGGGCCAATGTAATGGTGGCGGTGTCGGGGTTTCAGTCGCCGCTAGCGCCGTACCGCAGGACAGCGCCGCCGTTGCCGGCGGCGAATTACGGGCCTTCGGGCGCGAGCCCCGCTCCACCCATGTTGGGCCCCCAGGCCTCCAACGCGGCATTCGCCAGTGCGCTCCTGCATGAGCTCAATGCGCCGCTGATCGACCACAATGGCGGCGGCGGCGGTGGTGGTGGTGGTACGGCAAGTGGTGCCGACGCGTCGGCGGCGGCGTGTCGCGACGGCGGCGGCGCCGCTGTGGAGATGATGGAGCGGTCGGCGGCGTCGGTTGGGGGAATAGGGGTGGGCGGCATTGGCAGCGCCGCCACAATGCGCACGGAGGTGCTAGCCAGTTTTGTACGGCCGGGACGCGGAGTGGTTCTGCAGCCGGGGCTTCAGCAGCTGCAGCCCACGTGAGTGCGGCTTGTTGGATGCCTGCATGGGAAAGAGGAGCACCCGCTTTTTGTCGTGTCGGGACGGCTCGGCTCAGCTGAGAACCATATGTCGAATCAGGCATGGCACTGGGTGGACAGCAAGCGGACTCCTCTCCCCCCCTTTTCCCTCCTACTCTCCTCCTATCCCCCACCCTCACATCCCCTTCCTCTTCTCCCTCCCCCGCCCCCAGCTCCGAGCCCGACGTCAGCGATGCCGCTGAGGCCCTGCTGCTGGGCTCCTCCGCCCCTCTGGGTCCCTCCCCCAAGGGCGGCGGCGGACCTCACATGGGCGGCGGCGGCGGCGGGCCGCTGGGCGACCCCGCCTTCGACCCCGCCGCCGCCTCCTCCGCGCTGATAGACGCGGAGTTGGCTCCGCTGCTGCGCGAGGTGGCGGAGATCAACGTGAAGCCCGAGGTGCGGGCGGCGCTGGGCAGCCTGGATGACCGAGCCATCAAGCAGCTGTGAGTGGGGTAAAGAGGAAACAACCTGTGGGGGGCGGGGGGGGGGCAGGACCCTGAGCCGTGGTATGGGGAAAGGGAGGAAGGGAAAGAAGCGGTAGAAGGGAAGGTGATGAGTGCTCCTCTTTGTTCCCCTCCCTGCCTCCTCACCTCCACACCCCTCACTCCCTTCCCCACACCCTTCCCCTCGTCCACGGCCCCCTTCCCCCCCTCCCTCCTCACACAGCTTCGCCGCCACCTCCCGGCGAGTGGAGCACCTGCCCTGCACCCCCGTCTCGCTGTCCAGCGGCGCGGGGCTGCTCATGCCGCTGCCGGGACCCAAGGGGGTGCCGGGATTCAGGGTGGGTGGCGGGGCAGGCAGGCATGCATGTGCCGCTGTTTGGGGCCGTCTTATCACATGGTTCGTTAGTCGTTTCCTCTTTACCTCACCCTCACCCCCGCCTTCCCCGGCCCCCACCATGCAGGTGAACCACAAGGGCCAGGTGCACCCCACCGCCATCATCAAGGCGGGCCGCTTCTTCCGCGACGCCCAGGCGGCAGCGGCGGGCGGCAAGAGTGCGGAGGCGGCGCTGCTGCAGAGCCTGCTGGACGAGTGAGTGGCGGGTAGCCGGCAGTGGCAGTCGCTAGTTGCCGGTAGTGGCAGGCACTAGTAGGGGTAGTAGCCGGTTGTGGCAGCCATGTAGCCATGAAATTGCCGTGTAGCACACTGTGGTGGTAGCGGGTAGCAGTAATGGTATCCGGTAGTGGTACCTGTGTAGCGGGTAGTGATGGCCAACAGGAGCCGGTGGGGGAAGGGAACGCAGGGTTCTAGGGTAGGCGTATGGGGGGCGCGAAAGGCGTGTGGGGAAAGGGGACACAGGAAAGAGAGCCGGTGTCGACCTTTTCCTTGCTTGCTGTGCCTACCAACCACCTGCCTTGCTGTATACCCCACCCCGTTGTTACTCCCCTTCCGGGTACGGCTACCTAACCACCACCCCAGGGACCCGGACTCCATATCTCCCAAGACCCGCGCGCTGCTGGTGGCCCACGGGCCGGCCGCCACACTTGAGCTCGTGGAGGCGGAGGAACGCGAGGCGGCGGCGGCGGCAGCGGCGGCGGCGCCGCCGTCGACGTCAATGTACGGCACCTGTGTTGGCGGCGGCGGCGGCGGCAGCCCTTGGCGCGTTAGCTCACCTCGCGTTAGCCTGAGTCCGCGGCGGCGGAGTACGGCAGGCGGTGGAGATCACCATTACTACCATGGACGAGCCGTTGGTGGTTGCGGTGGCGGCGGCGGCGGCGCTAGCCGGCCATGCAGTCCGCCGTACTCGCACCTGGTGGGTCCGCATGGCGGTGCTAGTGCTCATGCTGGCCACCCCGCCGCGCCCTCACCTCAACACGGGCACGCTTTGAAGTCCCAAGCGACGACACACAATGCGCGGCAGCATCACGCAGAGCATGTAAAAGAGACGGTCGCTGCTCCTGCGAATACCCATGGTGTTAGCGGCGGCGGCGGCGGCGGAGGGGGAGGAGGAGGAGCCGCGGGAGGGGTGCCCTGGCCTGACCCACGGTTCGCTTCTCACACCGGCAGTCAAGGCAGCGTGGGCGGCGGCGGCGGCGACGGCCAGCACTCGACGCCGCAACACTCGTCGTCTTCGCCGCAACCGCCAACAACCACCACGACGGCCGATGGCGACGTACCGCAAGGGGCGCGACTGGTATACGACAGCGGCGGCGGCGGCAGTGGCCGCCAATCGCCGCGAGCGGCGGACCTGCGAGTACGAATCGGCGCGCTAGCGGATAGCGGCAGCGGCGCCGCCGGCGCCAGCTCGCCGGATAGCTGCGGGGCGTTCGCTGGCGGTGCCGGCGTGGCTGCCGCCGCCGCCGCCGTCAGCACCCGCAGCGGCGGCGGCAGCGGTACGGATCGCAGTGAGGACCCGTTGGAGGACCGGCGGCGGCGATTGGGCCGCATGATGGCTGAGCTGGATGCCGAGCAGGTGACGAGTGCTGCTGCTGCTGCCTTGCCGGCTTCTGCTCTGAACGTGAAACGTGGCGCCTAAGATACTGAACTGGGACGCAGTGACTGTCGGCTGATCCGGATGACATACGTACAGGAGCACACCTGTTCCTGTTGGGAGGGCAAGGGCAGGAGGGCTGTCTAAGCCTGCCGTCTGCTGGGGTGGGGCAGGGCTGGGCTGCTTGGTGCTTTTGCCGACTCATAACCGGAATACCACTCTTCCGCTGCACCCCATGCACCCTGACAAACCAAGTTACCGAAACCCATTTGACACTGCATTAATTGTTTTAACGTAACCCCCCCTGTTACGACAACCCTTGCAGGTGGGTGAGGAGGACATTCGGCGCTACGGCACCTCCTCTCGCGCCCCCCTGCACACAGCCGCCATGGAGGACGCTAGGCCGTCCACAGGTTCCCTGCCGGCGCAAACTACCTCCATCTCCGGAACCGCGCCGCTGCCTCCGCCGCCGACCACCACCACGACGACGGCGTCGCTCAGCCGTCGTCCTGGTGTCGGTGGTATCGGCGGCGAAAGCATGACGTCTCACAGCATCGCGGCGCTCACCGCCGCAGCTGCCGCCGCCGCCGCCACCGCCAGACCCTCAGCCCCCGGCTCCGTCACATCCACCTCACTCTCCGGAACCGTCGGCGGTGCCGCCGCCTCCGGCGCCTTGGGCGGCGCCGTCACGTTAACGGGTGTCTGGGGCGGCGGCGGTGCCGGCGTCGGCAGCGGTAATGGCCGCGGCGGTGGTGGTGGTGATGGTGGTGGTGGGACCGCATGCAGCTTGCTGGACGATGTGGGCGAGCAGGACGATGAGGAGGATGCGGAGGACCGGTTGGTGGCGGACGAGGAGCTGGGACTGGTGGGTGGGGGGGCGCAGGGGGCGGTACCGAAGTGCCATGATTGACGTGACATGGCAAGGCATGGAGTTGTGTGTTTAGAAAACTGACCGCGAGTACGTTCCTACTGGGATGTCGGGAGTTGTGTGTGCGCATCCGCTCGCTGCTCCCTTGTCCGCTTGTACCCTTGTCCACTTCCCTTCTCCACCCCTCCCCTACTGCCTCCCTCCCTCCCTGCCTCCCCCAGCTTCCCCTGGAGCAGTTCCTGGCCCATCTGGGGACCCGCGCCACCGCCTCCGACCTGCTGTTCGGGCGGCTGGAGCACACCATGAGGCGGCGGGCGGCGCTAGCGGAGAGGAGGGCGTGGAAGGAGGTGCGGCAGGGCGGCAGGGCGTGAAAAAACAAGGAGAGCTGATGAACTGGATAAAGACGTTCCGGGGTGTATCCAATGTGTGGTGTGGAGGGGGGTCAAAGACCATACCGAACCATAGGAAGCCACAGGTTGGTGTGGAGGGGGGGGGGGGAGGGGAGGGGGAGCAGCAAGGAGGAAACGGACGAGCTGGGCGGGTGGGGGCAGGGGTGTTGTGGAGCAACTGAGCCGTGTACGGTAACTTGGGCGCGCGTGTGGTGGTAAGAACAATGGCCCATCAGCCATCACTCCTTCAGTCCTGCGCTCCTGCCCCTTTCCCTCCCCTTCCCCCCTCCCGCACCGTTCTTCACCCAACCCCTCCGTGCCTTTCCCCGCCCTCTGGCCCCCCGGCCCCGACCTGTGCTGCTCCCACCCTCGCTGCCCGCCCCGTGCCGCCCTACCTACACGTGCCCATTCCCCCGTCGTCACATTATCTCCTATCCTGACATCGTGCCATCCTCCCATCATCCCGGTGGCGTGTTGGTTGCAGGCGGAGGCTCGGAGGCTTGCAGAGGAGGAAGGTGAGCCCGGGAGGCGCCAGGAGGCACTGCTCGCTCACTCACTCGCTAGCTGGCTGGCTAGCTGGCTCGACACCTCGCCGGGGAAACACTTCACACCGGGGGGAACCCGCCTTGGAGCACACCCCCGCTCCTCCTCATTACCCGCTGCTGCTGTTCCTCCCCCCTAAAGCACGCGGAAGCCTCCCCCCTCAACCATGCTCCTCAACCATGCTACGACCACGCCCGCCGCCATAGCACACATGGGCCGCTGCGGTCCTCACCCCGCCCTGCCCCCTGCCAGCCTCTTGCATAGCCCGCCCGCCCGCGCCAACGTACCTTGGATACCCTGTCACGTGTTACTCGTTACCCCTGAAGCTTTGGAAGCATCAAAGTACGATCCTACAGCCCTCTCAGCCAGTACCGGTAACTAACTGCCCGTTACTGCCCGCTTACATTGACACTCCTCCCGGCCCCATCCTGCGGCTGTCCCCCTCCTCCCTGTCCCCCACCTCCCCCAACCCCCTCCGTGCAGCCTCCCGCTACGTGGAGGTTCCGCTGGGTCCCGAGGACGAGAATGACGAGCTGGGGGCGCCGCTGCGGGCGGGGGCGCGGGCGGCCGTGCTGCGCATGCGGCGACACGGGGAGGCGGGCAGGGAGGCGTGGCTGGGGCAGGTACGGCGGCGGGGAGGGGGGCCTAGAAATTCCCCGCCCTTAGGAGAAGGGCGTCTCTTTTTAGAAACACCTGCCCAATTAGCCGCTCCAAATTCTCATGTGACAATCCCTCACTGCCCTCCTTCCCACCACCACTAATCCTCAACCCCCGTCTTTCCTTCCCCCTTTCCCCTATTCTTCTCCCCCCCCCCTGTTTCACTTTTATATAATTTTTTCCCCCCTGCAGTCCGGCCTCCAATCCTGGCCCTCCTCTCGCACCCACCCCGACTTCATGCACCACTCCGTGAGCCGCGCCGCCACCTCCGGCCTCCTCTCCTCCGCAGTCTCCGTCGCCACCCGCCTCTCCCAGCCTGCCAACTCCCTCCTCCTCGCGCAGCTGCAAGGCCCCTTTGGCAGCCTCTCCTACACCGCTGGGCACTTTGGAGGCGGCGGCAGCGGCTTCTCCTCCCCCATGCCCTTCAACACCCGAAGCAGCACCACAACAGGCGGCGGGCCGGGCGGCGCGATGACCCCTGGGTCATCTGGCTCCACACCCTACCATGCACGGTTTCAGAGCCAATACCTGTCGCAGCGGGGACAAGGTTACGGCATGTCGCCACAACAGCAGCAACAACAGCAGCTGCAGTACTACCAGCACCCCCACGGCGCCATGCATGCAGCGGAGGGCCCTACCTTCCAGCACCAATACAGCCGGCTTCAATCCGGGCAACGTGACAGCTCCTCCTACGACCACCACTCCCATGATCACCACCATAACGCCAACAGCAGCCACCTCTACAGCAGCCATTACAACGACTTGGGTGGCGGGGGAGGAGGGGGTGCGTTCTGGCATGGCGCTGCAACGGCGGCCGTTGCGGTGGCGACGGCGGCGGCGGCAGCTGACATCCGGGGGCAATCCGCGGGAGGGGCGCGGGTAGGCTGGCACCGGCAGCAGCACTGGCGGCATTCCTCGGAGAGTGATGACGAGACGTCGGCCGCCGCGCCGTACAACTACTCCAATGACCGGCAGCGCGAGAAGCTGGAGCCGGTGCTGGATACGTGGAAGGCTGCATCGGGCACGGACTCGCAGGTGGGGAGGAGGAGAAGCGGCAGCGGAGGGGGCGGATCTGACGAACTCTTTCTTCCAGGATGGGCCGCGGATGAGATGGATGATACTCGCACATGTTTCTGGCACAGGGACGCAGCCTCGCGCACGTTTCAGCAGGACGCAGACAGACGGCATAAGCGCATGCGCACATGCCTTCCTCCCATGCCTTCCTCCCATGCCTTCCTCCCATGCCTTCCTCCCATGCCTTCCTCCCATGCCTTCCTCCCATGCGCTGCATGCTAACCTCAACCCGATATACGTACGTGTCCGTATCGCGAACAATAAACCCGCCATCCCCGCTCCTCCCCCCCCCAGCTCGCCGCCCTGGGTGCGTTCAAGGAGGCGCTGCTGCCGCCCAGCTCCCGCCCGCAGCCGCCCGACATGAAGCCCTTCCAGCCGCCGGAGGGGGAGCCGGTCAAGGTCACGCAGCAGCAGGTGGGGAGGGTGGTGGGGAGGAGGAAGGGGGGGAAGAGGGGGAGGGAAGGGATGCTGTTTTGCTCCGTCCTTTTGTTTCCCGCGCCTTCGGCCTTTTCCCCATGCCCCGCTTTTGCCCATGCACCGCGCGCCCCGCACCTACCCCACCCTACACGCTCCGCTCTGGGAACGTTGCGTATTGCGTGCTGCCGCTGTTGCCGCGTCAGGTGTCCCGGCGCCTGGCCCAGGCTGCTGAGACGGGTTCCGCCACCCTGGACCTGGACTTCGGGCCGCGGCTGACTCGGGGGGACTTTGGGGTGGTGTATGCGGCAATCAAGGTAGGGTGTGTGGGGCGGGGGTGCGGGTGGGGATGTGGGTGGAGGTGAAATACCATACCATACCATATCATAGGAAGCCCCAGGTTAGGGCAAAGCAAACGCGAGAGGAGGCGGCAGGGTGGGGGTGGGGGTGGGGTTGGGGTTCATCTATCGGTGGGGGGGAAGAGTTGAGTTGAAGCGCAAGTGCAGCTAAGAGGCGGCTAGGGAGGATCTGGCTAGAAGGTGCGCACACGCTTCTTTAACCACCGCCCTTCTCATCTCCTGCCCCTGCCCCTCCTCCCCTCCCTCCCCCCCTCCCCCAGTCGCTGCCCCCCACCTCGGTCCTTGGTCTACGTGCGGAGGGCGGTGTGATGACGGCCAGCGGGGTGGATGGGCTGGCAGCGCTGGTGAGGGCCAAGCCGGCAATAGAGGAGGTGAGGGGGGCGGGAGGGGGGGAGGCGGGAGAGGGGGAACAAAGGGTGAACCATGGCGGGAAGGAGGGGAGGGTAACATGTAGCATGTACGGTATCACTCGCAACGGGCAGTAACCGTTGACCCTTCCTCGGATTGGGGCTCCAGCTGCTGCACTTCTCATTTATCTCCTCCTCCTCCTCCTCCCCCCCGCCCCTCCCCCCTCCCAGTTGGAGCTACGAGGCAACAAGGCCCTGTCCGCCGGCCCCGTGTCGCGACTGGCGCCGCTGCTGCACGCGCACTACCGCTGCCGCCTGCGCCGGCTGGACCTGTGCGGATGCCCGCTGGGGGACGCGGGCTTCACCGCGCTGGCGATGAACCTGGCGCAGAGCAAGTCGCTGCAGGTGCGGGTGGGGGGTTGGGTGAATTGGGTGGTGGTGGAGGGGATGGAGTGGGTGGGTGGGCGGGTCGGTGCAGGTCGGGGTGGAGGATGGGTTGGATGGGTGGGTGGGTGGAGGAGGAGAAGAGGTGGTGGAGGTCTGGATGCAGCTAGCTAGCTATTCCGGTACCGGTTGTGGGACCAGGCTGCAGCATGCGTTGCTACGTCCTTAGCGCACTCCCCCACACATCCCCACACACCCCCTCCCCCTCTCCCCCCTCCCCCTCAGGAGCTGCTGGTGTCGGGTTGCGGTCTGGGCGACGCCTCCCTGGTCGCCATGGACAGCTGCCTGTCGCTCAACGGGGCGCTGCGGCTGCTGGACCTGTCGTACAACGGGTTCAGCGAGAAGGGCATGGTGGTCATGTGCAGGGGTGGGTGTGCCTGGGTGGGTGGGTGGGGTGTGCGGATTGGGTGGGGTGGGGTGTTGTGGGGTGGGGTGCAGCTGTGTCGTCCTCCCTTTGCCTGGCATGCAGTCAGCTCCAACCGGGCTGCTAGCCGGGGCCATTGTCACTGCCTAGCTCCGACCTGACCTGCAAGCCGTCCCTCTTCTCGTCCTTCGCATGCCCTCTTCCCTGCCTACCCCCCCCTACCCCTGTCAATCATCTGTACTGCGTGTTTCTAGAGTGACGTCTCCGTATGCGCTCACTGCATGTGTCGGGATATGGGATTGGGACTCCACTTGCTGCACTTTTCACTTATCTATTCGCCCTTGCAACCCCCCTCCCCCCGCAGACCTGGAGGACAACCACGCGCTCACGCACCTCAACCTGGCCCACTGCGCCCTGTCCGACGCCGCCGCCGCGCCCCTCACCCGCGTGCTGGCGCTGCACCCCGCCCTCACCCGCCTCGACCTCTCCTTCAACAACATAGGCTGGCGGGGCGCTCGAGCGCTCGCAGAGGGGCTCACCCCCCGGCCGCGACACCTGCTGCTGGGAGCGGCAGCAGGGGGAGGCGGGGGGCTGCATGCCGGCTCACATGGGGGGCTGCATGGGGGGCTGCATGGGGGGCTGCATGGGCATGTGCTGCATGGGGGTTTGCATGGTGGCGGTGGCAGCGGGGGTGCGCATGGCGGGGGTACGAGCGGGGTTATGGTGGGTGGCGAGGGGGGTGGAGCAGGGATGTGGGCTGAGCTGACGGCTCCAGCGCTGCGGGAGTTGGTGCTGGATGGGAACCCGCTGGGTCAGGCGGGCGTGCTGGCGACCATGAGGCTGCTGCAGGTGGGCGGGTGGGGGTTTGGAATTTGTGGGAGGGGGGCTAAAGACCATACTACACCATAGGAAACCACAGGTTAGGGCAAAGCAATGGGGCTAAGGGGGGCTGTAAAGAAGAAGCAAATAACTGACTGCGTGATAGGGCGTCATCACGGTTTGCAACATGGAGGGGGGGAGGGGAAGGGAAGGGAGGGTAGGGGGAAGGGTGGGTGGGGACAGGGCGATGGTGTGGAAAGCTGATGCGACCTGCTCTTTACCCCTCCTCCTTACCTCTGCTCTTCCCTTTTTTTACGCCCATGCACATCATTCTCCCCCCTCTCCTTCCCCCCTTCCTCTCCTTCCCCCCTCCCTCTCCTTCCCCCCTCCCTCTCCTTCCCCCTCCCTCTCCTTCCCCCCTCCCTCTCCTTCCCCCCTTCCTCTCCTTCCCCCCTCCCTCTCCTTCCCCCCTCCCTCTCCTTCCCCCCTCCCTCTCCCTCCCCCCTCCCTCTCCTTCCCCCCTCCCTCTCCCTCCCCCCTCCCTCTCCTTCCCCCCTCCCTCTCCTTCCCCCCTCCCTCTCCTTCCCCCCTTCCCTACCCCCCCTTCCCTCCTCCCTCTCCCTCCCCCCCCCTTCCCTCCGCCCCCCCAGGTCAACTCCGTGCTGCGCCAGCTGTCCCTCTCCAACGTCACCATCACCCCGCTGCCCGGGGAGCCGCTGGACCTGGACCCCGCGCACCCCAACGGCAGCTACACACTCGACCTGGCGGACCCGGAGCACCGCAAGGTGGGGGGAGGGAGGGGAGGGGGCAGGAAGGGGGCAGGCAGCACCGCAAGGTGGGGGGAGGGGGGGCAGGGAGCACCGCAAGGTGGGGGCGGGGAGGGAGGGTAAGGGGGGAGGGGTGTTGTAGCGGGAGGCCCCTTTGTCTCCAGCACAATAAGCCCTATACTGCCTTGCCTCTGCGCTCGCTTTTTTACTTGTTTCCGGACTGTGTTTGGTACTACCTAGTACCTGCCTACCGGTATTTACCCTCCATTACTCTCCATCCGCCCCTCCATGCCCCCCTCCGTCTTCCCTCCCTTCCCTGTATAATTGGTTTAATCACCCCCCCTCCGTTCCCGCTTACCTCCCCTCCCCCCACCCCAGGCTGCCGCCACCCTGGTGTCGCTGTGGCACTCCTCTGGCGGCTCCTCCTGGCTCTCCGCCACCCTCAACGGCCTGCCCGTGCACCTGCCGCGAGCTGCGGCAGGCAGCGTCACGACAGGAGGGGAGGGCGGAGGCGCGGCACCGGCAGCCGCAGCAGGCAAGGGGGGCGGAGGGGGTGGCGAGGGGGGCGGCAAGGGAGGTGGCAAGGGGGGCGGCAAGGGAGCAGCAGCAGCAGCGGCAGGCAAGGGCGGCGGAGGGGGTGGCGAGGGCGGAGGCAAGGGATCAACAGCAGCAGCAGCGAGTGGTGGGTGGCCGCAGTGGGTGCTGCCACACCTGCGCTGGCCCGAGGCGCTGCCACGCACCGGAACCCTGGTGGTGCTCCTGCGCAATAACGCGGCGCTGGATGCGAATGCGATTGCAATCGCGGCGGCGGCAGCAGCGACAGCTGCCGCGGCGGCCGCCGCGGCAGCGGCGGCTGACGCTGCCGCTGCTGCCGCCACCGCCTCCGGCGGTGACGCGGCGGCGGCAGCCGCCGCCGCCGCTGCCGCGGCTGCCTCCTCCTCCTCCTCCTCCAGCCCTCCCGCCAGCCGCATCCCGCTGCTGTCGGAGGGTCTGATGGGTTGCATGGAGGCGGCCATCGAGAGCGCCGCCAACAGCGAGGTGTGGAAGACGCAGCTGGTTCGGCTGGCCACCAAGGTGGCCTACGTGGGTGCGGAGCAGGCGGGGCGGCTGCTGGGGCGCATGCGCTACCGCAGCGAGCGGGCGGATGCGGCGGCCACGCTGCTGTCGGCGTGCCCCGACCTGCATCGGGCGCCCTGGGCGTTGAGGAGGTTTGCAAAGTTCGGGCCGGAGGACGTGGCGGAGCTGCTGCAGGTGAGGGAGGGAGTGAGGGCGAGGGGTGCGGGAGTGTGGAGGAGAAGATAAGAAAACTGACGAGGCAACTCGCGCGCTGTGTGACAAGGCTTCACCATGACCAACAGATGGGTGTGGGAGTGTGGGGTATTGGGAGGTATCGCGTTGCAGCGGGCTAGCAAGGTGGTGTTGTAGAAGCGGACGATGCGCGGAATGGAGAGGGAGGCGGAGGAGAGGAGGAAGTCCATTTGAGGCTGCTGCTTTTTATGTGTGTTCTCCTCTCTCAACATGCCGGTACACAGCCGACAATCCATCCCAGCTATCCTATGGTAGCCCCCCCGTTTTACGGTACCATCCTCCCCTCCCCTCCCCCTCTTCCACCCCCCCAGGAGCTCAGTCTGGCCCCGCTGCTGCCGCTGCGCACCCGGGTGGGCGACGGCTGGGACCGCTGCTGTTCGGGGCACATACGACTGGACCTGGCGCAGCAGGTGGGGGGGGAGGGGGGGGGTAAATGAGGAAACTAACGAGCTGTATGAGGGGGAGGGAGGGGGGGCCGCGTAGATTCCTGTGTGTTTGGAGGGGCAGCGGGGTGGAGGGACCCGGAGATACCGCCCAAGGGTTTCAGACTGTCAGTGCATGTGGTGACCCCGGCTGCTGCTGCTGCTGCTGCTGCTCCCCCAAACCCTGCACAGCCGCTGCTCCTCACAGCTACCGTGTTTATCCCCCCTCCCTCCCCCCCGGGACCTGCCTAACGCGCTGGGTTCCTTACGCGTCCTTTTTACCATCTCTGCCTCCTCCTTCTCTAGCCTTCCCCTCACCACGCCTTCCCTTCCCTTTTCTCCCTCCCCCCCTCCCCCCCAGTCCCACCGCCTGCTGGCAATCCTGCTGGTGCAGGCCGCCCACCGGGACAGCCCCGCGCACCGCTGGGCCACCCCGCCCGCAGCCGCACCCGAGGAGGAGCTGTACGGCGCCGCCACTGCGCGGCTGGGGGACGCCACCAGCTGCCTGCGGGCCATCACGTTCGGGGGGCAGCCGCTGGGGAACAGCGTGGTGAGGGGGGGTGCATGAGGTGGTTGCATGGGGGGTGCATGAGGTGGTTGCATGGGGGGGGGTTGCATGGGGTGGGGTGCATGGGCGGGGGTAGTGGTCAAAGACGCGAACCAAACCGTAAGGTCAGGGATGCGGAAGGCAGCCTTGCTGTCCCCTTGCTCAGTTACGTACAGTGCAGGGTGGGGGCCACCATCATCATCACCTTCCCCTCTGCCACCTTCTCTCCTCATCTTCAAGCATCCCGCTCCTCCTCCTTTACCCTCCTCCTCCCTTCCTCCTCCTCCCCCCCCTCCAGATCTACCTCAGCTCAGCCAACATCCCCACCAGCGGCATCCTGGACATGCACTTCGTAAACCTGCGACCCCGCATGCACGTGCAGTACCACGGAAAGGGGAGTGCGGCTGCCGTACGACCCAGACAAACCCCCACCGTACTCTCCGGGAAAACCCCCTCCGGACACCACAACCTGCAGACCTCGGCCAGCGGAGGACACCTCACCGCGGCGCCCTCCATGAATGCCGCCGCCGCCGCGGCGGCGGCGGCGGCGGCTGCCTCGGGCTCGCCGGTGTACGGCAGTAGCGGCGGCGGAGCTGTTGACGGTACGGCGGTAGCGGCGTCGACGCCGACACCGACGCCGCCGGAGGCGCCGCCGGTGTCTGTGTTGACAACGGCGGCGGCGATAGCGGGTGGCTCCATGGCGCGTGAGGGCAGCAGCAGCATCGGCGGCGCCAGTGCCAGCGGCGGCGGAGGCGGAGGTGGATCAGGGTTGTACGGCTACCGTCGGGGTCCGGCGGAGGGGCGTTACGGGCCGTACAGCAATGCAGCCTCGACAGCGGCAGGCGGCGGCGGTGGCGGCGGGGGGCTGGCGAGTGGCGGTGTGAGCGGATCTGTGATGGAGTCGGCGCGGCTGGCCACCAGCTTCATGAGCCAGTCGGCGGCGGCTCATGCAGTAATCACCAAGAAAACATGGTGGGGTTTTAGGGTTTAGGGTTTAGGGTTTAGGGTTTTGGCCCCGCATGCGGTGATTACCAAGAAGACGTAGTGTGTGAAGTACGGTAACGCGAGAAGCCGACAACTAGTCCACATGTGACAGGCTGTCAGGCTGTCAGGCTGCTTCTAGCGGGAGACTGGGTGCCCTGACTTGTGGTGTGTGTGTGTGTTGCTGGCCGTGCATTGCGTGTTAAGGTGTGACGGGTGACGGCAAACAAACGGAAAGGAGCACTGGTCGCAGTGGCCGTCCTCTCCCTAATACCGTTAAGGCACCTCCCTATCCTTTCCGGACCAACCCCGATGGCTGGCGCTTGCCTCCCCCCCTCTCCCCCCCCCCCCGCCCCCCCCAGGTGGCAGCCCTACCACAGCGCCTGGGAGACGCTGTTCCAGGAGCTGCTGATGCGGCTGGGGCTGCCGAACACGCACCCAAACCTGGCGGGATGGAGGCAGGCGCCAGCGATGTGGAAGGTACAGCGGGGGGGCGGGGGCGGGGGCGGGGATGACAAGCAGGAGAGGGAGGGAAAAGGGGTTAACGAGCGGGCTATGCTGCTGCCATGGGCTATGCTGCTTGGGTTGGTTGGTTGGTTGGCTGGTTGGGTTGGTTGATGTGCCGTACCCCGCAGTTCCTGCGGTACGACAACAGTGGTCATCATGTCCCACCCACTCGCTTACCCACCCTCACCCCGGTTCCCGTCCCCAGGGCGGCTACCGCGCCTTCGCTGCCCGGCTGCACGAGGAGACGGCTCGGAGGCACGAGGCGCACGCGGCGGCGGCACGGCGGCGCAGCACACAGATGGGGGAGAGCGAGGCGGAGGGAGGCGCGGGACGCAAGGGGAAGAAGGGGAAGAGCGGTAAGGATGGTGGGAGGGTGGGTGTCGTGGGGGATGCGTGTTTAGGGGGTGCGTGCTGCTCCTTCTTATGTGTCACCATCCTTTGTTCCTCTCCATGCACCCACTCGCATGCCGTCCGCGCTAGCTTTGCCCCCCATACAGACCCCAACCTGCACTCCCCCACAGCAACCAATCTCTCGCGCACATTCCCCACCCTGTCATCCCGCATGCCCCCCCCCCACGCCCCCATCAATCCCACCCTTCCACCCCTCCACCCCTCCCCTCCACAGACGCCAAGTCCGGATCCAAATCTTCCGCATCCAAAGACGCCTCCGCATCCAAACCCGGCGCCACCACCGCCTCCTCCGGCGGCAAGCGCAAGAAGGGCGGCAAGAAGGGCGGCAAGCGCGGCGACGGGGCCGGCGAGGGCGGCGGCGTGTGGGGCCCCGGAGTGGATCCTGCGCTGGCCAGGCAGCTGAGCACGCTGGATGCGCGGGCGCGGCAGCTGGCGCCGCTGATGGTGGATCTGGCAAGTCGAGTGAGCCTGTCAGCGTACGAGGTGAGGGGGGAGGAGGGCCATGCCCATTTGCCCTCCCCTTTCCCTCCCCCTTCCCTTCACTTTTCCTCCCCCTCCCCACCCACCCCCCACACACGGTCAGTTAGTTGTTTCCACTTCCACCCCTCGCCCCCCAGGTCCTCCACTTTCTGCGCCTGCTGCCCGACCTGGAGCTCCGGCTGCGCCTGCTGGTGGCGCTGTGGCCCGCCATCTGGGACCGAGCCAACACGCTGGACCTGGCGCTGGACCTGGACCACCCCGTGACACTGCCGCCGCAGGGAGCGGGAGCGGGAGGGGCGGGAGCAGCAGGGGGAGCAGGAGCAGCAGGGGGAGCGGGGGCGGGGGGGGTAAAGGAGGGTACTGGGGGTGCGGCAGCCGCGACCCAGCAGCAGCAGCAGCAGCAGCAGGGGGGAGGCCGGAAGACGCCGGAGCCGGGCGCGGCGGGAGGAGGCAGCAGCGACACGGGGCTGGGGGGCAGGCAGACGGGGACAGGGACGGGAGGAGCGGGAGGGCGGGGGAGTGGGGGTGCGAGCACTCCGCCGCCGGGGGCTGGCGGTGCGGCTGCTGCTGGGGCTGCTGGGGCGTCATCGTCGCCGGGAGCGGGGGCGGCTGCTGCGGCGGTGGGGACGTCGGGCGGGACATCGGGCGGGGCTGCGGGGGCGGAGGCGCCTCCCGTGGTGCGGCCCAAGGGATTCGTGCCGGGTAAGAGACATGTGCCTGCCCTGCCCTGCCCACCTGCGTGCTACCCGGGGCAGCATGTGTTTGGGGGGAGGCGGGTGGAGGTAGAATGGATGCCGGGTGGATCCCCTTCCCCTTCCTTCCCGTCTTCCCAGCCCCTCGTGGTGGCTGCACCTGATCACCTCTCATCCATCCCCCTTACCCCCTGCCCCCCTACCCCCTGCCCCCCTACCCCTACTACTTTGGAATTTCTTTTTTACCCCCCTCCCCACCCCCCCCCCCAGGCCTCCACTCGGGTGACGAGCTGGTCCTGCGTGTGGCCTCCTGTCTGGGCTGGCGGGCGCTGCTGGTGTGCTGGGCGGCCCCGGGGGCGCTGCGGGGGCTGACGCTGCACCTGCACTGCGGCGCCGTGGAGCAGCTGCAGGCGCTGGCGGCGGTGTGCAGGTTCGCGGACAGGTGAGGGGGGAGAGGGCGGGAGGGGAGGGGAGGGGAGGGAGGGAAGGGAGGATGCAGGGGGACAACTATGATACATGTCCTCCCCCTGGCTGCTCATGCAAACACATACACACACACACACGGCCGGGACTTCATCTTCCGACATCCCAGTACGTTCCTACTCGCGGCCAGTTTTCTTAACACACGGCCAGCTTTCTAAACGCACCCGCCCTGCCCCCCTGCCCCCCTCTCCGCCCCCCTCCCGCCAGGTGCCATCGCGCCACGGGTCGCCAGGTGGTGACGGGTCTGGCGTGCGACGGGGCGGCTGTGGACGTGGAGGAGGCGGCGAGGGGGCGGCGGGGAGGGCTGTGGGAGCTGGTGAGTGTGGTGTATGGGGGGTTTTGGGTGGGGGGGGCGGGAGGAGGGGGGCATGCAGCGGGTGGTGGTGGTGGAATGGGGCAGCACTGGCTGGTGTATCGGAGACTGGGAGGGTGCTACATGTACGGCATGTGCCGTTGGACGCAGCATGGTCTGGTAGTGTTGCAACAGGCAGGAAACGGAGGAGGTGGATGGGGTTGCTTGCTTGCTTGCTTGCTTGGTGGTATGGCTTGAGCGAGCTGTCTCCTTGGAGGCCTGCCGAACCCGCTGACACCCCTCCTCCATCCGCTCTCCCTCGCCAACCTTCTCTCACGCTAGTCTGCCCATGTACACAACCCCTACCCCCCTCCTCAACCCCCGCCTTGCCTCTTTTGCCCTTCCCTCCCCTTTCCTGTCCCTCCTCACCTCTCCCTCTCCCATCTATCCCCGTTGCTTTTCCCTAATGTGTGGTTCTGGTACCGGCATATTTCTGGCCCCCCCCCTTCCCTCCCTCCCCCCCTCAGGTCCTGCGCCGCACCTGTCTGTGCCTGGACCGACCCGAGTACGGCACCGTGTCGCTGCAGCTGGGGGGCATGAGCCTGGAGGCGCAGCGGGCGGTGGCGGCGGTCATGATACAGGTGGGGGAAGAGGGGATAAGATGGGGAAGGGGTTAGGGTCAGGCGGACACAGCAGCAGTTACAACGTATGATCTAGGAGCAGGTACGGTAGCAGAGAAGGGTGAGGTGGGATTGCCTGATTAGCTTATCACCGCCGCCCTGCATGCTGCTGGTGCTGGTGCTGCTGCCTCACCCACCCACCCTCCCACCCATTCCCCCCCTCTCCCCCTCCCCCTCCCAGGCGGTGTGGCGGGGCTACCTGGTGCGTCGCTCCATGTACGCGGCGGCAGTGGAGGCGGCGGGCGGCAACCGCTGGCGGCGCTGCGTGGGGGTGGCTCGGCTGCTGCGGCGGCTGTCTGTGCTGCGCGCACTGGGGGCGGACCTGGAGATCAGCCGGGCGCAGGGGGAGATGGAGCGGACCTACCTGCGCATGTGAGGGGGGGCGGAGGGGGGGCGGAGGGGTTTTTTTAAAAGAATGAAACGGACGAGCCACTGCGAGTGGGGGGCGGGAAAGAGGAAGGGAGGTTGGGGTAGGGCGTTATCCAGCATGCCTGCTTGCTCGAGCTGTCTGGCTGCCTGCTGTGTATTGCAGCTTAACAGACAGCATTCCCCACTGCTGCTGCTGCTGCCCCCTTCCACCCACCCCCGCCAGGCTGTACGGACCCAACGCCGCATGAAGCAATGGAGAACCGCGGCTCCCGTGATGTGCGGCGAGGTGGTGGGGTAGCGTGTATGTGACCGACATCTAAACATCAAGAATGCTGCTGCTGCTGCAGTCGCGATGAGTGTGCAGGACTGACATGGCTGAGTCAAGACGGATACCTTGCTCGAGGCGCGGCCCTGGAGGCTGTGTGCCTGCTTGCTGGGGGGGGTGCATGTGTGTCGAATCGTGTGTGGGGCGTGTATGGGGGGGGGGTCACCAACGTGATGGTTGGTGTAAGCGTTCGTCACTATCGTGTGCCCCGGGATTGGGGTCAAAGACCATACCAAACCATAGGAGACCACAGGTTAGGGCACATCAATGGGGCATGAGGCGGCAGGGTGCCACAAGACAAGGTGTTGGTTAGTATGCCCTACCGATACCGAGTCCGCGGTGATGATGAATGGTTGACGCTCCAGCGAGCGGGCGGAAGAAAGCTGGCTGTTTTTGTTGTCTACTGCTTGTATTGCTGTCAGAATTCCGGTCACCAGGAATTGGGGGGGGGGGTAAGTGCTTAGGACAGGAGAGATAAAGGTCTTGCGTGGGGCATACATGGTACGGCGGTGGGATGCCCGTGCTGCCGTAACATGCATGTTGCAGCAATGTACGGGGCACATGCGTGGGAAGTACGTGTGTCTTGCATCTTCCCGGGAGATTCGGCTTTATGTGGTATTAATCCGGATGCATGCCCTAGGGCTTCGGAATGGCATGTGTGTCATTCCGCGTGTGGTAGTTGAACAATGACTGTTGCTGCGCTTGTCGGAACTACTGTGACATGTTATTAATATTGTTAAACGGAGTACGGCAATCATGTGTGGCTTCCCGTTGTTGATAACTGTGGGGGTGGGTGGAAGTAGGAATGGTGTGTGAGCGGCCAAACGGGCTGCAACTACGCCCTGTGCTGAGTCTTACACGTCGCACTATGCTTAGGTTAGGCCGCATTACAACGAGGTAACGCAGCCGTCTAATCAGTTGCGAGTGAGCAAACATCCCTCAGCCCCCCGCCGCACAGAAAACCAAAGCATGGCAGTGCTGCACCGTCCCGTGGGTCCGTTGCCGTCAATCCCCCGTATTAAACACGAGTGGAGAGCGACGAAATCGACGCATGAGCCGTCCGGTCACAGTACACATGCAAGCAACAACACTATCACCCACCCCCCAGGGGGCACCTGTGGATGGCTGTCATGCGACCCATGCAACAAACAAACTGTGCCTGAGCAAAGAATTTACGAAAGGAAACGACACTCCCGTGAAACAGGAGGCCTAAAAACACACACACAAACACCCGGGGGCCTACTACCGATAACACCCCCGGGTCTAGTCCACAATGTTGGTACATACACAACAGCATTACAACGTGTGATGTGGGTCCTATTTGACCGAGCAAGCCATCTTTCTTGTCGCCGACGATTACCTTAACCAAACATGATGACAAACAGTCCAACAAACAAACGACGGTTTGACAAACAAGCAAAACCCATAATGGGTGCAACAAATTCTTCATGTTGATTGTCAAATGCGCGCAAGACGTTGCTGATGAAGCAACCGAGCTATGCGCGCCAGGTGGGCCGCGAAAGCGTGCTAATTCGCACCACGGTAGTAGAGGAGGGAGGGCTCTGGTGTGGCTCAGCAGGTAGGTAGGAGGAAGAGGATCTCGTCACGATAGTAGTACAAACAAACAAACTGAACAAACAAACAGGAAGGCGAAGAAATGCGCTATCGCCATTCCGCCAACGAGTCAACGTGCCATAAACCAAGCGGCACACAAGAACCGGCAGCCACAAACCCAACGCAGACACGAACAATACCCACCAGAACCCACACACCGAGCGCTGTGCGGTTCCCGGCAAAGGGCCTGGGGGAAGAGCCGCAACGTATCCAATCAATTAAAGCACTGTCGCGCCGCCGCACCGCGTACTTCAACAGCCGTGCCAGGGACGGCCCAGGTAGAGTACACATGTCGGGGTATGAGCTTCTCCCACGCCTCCACCCAGGGGCCCAGGAGCTAGAACGTACACCGCCACCGCTGAAACCCACATTGAAGCACCCAGTGAAAAACCCCACGCATGAATGAATGCGCAGCCCGGAGGCCCACGCATGCACCGGACGCATACATCCCGTTAGTTGCCTCGTCAGTTTCCTTATTTTGGCCCCCCCCTCAGCTCTCCAGTTACTTGTTTCCTCTGTACCCCCCCATGGTGAAGCCTTGTCATACAGCTCGTCAGTTGCTTCGTCAGTGTCTCATCATATATATTTTTTACCCCTCAGCTCCGCGCGCTGGGTGCCCGGCTGAGCAGCACCTCCAGCAGGGTGGACTTGAGCCGCCGCACGTCCTCCGCTAGGGCCGCCTGGATCTGAGGGGGGAGCGGGAGGGGGCGGGGTTGCAAGGATGTAGCGCATGCAGCACACCACCATGCGCATGTGGTATGTCCGTCGCTACAGCCACGGGCGTGACATGGTCGCAAGTGGAGTGCAGAGTGCGCGGGCAACGGTGTTTGCGACGGCGCTGCGTAGTCGTAAGTGCCCGCTGCCACACTCTAGTCAAGAGCTGTCAGCGCTTACTAGAGGTGGCATTGTAGCCTTACACTGGGTCTGGGGCCTGCCAGGCTTCGCACGTCCCGCAGTGACAGCCGCCGTATCTGCAAACGCGGCAGGCAAGAAGGAAAGGGTGAGTGAGGACTCAGGAGTATACACTCGAGCATTGTTTTCATAACCTAAATCAGTGCCCAAAAGACAAAAATGGAGTCGGAGGGCATCGATCCCCCTACCTCCCGCAAGTTCGGGCGCTCAGCACTTGCTAAGCGGGCGCTCTACCATTTGAGCTACGACCCCCAGCTGGCCCTCATCAGGATCGAACTGATGACCTTGGCGTTATTAGCACCACGCTCTAACCAACTGAGCTAGAAGGCCTTGACAAATTGCTGACCCTAAACATCCTTGTCCGGTTGCAAGCGCCCACTCAAGGCAGAAACCCACAACACGTCGCGTCAACGCAGGTTCCTACTACGGGGGCTCACTCACGCGCGCAGGTCATGCATGAGGCATGCAGGTTAGAGCCGACGGGTAGCAGCTGCATGCAGCTCAGTTCGCATGTATGGAGTCCGTAGAAAGGCGGCAAAGAAGGTGTTAGGTGCAAGCTAATTCTCGCTCGCCAGACTAAGGTGGTAGAAGGTCGACCCCGGAACGCCAGGCATTAGTCCCTAGGTGGGGTGCAACTAGGTGCAGCCCTATGTAGCGTCTTGGTGAAAGATTGTTTTGTGAAAAAGGGTTCCAACCTGCCCTTTGCCTGCTTGTTGGCAGTCCGGAACACTCACCACAGCACCACCATCGAAGAAAAGGAAGCATGGTACCGATCGAACGTTGTATATCCTGGAAATGTCACTTCTATCCCCGTAGTCCGTCTCCACGTCGTGTTGAACGAAAACGATGCGAGACTTCGCATGGACGGCCTGCAGGTCATAGCAAACTGGGACCGCATGTACCACCTTTTTCGGGTGTTGCTCCTCACGCCAACCATATCCGCCCAAGCGTCCAAAGCCTACCTCAGTCCGTAGCTGATCAAACCGTTTAGCAGCATCCTTGCAAACGCCGCATTGCCGAGAGTAAACGAAGACAGCGACGAGTGCGCTACCAGCTTGCTCCAGGACTATGTCAAGACTTGGAGCGTCGGGACAAGTAATCAGCTTTTTCTCTGAGATATCGGACGTGATACGCTTATGTCGCGCCTCTGCCTCTTCTTGACGCTTCCATGCGGCATCCAGCGCCCCTCTCCTGTCGATATTCAGTGCTGAAGTCCGCAAGCCAGTAAACCGAGAAGGACTCGTCAATACGGGAATTCCACGTTTAACGCAGCCTAAGGACTGCTGTGGCATTGAATATGACCGCAAGGCCATCGTTATGTTTAGTCAGCAGCTAGCCCGACGCACAGCCTTAACGTAGGTTTGTAAAACCTGGTGGCCGACTTGTCATTCAGCATGCGGTAGAGCGTGGTGAGTCAGAAACCTAGTCAAGTAATTTGGACCGTGAGTCCGTGAGTCCGTGACATAATAGGGGATGAGTATAACATCCGTTGTTATTTATAATAACGACTGTTATTGTTTATCTCGAATCACAACCTGTGCAAGGCAAGGTCGGTGTACGACAGCAGCATTAGGCTTCGGGGCCTTCGGGATGTTATTTCTGCTTTTTCAACGGCGCGTCTCCCCGTCGTTCCTTCCGAGTTCGGCGCGTGGTACTGACAAGCCGTTCAACTCCTAGGTGATTGTATGGCGGTGCAAAGTTGCCTTCACCTGCAGAGGCCAATTCTGTAACCCATTGGTTGTAACCTACTGAGGGGACCGCGCCAAGCCACCCCATACAGTAGCCTTCGCCAGCTGTAACACCGCGGGTACAAGCTTCCAGCACCAGCATTACAAAGCAGCAAGCAGCTGGCATATCGTACAACGGACTCGGCATGCCGTGCAAAAGCACAAGATTTGCCCAATCCGGTTTACCGGGTTGCAATGCTGACAAGTTTGACATCTAAAAGTGCCCAACTGAAGGGGCAGGTTTCCAGGGGGTCTTCCATGCACGATGAGGCGTAACTAGTTGAAGACCCTTGGGTCAGTTTACAAACGTCGTAAGCATTCCACCTGCAACAATGGCAACCGGGGAACTGCAGGGACCAAAGCAACGGCGTTAAGTTGTCCCTGGTAGAGCTTAAGGGCCTGGAAGGGCATAATAGAGGCCTAGTGCCACGAAACCCTGCCTAAATCCGCCAATGCTTTCGCAGGAACCAGGACGCGGACAGTAGCTGACAGATGCCATAACTCTGCACACATTGTTAAACACGTTGCATAAGCAACAAAAACGCTTTGAAGTGTTTCGACCCAATTGACTTGTTAGACGTGCAAAAGGCTTTATCGTGTGTGGGTGGGCTTGTTAAGTGACCCGGGAGTAGGTATGTAGTGTGCAGCCTTGCAACATCCATTTTTCATCCGCTGTAAGCTGTGTATCTTTCGGAATGTATGGGTTGAGGCAAAGTTCTGGCCTTGAAGTATGCGTCGGCATCTCAATGGTCCGGCAACCCGAATACGGATCAAGTGAAACGGATCAAGGCTTCTTTTCACCGCGACTACGGTATTTCTCTTACTCCTCCGGGTAGAGTTTAGGCAGGAACACTCGTTCAGGGCAACTTTTACCAAACCGATTTGACCTTGCTTTCTGAGCTCGCCGGGGCAAAGCTCTCGGCACACTTCAATTTCTTCTACTATTGAATGAGCTGTGTTGACGTCCCGGTACAATCTTCATCGCTTGCACATAGCTCTGCCCAACTTCCTAATTCAGAGCAACATGGCCTTCCTCTACTTGGCGGCAGCTCGCCGCCCCCCAAGCTCAACCCCTTAGCTGGAGAATTTGAACCCGGTCCGTAGACGATTTTCATTTTGCATAACGGCCACAGAGCCCTAGGCCTCGGGCGCCATGCCTGAGGCGGGGTGTGTAATAAAACAATCTCCCTACCACCCCTTTATTTCTATGGCACACAGGGAAACTCCATCATGGTGTCAGGCCGCAGGTGATCAGGGGTGACGTGGCTCAGATGTTGTTCTTTACTTTTGCAACTGCGTTATACCGCGTTACTCTTAAGTACTATCCTACGGGGCTCATGTTGCTTTACGTCAAACACTCTCATGTAGGCCCAGACCGGAAGGCAGGGTCGCGGACGTGGCGGTCGTGGGGGACTGTCAGCCGCCATGAACCGTAGTAGCCAGGCAAGCAGTCAGCAGCAACAGCAGCCATCGCGGTGCGTAGTCCAGTTCGGGGGCCCACGGTGATGGCTAGGGTGGAATGGGAGTACAGCGTTCAAACTGCTGGTGTGTCGTAGAGTTGTGCAGCTGTAGCACCCTGCAAGCGGTCATCATACAGTACAAGGCTGGCAAAGGGTTCCTTGCATGCTGCACAATCCCTAGCGCATAACCCTTACCCTCCTCACCCGACATCCCCATGCCAGGCAACCGCCGGCCGCAACAACAGATGCGGCCGCGGCCCCAACCACCGACAGCTCAACCGGTGGCGGCGGTGGCCGCGGTGGAAGTGCTGGCAGCGTCAGCGGCGCCACCCGCACCAACGCCGCTGCCGGTGCCGCTTCCTCTGCGGGCGTCAGCGCTAGCCGCGGCGGTGCAGCTGCACCTGGTGGAGGCGGTGGAGGCGGGGGGGCTGCTAACGCCAACCACCTGCTCAACTTCCAGTACGAGTCGGCGTGGGGGAGCAGCGGGCGGGTGGGTTCGGGAGAGCGGGGAGGGGGGCAGGGGAGGAGGGGAAACGAGGAAGACCCAATGGGAGGGGGGTCGGAGGTCTTGTGCAGGTTCCTATGCAGGACGGGCGGGCGAGCGCTTGCGGCAGGGCACGAGGGCAGAAGAAGGGGCACAGGGGGCCGACCCTCCACAGCCCCTCCTGATACAATCTCGTCCAAGCGCTTACAATGCCCCCCTCCTCGCTTCGCTGCCTCACCCCAACCCATGCAAACCATCAAAGGGAAGCGGCCGTGGCGGAGGCGGCAGGTCCGCGAGCACCCGCAGCGGAGGTACGACACCCGCCTCTGCTCGCCGCTACGGCGGCGGAGGCAGCAGGTACGACAAGCCGCAAAAGTACGACAAGAACAAGTTCCTGCAAGCGAACTTCCGCTTCCTGGTGTCGGGTGGGTGCAGTGGGGGGGCCGGGGGAAAGGAGGGAGGAAGACATGACGAGCATATCAAACATCTTGATTGCCAAGCGCTACGGAGTCCTGCGCCGGCCTCCTATTCCCCGCTATCCGCCTCCTGCGCCCACCCGCCTCCTGCGCTCACCCGTCCACCACCCCTCCCCTCCAGATGCGGTGGACGTGTCGGCCTTCGAGGCGGATGCGGACAAGATGTTCGACTGGGAGGATGTGCTGCAGGTGGGGGTGGGGGGAAAGAAGAGGATGATGAGCCAGCATGCATGCGTGGGGGAAGGGGGGGCATGGGGGCGGGATGTGTGTGCGCTGCAGGTGGGGTTAGGAAATCGGTATGGTGGTGGTGGCCACACCGCCACCCCCGCCAACCACCACCGTGACTTCCTTCCTAAGGTCTGCGCGGTCTTCCCCCGCCGCCCCGCTCATCCTCCCCCTCTCCCTTCTCACTCATGATTCCTGCCCTCCCTCGTCCCTCGTCCGCCCCCTCCCCATCCCCCCCTCTCCATCCCCCTCTCCAGGTTGAGATGTGCAGCGCGGTGCCGGTGCAGTGCCCCATCTCGCTGGACAGCCCGCCGCTGTGCCCGCAGGTAGCAGGGGGCGGGGTGGGGGAGAGGGGGTTGACCATGTGGTATCATCTATCCTGTGGCATCCTAGTAACGCAGACCCTGCATCCGCATGTACTTTTGGGACCCGCGACTCCTCCAACCCTTCCTGCTGCCCCCTCCCACCATCCCCCCCTGGCTGGCTAATTCGGGCTGGGCGGGTTGGCTCACATGTTGCAACCCATGTTGACGCCTTATCCCTCAGTCAGCTAGTTGTTTCCTCTTTACCCCTCCCCCACCCAGATCACCCCCTGCGGCCACGTGTTCTCTTTCCCCGCCATCATGCACCACCTGGTCAACCACGGGGGCGAGCAGCTCAGGTGGGGGTGGCAGCGCGGGGGGGGGAGCGGGGGGGGGAGGAGAAGGGAAGAAGGAGAACAATACTGAGACACTGACGATGCTCAGGTGTGGGGGGGGAGCAGTGGGGGGGCCGCGGAGGGGGAGGGGAAAGAAGGAGAACCATGCGTTGAATGTTCTGGGCGACAAGCTGGAGGGGGGGCCGGGGCGGGGTGAGCTTACGGGGGAACACACCGGAGGGGTAACCGCACCGGGGTGTGGCGAGCTAGCCCGGGTAGGCCGCTGGGCAGTGAACCCTCGCTCGCCCCACATGCCACTGCCATGCCACTGCCGGACCCGCTTCTTCCACCGGGCGCCACCCCAGGGGGCTCCCATGGGGCTCCCGTTAGTCTTGCTCCTGCTCCTGCTGCTGCTACCCCCGCGCCCCACCACCTCAATACCCCCATCACCCCCCTGCACAGGCGCTCCGCCCCCTGCCCCCTGTGTTTCGCCCCCGTGGTAGCTCGGGAGCTGCGGCTGGTGCGCATACGACATGCCGTACAGCCCCCCCGCGTGGGCGCCCCCCTCACCCTCGCCCTCATCCGCCGCAACCGCAACTCCATCATTCCGCAGCCCGTGGATGCGGCTGCCGCAGCAGCGGCGGCTGCAGTGGAAGGGGGAGGCGGTGGTGGTGAAGGCAGTGGGGGCGGCTTCGCCGCCAATGCGCCTTCTCTCTTTGACCGCAACCCGTTTGCCAAGTTTGTGGTGGCGGGGGATGGTCGGGGGGGTGCCCTGGGGGAGGAGGCGGCGGGGCTGTGGCGGGCGGCCGCGGAGCAGCTGGCGGCGTGTGCGATGCAGGTGTGTGTTAAAATAACTGGCCGCGAGGCGAAACGTACTGTGATTGCCGAAAGATGAAGTCCTCCCACCGAAAAACGCCACAGGTGAAGTCCGTTGGCTATGGTGTAATAGAGCTATCGAGTAGCATCGGAATCAGTGGCCGCGAGGGGATGTGTGTTAGTAAACGGGCCGCGAGGGGGTGTGGGGTACCGCTATGTGGGGTATGTGGTGAAGAGGGTGGGGATGACAGTGGGGGGGCCATGTGTTGCCCCTCCTGCTGCTGCTGCTGCTGCAACCAGCACCTTTCCCATGAGTCCCCGGTAGCCACCCGCCTTTCCACATCTCCCCGCCTTCCTCTCCCTCTCCCAATATGCATCCCTATTACCGGTAATCCCTCTCCACCCTCCTGTCCCTCTCCCCTCCTCACCTCCCCTCAGCTGGTGTCGGAGGGCGGCTCCGATGCGGCGCATGAGGCGCCCTTCGTGTACGGCGCGCTGGACCAGCTGGCGGCGAGGGCGCGGCGCTGGGAGGAGCACCGGGCGGAGGGGCTGGCGGCGGCGAGGGAGGGAGGCGGGGTGGTGGGGGCGGCAGGAGCGGGGGCGGCAGGAGGGGGAGGGGGAGGAGAGGCGGGGATGTCGCCGGTGGCGCTGGGAGCGGCTGCGGAGGCGGCGGTGAAGAAGGTGGGTGGGTGGCGGAGGAGGGAAGTAAGAAAGGGGTGGCGGCTGGGTGCGCTTAAGCGGAGGGAAGGGCTAGGAAGCCTAATCGTCGGTTACGCTCCTCTCGTCCTGTCTCTTTTCCTCCCCTACTGTCCAACAACTCCATTACGCGACTACTTTCACCCTCGCCCCGCGCCTCCCTCCCTCCCTCCGTCCCCAGATGTTCACGGCCGCTGTATCCGACGTGACCGTCGCTCGCGAATCCGCGGCGCAACGAGCCGCTCGAGACCAGCAGTTCCCGGGGTTGCAAACAGCAGCAGCGGCGCCGCCCCCGTCGCCGCAGCCAGGGGGGCCTGGGGTGCGTGCCCCCCGCATCAGTGGCGGCGGCGGCGGAGGAGGAGCCGCATCGCCCGGACCAAACGCGGCAGGAGGCAGCAGCAGCAACTACAACAAAAGCGATGTCAATGCGGGCGGTAGCATCGCTTCTGCTGCTGCTGTGGCGGGCGGTGGTTCTGCGCTCAAGAGCAATAGCGGCGCTGCTGCTGCTAGCGGCAAAGCAGCACCGCAGCCGGTGCAGCCACGCGCCTCCACATCCTCCACCGGCTTGGACCCGGGACGTCAGCAGACGGCTTCCTTGGAGCCAGCCTTATCAGAAGAAGGCGAGGAAGATGGCGCGGATCGGGAGCAGGAGAAGCAGGAGCAAGAGGCGGGTGGTCAGCGGCCTGCGGGCTCCTCTGCAAAGGCCACCCCAGGCGGCCGCGAGGGGGGCGGCCACAGCAGCAGCAGCAGCCCGGTGGATGTGCCTGCGCCGGAGCCCGGGCCCTCCTCCGCTCCGCAGGAGCAGCAGGGGGGGGAGGGGGAGCCGCCCCTGGGCAGCTCTCCCAGTGGGGGCGGGGGCGGCTCCACAGCAGCAGCAGCCGCTGGCAGCAGCCGTCTGAACACGCCGGGCAGCCAGGGGGAGTTCTACACCTACCAGGCGGTGGACGGCAGCTGGCTGTTCTTGCACCCACTCAACCTGAGGTGGGCGGCGGGGCGGGGGCGGGGCTGGGGAGGTGTTGTGGGGCCTGGGGGGAGGAAAGTGAGGGGTGGGGCTCATGTGGGGTTTAGGTAGGGTTGGGTGGTACGGCAGGCCGCCATTGACAGTACTGCTGCTGCTGCAGTGCTGATGCTCATGAAAGCCCCCGCCTTGTTTCCTTTCCTCATCCTCTTCCTTCCACTCTTTATACCCCACCGAATAATGCAGCCAAATGCGGAGTATGTAACCCTATTAAACCCACCCAACCCCACTCTCCCACCCCCACCCCCACCCCGCCAGGTGTCTGCTGCACCACTACGGCTCCTACGACGCCTGTCCGCCCGTCATCTCCGCACGACTGCTGGAGTTGGAGGACGTCGTACAGGGGGAGGCCACCCGCCGCCGCTGGCGCTTCCTATCGCACCTGCCCCTCACCGGCGCCTTCAAGCTGTGTGAGCTAGCCATAGGCGAGCTGCTGCCGGCGGAGGCGTTGGCGCCGTTTGCGGAGGAGCTGGCGGCGCGGGAGAAGCGCCGCCGCCGCCAGCGGGCTGACGAGCGACGGCAGGCGGCGGCGGAGGCGGCGGCGGCGGCGCGCGCGGCGGCGGCTCGGCTGGGACCGAGTGCGGAGGAGCTGCAGGCGATGCCGTCGCTGAGTCAGGCGCTGGCGGGGGCCTGCAGCGGCGGACTGGGAGGAGGAGGCGGTACGGCGGTTGGCAGTGTGGTGGCGGCGGCGGGCGCGACGACGGCGGCGTTGGCGCGGGAGGTTCAGTTGACGGCATCGGAGGTGGCGGAGAGCATTGCCATTCAGGCGTCACTGGAGGAGGCGGCGGCGGCGGCGGCAGCAGGCGGCCAGGGTGGTGGTGGTGGCGGCGCTGGAGTGTCCTTTGCGCGGATCACCAAGATGGGGTTCGCGGCGACGGGTCCCGCGCTGGGGAGCAGTCCGCCGCCGCTGGGCGCGTCGGCGGCGCCGTCGGGGGCCTGGGGCGTGAAGGCCGCAGTTGGAGGCGCCGCCAGCGTCTTGGGAGGAGCCGGCGGCGGTGGCGGTGGTGGCGGCGGCGGAGGAGGAGCTGCTGCCGGCCCGACCCCCAGTAGTCCCTGGGGTCTGGGCGGTGGCAGCGGCGGCTCCTTCCCCGCCTCCTCAGGAACTGGTGCGGCAGGTGTTTGGGGCGGTGGTAAGGGCGGTGCCGCGATCAAGGCAGCTGTGGCGGCGGGCGGCGGTGGTGGCAAGGCGGCGGGTGGGGAGGGTGAGGCTTCGAATGCGAGCGGCGGCGGCAAGAAGGGCAAGGCGGCCAAGGGCATGCTGTTGTTTAGCACGGGCAATGCGCGCAAGTTTTGAAAGGCGGCAGGGCAGGCAGGGAGCTGCTAGGTACAAGATTGCTGAGCTGCTGATCAATGACTGGGGTTGTTAGACAACTTGATAGGATGGGGTGGGCCGCAGGAATACAGGCATACGCGGTAGCAGTGGGTTGTCTGGTTGTCTCAGCGCGACACACGAGGATGAGTTACGTAGGTGTTGGGTTGCTGCTAGCTGTGGAGTCCAATGTGCTGCCTGCTGTAGGGTTTAATGCCGGGAGGCGCCACATTCGCTTTGTGATGCCCATCATAACACCACAGTCAAGTAGTGATGACAGGAACAGCGGCAGGAACAGCGCCGTTTAGCCCCTATTGGCCAGCTGTTGGTGTGCTCGTGCGGGATGTTGCAGTTTGGCTCTGTAGCGCCTGGACGTCCTGTTTACGGTTGCACGAATGGATGACGTCATCGCACTTACCAGTACTAGACGTGAAACCGTGTAGGGAGCGGTGTAGGGGATTAGATAAACTGAGCCGGTGTAGGGGAGGAACGCGCGGAAAAGCAAAAGCCGTCGTTAGCATGTCGGTGCTAGCTCGTGTGATGTGGGCCGGGCCCCTAGTGGCTCTAGCCCCCGAGATGTGGGGGGCTGTTGCTGTTGAACACTTGACCATTCCCACTAGAGGTGCCCTGCAGGGGCGCAGGGTACCCAAGATACGGTTCACGGACTGGGCGCGCGGTGTGAGTCTTTGCATGTTGCGCCTTGGCACAGCTGCATTCTTGATTGTTGGCGGTTTGCAACTTGTTGCTAACCGGTACCATAGGTAAGTGTACTCCCTCCCTCTGGTTACACAGCTCGGACGTGTTGTGGTGCCAGGCAGCCCTGAAGGTCGCCGGTTCCTTCCTGTGGCTTGAGCATACACCGGTACATCTACGGCTCAACTAAAGACGATCCTCCACGGGCTCTTCTTGTCTTGAGCATCATCCATGCCAAAGCCCCGTCCCATTGCTCAGGCAAACAGGCAAGCCGTTCAGTAAGCAGAATCTTCAACCTGCCCCAACACACCAAAACCTTGTCCAGCGAGACCCCTCGCGCCCTCGTCCCCAGCGAGAGTCTCACGCCTCAACCAACCTACAACAACTCGTTGGCTTCCTCTTCTGCCCGGTAACTAACATCCATATCGCCACAGCGTCACACCACAGCGCGCAGCAATGCATTACGCCCATGTAACTGCCCTAACTTTTTTGTTATGTTATATAAAATTGCCTCAAACCTCCCGACCGCTTCACCACAGCAGGCAACGGTGCCTGACCGGCGCGGCACGCCATACGTGCCTCCGCAGCGTTGTCACAACCATACAACGTCCCTAACCCCCGCACTTGCTGCCTCACCTACTCTATGCCACCGGTCAGGTACAGCAGCGCCCTTAGCAGCACGTCTACGCTCAACAATCGGCCGGCGTCCGCGACAGTGGCAGCTGCATTGCGTATTTGTATGCGCGGAAAAAAAAGGAACGCCCACTGCCCCCAGGCATGTGCCGCTTCGTGACCCCTGGGTCACCCAGCATCTTCGTCTAACCGCTTCGTCTGACCGCTCATAACTAATTAACTGGAATCAACAGCCCCCCCCCCCGAGCGTCCCTCAACCCTCCCGCTACAGCAACTGGCCAACCCGCCCATGCGCAGCTGTCCTTACAAGAAGGAGATGTCGTCCTCCGACTTAAGCGGCCCTCGCTCCTCATCCTGCTCCTCGCCTGGCAGCGCGTATCGCCGCCCTGTATGCTTCTCCACTGCCTTGCGGACGCGCTCAAAGTTGAGGTTGAGGTCCGGGAACAGACCCTCAAATACCTTGCCGGCCGCAAGCGCCATGAGCATGTCCTCCGAGCCCATCTTGCTCTTGCCGTGCCACTTTGCGAAATCTGACGCTGCTGCAAGCACCGAAGCCGCACCGTTGGAGAACTTCATCTCCGTGACGAAGCTGCGCGGCTTCAGACCGTCGCAGACGTTCAGAGCCCAGAGGACCTCGTTCCATGCGCCGTATAGGTCTTCAAGACCCAGCTTTTTGAGGATCTGTGCCGCACTGCAGTTTTCGTACTTGAGAATTCCCAGCAACAACATCCAGGCGTGCACCTCGTATGTCTCAGACGCGCGCGCCAGGTTAAGGGCATAGCGAACGATAGCATCTACCGCTGCGTTTGCACCAATTTCCTCCTCCTGTTCCTCAATTGCCGCTGCTGCTGCACGGGTGACCAATGTCCCGGGGCATCGCCGTATGTTGTTAGGCTCCATTCGGCTGGCAAGCACCGATGAGGTGTAGTCGGGTCGACTGGATGATCCATGAGGAATTGAACGAGATGCGGCTATAACTGGGCATCTACACACGCTAGTAATGAAGGTGGAGGTGGGCCTTGCCCCGGCCACCCGCGGGGCAAGGGTATTCATTTTAGTGGTGCAAAAAAATTCAGGGCAGCGCAGCTCCCAACAACTCCTTGTGATCTACCAACAATAATAATTTGCATACAACGGAAATGTGCATGGCAGCTCGAGTAGCAATCAGAATGAGCTGGAGCGGCGCCGTACGTGCCTCTGCTGGCCTATTCCCTCAAGCTGACCCCTTTGTCGATGACGCTATACGTAGCACTCGTTTCTGACGGGTAGGATTAACGCACTGAATTGGTTCCGAAGAAGGGTTGCCACTGTAGGGAAGCATGGGCAAGTCTCGGGGTGGCAAGTACCATTCAAAGGGCAAGCCTCGCAGAGGCCCTGCGGAGGAGGAAGAGGGATCTGAAGAGGAGGAGTATGAGCCGCAGCGCGGCATAGGTGCGTCCCTCAGATCGCTAGGGCCGCGGAAGTCATTAATTACTAGCCTGGATCTACAGTACATTTATGAGGATGCTATCTGTTTTATGTCTAGGCCTTACAGAAGCATTTGGCTCTGTTGAACAGCTGCTGGCCTTCAGGACTCACGACCTGTTCACGGGCATGTGGCAGGACTGCTTCTAATAGTCCTTACTTGCCTGCCACGCTTTGCTTCACAGGTGCCCAGCGTGCAAATGTGGGCATGCTGCCGCCCAGCGACAGCGAGGACGAGGAGGGCGAGCCAGCTGCCAAGCCCGCTGCTAAGGCCACAGGCGAGGCGTCCACGTCACAGCCCGCGGCGGCCAGTGGCGGTCAGGGCAAGAATGCGGGAAAGATGCCCCCCAGCGATTCTGACGAGGAGGGCAGCGGCAGCGATGACGACAGCGATGACGACCCCACGCCCGAGTACCTGAGGGCCGCACCAACAGCACGCAAGAAGTGGGTAGCCGGGGCTCGTTCGCGTGACGAAGCTGGATTACCAAGCCCCTTTTGTTTATCGCGCCATACTCCTTCGCCCTGCTTTAAACCCACGTTGAGCTTACCGGTGTACATGCATGCCCCACCTGTAGACACATGATTGTTGGCATTCTTGCTAGCGGCATGGTTAGTATTGAAGAGCTGTCAGGCTGTGCGATGCCCCAATCGTGCGACACGTTGCGACTCGACACGCGAGACACACGCGGTTCCAATCACGAATATTACGGGTCCCAGCCTGTTCGGATGAGATACTACTGCTGCTGGTGCCATCACACCCGCCCCTCGCCCCAACCCTGGTGCCCCTGCACCACATGTAACAACACCCTGCCTGCGTACCAGCTAGCTCTGCATCCCCCACATGCTGCCCGCGACCACTGCCCGTTCCGCGCTGGGGCCACGTAAACGCGGGGGGCAGGGCCCCGACGTCATGCCTGTAGAGCCGAGCCGCCACCAGCTAGCTCGCACATACCCAGCACCACGCTGAGCCCCGACAGCATACCCGACTGCGTTTCCCCGTTTCCATCCTCTTCTCGGGTGGGTTGCACATGTTCTTCTTTCCCTTTCTTTTCCCCCCGCCCCGCCCACTTCCCCCTCACTGTTCATTTATTCCTCGCCCCCTCTTTCTTGCCCCTCCCCCTCCTCACAAGGGAGCCCGAGGTGGAGCCTCGCTCCGAGGAGCAGGTTCGCAAGGACCTGGAGCGGCTGGAGCTGATCCGTAAGAAGAGGTGAGGCGCGGGGCGGGGCGGCGCGGGGGGTAGAGAGGAAACAAGAGGAACTGACCGTGTGATAAGGCGTCATCATGGTTTGGGGCGCCGCGGTGGGAGACTGGGGGTAAAGAGGAAACACTGGGGGTGGTCGGTGGAAGGGTGGGGAGAAGAGGACTGGTGGTGGCTGGGTGTTGATGCTGGGTAGGCTAGATACCGGTAAGAGTGTCACCGCGTGGTGTAACCGGTCTGGCGGGACGGGACAGGAGGCGGGGTGACACGGGACGGCTTCCAACTGGCCCACCTGTGTAGCGGCAGCTGACATGCAGCTGACGTGTGCACAACTGCTGCGTGATGTCGCTCGTCTGACGCAGGGAGGAGGACCGTCTGAAGCGGATAGCGACGGAGGGCTGGGACCGCTTCGCGCCCGTCTCGGAGACCAACAAGCCGTAAGTGTTGGGGGGACAGGCAGTGGGGAAAAGTATAGATAAATGCATCCGTGGGGAGGGGGAGTTGCGCGCCGGGGGGAATTGCCTCTGGGTTAGGTTACGGTTTACGGGTGGGGGGTACCCTTTTCATGGCAGGGGGGCAGCTGGCTGGCTGGTGTCAGCAACTGTTTTTGTAATCCCAGTACTTTGCGTCTTTGCGTGTTACGGTCGAACAAATCGATGCAACTGCCGTAGACAAGGCGCCTTCTTAAGCCTTCACCGATGTTCCATGCCTTATCACATGGCTTCTTGCCATTTGCTGCTGCAGGCCCGGCCACGTCCCATCCGACCACCCCAGCAAGCAATAGCCTTTTTGGCTGTCTTAGGCTGGTTTCCTTTAATGTGCGACACCATGCCTTCCTCACTGCTGGGTAGTAGCTGTGAAATACGGTGGTAGCTGATGGTAAGCTAATGGCGACAGGTCATAATACTGTATCGGTGGCAGGTGGCGTTAGTTGCTATTCAATCGAAATCCCAAACGAGTAACTGCCAGTTAAATTGTAATACACGCCTATGGGCTGTGCAGGCATGTGATGTGTCGTAAACGTTGTTGACGTGGAGCTTACTTTCCAAGGCGGGCAGGGTATAGTTCGTCACGCTCGAGTCAGTATTGTAACAATGGTGACAGTTTGGCTCCGCCAGTTCTCGCCCTGCCCCAACACGACAGCAGCGCACACATGACCACCGCCATGACAAACGCAGCCAGGCATGTCGACCCCTCACGCGCGTACGAAACAGCCCTCATTCGTTTTACTTGTTAACGTATTAAACCCTGTCTACCTACCTAAATCACGGCATGTTAACAGACATAGCTGAACCCACATCACGCAGCCCTCGTATAGCATCCAAGCACTCCAGTCAATAAACGAGTCCTGCAGCCTTGTTGTTCAAGAGTTCCGTCTCAAACCGCCTCCCGACGGAATCCCGTAGGCCCGGCATATTCTCCACCTCCCCACATGGACGCAACATACGTCTCCTTGCTCTCCTACACTACCACACTAGAAAGCCATCCATGGGCCCCAAACCACCGTGCCCGTAACCAACAGGCAACGACTGTTCGTCATGGCTCCCAAAAATGGCACAAAACCGTTGCACATTGGCAAATACCTACCTCCCCAGCAAACCACGAGTGTACCACCCTCTGTCTCGAGCTGCCAAACCCGCCAGACAGACACAATGTCACCTGCCGCAACACGCGCAGTGAAACAGATGTACCAAGGTTAAGACGCAAAGGCCCTATGCGGGTATAAAATCTCTCCGACCCAAATCAGTCGGAATCCCTAGTGCGTGGACTAGGTCGTCCCGACACAGCCCTGGGCCGACAACCTGCGTTCAAGCACCTCCCCACAAGCTACAAGGCAGACGGCCAAAACAGCGGATACCCAAAGACGGGCAGCAATGAGCGGTTTCCCCAGGCATCCTTAATTAGTTAACCAAGATGCCGAGCCAGTAAACTGTTGCTTCCCCTACATGTCTTCCTGTAAGCGCCTGCAAACAGCCCACTGAAGCCCCACCGCTCCTGCCCTTGCACGCCCTACCCTGCTACTCCCGCCGCTTTCCAAATCCAACCTACTAATAAGTACACAGCTCTGGCCTCCATGCGGCTCTTCTCATCATACCGCAACCATCCATGCAGCGCAATCCCCGCTGGCGTGCTGCTGCTGCTGTTGCTGCTGCCGCTGCACCACCATCGCGCCTGCTGCTGGAAAGCTGCTTACGGCACGTTCGCCAGGGCCTGCTCCAGATCCGCCCACACGTCCTCCACATCCTCAATGCCAATGCTGAACCGCACCAGGTTTTCCTTGATGCCAATCTGCGCACGGCGCTCCGGACCAAAGCCCCAGTACGACTGTACAGCAGGCATCTCTATCAAGCTCTCCACGCCGCCCAGGGAGGGCGCAATGTACGGCAGCTTGACGCCGTCGATGAAAGTGATGGCCTCCTGCAGCCCCCCGCGCACCTCAAAGCTGACCACGCCGCCAAAGCCAGTCATCTGACGCTTGGCGATGGCGTGGTCTGGGTGGCTCTCGAGGCCGGGGTACCACACGCGGTCAATCTTGGGGTGTGCGGACAGCCGGCGCGAAATCTCCATGGCCGAGGCGTTGTGCCTCTCCACACGGAGCTGCAGCGTCTTGAGGCCGCGCAGCAGCAGGTAGGCCGCGTGCGGGTCAACCACACCACCCATGATGTGGTGGAATTCCCGAACCTTCTGGACGAGCTCGGGCTTGCCGCAGAGAGCACCTGCGAGGACATCGTTGTGGCCTGCCAGGTACTTGGTTGCGGAGTGGAGGACCAGGTCCGCGCCCAGAGCGAGAGCGTTCTGGTTGATGGGGGTGGCAAAGGTGCTATCGATGCAGACTGCAGCGCCCTTGGCGTGGCAAAGGGCCGAGATGGCCGGGATGTCGACACATCGGAGGTAGGGGTTGGTAGGCGACTCGGAGAAAAACAGCGTCACGTTGTGCTTATCCAGGGCTTCCTGCAGAGCCTCCAAGTCGTTGGGCTTAATCACGCTGACGCCGACGTTCATCTTAGGCAGGAAGTTCTGCATGAATTGCCGCGTGCGCCAGTAGCAGTCAGACGTCGTCACGATGTGGCCTCCAGAAGGCACAAGTGACAACAGCATACTGGTAACAGCGTTCATGCCGGAAGCTGAGATCAGGCAATCCTCGGCACCCTCAAGCGCCTTGATCTTAGCCTCGCATGCCTTGGAGGTCGGATTGCCATATCGCCCATACTCAAAAGAGTCGAAGCGGCCCTCGTTGTACTCGATAAGTTCTGCCGTGTTACGGAAATGGAACGTGGAAGTCTGCACGATGGGCGTAGTCAGCGCGTCGGCTACGCGAGGCCGGCCGGCGCGCTCGCCGCCATGGACAGACGTTGTGGAAAGCTTAGGGGTCTGCAGGAAGCTATGAGTAGGAGCCCCGTTGCTGCTGGGTGCCAGAGGAGCCTCCACATCCTTGGCCGCTGTCCCGCACTCCACGCCGCCCAGAGAGACGCTAGAAGGCCGCCGGCGATGGAAAGCTGCCTGCCGTAGATGCAGCCCGCTGCGTGCAGCTGACCTAAGAGATGCTGGAACAGGTGACCGCATAGAAACGGCCGCGGGCATGTCCGCGGCCGAAACGTGACAGAGACCCTTGGCGCCCAACATCCCGAAACTAAGGTTGGCTGCTCGACAGTAACAGGCGCACCGAAAAGAGTGTAAGCAACCTTACTATATTCTACTAACAAAAGCCTACTTGATGGTCAAGGTTTAGGGCGCGTGTACAACGTGTCTCAGTTGCGATTTGGGTTGCATACGGCAGCGTGCGCGTTCCCTATCCATCTAATGCTACAGGTATTCACCAGTACATATTACGTGCGTTGGAAAGTGTGAGGTCTATGAAATCCTCCCTGAGCAGCATGTCCATTTTGGATGGGCAAGGGGAAAGCGACACACGACGAAATATTAAAATGGTCAGAGCTTACATGATGAAATAAAGTCCTTGTGGACAGCAGAAGCTAGAAAGCAGTCGCTTGCACAAGACTGTTGCAGCCCGGGTCTGAAAACCCTGGTGTCAACGCCGTCTCCCTGCACATGACCGAGAAGCACGCCACCAACGTTTGTTACAAATCATGTCGCCGCAAATATGGTTGACGGGGGTTCAAGGTTTGGTCACAAACACGGCAAAGGTATTGCCAACCCCGGAGCTCGTGGAAACTTGGCATTGGCGATTAGCACTGGAAAGCCGCAAGGTCCTCTGCTGTAGAGTACATGTCAAGAGAGCGCTGCGCTGTGACGGAGGCAACGAAGAACTTCATTACCGCCGCAGCGCAGCGTTCACCCAAAGCAGGATGCCATGCAAAGACATGCCCATCTTTGCCTACTGCACCGTTGGTCCATAGTGGCACACCACGCCAGCTGATGGAGTACAAGTAACTCCCTACTGGACATGCCCTGGATTGGCCGGGTTTTTGTGTATTAGCACCTACGACGCATCAATCCTCGGCCCGTGGGTCACAAAGCTTTGAGACAATTAGTCGTGCTGCCACCACTACAATCGCCGTGCTGGCAATATAAGTGAAGTGGAACGTAATGGCTTATGGGTCTGGGGCGTGCTCTTGTGCCTTGACCACAAGGGTCTCCTCTGGAACCGTCAAGTGAGTGTCGTCGTACTGTCTGGCCATCAGGCCATGCATCGATGCATGCAAAGGATCCGATTCCCCTCGTACGCCGCTGGTTCTTTGGTGTATTCTTTACTGTCGTGTGCTGCTTACGTCTACGCTGACCACTGCTGCAAGTACTGAGCTGCCGGCAAACTGTTCCAGCAGATTCACACAAGCGCGCCCGGTTCCTTATAACATGGAAACGTGTAATACGTGTACAATGGGCATGCCGGGAGCGCTCTAAAGAAACGGTAATCAGGACGTGCCGACGTTCGGACGTCGTCGCCAGATGTATGCGATTCCTCATACTTAAAAACGAACATAAAATGTTCTAGTATTACACCTAAAGCAAATTACATATTGCGCTTGTAAAATACCTTTAGTCGCAAAGGTGAAGAAATTGTAACTGCTGCACTGTGGTCTGAAATTACTTCAAAGCCAGTTCCAAGGAATTATCTAGGCAGGGTTGGCTTAACTCTTGAAGCTTATTAAGCTCTGGCGTCGGGGCCAGGGCCGCCGCCGTGAGTTTAGCATTTAACATGGCGCGGAGCCAGCCCATCCTATTCGAGGACGTCTTCGACGTCCGTGATAAGGATCCTGATGGCAAGAAGTTTGACAATGGTGAGGTTATCGGTCTGCAATGGAGCTGCCCTTCGCGCCCTTACGCCGCCTACATCGTCGTCCTCGCGCTGCGCAGTTTCCCGCTTCGTGTGCCGTAGCGACCTCTACGAGATGGAGCTGCATATAGACATTAACACGGAGCTGTTCCCGCTCCAGGTGAGGCAACCGGACTCGCGTGTTTCTCTCCGCGCCTCCTTTACCTCGACGCAGCAGTTATAGCGCCCGTCCCACATTCCCTTGCTTCCTCAGCCTCTCGGCACATCCTAGCAGCAAAGCAATCACTTGCCCCTGGCACAAACCAGCCCCGCTCACCCATGCGCCCCTGCTGCTGCCGTACCGCATCCTCTGCGCTCGCAGCGAAATGACAAGTTTAGCCTGGTGCTCGCTTGGACGCTAAACCTGGACGCTACGCCAGGAAGCGAAAAGTACGACGCGGTAAGTCGTACGGCCCTGGTTATAGTGAAGGGGCGGTGGGGATCGGACAACGGCGTAGGCGGCATGGGTTGTGCGGATGTGCGCTATCCAGGCTGTAGTGTGGAGGGGAGACGACGGGGGCAGCCCGGTGCGGGATGGAGTGGGGTGGCTCTGGGCTGAGAGCGGTGCCGCCCTCCTGGCAGGGTGGAGCGATCGAAGTGAACGCCGGGGAGGGGAGTGGGAGTGGGCCGAGTAAGGCGGCTGACCCTGGTGGTTGCGCATGCGCAGCCAGGGGTGCAGGGGAAGTCGGAGGAGCGGCGGCGAGATGCTTTCTGCTGCTCACTGGACCTCGTTTCCGTTTCCGGTGGTTGGGTGGTGGTTGGGGCCTGGGGCTTGGCACGTCGGTGCTCGTTGTTGTGGGCTCGTTGGTGGCAACGCTGTTGCCTTGACAGGGGGCCGAACGGCCCGGACGGTCAGCTACATGACGACCCACGCACGTAATTGACTGCATGGGGCATGCCCCTGCCTGACCCACTAGCTGCTCCATGTGCATTGCATGCATACCGGCAGCGCCTTCCGTTGCCGGGCGTTATCGTTGCCACAGCAGGGTCCATGTGGGTCGTGTCTGGCGCCTGTTGTTTGTTGGGGTAGAATGCGGACTTGACTGCCCTGACCGTCCTCCTTGTTTTAACCACCTCGTCTCGTTAACATCAATCTTGGCGCTGACGGGTGTCACTCGATGATGGATGTCAACAGGAGTTTCCGGCGATCAGCGGGCGCCGTACGCTGATGGACAACTACGATTACGTGATGTACGGCAAGGTGTTCAAGTACAAGGACAACAACACCAAGGTGCGCTCGGTGTTCGCTGCGTGCACCATCATCATCATCGACATCATTCCTTCTTAGCATGACGGCTTTACTTTTGAAATTATGTTGGTTTTTGTGTGACTGCGGGCTCGCGCCCCTAGCACCACCTCAATATGAATTCCGGACACGTCCCTGATCCTCCATCCGTGCGTGCTCCACCTCTCATCCTACCCCATGCGCGAGCATCTCCTGAAACCGTTGCCTCACCGCTCCCTCCCTTGCTAACCCTTGCTGCTGCTGCTGCTGCCCCCCTCACCACGTTCCTGGCGTCCTAACATGTCACCCCTCTCCCTCACCTCTGCCAGGTGGAGGTGTTTATTTCCTTCGGCGGCCTGCTCATGAAGCTCGCGGGCGACCCCACCAAGCTGGAGCCCATCGAGGTGGACAACAACGTGTACCTGCTGCTCAAGAAGCTGTGAGCGGTGGGCCGCAGGCGGGAGGCGGGGCGGTGTGGAAGGGGGCCAGGGCAGGGCGGCTGGGAGAGGGCAGCAGGCAGCAGGCGATGTGAGGAGTAGACCGTCAGGGCTGGTCTGCGTGTGTCGGCCGCGCCGGTGGTTGGAGCAACGCTTATGTTGGCGGCCTGTTGGTGGGGGTTATTAACATTAAACTGGGCTGCCGCAATGCATGGGAGCCATGAGGCCGCAGCAGCTGCAAGGATGACACATGCGCACCGCAATGGGGACCAACAGGGCAGTCGTGCATGTATTACTGCTGCCGCATTGCCAGCCACATGAAGCCCCAGGCCCCAGGCTTGCGGTTGCGAGTTGACAGCAGCCTTACTTACCGATACATCGTGGTATGCTGCAAGTGATATGGCAGCGGGAGGATGGATGCCATGGCTGAAACACCTTTGGCCCTCCCGTTGTTGTGAGGAGGAGGGCGTTACCTGTTGTCTGGCCTGGTGGGTGGTGGATGCCTGGGCGTGTCGCATAACTCCGCTCCTCAAGCATGAAGAGGTTGGCAGACGGGCGGCAGTGAACCGTTGCTTGACGCACAACCCTTGCCTATCATGTTGCGTGTGAGATGAGGGTGTAGAAGAGATGAGTGGGGGCGAGACATCAGAGCCAGACTGACATGCTGACGAAGCAGCAGCAGGTCCGTACAGCTCTCCGTGGGTCACCGCGCAGAAGGGCGGTAAGGGCGAGAGTGCACGCATGGTGGTATGCTTTTCTTAACCAGGGCCCTTGCAGACGATGCTTAGTGTGTGTGTGGAAGCTGGTGATACGGTAGTGGTTTGGTCTTGCGGAATGTGGGCTCTGACACTTTACCCAAGGAGGGGAGGCTACCGGTAGCCATACATGGCGTTGCGTTGTGGGGTATGGAAGTCGACGTGGCACGACGGTGCGTGTGTCGGTATTGAGCAAGGTTAGGAAGCGAGGATTACACTGGAGGAGCAACCAGTAAGGAGTCCGTACTGGCCAGTCGTTAGACGTACATTCCAACAGAGCGTTGACCGCCCTACCCCAGGGGGCACACCAGGCCCGACAGCAAGGTAAGGCACTTTGGACTTCTCGGATCCTGCTCGGACCTGCACCTTTCCTAGGGGAACAGTAACAGGAGCAGACTGTTTTGCAAAAGGTTCCATCTACGGGCTTGTGCTTGCTGAGAGTACTGTACTACCGCGAAGCGCCTGCTGCTTTGCCAGCTCTGCTTTGCGGGCCCTGGTGTGCCTTGCCAGCACACACATGCGATTACATACATATCAACTTACTACTACGGGCCTTAGGCCCGGTCGTTTTACGAGAGTGCTTCTTACGTCATACATACTCTCAGCACCAGTACTGGACTTCTATATCTACAAACGCTACCATATTCCTCGGCTCCTGCGACGGTTCTGTGGGGACTTCATCTTCCGACAATATCAGTACGTTCCTACTCGCGGCCAGTTTTCTTAACACATGCGATTGAGTTGAGTGACAGCTACAGTGAATGTTGATGTTACAGGTGCAACCGCTAGGAAGGGCACGGCAATGCCACTAGAGTCAACCGTTGGACATAGATAGGGGTTGAGCTGGCCGTATAATTCCTTTACCCAAAGTGAATGCACATCCCACCCGGGGTCAACAATTAGTCAACGCCTGTAGCCCTCGGCCGTCAGCCACTGTCAAATGCAGTCAATAATAGTTCCAGCGCAAACAACGATGACGACAGTCAAATACGGCCTTGGTACGGCAACTACAAAAAACACCACGTGTCTGGAAGCAAACATTGGGATGCTTAAACACACATTAAGGTCCAGACACACCGCAATCTGATCTTCAAGTCGGACAGTCCGTCAGCTTGCTGTCATGGAAGCGCATGCTGTTGCAATGTCGTATTGTTGGACACCCTTGTTTCTAGGGCTTGCAAAGCCAACCAAAATGCGAATGCAGCGGAAGCTGACACACCACAACCCAACAGCCGCTTGCTCGCCGTACACGACCTCTGCAAAGAGGTCTTGTGTTAATACCGGTACCGGAGCTCCCCTTGCCTCATCCCCAATGGTTTCAGGATGGCAAGGGGTCCCCCCATCACTCTACAACCCGTCTTCAGAGTCAAACAAACAAGTAGGCAGGTAATGCGCGTAAAATTACGCCCCAAAAATGAACGCAATTGGCTAATGAGGGGTCCTTGCCAAATTAGGCTAGGAAAAGGCAACAGGAAGACATGTCCTTGGCCGCCATGGCTCGTACGGCATCCGTACACGCATACGGACTGGAACTGATAATATAGCAAAACCGAACGACACGATGAAGAGGGCATATTCGAAGACCCACGGGTCCATCTTATAAAGGATTGTTCCATTAAAGGAAAAACTTATCGACTAGAGAATTAAGACCGGTAGCCCGAAAGCCACGAAGGATTGCCATTAAGTCCAAAGGAGCTAAGGGAACCCAACCATGCCAGTTAAGCGGCTGCTAAATGCCTTTCGGCAAGCTAAACGGAGGACGCTACGGGAACAACGCATTCACAAGATCAGAATATACCAGGATACATGCCATCACTGGCATCCACGCTACACATGTGTACGGTACCGTACATCAAGTGTAGGACATCGTGCTTAAGATTAAGATACTAAGAAGGTCTTCATCAACAAAAACTCCGCACACTGTAGACATGCGTAGCCATTATATACCCTTTTCGCGCCTTATGGAACATATTAACCTTAATTCGCCTTAACATATTAACCAGGAGCTAATCGTAAACAACAGCCGCAATTTACTCCTCGCAGTCATATGTACAGCACCGAGACGTCGTACAGTCCTTCGGCAAAGGAACGTCATCAGTCACATACTTCCAAAGTCGACTCCAGTTGGTGTCAGCGTTTCCAACTTCACCAGGTTTGTACGACGACGTAACCAACAGCAACTAGCAGCAACCGAACGGATCAATAGTGACCCTTAGGAACTAAGCGCCGCTCATCACAAGTACAGCACAGGTTGTACAACATCGCCATCCTCTGCGGCACGCCTGCGGGCAACATGCCCGGCTCTTAAATCTGTGCGGATCGGGTCGGCCAGGAAAACCGACCCATGGGTCTGGGCCCGCAGCCTATAAAACCACTAAAACCCTAGATTGTCCGCTTAATCCAATCTTAACATGTCAACAATGCAATGGCTGCACCACTGTTGCCGCTACCATTCATGCCGCGCCTAAACCTTGTAACCTTTATGCGCCTGACTCATTATCATGCGCTTACTTTGGAACAATACCAAAGCTACTGCTATCAAATCGCGCCGCCTGCAGAGATTGTAGCAGAGGCCGACCGCACAAAAGAGCCGCCGTACAATCTATCCAATCCAAGACCCATTCCGAGTCCCAATCCCATGAGCGTGTCATCGTCCTCCACTGCGCCGCCTGAACTGCCACTGCCACTGCCTCCACTGCCTAAACCCATGCCCTGATCATACGGGAAGCCACCCTCAGATGCCGCCATACCCATTGCGCCATGCATCTGATATGCATGCTGCTGCATGTGTTGCTGCTGCTGGTACGGGTACCCGCTGTGGGCTTGGTGGTGCTGGGAGAGGTTGTTGTTTGCGTGGGCGGACTTAACGGGGGTGCTTGGCTCGCCGGTTGTCACGAGTTGTTGACCGTTGTTGCAACCAGAGGTTGTCGTACCAACGACGTTGCCTGCATTGGGGGCTCCCGTAACAACAACCGCGTCTAACGGATGTTGCTGCGGTTGCTGGGGTGGTTGCCGTGCTGTGGGGTCCATGTAGCTGGCGGGCATGGGGTACGAGTAGACCGGCATGCCATACGGAGGTGGTGGGTACGGCATCATGCCGTGGCGTGCTGCGACACTCTGTGGCGAGGGAGACGGGTGTACGAGGGGATGCGGGACGCTGTGAGGCAAGGGGTTTAAAGCTAGGAGGAGACTGAAACCCATTTTGCGGCTGAACGACTAAACACTAAACAGGAAGGCAGTGCCGATGCAGGTTGTGTAACAAGCCGTTGCAGAGCCCCCTACCTAGCCTTGCCGCCTCGCCCCAATCTGGCAGCAACGCTTACCGGCCTGCCCGTAGGCATCTTGTAATAGCCGCCGCGAACGTGCATCGGAGGCACCATGTACGAAGGCGGCGGTACGGTCATGCCGTACGGTGCTCCCGGCGGAGCTCCGGAGTACGGCGGCGGAGGCGGCATGCCGTACAAGGAAGCGGCGGCTGGCCCAGATGGGCCTGATGGTGACGTGAGGCCCCCCCGCCCCAGTGCCTGCTGTTGTTGCTGTTGTGCTGTGGTAGTGGCGGCGGCATGTGGGTGGGTGAGGTGATGGGGGAGAGGCGGCGGGTAGCAACCCCCCGGGGATCCGTACAGGCTGGAGTATATCTGGTGCGGTTGCTGGTGGTGCTGGGGCTGCGAGGGCAGGGAGGACTCCTGCTGGGCCGCCACCGATGCCGCTGTTGCTGTCAGCCGCTGTTGCTGCTGCTGCGGATGTTGCAAGAACTGCTGCTGCTGTTGTTGTTGCTGCTGCGGCTGCTGGCCATTGCCATTATCGGTCTGCGGGAGAGAGCATAAGGCCCCAGATGTGCCTCCCATCGGAGGCGGGGCCAAACCGTTGCTTGCGTCCTGCTGTGGCCGGGGGGCCATGCTGGGAGCCTGCGGGTGTTGCAGCTGCGGCATGTGGCTCAGATAGTAGTCGCCGCAGTAGCTGCCACCAGCACTTGTGTTTAGCGCGTGTACTTCGTAGGATTGGAGGTGGTGGTGTTGGTGGTGATAGGGGTGCATGTGGGGAGGTAGCAGCATGTCTTGCTGCTGCTGGGGATGCTGCTGCTTGGGCTGCAATGAGGCTTGCAGTGAGTCTAGAGGATCCAGCGGCTCTTGCTTGACGTCCACATAGGCATGCTGTTGGTTGGTGTTGTTGTTGTTACCGTTGTTGTTGTTGTTGCCGGTGTCGCTGTTGCTGTGCTGCTGGAGCTGTTGAAGGTGGTGTTGCAGCTGGGGGTTGTGTTGGTGGTGTCGTTGCAGGGCTTGCAGGGTGCGCTGAAGAGGCTGAGGAGGAGGCGGGCCAGGAGAGAGGGGGTGCTGCTGGCGCGACTGGGAGGCGGAGGAGGAATCTTGCAGGGACTGCTGGGGCGGTTGCTGGTGGTGTAATAGGACGTCAGCTGCTAGTCCTGCCATAGCCTCTTGGGCGCAATCTGCCGCTACCTGAAACACAAACATGGAAAGAGAGAAGCGTTAGGTTAAGGCGAGGAAGTGATGGTAAGAGCAGAAGCGACACATGATACAGCACGGCAATAAAGGAAACCCGCTTCTGAAGAACCAACCGGAACGGTTTCATTCCATGGCTTACAAGGACTGCGACGATATGACCCTCATCCCCCCGCCGTCAAGCCTCTTCTTTCACATTGGTCGCTTACCTCTGCAGCGGTCTCCTGGGCCTCAATAAACGTCGCCAGGTCCATGGCGTCCGCCATCGACAGGTAATCCGTACCATCGCCGCCGCCGCAACTGCCGTACTCCCTTCCAAAGTACCCCGCCAGAGACAGCCCGCCGTCTTGCTGATGCGCCGCCAGCTCAGCAGCGGCGGCGACCGCCGCCGCCGCGGCGACGGCGACGGAGGCGCCTCCGTCGGAGCCGCCGCCGCCGCCGGGACGTGTAATTATCGGCGACGGCACAGAGTCGGGTCCGCCGGAAAGGATGCCGTACACTTCAAGGATGCCTCCGCCGGCGACGGTCATGTTGCTTTCACCGCTGCTGCCGGCGCGGAGGCCGTTGCTGATGCGGCCTGCGATACGGATAGTCAGAGACACATGGCGGGAACGGAAAGAGGATTCAGAGGGTGCGTGATGGTAGATATGCAATGGGGAGTGTATATGTGATGATAAAAGCGAAAGCAAGCCGTTTGGTTAGTCCCATCTTGTATACTAATAGCCGCAAAGCAAGTTATACGTTGCACGCAATGTGTTGCACAGTTCTCAGACGTCTCACCGTTAGATACTTTTGCCATGCCCTGCTCATCGCCGGTCCCGTACTGCTCATAGGGTGCCGGCCAGAGCATAGCGATGCTAGCCGGCGGTTCCCTAACGACGGGGACACCGCCACCGTCAGCTCCATCGAATTGTGGACCGCCGTCAACGTCGTCGCCGCCGCCACACCCACTCTCAGCTAGCACCGCCACTGGCGGCATCACTGCATCCGCCGCTAGCGGCGCCGCCGTCGTCGGAGCCAAGGAGCAGTTCACCATGGCTGCGGCGGCGGCGGCCGCCAGCGCTGCACCCCTGGCTGCGCCACCTCCGTCTCCGCCTTCTGATACAACCCCAACAGCCGCACCTTCCTCCGCAACTGGCTCCAACTTGACGTGCTTCCGAACCGGAGAGGAAGACCAAGGGACGGCGGCGGCGGTGGCCGCAATGCTTTCGGTGGCGGCGACGGCGCCGCCGCCGCTGCCGTCGGAAGCACTGGTTGTTCCGCTGGCGCTAGCGATGGTTTCGGAGGCCTTACGCTTACGCGCGCTTGGAGTCTTGGCCGGGCCCGCAGCGGGCACCTCGAGCGCAATGCCACCGACTTTGACGTAGCAGTTGGCGTCGCCGTCAGGGTGGCCGCCGCCGGCGCCGCCCGCGGCAGCGGCGGAGGCAGCGCCGCCGCCGCTGGCGGAGCCGCTGCCGCCCTCCGCAGCCGTTGTTGCGGCAACGGGGACCGCTGCCGTACCGCGCGCCGCTCTGGCGCCAGTACGTACGACCGCCGCCGCTGGCACAACGGCGTCAGCTGCGCAGTCCGGTGCGCCGCCGGAGTTGGCTGCCGCAGCGGCGGCGGGATGGGGCTTGGCCTTGCCGCGACCGATGATCTTGATCTCGGGCCTTGTGTCGAGCGTTGCCGTACAGGTGCCGTCGACAGCTGATTGCGCGATGTAAAAGTCGACGGGCACCTCGAAATCCTCCAGCGGTACGACGTCGGGTAGTTGGCGGTACAACTCTCGTGCCTTGTCAATGGCATCGGAGCCCGCCACGTACGACTGGCGGTCAATGAGATCCGCGTAGAGCCAGAGGAAGGTACGCACCTTGACCTCGGCCTTGGCGCGGTTTGTGGCGTACCTGAAAGAGGGCGACACAGGAGGCGGAAGCGATCTTAACAAGTGTGTGGGCAGAGCCCGTGCTCAGAATGTGCCAACCGAGGCGGGGGTTCCTTAATACTCCGCAGGACAGAACCTATTGGGAATGGCGTAAGCAAATGTGGCTATGAAAGAACATTAGAGGTGTAAAGCCTTGGCACATCAGGCAGGAAAGCGTCAAGCACCAACCCAGTAAGATAACCCGGAGCCTAGAGCTGCTGCGCCAATGCAATTGGACTTACCAGCGGTTCTTGATGGTATTCTCGGGTCGCGTAGGTAGATACTTGGCCACCTCGGACCACCTGTTGCCATGAATGCTGTGCGCCAGCGCCAGTACATACTCCTCTTTCAGTGACCAAGGATCCTTGCAGATGTTTGGCCGCAAATCATTTTTCCATTTTTCGCGGCACTGCTTGCCAGTGCGACCAGGCACTTGCTTGGCGACATCTTGCCAATTAATGTTGTCGAGGTTTGAGCTTGTAGTCGAAACCACTTGGATTAGCCACTCTGATTCTTCTTGAGACCATGGCCGGCTGGCCTCCTTGCGACTTCTACCATAGTCGCTTCCGCGCTTCCGCCATGCAGAGCGTGACGACCGACCCGAACGGTGATGATCGGAGTCGCTGTCTGAGTCATCGCAATAATCGTGGTGTCGTCTACTCATCGGTCTAAAGTCCTCTGTGACCCAGTGCGCTTACGGGGATGGCCAGCCGCGACGCCTAGTTTGAGAAGTACACGAGATACGCGCCAGAGAAATGTCCTGCTATACGTTACAATAACTATTTGGAAATGGATAGCTCGATGGTATAGTAGGCTAATCAGATTAACTGGGCACTGTTCAAGCGTAGGCCGGGTTGTGCAGTAGCGGTTCCGACCCAACTGTGCCACGACCCAGTTATGCCAGTCCTCCACACAGCATGGACAAATCTAGAGCAATACTATAAAGTGTAAGCAGTCGTATCGGTCATGAATTTCTACGCTCTTGTTGCTGAGATGCAACAAAGCTCAAATGTCGAATGGAAAACGAAGCAGGTGAAGAAGTCTTAAACTAAAATCAGTGTACGTAAGCCTAACTTGTATACACGTTCTCAGACAGTGGAATAATGATGGCTACAAGCGTAGCAAGCGAAAGGTAAGGGGCACCCATGATGGCGTACGACACTCACGCAACTGGCGCATCAATTGTAGCCTAGCAGTTGATCGCTTCCGAGTACAACTTTGTCAGAAGAAAGTTAACCAAAGGGTGTCCTTTTGGCACGTCGGGATTGTCTGGAGGGGCTCAGGAGGTGCAATCCAGGCAAGCTCGTCCTTTTTCGTCCGTTGTTATTCAACAGGAATTTAGCTATTGCAAGGAAAAGTAAATTTAGATTACACCGCTTAATCTCGTAGATACACGTGTTTGATGCTGTGCGGCCGCAAGGCTGGGACCCTTTCGACTTTAGCGATATAAGGCGGCCTACCTCCTCAGGACGTCCGGCATTCCTCGCACCTCATGACACAAAACATCTACCAGCAGACGATGTCAGGACTTGACAACTTAGGCGCCCAGCTTGCTTCCTCCGCTCGAGATGTTTGGGATAGGGCAACCAGCACCGTGAATCGGATAGCTGACTCAATTAGCGTTCCTCCTCGCAACGGCAGTCTAGAACGCTTAGTCCGTCCTCCTCTGGAGCGTGGCATGGCCGCCTGGCGCTGGTCCGCCTTCGGACAATCCACCGTGGTGCCATTTCCCCCACCGCGCTGGGACGATCCCCGCATGCTCGTCACCATCTTCAGTCTCACACACACCCTCTACGACGAGCTCGACGCGCACCACAACCACCAGCTCCACGGCTCCCCCTCTCCCACCTCCGCCTCCTTCCCGCTTCCGCCCGTGACCACCACCCTCGCGGCGGCCTCCATCTGGCGCTACTTCACCCCAGCCCTGCTCCGGGAGGTCTGCCTCAGCCCCTACTGTGTGGTAGAGCGGCGCGAGGTGGCGCGGCTGTGGAGCGCCTGCATAGCGCACATAGACGCTCCGCACCTGATGAGCAACCTGGCGGCAATGCTGCCGGATGCTGCGGCGCTGGAGCGAGCCAGCGGGCCCGCGGCCTTTGCGGCGGATGTGGGTCTGCTGGCGGCACTGTCTAGCGGGCTGTTTGGTGAGCGCGGGAGGTTGGGGTGCATGGATGTGGGCAGGGGCGGAGGTTCGCGCTCTTATAAAGGGCTCGTAGTGCAGCTCTCTTACGAGATTACATGGGAAGGTTTCAAAGGGCCGTATTGGAAGTATCCTCCCTGACCCATATGTCCCGTGTTGCGCTGCGCTGTGCGCTTCTGTCTGTCTCCCTTCCTCCCTCCCATCCTCTCCCCTCCTCCCTCCCATCCTCTTCCCCCGTTCTCTACCTGCCTGCCTGCCTGCCCCCCAGTTGGGTGGGCGGTTTTCGAGAAGGAGGTCCTGGAGCGTCCCAACACCTTCTACGCGGTGGGGGCGGTGGGGCTGTCCTCGCTGGCCTTCGCACTGCAGGTGAAGTGCCGCGGGGGCTGCTAAGAGAGGGGGGACTGCTGGGGAGCTGTTACTGCTTCTGTAGCCTACAGCTCAAGCTGTAGGTCTCACGCCTAGCAGCTGGAGCAGGGACAACTGTTACCGGTACAACCACCACCCATGCGGCCGCCATGCCCACCCCTCGGCCCCCGGTGGCTTCCTATGATTCTGTTTGGTCATTGACTCCCCTTGTTGGCCCCCCCTTGCTCCTTCCAACCTGCCGGCCCCTCGTCTCCCTCGTCCCCCTTCCTCACTTGCTTCTCCTCCTTACCCCAACCCCACCAACCAACCAACCAACCACCACAGGTAATGCGTGGCGAGGCCCGCCGCGACTCCCCCGTGTCGCTGCTGGGCATCCCGGTGCCCGCGCAGTTCGCGTGGGTGGCGCAGCTGGGGCTTACGCACCTGGTGACGGCGCCCGACACCTCCTTCGCGGGGCACATGTGCGGCGTGCTGGCGGGCATCGCACACACCTACCTCATCAAGCCGGGTAGGATGAGGAGTAGGGGGAAGGTGGGGAGACGAGATCTCCTCGGCTATCCTTTTACACGCCTTTGAGCCACACATCGGCCGGACCCAAATGACTCCTGACCCACATCAGCCCTCCATGCCCTCAGTTACTTGCTCGTCACAGCCTTTCATCTTGCCCTCTCACCTGCACGCAACTCCACCCCTTCCCGCAGCTCTACGCGCACTCTTGGGCGGCGGCCCCGCCTCACAGCCGCAGCCCCGCTTCTACGGCTCCGGCACCACCAGCGGCCGGCCCGTCTCCGGCAGCAGCGGCAGCGGCAGCGGCAGTCACGGTGCGGGTGACCCGCAGCAGCAGTGGCGGCGGCGACTGGCGGGTGCGTTGTCGCAGCTGGCGCTGGCTGCGGGGGCGGTGCTGGTGTATGCGTTGGCGGCGCAGAAGCGGCAGCGGCAGCCGCTGAGTGACCTGAGGCTGCGGTGAGGTGGGCAGGCAGGCGGGCAGGGTGGGGGAAGTGGTGGGAAGGGTGGGGCCGTGTGTGTTTGGTGGGGTTTGGGTGCATGCATGAGCGCAGTGTGTGTGTTCGCATGGGGGGTTGGGTGCGTTGGGTTTTGCTGTCGTTGCGGTGGTGTCGGTGTGGGTTGTTTTGCAGGTGTGTAGTCGCTGGCAAGCAGGGCAGTGTGGGGCGTGGAAGTAAACTGGCCGTGTGGGGTGATGTGTCGTAAAGGAACAGCGAACAAGCAGGATGTGTGTGTATTTACCTTGCCACGTAATGCTGTCTAGGCTGTTGCGGCGACTTGAATGCAAGGGCAGGTTGTTGCTTACAAGTGGCAGGCTATAGCTAAAAAGCTGTGAAGTCGGCTGGAATGGAGCATGCACAGGTGCTGGAGGAATAGGAATGAAATGAATTGGCGTGCGCGGTGTTGTTGCCGTAGCGGAGCAGTGCTGCTGCTGCGGCTGCGCTGCTACTGTTGGCTGCTGCTATGTGTACCTATATTAGTCATTCAGGTTGGCAGGAGGTGCCGAGACGAAGAAATCAGAGGCTGCTTTGGATCCCAGGGGGTTCAATATCAAGCGTTGGCAACAAGGCTACGGTCGCCCGTTAGCAATAGAGCTTCTTGGGTTTAGGCGGGTTTGGTGGGTAGCGACGATGTGGGACATGGGCTATTCGGTTTGTTAGGAATTAAAAGATATGCCGTGACGGAGGTAATAGGTGGTAGGGCGGGTTTGATGGCTGTGACGGGGGCAGTCGGCAGTACGCAGGTGCGGGGCTGCGGGCGGCTGGGGCTGAGGCGAGGAGCCGCATGCATTGTAGGCTGGAAGCGTTACATGGAATACAGTGTATCATGTTAAAACAAGAACAGCAGTTCCTGGCCACCTCGAATCACGTGATGATATTGGCGTTTGCAATGTTATAATCACCGATCACCGTACAATACGTACGACATGCGTACCCAACAATGCACGTAACGTTGAATGCGCTCGCAGATTATAAAAAAGGTGGTGATTGCAGTCACAATGCCACAGCGAGTAAATCAAGCACTGGCGACTACCGTAGTATGTTATAAGCTACACTGTGACGGGGCCCAATCGCGGGGTGAACAATGCCATGGGGTAAAACTGCTACATACCGTAACATGGGCTTGACAGGGCCCCTCATTCCAACCAACTCACCGCAAACCGCGCGCACGACATAGGGTGTCCCATTACTGGCGCCTAAATAAGCATGTGCGCATCATACTATTACAAGGACAAGGAGCAAAGCGGAGGACCCCTACACAAGCACTTTTGACGTATGACGTAGCAGTGGGTTCCGACTATATCGCTAACAACAAGGCACCCTCTGCCTGCGCACTAGAGCCACTCCTGCGATGCCCGCTACCGCTATACGCAGTCACGCGTTTTAGTACCGGTACTCCTATCCAGCCGTTCTCACACACGCTCGCGGCCAATTATATTTGAGACATACGCTTAGCAGTAGGGGCAGCTACGCTATGAAGCCTCACCCATAGGCCGGACGGATGCCTCACCCTAACTGCGTCAAGAGGAAACAGAACAGAGCCAGAGACCGTCAGCATGCGTCCTGGGAACCGGGCACCTAGTGATAAGGAATGCACTCACCCCCCAGGTATGACGGCGGCATTGCCACTGCCGTATGCAGGATGATGGTGGTGGGTGCGTGTGGCAGAACCGCACCGCACAGGTGACCCGTGGTTTACTTGTAAACACCGGCCCTACCCAGACGCCTATCCTTCCGACGCCCGACAAAGCTTATCGTTTGTAAAGCGACACCAACATCCCTCTTGCATTTGCGTTCCCTCTTGAGACACGCGGCTACCCAAGCACACGTCTGCCGAGCACTGGACTATGGATCAGACCGTCTCCTCGCCATTTGAGAAAGCGAATAAATGGCCAGGTCTCAGGATATGCTAGAAAGCATGCGGCAATGCAACGCGCCTTATTTGCCCACACAACAATTATTGCTGATGCTGTTCCACGTACATGCCAGAAATGGAATATACCGCCAACGGAAGGTTTGATCGCTGGCCCACGTACTGCTCATCCTCGTACGTCCAGATGCCTTCACGGAAATAAGCAATCCTGACCCATATCATCGCAGGGTCATCTGCACCTGGTTCAGTTTAGACTTTTCTCTACCTCGCAACAACCCTCATCTTCTCTCGCACGATCCCAAATCCCACATCCCAAACCCCAACCCGCTCCTCTCCATTCTCCTCCACACTACAGGAACTGCTTGGGCCCCTGCTTGCGCTGCTCCGCAAACCTGATATCACTGGGCAGCAGGGGGCCCGCGAACCGGTGAGTAGACATGAACTCACTGCCACCTCCTCCTCCTCCCCCTCCCCCTCCTGGCGACGCCATGCCTCCCAGCCCCGGCCCGCCCCCCGCATGCCCTCCCACACCCACACCCACACCCACACCGCTAAGTACGGCAGCCGCCGACACCGGCGGGCTGCACCCTGCCGACGACCGCTCCTCTCCGCACACCTGCACCGCACCAGCACTAACAGCACCAGCAGCCCCTCCTCCTCCGCCGCCGCCTAACCGCCCGCCAGGCGTGCGTTCCCGAGCCGCCCGCAACCCCCCACCGCCGCCACCGCCAAAACGAGAGGGGAAGTTATTACACGCCGGCAGCAGATTGCTCCCGTCAATCACAGCGCCGCCGCATGGCGGGCTGTTGCCCACGCTGCTGACACTGCCCGCAGCAGCGGCGCGACTGCCGGCAATCCCACCGCCACCACCACCACCGCCACCGCCGTTCTCATAGCCCGCGGACACCCGGCCTCCCGCCGCCCCGGGGCCGGGGCCAGGGCCGGGACCAGGGCCGTTCACGGAGGAGAAGGAGGCGTTGGAGCTGCTTTGCTGGTAGTGCAGTCCTGCATGCTGCGGCCCCAGCCCGCCGCCGCCTGAGCAGTAGCCCAACCCCGGCCCCTCCTCTTGGAGGCCCCGGGAGGAGGAGGAGGCCTGGGCGGACAGCGGCCCAAGGGCCCCGCCGGCGCCGCCTCCCGAGGCGGCTCCTGCTGCTGCCGCCGCGGCCGCTGCTGAGTCGAAGCCACCGCCTGTTCCCCCGTTGCTGCTGCTCCTGACTCCATTGCCAGCTGCACCTCCGCCAGCTCCGGGCAACCCCACCGCAGAAGCGGCCTGTGTGGCCGCTGCGAGGCAATTCTGAGCCGCCATAGCACCCTGAGCCGCCCGGAATTGCCGGGCGAATTCCTCCCTGGCCTTCATGCTTTCCAGCTTGCCCTGTACGGCGGCCAAGTGGGTCTCCAGCTGGGAAATGCGTTGCAGCAGGGCGGGGTCCGGGGGTGCGGGTGCAGGGGGAGGAGGCGGTAGGGAAGGAGGGGGAGCGGGTGCTGGGATGGGAATGGGGGCTGGGGTGGTGGGCCGCGCTTGGCTGCATGCAGCAGCTGCTTGAGAGGCGGCGTCCGCGCGGTCTGAGGCGGACTGGGCGGTCTGTTTGGGTTGGAGGGAAGAAAGGGGGAAGAAGGAGGGAAGAAGGAGAGAGGGGAAGGCGGGTGGTCACTGAGAGGGCTCAGGTCGGTTGGACAGCGGGGCGGACCAGCGGGCGCGAAGAGATGGAAAGGAGGGAGTTGGGGATGGAGCAGGGATGGCAGATATGATAGGTGAAAAGCGCACGCGTGTGGTAGGATGTAGAAGTAACACGGAGAGCTTGACAGTTGATGGTGTGGCGGTTGGGAGGGATGCGCATGACGACGGGCCGCAAGCGGTAGTTCGCGGGGCACTTGCTCCATACAAGTGTGGCAAAGTTGCGGAAGTCAGGAAGCGGGTGTGCGTTGTGCTCTGGCTGCTTCAGGCGTGTGCCTCGCAATTAACATACCTGCAGCGCCTTTGAGGCTGTGGCGTTGGCTTGCATCATGTCCATACGAAGACCGCTGACATCCGTATTCAGAACATTTAATCGCTGGCTCAAGTCATGCACATGACTTGCCAAGTTGGCGTTCTGTCGCCTAAGCTCCGCATTCTCCTCGCGCAGACGGGTTATAACGGCTTCCTCCGCTTCAGCTACGGCCTGTGGTATGCCTTGTATTGCATCGGCCTGTGGCACTGACGAACCACAGCCCATTTTGGGAATCCCTGGTCCGAAGCAACCCACCAGCCTAGTAATTGTCCCAAGGCTTAGGGAACACTCGAGCAGACAAGTGCTTGCTCTATATATAATTATATATTAAAGAGACAGGAATGTACTCCAAAAAGGGTTGGTAAGGCTCATTCGAGCAACATTGTGCAGATCAGGAGAAAAGAATGTGTGCAGGTAGGCAGCCAACACGCTGTCTTATACCTTCAGAGAAAAAACAATTCCTATGTGCTATATGGCACTGCTTCTGTCGTACGCCACAATATAGGTCTCAAGCAAGCGCAAATCGAATGGCAGGTCTCATAACAGCTATTGCCGAGGGTATTTGCCGAGCACTTCTACATAATTATCACCACCAAACCTTATTGGGTAAAACTAAACGCCGGACGCTGGAACTCATGATGCGGTTATATATGTAATTATATGCTGGAGGTGACCCGAGTGTATCAAAAGTATGACGTAGGATGATTTGACCTTGTAAATAGCACGGGGGACGCGGCAGCAATGTCGACAGGAAACCCAGTACAGCGCAATCTCGACACAGCAGGACTTCGGAGGTTGCAGGACCTCGACCGTACGTTCTTTGGCGGTGGTACAGGACGCAGCCGGCCCTTTACGGTAAGATATGACACATGTGCATGGGCCAGCAACTAGGGCGAGCTGTCTGCCCTTCTGGCAAACTCTTCCCAACGTCATGTTAATTATCACAGGCTGACGATGTAGCGTCACCTCAGCCGTCGGGACTTAGCGCGTCCGCTAAGCATGCGCCTTGGCCAGCGTCCTCCTCCAGTGGCGCGGTAAGCGAATTCATTATATGGAGCCACCTCAGTGCCCGTTTTGAGGAAGAAGATGTGTTGCAGTGGGCTCTTTAACGTTGCGTCCCAAGGGCCCGAAAGGTGCTGTCTGCCTATGAACACCCGTGTACAATACAAACACGTGAGGACGCAAGTTTCCCTCGCCACAAGGTGCTTTGCTTATGCTGCATGCGTTGGTGGGGAATCATGCTGTCTCCACCCTTAGGGCGGCTTCAATGTCACCCACTTACCCACTCCTCATGTACCCCTCCTCCTTAACCAAAGCTCCTTCCCTCGTCCCTACTCCTTCCCCTTTTCCCTCTTCCTTCTCCCATCCAGGGCCTCACCACCGGTCAATTGCCACCTCTCATGGCCGCATGGCCTGACCCCGGCACCCCATCCGGTGCCCCAGGCGTTCACTCCCTCCCACAATCGCCCTCCCGAGCCCACACGCACCCACAACCCCACATGCACCCACATCAGCAGCACCCGCAACCACAGAACCACGGGTCATCCTCACTGGGCGCTTCCCAGCGGCAGTACGGCACTGGCACCTCACAGCGGCCGCGGACCATAGGCGGCAACGTCGCCAACATGGGCGGGACTCGGAGAGCGGGTGCGCGGGGCGTGGTTGCAGGAATTGGGCCAACTCCTCGTAACGGAATCGGTGCAGGGTACCGGCAGAAGTGTCTTACTGAATTTGGGAGAGGAGCGGCTTTGCATGGACGGCAGGCAAGAATGCCTAAAAGCATGGCAAGGTCTCTCGCCCTGGTTTACCGTCCCAGCTCCTCCTTTCTCCCTCCCTGAACCTCTCCCTCCCTCCCCCACACCTCCCCTCTTCCCTCCCTCCCTCCTCGTCCCACACAGCCAACGCAAAGCCGCCCCGGCGTGCTGGCGCCAGTCTGGATCCCCTCACCGCCGCCGCCACTGCAGGCGTGCCCAACCCCTGGGAGGCCGTCATGGACGCCGCCCCCGCCACCCGTTACAGTGCCGTACCCGTGCGGAGCGCCGGTGGGTTGCAGCTGCTCATGCCGTCCGGATCCAGCCGGGAAGCCATGCTGTCGTACGAACAGCGGCTGTCGTCGTACCTTTCGCCCATGTCTGGGCCCGCCGTCACGGCGTCCGTTAATAACCTTAGCGGCAGCGGCACGTTGCGGAGCATGGGTGGGGGAGGCGGCGGCGGCGGGTCGCCGATACGCATGTCTGTGTCACCCACGCGGGCGCCGCCGACGTCGACGGGGTTCAGCGGTGGCGGCAGCAGCCACCAAGCGAGCACGCTACCACATCCGCCGCCGCCACAGCCGCACGCAACCATGCATGACCTGCAGTCGCCCCAGCACGGCGGTAGCACCACAGCTGCCGTACATTCCAACAGCAGCAACAACCCATCCCTGCCGCCGCTGATGCCCCGTACGGTACTGAACGCCTCGCTAGCGGCGCCGGTGACCGGTCCCGACGCACCCTGGGGCGGCGCCGGGCTGCCGTACAACGTCCATACCTCCGGTGTAACGGATTATGGCAGCGGTGGCGGCGCCGGCGCCGCCGGCGGCGGTCTGGACGGCTTTGGCGGCGGTGACGGCGAGGAGTTTTGGGACGGTTGTGGGCCGCCGTCGCCGCCGCTGCTGGGGAGACTGATCAGCGGCAAGCCCAGCAGTCGTCGTCAGGTGCAGTTGATGGCGGATTGGCTGGATAACACGATTGGAATGCTTTGGGAGCACCATGTGGCCTCCGCCGCCGCCTCCGCCGCCTCCGCCGCGGCAACCGCCCCCGCTGCTGCCCCCGCTGGTAAGGCCTCACCTGGCGGCACAGCGCACCTTTCAGACAGCACGTCATTCTACAGCACAGCGCCGCCGCCGGGGCTTCCATTGGAGGCGACGTCACCGCCGGCGTCGCAGCCGTGGCGGTTCGGGCTGGCCCCGTCCGCCGCCGGCAGCGGCGGTGGCGGCAGCGGCGGCAAGGCGGCGCTGGCCATGCGGTTTGGCAACGTCAGCGCGGGGCTGCGGGACCTCAGCGCTAACTTGTACGGCATAGCTACGCAGCCGCAGCTGTGGGCTGCCATGGTGGAGGTAAGAGCAGCGATGGGTTACGATAGGGGGGGTGGGGCGGGGCCGGGGTCCTGCGGGTCTTTTGGAAAGCGAGGGCGGGGAGGGGTAGGGTGCAGGCCGCGGGCTGTGGCTGTGCCTGCACCCACGTCACTATTACTATTGGGCATGTCACGCCCTTGCCCTCAGTAAAGCAAATCGCTACCGGCATGGCACCCGCGGCCGTCTGACGGATATACAGCACCATCCACAGCACCTTCGTCACCCCCCCACCCCCCCACCCCACCCCGCCACCCCACCCGCCATGCAGGCCACCTCCGCAGTGGCCCACACGGTCGTTGCCGCGGTGGCTCAGCGCTGCTGGGAGGAGGGCGCGCTGCTGGCCCGGCTGTGGAACCTGCACACGGCGCTGCTGGACTCGGGGCTGGCGGCGGCGCGGAGGTCCCGGGAGGCGCTGAGTGCCACTGCCGCGGAGCAGGCGGCAAAGATACGCAGGTGGGGACGGGGGTAATTTGGAAACAGAATCCGCATTACGCTGGATTACGCTGGGGGCGGGGGGGGGAGAGGCCGGGAGGAGGGAGGGGTGTGGGAAGAGAGGAGCCCCCGAAGGAGCTGGACTTGGATCCAGCGACGAGCGACGAGCAGATCGGCGCATGCATTGGTTGTTGTCAGCCTCACCCGCCTCCCTCCCTCGCTTCCCCCTCCCCTTTCCCAACCCTCGCCTTGCCTCCCCCTCCCCTTCGGCCAGGCTCGACCCGCTGATCGACTGGGAGCTGGAGAGCCGCACCGCCAAGGAGTCCCTCACCACGGCGCTGGAGGTGGGGTCAAGACCATACCGATGCAAGGGGGGAGGGGTGCAGGCAGGCCGCCAGGGGGGCACGCAGCCGGGAGCTCTAGCCCTACGGGCACACACTGCCCTCCCTAGCATGGCATGCTGTCCCTAGCAAGTGGTACACGCTAGTCTCCCTAGCACGGCTGTCTCTCCCTGCACCTGCCCCCGACCCTCTCCCCCTCCCCTCCCCCCCCCCCCCCCCCCCAGGCCTCCCGTGCGGAGGCGCTGCTGGCGGGTCGGGAGCGGGATGCGCTGCTGCGTGAGAACGACAAGATCATCGCCTACTACCGCCGGGAGCTCAAGGCGTACAAGTGAGGGCAGGGGGCAGGGCAGGGGGGGTTTAAGAGGAAATAACGAACTGAATGAGGAATAAGGCGTCAACATGGGTTGCAACATGTGAGCCAGCCCGACCCGCAGGGTGGGGGGGCAGGGCAGGGGGGGGCGGGTCAACCAAGATAGCGCAAGCCATGGGAAACCACACATGCCGCATGGTTGCGGGACGGGAACAGGGGTCCATTTGCTGGCATTCCTCACCCTCCCTTGTCAGCTGCCCCCCGCCCCACCCTTCTCCCTCCCTCCCTCCCTCTCTTCCAATCCCCACCCGTCCCCCCCGCCCCGCCTCGCCGCTTCCCTATTTTTCCCCCCCAGACGCGAGCAGCGCAGTAACGCCTACCGCCTGGCGCGCAAGCTCCGCAACACGCAGCAGCAGCTGGAGCTCATGACGGTGGGTGGCAGGCGGTGAAGGGACGTGATACGCCGGTATGACGCAATCAGCATCATTCCTAAAGCCACACATGTCTTAGGGTTAGGAAAAGCCACACACTGCATGCCTGACCCGGGGATCTCCTACAGTGCGGTATATTACACCTGGAAGCTTACGATCCCACTCGTCCCCAGCTGCATCCCGTTCACTCACTCCTCCCACCTCCATGCCCTGCCCTGCCATGCCATCTCCAATGCCCCACCTCCAATTCCCCACCTCCAATTCCCCACCTCCCTGCCTGCCTGCAGCGCGACCGTGACTAACGCCTCCCACCTCCATGCCCTGCCACGCCATCCCCGATTCCCCACCTCCCATTCCCCACCTCCCTGCCTGCCTGCAGCGCGACCGTGACTAACGCCTCCCACCTCCATGCCCTGCCACGCCATCCCCGATTCCCCACCTCCCATTCCCCACCTCCCTGCCTGCCTGCAGCGCGACCGTGACGTGCTGTTCAGCGCGGTGGCCTACACCAAGTCCCAAACGGGGCAGCTGGTGGACCTCATCAGCGGCATGCACGGACACCTGCGGGCCGCAGTGTCGGGCAGCATCGGCAGCGGGCCGGGCAGCGGCGGCGGCAGCACGGGGGGGGCGGGCGGGGGCAGCGGCGGAGTGAGCTTTGCGGCGGCGCTGGGAGATGATGGGTTTCCGGAGCTGCAGCAGATTGAGCAGGGGCTGAAGAACATTCAGTTCAGCGTCACAAAGGTGGGTGGAGGGGTAGGGTGGACGGGTAGGGTGGAAGCAGGGTGAGAAGAGGGGAGAAGAGGAGGAGAGGAGGGTTCGGTAATTGGTACGACGAGGGACCTGCTCGGGGGGTATCATCTTCCGTTTCCAATACACTCGCCCTGCGCCCCTCTCTCACCAAACCACCGACCCATGCGTCACTCCTTGGCACACTCCCTCCTCACCCCCCTCCCTCGCGCTACTGGGTCCTCTTCCCTCCTCTCCCCCCCCCCCCCCTCTCCCCCCCCCTCTCCCCCCCCTCACCCCCCCCTCTCCCCCCCCTCACCCCCCTCCCCCCCAGGTCCGCGACGTCAACCAGGACGCGGAGGACTCGCACTTCGTGGTGGAGGAGCAGGTGACGGCGGTGGCAGCAGCCGACACGGTGGGCGACGAGCTGGTGGACGAGGTGCTGGCGGAGGGCGACCCGGAGCCCTCGCCGGAGGAGGCGGCGGCGGCGGCTGCCATGGCGGCGGCGCAGCAGACGACGGTACCCAGGCAGGGTAGGCAAGGGGGTGGGGGGGGAGGCGGAGGGGGCGGATGGAGCTTGGGGGATATAAATAAGGAAACTGACGAGGCAACTAACGAGCTGTGTGCCTTTTCGTGCCAGGCCAACCTGCCTTGCCTTCCCTTCCCTTGCCTGCCTCTTTTCCCCCCGCCCCCCACCTCCCCCATTCAGATTCCGGCAGTGACGAGTACGACAGCGATGACGACCCGCACAGCGCGCTGTCCATGATGGCGGAGGCGGCGCTGAGGGGAACCGGGGAGGTGGGGGGGGAGGGGGCGGGGGTTGGATGAGGGGAACCGGGGAGTTAGACGAGGGGAAGTGGGGAAAGGGAAGATGTAGCATGCCGTGAAGGATAGTAACATAGTGACTACTTTGGGGTGAGGAGGGCAGAGTGGGAGTGAGTGTGGGCTGGGGGAGGGTTCGGGGTATGGTGGGTGGGGGAAAGAACCAACCAGCGGGACGGCACCCCCAGTAGTGTTATTTGAACAGGTTAAGTTAAGGTTTGAGGACTGGTAAGTTGGTGACCGGGTGAGGTGCAGCGGGGGCGGTTGGGGGGTAGTTGAGGTGCAGTCGTCCCTTCCATGCGCTACCGCACACCGCAACCCTACTCCTGCACCCCCCCTGGCACCATGCAACCTCACCCTCCCCCACTAGAGCTCTGACGAGGATGATGATGAGGACGATGAGGAGGACGAAGATGAGGAGGAGGAGGAGGAGGACGAGGAGGAGGATCTGCCCATGGTGGGGGTCGCCGAGGTGGAGGAGATCAGGCCGGAGGAGCCCTTGCCCTCGCGGGGAGCGACCCCTGGGTCGGCCGGCAGGTGGGTAGGGATGTGTACAGCTTGTAGGGCATGTGTGTGTACCTCGGCACATGTGCCTTCTGGGCTTACACCGGTGGATGTCTTCCACGATTTAGCGCTGACGGGTCATTCCTCCATTGTATGCATACCGGTACCATGCATCTGAAGTTTTGATCCCGAACCCACTCCTGGTCCCCCCCACCTTGCACCTCTGCAGCCGCAGCCGCCACCAGTCCCCAACCAATGCCGTGTCCACTCCCGTCGAGGCCGGCAGCGACGCCGGCACACCCGCGCCGGCGTCACCCTCGCCGCCGGCGGCCGCTGAGGAGGGCGAGGCGACAGCAGATCGACCCGCCACCTCCGCCACCACCGTATCTGACGCTCCCTCCACAGCAAACGCTGACGGCGACGGCGACGGCGACACCCCTCCCGGCTCTGCTGGCGACGGCGGCGGCGGCGGCGCCGCCGCCGACCAGCCCCCCGCTGACGCCGCCGCTTCCGGCGAACCCCCGGCTGCCGGCAAGAAGAGACGCAACAGGAATAAGAACAAGGGCGGCGGGCGCGTCAGCGCCGCCGAAGGCGACGGCGACGGCGGCGGCGGCGACGCGCCTCCCGGCTCCGCCGGCGGCCACCCCAAGCGCGTGTTCACGGTTGCCAGCGCCAGCAGCCAGACGGGCAAGGAGCTGCTCAAGGGGGTGGCGGACCCGGAGATCACGGAGGCTGCGCGACACATGGGTGTGCTGCGGGAGGCGCTGAGCGAGATCGGCATCATGGGCAACCCCAACGATGACGGTGGGGTGGTGGGGTGGTCGGGTGGGGGCGGGGGGGATGGTACTGGTGGTGGTGGTGGGCTGTGTAGGGGCGGTGCAGCACTGGGGGGAGAGAGGGCGTCATGAAACCCGCGGTAGGCAGCCTGTTGCCTGCCGTACTCAAGACAATGATTGCTTCAAGCTGTTCGTTTCCGCAATAGTCAGGTGTGGTCCACATCTCCCCCTCAACCCCATCCCGAAACCCGCACCCCCCCACCCCTCTGCCCCCCCGCCCAGGTGATGGCACCGACGGGCTGCTCACTGCGTTGCGGCAGTACATGGCCTCGCTGTCACAGGAGGCGGGGCAGCTGCACAAGCAGCTAGACAAGGTGGACACGGCTCTTATTTAGGAGCTGATATTGCCATGTGAACCTCGCTCCCCTCTCCCTTCAGACCCGCGCCCACCGTCCCCTATCCGCCTCAACCTGTCCCCCGTATCCCGCCCCGTTAGTTATGGCACCCTGCCGCCTCCACCCTGTATCCCCATTGTTTTGTCCCGGCCTGTGGTTTTTCCTATGGTCTGGCATGGTCTTTGACCCCACCCCCAAATTATTTTGTCACCCCATCCCCTCGCTCGCAGCTGCGTGCTGTTGCGGAGGCGGCGGAGGCGGCCCGTTCCGAGCTGAGCGGCGCAGTGGAGGCGCGCGGGCGGGAGGTGGCGGCGGTACGGCGGGAGCTGCTGGAGGCGAAGAAGATCCACTCGCAGCTGTGTGATGCGCTGGAGGCCATTGGTGAGGGGTGGGGTGGGCGTGGTGGTGCGGGGTTGGGATGGCGTGTTGTTGATGATGCGTGTTTGCTTGGAGGGTCACGTTGGGAGGAGGATGGTTTCAGGGCTTTGGAAGGGTTACCATCCGCATCTTTTGCCGTTCTTCCGTCTGCCTCCGCTCATCCTTCCTCCCTTTTTTCACTGCTATCGCGACGCAGGTATCGACCCCCGCGCGCCCGCCCTGCCCGCTCACGGCATGCATGAGACCATGGACGGCTCCCTGGCTGCAGCCGGTGAGCACGGCAGCAGGCAGCCGGGACGCGCGGAAGTCAAGGGCCCCGGCGGCGCGCGGGACAAGTCCGGAGGCGGCGCCGACGCCCGCCGCGGTGGCATGGTCAAATTCAGCAAGGTGGCAGCGGCGAAGGAAAAGGCGCGAGAGCGAGCCATGGCGGCGGCGTCGGCGCCGTCGCAGGGGTATGGCCGTGCGTCGACCGTCAGCATGCGTAGCGCCGCCAGCGGCAGCGTCGGCGGGCCGCCGGGGCGGCTACAGCTCCCAGCGGCGATGTTGGCGGCGGCGCAAATGCGTGCGGCGGAGGCGGCGGTGACGGGTGACGGCGAGGTGCCGGGTCCCGTCGCCGCTGGCGGCGGCGCCGCCAGCGGCAGCGGCGGCGGATCCGTCGCCGCCACGATTACCGCTTGGCGGTCTTCCGCCGCTGCCGCCACCGCCGGCGGAGGCGTCGGTGGCCCGGTTCCGGTTTACATTCGTCCTGACAGGGCCGCGGCGACGGCACGGTTGCAGGATGCGCTAACGCGCTACGCTGACGTCAAGCCTCGTACGGCGGAGTGGCTGTTAAAGCTGATCGACGCCATGTATCGCGGCAAGGCTACCAGCGATGAGCAGCGGTCCAAAATGGGTCAGGAGCCGCTGACCATGATTGAGTACATGTTCCAACACTTGTCAGGTGGGGAGCATCGGGGCAGGAGGGAATGCATGGGGGGTGGGGGTGACGGTTACAGACGGTTACAGCGGGGGGGGGGTCTCTTCTCTCTTCTTGTACGCATGTGTATGTGGCAGTGGCTGTTCCGCCCATTCCTCGCAACGACAACAACAACAACAACATAGAAAGTTGCTGTCGGAGGGATTGTGTTTCTATGAAAATAGGCGACTGACATGATGGACCCTGACAGCATTGTAGCGGCGATTGTTGAACCGAACAGCCAAACGTTGACACATATCGGTAGAAAACCAGCCTCGGACTCCTCCCGTAACCCTGTCGTGCCCCGTGTTTTTCCACACCATATGTATCTCCTCCACACCATGCTTAATCTTCCATACCATGTTACAGGCGTGTACGGCACCAAGGATCTTGTGAACCAGTACGCGGCCCAGCTGGTGGCCACCTGCCTTCAGTACTGCGCGGTTGACCCACGGGTCAGCACCTTCCAGCGCTTCCTCATGGAGGAGTGGGACACGCGCGTGCTGTGCGCCTACCTGGATGGTGAGCGGGTGTTTGTTTGGGTTTCGTGCAAGAAAAACGTAGAGGAAGGTGATGTGGAGGATGAGGAAGAGATGAGATCCAGGAGCCATGGCCCTTGCTGTGCACAGCTTGTTGCACTGAGTATAACCCTACTACGCACATTACCCCGCCCCCCCTATGGTTTGGTCAATAACAACACCCCCCCCATCGCTGTGCCTCCCCCGCAGCCAGTCGCAAGCTGCAGGAGCCCACACGGGTGGCCGCATGCGACTTCCCGCCCGACTACGTGCCGTCGGGGGGGCGCAAGGGCGACTCGGGGCCCGTGGACGTGCGCAAGGCGCTGTGGGTGGCGGAGAAGGTGAGCGAGGAAGGAGGTGGCGGGGGGCCCCAGGGGGCGGCGCACAGGGAGGGGGCAGTTGCTCACTAGCCGTCTTCACCGCACCCTCTAGCCGTGTACCCGTAACCAGGCTAGTGGCTGCTGCTACCGTCTTCATGCCCCCGAAACGTTGCCCCTTCGGTCCCCCCACCACCACCAGGTGCTGCTGCGCCGCTCGCCCAAGGCCGCCTACGTGTTCGCGCAGCTGCTCAACTCGCGCGCCGAGCCCATCAGCGGCCAGGAGATGGACCTCTACTTCGTGTCGCCCGGCAGCTACGGAGCGGAGCTGCAACAGGTGGGGGAGGGGGGGGGCTGGCCCGTGCTTGCTCGCTTGTCCTTGTCCTTTTCTTTCCCTTTTCTTTTCCCCTGCCCCTCCCAACCGAACCTGATGTCGGCTGCCCTCTCCCTCTCCTGCCTTTCCCTACCTTCTACATACCGGTAGTACCTGCTATGCTCGTTCACAGCATGGTATGTCTCCTTTCAACTTCCCTTACCCCTTCCCCTCTGCCCTCCCCCCCTCCCCAGGTCCGTCAGTTCGAGATGGGTCGTGCGGAGTTCAAGCGCGTCAGCAGCGCGGTGTTCCTGGATGCGCTGTGCGGCGAGTACGCGCGCATGGAGGTGGTGTTCAGGGAGGTGCTGCCGGAGGTGAGGAGGGGGGGAGGGGCGGAAGGAGGGGAGGAGGGCAGGGGAAGAAGGGGAGGGAGGAGGGATCGGAGGAGAGGGGACAGGGAGGAGGGATGGGAGACAATAGCGACCGAAGTCGGTTTGGAACATCGTGTTGTTGCTCCTTTCCTTGCGAGCCATGCGCGCTATGCTTACGTACCTTCACCCTCACCCATGTACGCACACAGATTTTCTCCCAGTACGACAACGATGCCGACGGTTGGATCACGCGGCGTGACGTGGCATCCATGGTAACCGACATGGCGGCGGCCATGGCCAAAGCGGGCATGCAGTTGCCGTACACCTCCGCCGACGCGCCGTCGGGGCTACTGGCGGCAGCCAGCGGCGGCGGCGGCGGTAACAACCCGGGCGCCGAAGCCGACCGAGAGGGTACGACGGAGGCTCTGTGGGCTGCGCTGCTGGCGGCGGAGGCGGACGCACGCCTGCGGGCGGATCCGGGGACTGTGTTTCCGGATAACTGGCGTGGAGGTGCTGGGGGAGCCGGCGGTGGCGGCGCAGCCGCCGCGGGGGGTGGAGCCGGTGCTGGCGGCGCCGCCGCCGGGGGCGGTGGTGCAGGCGGCGGCTCCGCCGCCGCCACTGCCGGCATTACGCATGTGTCGGACGGGGGTTTCGTGGAGGGGGCGTACAAGTCGGATTTCGTGCGTGCATGGGTGCGGGCTTTCCGTACGGGCGCTGCGATGCTGCCGGCGACTGGCGCGCTGGCGGAGGTGAGATGAGGCGGGAGGATGACGCGGGGCGGGTTACTTGTCTGAGATACGATCTTCTTGGTGTTCGTTGGTAAAAGGCTGCCAAGCATATTAGCCCTACCCGCAATTTCCAGACCTATTAGCTTTCCTCCCTCCCCCTTCTCCCTCCCTCACATCCCACCGCCTTCCCTACGCCCTCCCCCTCCCGCCAGTCCGACCTGCAAGCCGCTCGCGAGTCCGCCCGGCGGCTGCTGGCGGTGGTGGTGTCCCGCCACTGGGCGCACCACGGGGCGGCGCTGGAGGCCTTCTTCGCGGATGCGGGCGTGCTGGCGGAGCAGCAGCTGCGGCAGCAGGTGGGGGCCACGGGGCGGTGGGGGGCAGGGCAAGTGACCCACGGGTCACTACAACTGTTCGCAGGGTGTTGTACCGGTACAGGTGTATGCCGGTCTGCGAAGCCCCCTGCCTTGAGTTGGCTGAGCTGGGGTTATACGAGCGCGCGCATGGGTGCTTGTTACTGGTGGGCATTTGGAGTCCATGTGTATGAGCCCATGCGGATCGCTGCCATCTTAGCACGCACTCTTCGGCCCAGCCAAGTGCCAACCACCCATCATGGTCATCCCCCACCCCCCAACCCCTCAATTCTCCCCCCCCGCGAAGGCTGCCGTGTTGGACGGGGAGATGGGCGGCAGCCACGGGGACGGCCGCGACGGCCCCCGCCGCGCCGCCGCTCTGGGCGCCGTGCTGCGGCTGCTGCTGGTGAAGAAGGCCGACCGGTTCACGGCGCTGCTGACCCCGGACAACCTGACTGGCGGGCCGCATAGTGAGTAGCGCTGGGTAGCGCTGGGTGGCGCTGGGTAGCACTGGGTAGTGCTGCAGAGTAGTACCGGTAGCTGCTGCTTCGCGCTGTACCGGTAGCTTAGCATGCAGAAACACGGTGAGTTGTCGGTAGTTGGTTAGCTTCTTCCTCCTTACCCCAAATCCCCCCTACCCAGACGGCCCCGCCTCCGAGCTGGAGGAGCTGCTGTCCCGCCTTACTGCCGCCGTACGGCTGCTGTACGGCCCCTCCGGCAGCACGTGGGTCATGGGCGCGGAGATGGACGAGCTGGCGGCGCTGAGCAGCCTGGACGCGGGGGATGTGGAGGCGCTACCGCCGGGATACAAGTGAGTACCCTCCTTGACCGCGCTTCAACTCCCTTTGCTGCCCTCACGTCGGCTTCACGGTACCCTAGTAGCAGGCTAGTAGGTGTCTTTTATACAGACTGCAGTAGTAGCAGCCATGCTTAGTAGGGTGTTGGTAAGCAGTTACCCAACCTCCCTCCTTTGCCCGCCTTCCTCCTTTGCCCGCCTCGCTCCCCTCAGGCGCTGGCTGGTTTCCGTGGCCGTCCGCTGCTGCGCCCTGCACGACCGCCTGCACCTCACCCTGCCGCCCTCGCCGCTGCTGCCGCAACTCCAAACCCACCGAGGAGCCTCCCACTGGGCACGGCTCTGGCGCAAGGCCACCGCCGCCGCCGTGGCCGCCAAGCGCCGCGCCTCATTCAACATGCGAGGGAGCGCCTCCATGCTGCAACGCCGTACACCCTCCCCGGGCCCGGGTGGCAACGTGAGCAATGACGGCCGGTCGCCGCTGGGGTCGCTGTCGTCACCTCAGGGAGGCGGAGGAGGTGGAGGCGGGGATAGGAGCAGTGGCGGCAGCAGCGGTGTGATCATCAATACCCCCGTTAGTAGGTTGACGACGTCGTCGAGTTTGGGCCGGAGACCTGGGTCTGGGTCTACTGGGGGAGGGAACGCCACGGGTGGCGGGGACCGAGCGACGGGTGCGGGGGAAACCAGGGCGGAAAGGGCGGGTAGTGGCGGGGCGTCGGGGGGGCGGCCTGGGTCGGCTGCGAGACCGGTGTCGGGCGGGTTGCGGCCGGGATCTGGGCCGCGGTCGCGACCTGGCTCTGGGGCGAGATTGCGCGGGGCTGAGGCGGGGTGAGAGGATTGTTAGGGGAGGCGGGGTTTGCGGTTTGAGGTAGGTAGTGGCGGCTGGTAGCGGAGCTGGTTCGGGAGGTGCCACCGGGCTGGATCCTCTAGGTGCGCGCAGCGTGCAGGTGGTGTTGAGGGGACTGCTGTGGGATGTGGGTTACGACGACTGAATCTCGAGCTGGCGATGGCGGGCGTGTTTGCATATCGGTGCATGCATTGTTGTGTGAACCATGTGAACTTTGTCGTCGGACACAGTGTCCCTATACCGCCGTACTCTTATTATCGTACACTCCCATGCTTTATGAGGGGGCGGCAGCACTGTGTCGTGTTTTCGTGATGTGGGTACAAGTTGTACCGCTTGTTTTGTCGCACAATGCCTAATTCCTCGTTCGTACGTTTGCGACTGCTTGTAGGACGTGCGTAGTGAAATGCCGTCCAGGAAAGTTACCTGAATGAAAACTGTTACAATGGTTCCCTAAAAGGGAACACGGGTGATGAACCCAACGGGTCGGGCTGGCTCACATGTTGCAACCCATGTTGACGCCTTATCCCTCAGTCAGTTAATTGTTCCTCTTTAACCCTACACTGCAAGAGAACCTGTACACAGCTACGGTACAGTTGTGTAGCGCTAAGCAGCTGGACAGCCAGTGGACTCCCAACATGCATGTGGCCCGCAGGGGCAACTGCGCCCGGCACTACTTGCCCCTGGCGCCCTGGGTGCTTGTGTTGGAGAGGAGGAGGATGCACGAGGTCATTCCCCTTGCTGGATTTCCAGGACTACCGGTATTTTATGCACATTGACTTGACACCACCACACCTCCCCTATCCGCCTCCACTAGACCTCTCCACAAACGCGCCTTCATCGACAGTATCTACTATAGGTCTATAGCACTCTACCGGGTCGCCCTGCCTCCAGTATCCACTTCGTCCCTCCACGTACCGGTACCAGCGAAGGTCCTACTACCGATCAGCGCTCCCCAGCTCCGCTGCAGTGACAGCCAGAAAGGCGAAGTCGCCCTCCTGCCGTACGTCGTACGACAACTGCAACGGTCCTCCAACGAACAGGCAACTGTCCGCAACCATGGTATGAAACTCCCCTAGCTCACCGCACTCGTCAATACCGTGCTGCTTTACGACAGGCAGCAGCACGGTTTGGTGCAGTTTGCGGTCTAGGGTGCTCCCTAGCAGTTGTCGTACGGCAGGTCCCAATTGTACCGCTGGAGTAGCCGGTTCTGCCATCTGCGCCCCTGACGCCCCGGCTGACACCGCCGGGACACTGCCGCTTGTCCCCTCCCGGACAGCTCCATCTTGCCCCACCGCTGCCACTCCCGAAGCACCAGGTGTAGCAGACGTACTGGCCCTGCTGGCATCATCAGCCTCCCTCCCAGTCCCTTCATTACTTCCCAACCCATCACTTGCAGCCTCAGCCGCCGCTGCCGCCACAACTGTCGCAACCACAAACTTGCTGACGTTAACGCACGTGATGAGGGGCCTCATGTCGTACGCCCAGGCCAGTTCCAGCAGCAGCCCCCTCTCAATTCCCCAGAGCGGGCTCAGCAGCTGCACGCCCGTGCCTGCAGCTGCCCGAGGCATGAAGGAGTTGCAGACGTCCAGGATGTCACCTGTGAAAAGCGCTTGGATGCCGTGTTGTTGGTGCAGGCGCGAGATGTTGTCCCGGTAGCTGTCGAGGAAGGTTGGGGCGGCCTCGACCTCCAGGACGAGGTGGGGGAGGCCCAGGGCGCGGGCCTGCAGCTGTATGACCTCCAAAGGGTGTGCTTTGAAGGACTGCTTGCCTCCCGCGGGCACGAAAGTCACAAGCAGGGAGACTTCACAACCCGTAAGCTGGGCTAGCCGGTCGCGAACATCTGTACGCCATGCTTCATTTATCCATCCAGCGCTGGCCTGGCGTGCAACTTCAGGAGCTCGCAGAAGGTGCAAGACCGTCATGGAGTCTTTACCACCAGTAAACGACACAGCTGCCTTGCGGGAGGCCCCGGCGGAAAGCTGCTCGTCAGCCATTCCGCGCGTGCAAGCAAAAACAGCTAGTGGCCAGCTGGACTAGTACAACATAGCTGCTATTAACACTGCAGTGTCAACACACCCTAGGCAAAGAAGAAAAGTTGCGGCAAGCGTAAGCCTGACGACCAAGCCAGACGTTTACAAAGCCAGGTTGCAGTGAGAAAGCAATCAGTTTGATAATTGTTACTCTTATACAGCGGCACATTTTCGCCAGACGCCCAGAGCCATGAGTGTCGTACAGAGCATGACTGGTCAGCTGTACTTGGCTGTTGGCTCCGGACCCCCTTGTAACCTTCGCATTTTACTAATAGCCTATAGGACGAACACCTGCTATGCAATTAGAAATAGTAATAACATCTTACATATACCTATTATCTTACCAAAACGTCTCTTGGGCTTGCGAAACGACGCAGGCTTCAGTTCTCTGTTTCCGCCCTGTAGCCCTTGCCACGACAGACGTCGCAACTAGTTACCGTTGCTTCGATAGACGACCAGGCTTTGGGCTCTATGGCGTAGGTCTGTGGGGTCAGCTAGGTAGACCTACCCTACCTGCCAGCCAAACAGCATACTTGCACACATCCCGGGGGAACGAGCCCCAAGCCCTGCCATTTGTTGTTATAGCATAATGGGGATGTGGACATGCGGGAAAGGCTAGGTGCTGGCAGGCAGGCTGGGTGGAACCTCAGGTCTATGGGGTCAGCTATGTAGACCTACCCTACCAAACAGCATATTCGCTCCAACCGCGTATGTTACTTTAAATTAGATGGGACGAGGGTATCATTGACGCCATGTTGTTGTTGTGTCACACGTTGGTAACGCTGAAGTCATCATTGTTGGGGTCGGTCCTGATAGGAATCTGTAATAGGTTTGTCGAGCATGGAAACCAGCGGTGAAAGACCGTCGATGAACCTAAGGCAACTTGCATCACCTGCCAACGTTTGCCGCTCTATTCCTAGTTGCAGGGTAGCCCATCCAACTCCGGGGGTTCAATACCCTTTGTAAACGGGCAAGTACGGAAACCGCAAGGTCCGAGATCCTATGATGAAAAGCATGGCGTTCCCGTTACATCCATAAAACAGAAAACTGGAATCTCTTTAAGAAGGTACCGGCCCCGACCTTACGCGTTGAAGGTAGAGGCAAGGTAGGGTGAGGGCACTTCTGTCCGGCGAGGTTCTAACTGATTGCAGATAAATGCCTGGAATAACCCAATCCATTCACAACGGGGACCCTCTTTCAGCTTGCACCTCTTGCAGAGTATGGGGCAACCAGGCCCCGTCCTTCGGCAAGCAAGTCCCGAGCATTAACTAGCAAAGGTTTGTCGTACCAGACACTCAATTAGCCACATGCCCGCACAGTTCCAATTTCCGGTGTCATTCCCAGCGGTCGCATGTATAGCTGCACAATAAATGCACGATACTACACCCCAAGATTCCAGTCACGGTCCACCCCGTCCACGGCCCCTTTCATATCCCCCACCATGCATTGAAGATGCTACTACTGGTACGTCAACCCTGATGGGCCCAACGACCGGCCCACAATCGCATCCAGATCCCACCGCGTGCTTCCCGCGGCCCCCTCACCTCCTCCACCAGCCTCCCCAGACCTCTGCTGCGGCGGCTGCTGGCCCACGGCTGGATACGCCGACCCAAGCCAGCCACCACCGCCGCCTCCACCCCCAATCTCCGGCTCCGGCGCGTTCGTCAGCCTCGCCACCTGGCCCAGCACCCTGCTCCACACACGGTCCGCCTCCGTGTCCGCCTCCGCGGCTGCCGTTGCCGCTGTCGCCGCTGCTGTTGTTGTTGCCCCTGATGCTGCAGCGGCGGCGGCTCCACTGCCACTGCCGTACACACCTAGACCTGCGCCCAGGCCGCTTCCGCCGTCCCAGCCGCTAGTGAGAGCACTACCACCGGCAACAACAACGCCGGGGCCGCCAAGACCACCAGCGCTTAGGCGTGGCGCCGCTACCACCGCCGCCGCCGCCGCAGCTGCTGCTCCTCCCTGGCGCTCTTCAGCACTTGTGTTGGCGCTTACTGCTGGGCCGCTAGCGGCCGCTGGTGCCGCCGGCGGTAAGAGGGTGGCCTCTGCTGCTGCCCTGGCTCGCATGAACGCCTCTTCCTCCGCCCGCTGCTGCTGCACTCGCTGATAGCCTGCCTGCACGGCAGCAGCGGTGTCGGGGTCCATGGAGGGGCGGCGCAGCGGCGGAGGAGCAGCCGCCGCGGGGGCCTCGGACGGGGGCTGGCTAGACGGCGGAGGGGATCTGCGTGTGGGAAGCGGGAGTAGGCGCAGCAGAAATCAGCGACTCAGCAATGGAGACTGCAATAAAATTCGTTTGGCCATGCAACAGCGGAGGGGGGGGGGATGAGCGTGAAAGCAGGTATGGGAGTCAGCGCGGACAGGACCGCGGTTGGTCGTCTGCCATCCCATGCACGCGTGTGGTGTCTGGAAAACACACCAAAGCCCCACAACATGACTCTCTTCCAAACACGTCTCCCAAGTCCCAACCCATCCTCTAAGACACCTTTCCCCGCATCCTGTCGTACCCGGCTCCCGGCTCTCACCGCGGCTCATCCAGGTGGCCAAAGTCTCCCACCCAGGACTTGGACCACTGCACCACCTCCGGACGCACCGCCTGGGGCCAGACAGCGCATGGCCAGGAAAAGCAAGGCAGCGGCAGGCAGGTACCTCAAGCGGCGAAGCGATGATCAGTGGGAGGAGCCGCGGCATGGAGGGATCACGGGCCCGGAATCGCCGGTAGATGCAGAAATCACGATAGATTTGTATGTTTGCATCCCCCGAGGGACCGCCGCTGCATGCGCTACATGGCAGCACCCTAACCCAGCTACGAAAGCTCACCTTTAATGCCTCGGCGCGCGGTGTGGTGGGCCGCTGATTGGACGCAGACCGCTGCTGCGGCGGTTGGACGTTAGGAGCCGCTGTCCATCCCGTGCCTGCTGCCGCTCCCACCCTGGCGCCACCGCCGCCACCACCGCCCAGCCAACCGGCACCCCATGGCGCCTCCCACCCGTGACCCGCAGCGGGCGCACCAGGAGGAAGCATCCCTGCTGTCCAGCCCCCATACTGCTGCTGAGGCTGCAGGTGCTGCTGCGGACGCATCCACTCCGGTTCTTGCTGTGGGGGGTTCTGGTACATCTGTTGGTGCTGCTGCTGCTGTTGCCGAGTGGGCGACTGGCGTGCCGCGGACTCCCAAGGAAGGCTGGGCCCCGGCCAAGCAAGGCCTGCCGCTGCCGCCCCACCTCGCATGTCTCCAGCCCAAGCTGTCCTTGGCCCACCACCAAAGCCGTAGGGCGCATCCGAGGGGCCGTACGCCGGCCCATGCGGATAACGCGGGCTGCTGCCGCTGCCGCCCCTATGCTGCTCATGCACGTAGCTCGGACCCCCATGTATGTTTGGATACACAGCAGCGGCGACAGGCGGTGGTGAAATGGAATGAGGAGCGGCGGGCGCAACAGGGGCCGCAGTGCCGCCTGCCGGAGCCGGCTGCGCCCCGCCGTTGCTGCCGCTGCCGCCGCCAGCAGCGGACGGTGCGGAGGGCGGAGCGGAAGGCGGGCGAGGGGCCGCAAGGCTGAACGGATGCTGCGCCGTCGCCGCATGGCCCCAGCCCGCACCGCGGGAGCTGAAGACCTCTCGAGGTGGTGAAGGCGCCGAGGCCGCCGTGGGTGCTGCTGCCGGCTTTGCCGGTGAAGCAGAAGGCGCTGAGGGCACTGATGCTGCTGCTACGGCGGCGCCGGCGGATGGGGCCGATGGAGGCGGGGTTGCTGCGGCAAACCAGTCGGCGACTTGGCCCCACGGCGCCTCAGGTTTGGGGCCTGGGGGGCTGCCCGCCGATGCCGGTCTTGACGCTGAAGTCGCCGCCACCGCTGGTGCCGCCATTGCTGCTGCTGGTGGTGCCCCCGGTTGCTGTTGCTGGGTCGGCGGAGGCGGTGCCGCCGCCACGGACGGGTCTTGGGCTGTGTTGAAGAACCAGGAGGTGTAAGGGTTGGCGGCCACACGGTCCGCGATTGCAGCAGCGGGAGCCGTAGGAGAGGACACGGAGGGGCGGCTGGCGATGGAGGCAGGGGCACTGGGTGCAGAGCGGGGCCGGTCCTGAAGAGGAGTGAAAAAGGTTGAAGTGAAAAGGCGACCAGAGCAGGGAAGGCAGGGTGAACGGTAGAACGGGAGTGCATGCCGTTGGAAGCCAGAGGCGGGGGAGGTATAGGGAGTCAACAGACAGAGGGCTTCGCACCTGTTGCTGCTGTCGAGCTCCGAGGGCAAGCGCTGCTTCTGTGGCACGCTGTCGTGCCGCGACCCGGGCGCGTGCCGCTGCCTTGTCCGCTTCCACCTGCTCACGGATGCGCGACTGCACTGCTGCCCGGGCGGGACGAGCGGGCTGAAGAGGGGACGGGGGAGTGGATGACGGGAGCGTTTAGAAAGGGTTGGCACAGAGGTAAGGGAGGTAACACAGAGAAGGGAATAGGTCAACTCGGCAGCTCAGCCTCGAATAGGACAACAACTCCGAAAATTGAAACTTTTCACGTTCCATTCCCGTTGTAGCTGCAGCATCCCACAAAATGCCCCATAGCATGCCAGGGTAAAAGCCGGCCGACCCTGCCTGTGTGCACGGCTCCCTACCTTGGAGCCCGGCCTTCCAGAAGCCTCCTGCTGCTGAGGCTGCTGCTGCTGCCGAAGCCGTCGTGGCGCCTCCGCTAACGTAACCGGCACCATGGCCCCAGTCGGATGCACCACATACAGCTGAGGACCGGGACCGCCCACGGCGGCACCGCCGCTGCTGCTGCTGCTGCCGTAGGGTTCCGAAAAGCCGCCATAAGCTGGCTGCTGTGCCCTAAACGACTGCGGCGGTGACGCTGAGGGGCTCTTGGGCGCGGTGTGTTGCCGTTGCAGTGACTGCCTCTGCTGCCCCTGCTGCGGCGGCTGCGACAGGTCAGGCGGCGGAAGGTACTGCGGCGGCACTGGCGGCGGCGACCAGGGCTCGCCGTAGCCGCTGCTGGGCATGTCCAGGTAGCGTGAGGTGACCAGGTCGTTTTGCCAGATGGGCTGGCGAATGGGTGAGGGGCAGGTGGAGGAGATGGCTGCAACGTAGAGAAGGCTAGGCGAAAGGCCATGTGTAGCAAACAAAGGAGGGAAGGAGGCCTTACATCTATAGCTCTAAGTCCCCCGGCTACTTTTCCTCGTTCTCCAGCTCCAAAGAACACCTATTCGAAGACGTTGCGAGGAGCCCATGACATTGACCCAAGTCAGAGCCCGTATGTGCATAGCAGGGGTAACCCCCCCAACCCCTACCTGTCCCGGCTCCAGCTGCACCGAGTACGCTAGCCGAGGTGGACGGCGGTGGTCAGCACGAGACGCGGAGCGGGAGCGCGGCCCCGGGCTCTGCTGCCGGTCGTCATCTCTGCTCCGCCGCTGCTGCCCGTCACCCCACCAGGAGGGATATTGCGCACCCGCGAGGCCATCGCCTGCATGACATCGATGTGAGGGTAAGAAGGTACGGGTTGGTAAACGAGATTGGAAACCGAGGGCTGCCAGGGTGTTGGGAAGTAACGTTTCCCGGCTGTGATGGCGTGGTTTGCATGGTGGGATGCCATGGAGTTGACGTGCCCTTCAGGCTCGTCCCAGGCCGCCCCTCCCACCTGGCCTAGGAGGACTGCGTTTTCTGCCGGGTGGGGAGTAGGTGCGCCGCGGTTCTCCGCTGCGCCATTCCGAAGGAGGGCGCAGGGCGGGGCTGATGGCGCGCTGCGCTGCTGCTGCGGCCACAGCATTCGCTGCCACCTTTGCAGGCATCTGCTGCGGTGCGACTGCAATACCGCCTCCTGCGACCGGATGGTGGAAAGTAGATGGAATGGTGAAGGGGTATCAACTTGAGTGTAAAGGAATGCGGCGCAAGCTTGGCGGATGTGGCGATGCTTGCGAGCTGGACATGGGGCACTGCCATCAATCCTTCTGCTGCCCAGCAGCAGGGTCCACCCTCCGGCGTCGGCCCGCCCCTATGCTGGGGATGCCATCACCCAAATCCCTGAACAATGACGCGCACCCTTGATTCGCAACCATTTCTCAGCGTGCTTTAACGCCACGTTGGCTGCTGCCGCCTCTGCCCTCAGCGCCTGCTCTGGCTGTTCAGGACGGGGTGATGGTGCTCTTTGCTGTCCTGCAGAGCACCCGTGTGTGTTTGTGAGCGCATAGCGCACTGCGAATCTGCGCTGCAAACATGGGCATGACCGCACCTACAAAAGCGACCTGCTTCGGCTCTTTGCTGGGCACCTTTGCATGGTGTGGCTACGCAGGAAAGATAAGCAGGGCATAAGATCACAGTCCATGCAGATTTGTGATTGCAGACATGTTTGACCGCATACCTTGTGAAGGTCCACGGCGACATGGTCCAACTGCGCCCTTAAGTCCTCGAGCTTGTTCTTAATGTCCGGCAAGGCACTTTCCACGGTCACGGCAGCAGCACCGGACCCAACAATTTCCCGTAAGCGTGCAAGAGGAATGGAAGCCCTGCCGTCAACGGCTTTCAACTGTATGATTCCGTAAAGAAGGGCAAGTTTGGTAATCTCCTGCCAGTCCTGTTCAGCGTAATTGCTCAGGAAAATGCGAACAGCTTTGTTTCGTAGCACATATTCATACCATGGCTCCTTAGATTTGGCCATCTTTAACCTGTCCTATACCGTTTACGCTACATTGCTTTGCCTTGGGTTGGCGGGCTCCGACCGATCAAGTTCCGGGTCTGGTCGTTTTTCCAACGACTGGTTTCGGTCAAGCCATCCACTTTCAGAGATTCATACGTCCAACGCCGTGACACGTTCATAAGGCTGTTGATGGTATTGACTCGTGTAAATAGTATGGCGTCACGTATGTGTTTGGCATCCCAGGCAAGCTGCCCGTTACCACATGCTGCGCAAGCAAAATGCCCCCGACCTCCAACGTGAAGGACGTCCTGGAAGCGCCCACCAGCTAGGCTTGCAACCGTGCATAAGTTCCCGATGGTTTGCGACAGAATCCCCGAAACTATCTGGGCCTTCGCATCTTCTAGCATTGCCTCACCCTCCTAGTACATCCTCCCCCCTTTCTCCTTCTATCCTCTACTTCCTCATGTTCCCTGTTCTGCACGCCCTTATCGAATGGTGCTGGTTGCTGGGCGTATGCCGGTGCTACATGACATGCACACTACCACGGTTACAGTCGCACGCATGTGCAGTGTGTAGTTGAGTAGAAACAAGAGCAAGCAGTTGGGATAGGTTCGCATGTGAACCGCGAGTAAGAGTCCGTAAGAGTCAGGGGGGCCAAGGACACAACACGAAACAGAGTCAGTCTCAAGGGTTAGTATAGTTGCCAGGCATAGCACATGTGTACGCCTTATGCTTTGGGGGCAACGCTCTATATCCCTATAACCCCCGAAACCCTGCCTTCCCACTACCCGGACGACCGCGATCCACGACTGCCTTCGTGCGGATCGCGCCCTATCATCAGATTTAAGTGCAGCTGGCAGGTTCGATTGGATATGATGAGAGTGGTGAATGAGAGAAGGCATGACACAGTTGGACCCAAATTCCTGTTATCCCCGTAGGACCTTCCTTTGCACCACACTTCCCAGCCACGCGGGAAGGGGCATGGGCAGGCCCATGATACACATGAGCCCAAGGTACACAAACAAAAAAATCGATCCCCAAATGGATATTGTCTCCTCATATGCAAGAGATACCGCGCATGATGCACCTATTAAGCAACATCCAGAAGCTTCTTATTGCCGGTATTATGCCACCTCTAACCGCCCTCTCAGGCAAAACCATAGAGCGCCCCTGCCTCTGTCAGACAACAGGGCCTCCTCCAGGCGAAAACTGAGGCCATGGCTGACCTCGGCGTATGTCAGCAGGATACCGCCCTACTACTCGCTTCATCTGAACAATGCCAGCAGCCGCAGCCGCAGCATCCTGAGACAATCCGAGCGTCTGGCAACCCGAAATCAATCAGACCCCAGAAATCAGACCCGAAAGGTAGGCCTCCCAAAGGCCATGTACAGGTACCATTGAACAACACGGAGCGCCTCATGAAGGCAGCCTCCAAGCAGCCTCCCCGCCCTGGCTGTTGCACCAGGGGCTTTGGGGCGGCTCAAAAGCACCAAAGGTATGAACGCAACGCATGTCCCGCAACGCAGCAGTGCCAGAGTGACAAAACCCGGAAACCTGCATTATTATCGTCCTGCAGAAATCGACCATATACCGTACTTCATGTTCGATATCTGCCCGATGGTCCCTCCCTGTCGGGAAGCTTGCCGCCCGTCCCCAAGAGATGGACAACCCTCCTATCCTTCGAACATCCAACGCCTCTCTTCAATTGTCAACTTGCTGGCTGACATACCTCCTACCAGAGCCATCCAAATCTCCGACTCTCCACCACAGCCTAGCTGGATACGGTATCCCCGAGCACTCCGACGCCCACTGCCGTACAACCGCAACTACCTACGGTACCCCTCCCGCCTTTCCTCCTGTCCGACCCCTAGCAAGCGCCCCCTCCACTGCACGGTCCCGTATATCACGTCCCCTACGACCCCCGCGCCCCAAGCCCGCTTCATATCACCTTCCCCTCACACATCCCTCGCAGCTGCCCTTCTCCCCAAGAAAGGAAACATGGCCCCAACGCCGCCAAGTCCCCGCCCCTTAAGGGAACATGGCCAGCTGCGACAGCGCAGTGGTCTCCTCCCAGCCCATCATGAGGTTCAGGTTCTGCAGCCCCTGCCCGCTTGCGCCCTTGACCAGGTTGTCAATCACGGAGATCACCACGGCACGGCCCGGCAGGCGGTCGGGGAAGACGTTCATGAGGCAGAAGTTGCTGCCGCGCACGTGACGCGTGTGCGGCACCACGCCCTTGGCCAGCACGCGGACAAAGGGCTCGGAGGCGTAGGTGGAGGCCAGGTGCGCGCGCAGGTCGTCAGCAGTGACCCCCGGGGCGGTCTTGACGTACATGGTGCACTGCATGCCCCTGTGTATGGCAAGGGAGGGGAGGAGGAGGGGAAGGAGGAGGGTGTACGGCAGGACGTACGGCATGCCAAGGGGAGATGGAAGAACGGGCTACGACGCTTTGACATACTGCACTCCCTGCTTACCCCTACCGCTGCTGCCAGGCTCCCAGCCCTACCCCCCACCCCTCCGCCGCCTCGCACCCCCACCTGCTCATGTTGATGAGGTGTGGCGTGAAGGACACGCGCACCGGCTGCCCCGCCGCCTCGCTCAGCCCCTGCTCGATCTCCGGCATGTGCCGGTGCGAGCCCACCGAGTAGCTGTTGATGCCCTCCGCGATCTCGCAGTACAGGTTGGACTCCTTGGCGCTGCGGCCCGCGCCGGACACACCTGGGAGCAGGGATGGGCATGGAGGGGACGGAGGGGGGTCAAAGACCATACCAAACCATAGGAGACCACAAGTTAGGGCAAAGATGGGCATGGAGGGGAGGGCAAAGATGGGCATGGAGGGGGCGGGGGGGGGGGTAACAATGAGGAAACCGACAAACTGGATGATGAGGCTTCACCATACCGGTGTGGGAGGGTGCGGGGCGGGGGGGGGATTGAAGGAGGGGGGAGGTAAGGGCAGCGCCTGGAGCGTGAGGACAGGACTGAGTCGGGGTCGGTGGCACACATTGTGGGTCTGCGGCACATAAGTACATTTGCATGGTGTATGCCGCGGATGTACAGGCCGCGCAACATCGTCAGCAGCAAGCCCCAACAACCCTCCATGCGTGTTTATCTCCCCCCGGCTGCTGCTGCTGCTCTGCTCCTGACCCTGACTGCGGGTGCAGCGCTGCTGCCCCCATGCTGCACCCCCCTCCACCCCCCTGCACGCTTGTCTTCCATCTTCCTTAACCCCCCCTTCTCTTCTTCTTGTACCCCCTCTCCTAGCCCCCGCTGCTCACCCGACTTGGCGTCAATGAGGATGTCCTCCGGCAACACCAGACCGGCCTGGGGATAGGGAGGGAAAAAGAAATTCCAATGTGTGGTGGGATAGGGAGGGGAGGGGAGAGGGTTGGGGGGCTTTGTCGCACCGTGGGGGAAGGGAGGTGGGCTTAGGGGCCGGGAGGGCGGGAGGTAACAAGCAACATCCCGTACCCTTTACCCTCTTCGCGTGCTTTACTTCCCTCATTACCGGTACCATCCTCCCCACCTCCCACGTTGTAGGTTGGTTTGGGTAGTCACTTCACTCTCCGGTCGCCCCTCACCTTGCGCGTTGGTTTGCCCACTCGTCATAGCTGGACTTATCTCTTATCTTCCCCCACCCACCCCCACCTTGACGAGCTTTGCCCTAACCTGTGGCCTCCTATGGTATGGTGCGAGTTTTGACCCACCTTGACCAGCGGGTAGAGCGGCAGCTGCGAGCAGGTGGGGTAGCAGCCGGGGTTGGCCAGCAGCCGCGCGCCCTTCACCTGCTCCCGGTACACCTCCGTCAGCCCGTACACAGCCTCCTTCTGCAGATCCACGGCGGCGTGGGCGTGGCCGTACCTGAGGAAGGCGGGGCAGGGTGGGGGTAGCGAGGAGGGAGAGGAAGGTGGGAGGAGGAAGAGGAGGTCTGGGCGGGTAGAGGAGTTTGTGGTGTTTGGGTAGGTGGGAGGCAAGGCCCTCTGCGGCCCCCCAACCCCACACCGCCCTCCCCCCAGCCCACCCCTCAGCCCACCCACCACTCCGCGTACACCTCCGGGTCCCGCAGCCGGAAGTCCGCGGACAGGTCCACCACCTTGAGCGAGGAGGGCAGCTTCTTGATGATCTCCTGTGGTGGGGGGGGGGAAGAGGGAGGAAGAGGGGGTCAAAGGAGATGGGTTTCTTCGCCGTTTCCTTCCTGGCTACACAGAAGGACCCCGCTGCACAAAAGGCCTTGATGCCGTTGTGATGGGCAGGCCCCCGGGACCTTTCGCCACACGCATGCGCCTTTCCCACTTGCCCTTGGGTGGGGCTCGGTACGCTCGGTGGGCTGGTTTTGTTTAGTAGTCAGCAAAGTTAGCCTTTCAGTTGGCCCCCTTCCCCTCTCTTGCTGTACCTGCGTGGTGGCGTGCGGCAGGCAGCAGAAGGCGGCGTCCACGTCCCCAAAGTCCACGTCATCAATCTTAACCAGCTTGGGTACATTGGTGGCGGTGATGAGGTGCGGGAACACGTCCGAGAAGTTCTGCGGGGGTGCAGGGCGGGAGGAAAGTAGGATGAGGTACGGCAGGTAGGCAGCAGCGCAGTGGAATTGTCTGTAGGGGTTGCACACCAGGCGGGACCCAGATCATTTTGTGTGCATTATGGTGGCATTTTGGATCAATGCATGCGAAAAAGCACTTGACCGTGTGGCTGCAAGGTGTGGGCATGCGGCTCGTGGTGAGCAGAGGAGAGGATTTAAGGGCAGGAAACCCTAGTAGAGGATTGCCATCAATGTTAGCGCAGGTTACTGCTGGAGCCGACGGCTGTCGCAGATTGAATATTTTAACAACAAAGATCATAGGGTAGGTGTAATAACACGGTTCAGCGAAAAAGAAGGGGGAAATGCAAAGTTCAGTTAGGGTTGCGCATCCACGTGACCATAAGACAACTTGACTGAAAGTGACACAGCCGAATGCACGCTGTAGATATTTGCAGCGTAAGGTATATAACCTCACCTTGCCGGCCTGCTTGTCGCCGGTCAGCACGGTAACCCTGATGTTCGGGTGTAGCGCGGTAAGCCGCACTACCTCGGCCCCAGTGTAGCCTGAGGCTCCAAGTACCGCAATTTTAGCAACATCCGTCTTCAGAGAAGCTCCACTTGATGCAGGAACAGGCGACGCCTGCAACGCAGGAACAATGTGCCATCTGTCGTTGCGATTGTCGTTCACCGGTCAGCAGGCCCGCTTGCCACGAGAGCGTGCGTCAAGTACAGCAAGGTGATGATCGCGATGGCCGTCCTGGCCATCGGCAAGTCTATGCAAGGCTTGCGCTGGGTCGGCGGCAATTCTCCGACACACGTGCGTCACGAAGACCCGTATCCCCCTTGAAATGCGCAACAACCATGGCTTACCACAGCCTGCGCCCTGATGCTCGCGGTGGAGCGACGGCTGATGCCGCTTTGAGTAGATGCCCGCTGTGAGAGACGCATTTTAGCAGGAGCCCTAGACAAGAAAGGCTTGCTATCTGTCTATATGAGGCTATTCGCAGTGTATTTATGCACGCAATTGACGACTTGTACAGTCCTGCATTATGTTATATGTAATTGGGCCCCCCGCATCATGAAACAAGTGTTGCTTTTCCAACCGGATCCCTGCTGCTTTCTTGCTACATAGATACTAAGAGTACACATAGATGCAGACAGCAATTAACCGTGGCAACCAGGGGCTTCGGCCCCTGAGCGATAGGTGTGTGGTGCTCAGCTTCTCTTCTCCGATTTCTCTCAGGCGCTATCTGACCTTTACCAACGCTTAATTGGATATATCTTGTTGCGACGCAGGCGCGCAGTTGCGCATGCACCTGCTTTTGGCTCGGCTACTTGCAGGCGCTCGTCAGTTCAGGTGGGAGAGGGTGGGGAGAGGGTGACTACAGCAGCTGCCATCTGAAATTGGCAAACATACGTCCTTTGGTGGAGGCTTGATCAGGGCTTGCGATGCAGGTTTTTGCAAAGGGTAAAGGCAAGGGCAAGACTGCATTTCGCCAAGGCACTGGCATGCCAGGGCAAATGGAGTCTATCCAAGTGAGTACATGATGCACTCTAAAGTCTACCTCTTGAACTCACACGATTCAGACGAACGCTAAGCGCTTGTTTCGGTTGATACAGCGAGAGATGCCAGTGCCCGAGGTAGACCCAGAGAACGCGGAGTTCGTCATGTTCTTCCGCTGCCTCAAGGTACGCACAGCTCAGTCATAACCATACGGCTCTCGCCTTGGGGTATCAGCCGTTTCGCTCCGGCGTACCAAAGGTCGCCCTGCCGCTCACATGTGTGGTTCCCATCGCTTCCGCGGCGCTGGTTGTGTGGCTCCCCGCAGTACAAGAACCCAACGGTCAACGTCATGGTGGGGCCCTCGCCGTGGATCCCAGTTACCATTATGAAGGGCAGCAACGCGCTGAACTTTGTCACTAAAGCTGTGGAGAACGAGTGGGGCATGAAGCTCTACGGTCGTACACTGGTCTGGCAGATCGCCAAGTCCATCTACCAGGTACGTGATGTGCGCACCGCAACCTGTCTTCCATTGCACGTTCCGCTGGCCTCTGCATAAAGGCCCAATAAAGGAAGAAGCCGTACAGCTGGGTGCGGCCGTAGGTAAAGGAGGGCCGTGAGCTAGACATGGAAGGATGTACGATGAGGGTTACCTGCCTCGCTCTGGGCGATCTGGGTCGGGGCGGAGGGCCTGGCTTACGCTGGGCTCGTGACGACCCTGGCAGGCCTGGAGCGCCAGGGCGGGAAATCATTAACAGAACGGACGGTTTCGAAGAGAGGAGAGAGATCTCTGTAGGATCCAGGGCACGTGCTGCTACATCTGAATTGCCGGTTTTCGGGACAGAAGTGGTCGGGGAAACTTGGCGGGTTGGGCGGGGAGGGGCTGGAGACGCAGAGCTTGGACGCCTGAACTGGCGGGGCACCTTCCACCATGCCTGCTGTCACCGTGTCCTCATGCTGCTGTGCCCTCATGCACACACACCTGCTCGCGGCCAGTTTCTTAACACACCTGCTTGTCGCCCCCAGGAGCGAGCCAAGCTGGAGAAGGACGTCCGCAAAAGGATGCCCAACTTCGCCAACGTACCTAGCAGCGACTTCGAGTACGCGTTTAAGATCCGGGTAAGTGCCGTACACGATTTGGGTCGGTATTGCTTACCAAGGGTTTTGATTTGAATAGCTGTCTTGGCTGGTGTTGCTGACCCATGGGTCGTTTAGAGGTCCCTTTGACGCAAGCGCTCAAGCAACCCAACAACACGGTCCAAACACCCCAGGGACCTTCTATAGCTATCTGTTTGTACCCTGTGTGCCCCCGTCGCCCTCCATGGTTTAACAAGGCTCTCTTGCAATTCCCCGCAGGACAAGGCCAACCCCAAGGACTGGGTCAAGGCCGAGGGGCTGACCGTGCTGCCCCCTGAGGTGAGCACCCGAGGGGCTTCCAGGCGCCCACCCCCTCGCACTATCCTCACATGTTGCCCGCCTGTTGCGTCCGGTCCATGTCCTGCCCTGCCATCCGTGCTGCGTACCCGGGTCGCAGCCTGTCCTGCTACCCACCCCCTCACCTCCCCCTCTTGGTGAGCTCAGCCCGCATCCCAATGCCCCGCCAACCCAACCCAGGAGGAGCTGGGCGCCACCGGGTTCGACCAGCTGAAGGCTTTCTTCTCCCTCGAGAACCTGGCTTCCATCTTCAAGACACCGGAGCAGCCGCCGCAGCAGCAGCAGTAAGGGCTAGCGCTGGGGGAGAGGGAGAGAGCAGAGGCCGCAGAAGCAGGACCTGTGGTCCTGGGGGCATTCTGCAGGCGCTGCGCAGTTGAGCGGGACAGCAGCAGCAGCAGCAACAGCAATGAGTACTCCGGAGCTGGGGAGGACATGTTTGGCAGATAACCGACGCAGGCGCCGGAAGCCGCATCCTGGGGAGCTTTGGTGGCACGTCGCTAAGCAGCGGGAGTGGCAGCAGCAGCGGTGTCAGCGCGGCAGCTGGCAGTACTAGTTCGTACTGCCAACTAGTGATATGGGGACTCTGCGTGAGCACAGGGTCGACGATGGGACTTAACTGGGGACGTCAAGCCGCCACACAGCCTCTCTGACAGGGCAGGCGGCGGTGCAGCGCTACGGGAGCGGTGGTCTCAGCAGTTGCAGCGGTAGCGGCAGCAACAGGAGCTGTGGGTACTGCATGCAAGGGGGCTGGACATGGGGTGTGGGGCGTGTGCAGTCCTTACCCGTGTGCGTCCGGGTCGTGGATTTCTGGCCGAAGGGGACTCTCACGGCGGAGTGGGGGCGTGTGAGACAGCTTGGTGAGAGAGGAGCAGCAGAAGCGGCAGAGGCGGTAGCAGCAGCACGGTTGAGGGGATTCCCACACATGCGGGGGTTGCCTCATACATGGGAGTGATATGCGTACAGGGGTGGTGATGCATGCATGGGGTTGTTCCTAGGGCGGCTGTGTGGCAGCGGGAAGGGTGCTGGGGTGCTCGACACGACGGAGGTGGCACACGGGCCCACAGGCCTGCGAGGAGTGGGAGACAGTACGTACGGGGGCTGGTGCTTCAAGCCAGGCGTGATAGGTAAAAGGCACGCACGTCGGGAGTTGGGCCCTTGGCAGCATGAGAAGATAAGACGAGAGAGTGGAGTAGTTTTGCGCTGCGCATGAGTTTTGGACGGGTTGCGTCATGCAAGCGGCGGCAACATTTGCGGAGTTGGTGTGTGTGGAGACACGGAGGCTCTGTGCAAAGTGGTTTCGAGTTTAGAGTGCGGGAGTTGGTTGTGATGGGGGCAGCATGGCTCGCCGAATGGCGGGCTAGCTTCCTTCGTTTGGGAAGCGGTGTTGGGGGGCGGGAGGTGGTGGTTTTATAGTTGGGTTACACACGCATGAACCAGCGCCACTATTGGTTCACGACAGTCGTCCTTCCAGGATGGACAGGCAGCGGAAACCATGACATCTGGCTAATCGGCTACTAACCCCTTACGGACATGCAGTAGAGTGGTTGTTTTCATCTGCTGTCATTTGCACAGCCTCTTGCGGCGCTACAGCATCACCCCCCGCAACAAATATGGCGTGGGCACCCCATCCCAGCTAGCAATGTGCAAACTAGGGGCGGTTACCCCCGCAGTTTACCAGAACGTCTGTAGCATGCCGCACTAGTGACTTGTGATTATAAAAGTACCTGCATCAATAATCAACAGCATGTGTCCTCGAAACGTTCAGATGTCACACGTGCCGGGCCTTCAATTTTTGTACGGGATCTTGCTAGATTTACGGAGAAGTACGACGACAAGGCCCTCCGTCGCCAGGTAGTGTCATGAATGCGCACACAAACATGTCGCAGCCAGTGTCTGTTGCAAGCTTGCAAGCCGCCCTGTTCCTATGTCCTTGACTCGGTGCCCGGCACGTCATTGGTCCCTGGGGAATGCCCATGTTTGACACTCCAAGCAGGCAGCGTTGACCTTCAGCAGCTTCATCTGCAAGCCTTTAACGGTTGCCTTTACCACATGCCCCACAACCTACAACACAACTCAGTAAAAAAGGTGCACTCAGTGCGGAACGCATACCTGTACTGCGCCCCGGCGGGCTCCCCGCCTCCTGTACCAGCAACAGCAACACACAACACACCCAGCGGCGCTGGAGGTGACCTGTGCGGCGGCGATGACTCCAACATCACGCCATGCTAGACTGCTAGAGCGCCGTACAGGAACAGATACCTCCACCACCACCACCGCACCCGCATTCCCAACACACAGCAGCAGCGCAATCAACCCATATGATCGTTCTCTAGAGCTCTTCATCATCTTCTCCCTGCGGTTTGTCTTGCTCATGACTACCCCTTATCAAACCCTGCTCTCGCTCGCCTCCCCTCCGCTACTCCGGCGGTAACAGCCCAGCCTAGCATCAGCCCCACTGGCTCCTCAGCACGCTAGCTGCCTTGCATCATCCCTTCTGCGCATACATTTCCACATGACATCTATACTTTTCCCCACGCCTTCCTCCTCTCCTTCTCCTTCTCTTCCTCCTCCCTCCTCCTCCTTCATCCTCTTCTCCTTCACCCTCGCTCAGCGGAGGAATGTTACCCCCCCCCCACCCCCGCTCCGCTGCGGACTCAGTAGATGTCATCCTCCGGCTCCGCCGCCCCCTGCAGCCTGCTGGGCAGCAGGATGGACAGCCCCATCATCAGTGCGGCGAACACAATGAAGCCGTTGACGGCGGCGGAGTAGAAGGTGTCGTCGGGCAGGACGCCCAGGTAGCCCGCAATCTGGGGAAGGGGGGAACCACACCACAAGTGAGGGCAAGGTCAGTCATCATAGCTATGGAGGTATCGGTGTCCAACAAGCCATTGGCCCCCGCTGCCGCTCCCCCCCAACCCCTCCCCCTTCCCCCCTCCACACCCACCTGCCCCAGAGGTCCCCGACCCGTCTTGATCTCGTTCACGAAGGCCGCTGCGAAGCCCAGCATGGCTAGACGTCCGTGGAAGAGCTGAGGATTGGGGTGATGAGGTGGAGTGGAGCGGGGAGAAGAAGAAACACCGGGTGGGGTGGGGACGTGGAGTGGGGTGGGGTTGGATGCAGCAGCTAGGAATGGCCCGACGGAGATGCGAGTACGTTGCGTTAACCAACAGCAAGGCGAGCAGGTACCAGCATGCAAGGAAGCTTTGCCTTGCGACGGCGAATGTGGCTGTACGGTAGGGTGCTCTACGGCAGGTTACCATATCCCCTGCTCAACACAACCCAGCATTTTCCCCTCCCGCCCCTTCACCCCTCGCCTCTCTCCTCGCCTCCCTCCTCGCCTCCCGCGGTCCCGCCCCCTCACCTCGTTCCTCTTCGTGAATCCCCAGCCCGACACCCCCAGCAGCTTGCCCAGGTCCAACGGGTTAACCAGCCGGGTGGGTGGACCCTCGGGGCGCTTGGCAACATCCTGCGGGGAGGTGGGGTGGGGTGGGGGGTGGGGGGTTAGGCAGGCGGAGGCAGGCGGGCGGACAACGGGGTTTGCCACGGGGGCCCGTTGCAGGCCGTCGGGGTAACAGCAGGGCGGGTGTCAGATGGAACGCAGGATGAGCTGGATGCGAGCAGGTGGTTCATCCTGGAAGAAGCATGAGATCACACTGACATGCCGTTCGTACAGGCTCTGCCGCACTCTGCCTGTCGTACACTCTGCCTGCTATACCCTGTCGTACAAGCTGCCGTACTTCCCTGTCGTACCGCTCACCCGCAGGTTCTCCACGGAGAAGGTGGGCGACCAGGGTCCCAGTCCGCCCACCACGTTGTAGACCACGATGCCCAACACGATGGCCACCACACTCGCCTCGTCCAGACCCGTCCACAGCTGCACCTGTGTGTTTGTGTGTGTGTGTGTTTGTGTGTGTGTGTGTGTGTTAAGGAAACTGGCGTGTGGTGTTTGGGAGAGGGAAGGAGGTTGGGGTGCGGGTAGAGTGCGTGTGGGGCCTTCCAGCAGGCCGGCCGGCCAGCAGCTGGTCGTCACGCCGAAGCCAGCGGCGGGGCACCCCATCTGCAGCCGCCCCTCCTCCCTCCATTCCCCTTCCCCTGTTTCATTTATTTAATTTTTCCCCCCCTTCCCCCGGGCCCCTCTCCGAATGCGCTCACTGCAGGAGTCAGGCTTTGGGATTGGGACTCCGTCGCTGCACTTATCATTTACTTTCCCGTCAGTCCCCCCCACCTGGCGAATGGGGCCCAGATGGCCCTTGGTCCACACCTCCAGCGCACACGTGGCCAGGAAGCCCACCATGGCAATACGCCCAATGAAGACCTGGCGGGGGGGGGGGAGTGCGGGGGAGTGGGAGCTAGGATAGGTACACCGATGCGGTCCGACCTCCTCCGGGAAGACGGTAACTCTATTGCCAGTCTGCAATGCTGTTGTGGACAACAAGCATGGTCGGTACAACATACATACGCAGTTTCCTTAACAGCCGCTCTCCTGCCCCTCCCCACCACCTCACCTCCCGCCGCCGGGTGAACGCGGGCATCCAGAGTGGCACCTGCACCGCCGCCGAGTAGCCCTTGCCGGCACTGCTGCGCTCCACCCCCTCCACAACTCGGCCCACGTCCTGGGGTGTTTACAGTACGAGAGGTGTAGGTAATTACAGGTCATGTCTTATTATGGGGCAGGGGTGAGGCGTCAGTGATGTGATTGGTATATGTGATGATAAGGGCGGTTGGAGCCTTGGAGAAGTAAGGGTCCCGACCGACCCATGGGTCACTTAAACCCTTTGCGGACAATGGCGCAACAGCAGGCCTGGCGCTTTGTGTCAGAAGGACACGCACACACAGGTGTGTTGTTTCCGGCGCCCTACCTCTAGTCGTTGCGGACTCTGCAACCACTGGCATTGCAACAAGCAAGCCCCGACCCCGACCCCGACAAGAGGTGGGATGGGACGCGGACGGAGGGGGCAGCAGGATGGAGGGGCAAGCAAGGGGTTGGCATTGCGTTGTTGCAATGGACTAGCCGTCCAAGCTCACGAATGCGCATTATGCGGTGCACCGACCTTCTTGAGCTCATCTTTGGCCGACCCGGCGGTGTTTCGAACGTCCTTAGCAGCCTGCGTGCATGACATGGAGGAGATAAAGAGGGGAAGGGGCCATTAAGCAGAGCCCTACATTGCTCTAACGATTTCGTCAGTCGGCATCTTAAGACAACCCTGAACTGCCAGTCTATAAGTGCAAATCTAAATCCAATGCGACACACTTCGTTTCGAGATGGAACGTGGAATGTTTTAGTAAGAAAACTGACCCATGGGTCGTGGTCCGCACTTCGCAGCGCCGCACACCCAACACGCCCGGTGCGGCCAGCCCCCCCTCATTACAGTTGTTATAAGTTAACAGCATAGCACGCAACTCCTCTTTCCAACAAACACCCAAGGAGTTCATGCTCACCTCTTTAAGCCCCTCCTCCTGCTTGCGAATCACATCTTCGCTGGCGCGACGTTTCGCGATTTCCTCGTCGCTTTCCTGCTGGACGAGGTTCGACAGCAGTAAAGGCGCGCAGCGACATTACGCCACATTCCACATTGCTTCAAACCTCTGGAATGATAGTTCATTTGCATGTCAAGGATTGCAGGCCATGGGATAACGCAACTGCAAGGAAGGACCGTGCGCGCGCCGAGGAACTTTGGCGCCATCCACCATGACGTCGAAACCTGCCCACCTTGAAGCGCCGGACTACCGAAACGCGACGCAGCAGCAGCGGCGCGCTAGGCGCCAAAGTCGCACCGCGCAGGGAGCGTGGTTGGGATTTCGAAAGCACACCATGAAGCCGCGTTGACATCATTGTTACGGATAGGGGTCTCGTAAGGTTAACTTCTGCAGAATGTAGGCTACTTGTTGAGCTTGCTTTAGCGGGTCTAAAACGCCTTAACGTACGTGATTGACAATGGCACTTTCGCCGATATGAAGAGGGGAAATGGCTAGGGCTATAGCGAAGCAAGGCTTGCGTACGGCCCTATGGCGTCATTCGTATCTAGGTGATCAAGTATCTGTCATACGCAGCGTGTGAGCTCGATCGCTGCAGCCAGGTGCACACGGGCGACAAGCAGTTGCTTGGAAGTGCCCTTTGTTAATTGTTAAAGTAAGGGGCGTGCTTGGTGTTTGCGCGCTTTAACATTGTTCGCAACAAGGATGCTTCGGAGTTTTCTGAGTTCAGATGTCGCCCTTATTTGCTTCACCCCTTCCTTTTCTGGAGCGCGGAAGCCATGTATGGTACTCACCGGCACCTTGTGCAAGCCTAGGATTTCAATTGCACAGCCGTCGTCATTCGCGTCTTGACATCAGCCCCGCCTCTGCCCATGCAACGCACCATTACACACTTAGCAAGCTCACAACTCTGATTTGTTTGTTACAAGGCCGCCTGCGGTATACCCCTTCGTGTTTAGTGCACGCCCGTAGTTGCATACAATATGGGCTCAGGCCTCGGACCCATGGGTCATTAGCCACTGAACCGTAGATCGCGCTACTGCATCCGCTTCACCTACAGCATATTAATTACCGGTTGCTAGATACCGACTAAGGAATGGAATAAGGACCCGCAATGGAACGGCTCTGCTGCGCTGGACCCCGGTACGACACCGTTTTCAGCTCGTCTGGGGAAACACAGACACGCGGGGTAGAAGACCAAAGCAGAGCAGACAACGAAGCGATGACAACCCTCCATTCCAACGTGCCCGCGCCTGGGCTCACACCAAATGCATATATAAGTAAATGTTAAGTAATTGGTCACGGATTGCGTGGTTTTACGGGGGCGTGTGCGCCGGCGCTGTGCGACACCAGCTCCCGTAGCTAAGCAGCAGTACGTCATGAAAGTTCATGTCACATGAACACAGTATACGTAGCAATCATCAGTCAAACGTAGCTGTTGACAAGGCGCACACCTCAATTCTCACTAAATCCCAACCCAACCCCCAACACACATCCTAACAGAATACCAAGCAAACCCAAACACACCATCGAGCACAAATATTTACGTAATCTATATGCAAGCAAGCGCAATAAATGCCGGTACCCATTGTTGATTCTCCCATTTTCCTTTTCCTTACCAGCAGTCTTCCCCGAACGTCCCGCCACACCATCCTAGAGCAGTGTGCACCACTCCAGCGCATGAATTCTACATAACTGTTGAGCGCGGTGTTGCCGCGAAGTAACCAGCAAAATTGTCCTTACCATTGCAAGTCACGCAGCTAAGCAACGCACGCAACCACATGCTGGGCTACGGGCGCTACAACCCGCCTTGCGACGGGAAACCAACCCAACCTGTCTTTCCAGAAAGGCCCTCTCTCTTCTCCCCCCTCCTACCCGTCTCCTTCCGGAGAGCCAGGCAGTACTCCAAACGTGCTCCAAAGGCAGGTCAAGGGCGCAGGAGCCTCCTTCTCAGCTCCCTTTCCAGCCCTAAGCAATACCCACGCGATACCTCACGGATGGTCCCGTGCGGAGTGCCCCGCTTCTCTGCGATGACCGCTTCAATCGCGTGCCTTGGCCACTCTGGACGCGCGCTTAGGAACGTGATTATCCCTAGCTAGGGGGCGGCGGCGGCTTCTTCTTCTTTGGCGGCGGAGCTGGCGACGGCGGCGGCGGTGACGGCGGCGGTGGGGATGGTGGCGGCGGCGGTGGCGGCAACAGAGGCGGCGACGGCGACGGCGGCGGCGGCGACGACGAAACGAATACCACCGGGAACAAAGGCGATTGCAGCGGCGGTGGCGGCGGCTGCTTCTTCTTGCCCGGCGGCGGCGGCGGCGGCGAAAAGGACGTCCCCGGCGGCGGCGGCGACGGCGGCGGCGACCGAGGCCTGAAGTACTTGGGAGGTGGTGGGGGCGGAGAGTTGGGCTCCGGGATGGGCCCTCCGCAATCGGGATCGTCCTTGTCAAGAAGTCCGTCGCTGCGAACGGGGTGGCGGTTCAAAGGTCATTCCTCCAGGTCAGGCAGCAACAGAAGCAAGCCAGGATAGCCGGCAAGACCTCTCGCGAATGATAAGGCCCAACCTGGCCCAACACATTGAAACAAGTGCAAATCGGTGACATGCATGCATGATCGCAAAGACTCTCACCAGTCGTTGTCAATGCTGTCTTCGCAGTTATCTTCTTTCTTAACGCTAAACCGACACAGCGTGACGACTGCGGCCAGATCGGTCTTGCTCTTCACCACCACCAGCAGGCCTCCCAGACCCGGGCCGGTTGCGTTGTCCATCGAGAAGAAGGTGGGCAGGCTGCCAATGCCCTCGATGGTGTAGCCCGGTTGGTCGGTCAGGAGAGCCAGGGAGATGGGGTTCATGGTGGCGGACATGGCGTTGGCGGTCTCGTCGTATTGATGGATCCTGCATGCGCGAGGGGCGCGTGAGGGGTGCATGGGGGGTGCGTGCGCATGCTGTCATGGACATGGTGTGTGCTAAAATAACTGGCCGCGAGGCGAAACGTACTGTGATTGCCGAAACATGGTGTGTGCATGTGCATGCTGTCGCACACATACGACGACGGCGGTGTGCGTAGGCAACGTGCTATCACGTAAGGCAGTGGGAGCCACCGGTAACCGGTACTTTCCACCGAGAAGACAGGACAGGAGGACAGGAGGCGGTGTGCATGCCGGTATCTGATGGGCACAGCTGAACTTAATTGTCACAATCCCAACGGGGGACTCCCCAAGGTGGGCGGGTGTGCCGGGGTTGGATCAGGTGCACGGCTTCAGACAGCATCACAACAGCAGCAGCTTTGGCAGGGGCGAGCCAGGCATGCGTACGGTGAACCGCAGAGTGTGCTTTCGTATATAAGGCCTATTCAGAATCTTTATTGCTGTCAAGTTACTATGAGTAGAGGAAAACGTACGTATGTACGTACGACAGTGAGCAGATGTACGTACGTACCAGATTATCTTGTCCAGCTCATCAGGTATGCCTGAATCGTACGTTCCGACGCCGGGCTGCCGTACCCTGCAGGAACAGCAGTGCCAGCAACAGCCAGAAGGTTAGCCGTACTTTCCATGTTCGTGTGCAACGTGTTTACCACCATGAGCGCAAACAGTGCCGGCGTGTCGTCCCAAAGCCGGCGGGCAGAGCGCTAGAGCCGTGAAGTACCGTTGGTGAACGGGAGTACGGCAGGGCAGGGTTAACATGATACCGTACTTTGATATGTACTATGCATGCCTCCGGGCAACATGCCTCTATGCGACTTCGTAACCGGTGCACGGTATCCAAGCAGAGTACGGCCAGATGTTCCAAAGATGACAACGACAATACCTTCACACGAATGACAACAAGGTCCAAGCAGCTCACCGATACGAGATGAACACGGCTCGCTGGGGTTTCGGTGTTGTATTGACCATCAAACCGGTTTGGTCTATCCAAATGCGCAGCATGTTGTTTTTGCTCAGCGCCATTGCCGGCAGCGTGACGTCGTACATTTTCCCCTCCTCTAGGGTGTTGATGTCAAAATTGCCGTACTTCACTGGAGAAGCCCAACCCGTCTTGTACGCCTGCAAACGGCACAGCAAAGCACTCAGCATTGCATAGCGTACCGTACACAGCAGCAAACAATTACTAATCAAATCAAAACTCTAGAGGTTGTTCCAGCGCAGTCAGTCCCTCAGTCCTGTTGCGCCTGTTGCAGCCCTGTCGGACCCACCTGTGGTGCCGACAAACACACCAGGGTTTTGTTGAGATCCAAAAAGCGCGCTTTGCCCATGGGGTCCGAGAAATCGCCCCTGTCGTCCTCCTGACAGACGTCGCCAGCGCACTTAATGCTCGCGGAGTGCCAAAGCCCGATGTTGTGTCCTGTTTAGGCAGCAGCGGTCCCTCGGATGTTAGGTGTCGGCTTTTATTTATTACTCTTTTAAACTATAGAGGACAGGGCTAACACGGTATTAGAATCTTACTGCGGTACAATCCAGCCATCGTTGGAGGAGAGGGACACACCCACCATTCATGGCGGTTCGTCACGCCACGCATGCAATGCAATTCACGCACACGTAAAGAAACGCATGCACCTGCATGAACGCGGTCATCAATATCCATGCAAACAGCAGTCACCCGCCCACCCAAACAACCAGCCGCCCACCCCCTTGCATGGGTAGGTTACATGGTTACGTTATTCCGCTATGCCCACCCTGCTAGCTTACCCAACTCCTGGAAGACGGTCACAAGGCTGGGTTGCCGGCGCTTCACGTCGTGGTTGAGGAACGTACGGCAAACGTACGGCGGCCCAGGGCAGCCGATGTCAGCCTGTACATGGGGGAAAAGTAAAATGCAAAGTGAGGCAACGGAGTCCCAATCCCATATCACGACTCATGCACAAGTGGGGGGGCACATGCGCGTGTGCCGGCGGTGTGTGTACAGTAATGAACTGTGGGATGAAATTAGGACAGTACGGAACAGTGGTACAGTGGCACATCAGTCAGCATATACGTGTGAAAAACTGTGCATATAAAGACGAAAACTGTGCCGTAGCGTGTGCAGGATAACAGGTATGCGACATCGGTGGGGAGATACCGCTGGGGAACATGAGCCTTATCCTCCGCTTAGCTGTTGCTCGTCTGCCCTAGAGAACTCACAGGTAACCGTGTGCCGATGATGTCCGTGACCTCAGAGAGAGGATTGTTATTGTTAATATAACAAGCTTATATTAAAAAAAATTGCATGTACGGCATCTTCAAAAGATGTGTTGTACTGCACATTAATGGGAACTCGACTCACATATCCGTCCCAGTTGACCACCGTGTCCACCGCATTGAAGGGCCAGATGGAGACGAAGCGCCGCATGTGGGCGGACAGGTTGTAGGCGGCCATGTCGTTCTGAGCGGGATCGGAAAGTGAGGCGTGGGAGGCAGGGAAGAAATAAATGAGAAATCAACAGGGAGGGAGAGAGAGGGGGGGAGGGGGAGGGGGAGAGAGGACAAAAGGGAAGGAGGAGTCAGCTCGGTTTGGTTGATCTCCCATCATACAAACATATACATAAATCACACGTCGCTGCCAAGAGCATGGGGCGAGAGGACAGCTGATGGAGCTTGTTCTCTACCTGCTGCTCCTCCCTCGTCATTTGCCTACCGGCACTACTCAGTACACTACTCAGTACACTACTGACTACTCAGTACACTACTGACTACTCAGTACCCTACACAGTACTCCACTCCCGGACACACATCATGTGAGCGCGTTCGCCGATACTTTACAAGCCGGTTTTCACGAGCTCCACGTTCTGGCGGACCCCGCTCTCGCACACGGCATACCTTTTTCAGGTAAGCTTTGGCCAACTCTGGGAGCACCGACAGCTCGTTTTCATTGTCGGCACCGTTGCCGTAACCGTTTCGGAGGTTGTAGGGACCGCGTGTGCCGTTGCCCACGCAATCTATGTCGACCTCAAACACCTGATTGAGATCCGGAGGAAACTGGAGTTGCTCGTACGAGCAAACCTGCGTGAGCGGTAAGGAAAGGGGGGCGTATTACAGTAGGTTCATGCCGATGCTGATAAGGTCTGGTTGCAATCGCAGGTAGCTAGGGGCTTGGTCCAACCAGCTTTGCAAAAGGATTGATTTCTTTTCACACCCAAAAACACAAGGTTGGAAGGCCAAGAAACCGGTGAGCGCAGTCCGGTCAGAACGCACTGCCATCCGGCCATCAGTGGCCCCACCTGCCCCTGCCGCTGCCCCTACTCACGCTGTAATATCGCTGCAGGGTTGCAACAATGGGCGCGTTATCGCCTTGGTCGTACCAGTATTGCTTCAGCGTGTCCAGCTTGAATCCGGTGCTGATGTTGCACTTGGTGCTCTTGAACAGGAAGGTCATGGAGGTGATGTTCTGCGGCTGGCCGTTGATGATGAACAGATCCTGATGGAGGAGGATGGGGGGGTTGGATAATACAGGTTAACACAGCATTAACGTGACGGCAAGATGAAGAGCAGGATGAATGAATGACCGTTACAATGGTTTTCTAAAAGGGAACACGGGTGATGAACCCAACCCTACACTGCAAGAGAAACGAAACAGGATGTAGCGTAGCATGGACGGCATTGTAGGCCCTGGGGGCGGAAGCGGGTCCCTAAGGATGTGTGACGAGCAGGAGAGAGGTGGGAAGGGCATACGGGCCCCATGGCATCACGTACCGGTGCCCACTTGCCTCCACGCGGGGCAACGTACGCACTGCACAACACCCAACCTGTCCACCCAACCAACCCAGCCACTCATGGCAGGTACGACCACCCCTCGTCGCTGCATGTTGCACAGCTGCAAAGGGTGCGTCAGGGGCCCTGGGGCTGTGGGCCAAGCTCGACCTTCGAACACAACCCCCCCACCAACCGGACCCCTGGCCGGCCCCCGCAAGGCAGGGCTCCAAGGCAGGACTCCAAGGCCGGCCCCCGCAAGGCAGGGCTCCAAGGCAGGACTCCAAGACTAGCCCCCGCACGGCAGGACTCCAAGGCCGGCCCCAGGTAGCCCCACCTTGGTGCCCACGTTGTTCTTCACCACCACATCCGTAGCCCGGGGCACCAGCGTAGAGCCGCTGCTGCCCAGCCGGCTCAGCAGCGAACTCAGCTGCTCGACCTCCGCAACGCTGCGCCGCGTGCCGTGGAAGTCCAGGATCATGCGGCGGGCGCGAGACTGCTCCTCCGTGAGGGCGCGGCGGCGGCCAGGGTTATTAGGGGTGTCGCTGAGGCGGCGACGGTGGCGGGACGCCAGGGTGCCGTTTGTGGGAGCGCCGGTGGCGTCAGGAACTGCGTGAGAGGCGTGGAAGTGGGATGGGTTGAGGTGGAGATGGGATGTGGGGTGGCGTGCGGCAACGAACTGGGGTGGGGTTTGGAGTTGGAAGGAAAGACCCTAAGCCCCCCCCCACATGCTCACTCGCTGCACCGCGAGCAGTAACCAGCCGTAACGTACCCAGGTCTAACTTGCGCGCCAGGTCTGAGGTAATGTTGAAGTGGATGGGGGTTTCCAGGTTGTCGCCCGTCATGACCCTTCGGGTGGTGTTGAGTTCCACACGCAAGGCGACCGTTGACGAGTCGCTAGCCGTGTCGTACAGGTGGTGGAAGATGTCGGAGTTGGGGTTCAGAGTGAGCTCTATGTCTTCGACTGTCATGTTTTGCGCGGGTTCCGAGTGAGCTGTGGAGACTAGAAGCTGGCCTGAGGGTGGTGTTGTAAGTTTGGGTAAGCGTGGGCACGTAGCAAAGTGGTGGGGTTGGAGGCTTGAATCCAGGGCAACCCAGGGAACCAGTGAGGAAATCCTGGGTTCGGCTCGAAATTACCTGGCACGTGACCGTCGAAGTGATAGAAGGAGGCGAATGGGCAAAGATAAAAGCAATATCCATGGGTTACGATTGTGGGGGACAGTTGACAGGGACACTGGTGGCGTTTGACGCAATGGAGGAAGCTCCACGCACCTGCTACCGTCACAGTGACTTGCACGTATTCTACTGGTTGCGGAGGAGGAGACCGGAGACGCTTCGGGGGCGGCTTGGGTGGCTTTGGCGACGGTGGCGGCGGGCGTGGGGGTCGCTTCGACTCTGCAGGGGAGATGGGAGGTTGCCATGGCAGAGGAGAAAAGGTTTGCAGCTTCCAGGCAAGGTAGGCCTGCACCCTCTGGCACATGCGGAATCTACATACAGTAAGGCGTGTCTACGCAAGACGCGAGTGCAGCGTGTGCAATCGCAGCATTGAGGCAACGCCTCTCTTCAGAAGCATTCTCTAATGAAGATTTTGCAATGCGGCCGAGGGGCCTATATATGACAGAGGATTCTACATAACAAAAGTGCCGATTGGTAGGCAAGGGCTTGCATCTTGCTCATGATGGAACCACCCCCAAGCTCACCGACATTGAGGAGTAAGAAACTCAGTAAGATAAGCCACACGAATGGACGTATTCTAGGCGCCATGCCGATGGAGCGCCTCAGCTCTTTAGTTACTGCCTATTGTATGCTTGCTGCGCAGTCCACAGGGTATTCGAAGTTTTTCATACGGGCTGCTATAAAGGAGTAAGATAACCTGCGCTATCCGGAAGCATGGCTCCGCGGACGTGCTTACCAGTCGGGCCGACAGCCGTACGTTATGACTGTCCGTTTGGCCGAGCAGTGCCCGTTCAGAGTTCGCCCTTGGCCGGCCTAACTCGCCTGAGGCGCGCCAGCGCCGTTTTTTCTAAATTATAGCAGTCTCTTACGCAATGTGTCTGCGCCTAATTATTGTGACTCAGTTGTACTTCTGTACTCTTTCCTATTTTTTTCAGCGTCGCAGGATGCATTGGTCGTTTATTAAGCACTTATCCGATCATGGTATCTCCATGGTTTCCCTGCAAGCGGGGACATCCCAGAGCATTGCGGAAACGAAGTCATAGTAGCGACAGTGACAGTGACAGTAGCGACAGTGACAATGGGCTATTGCCCAACAAGTCTGAGGGCAAATTCTCCTTGGGAATTTAACTGGCATTGGTGTACCGTCTCGTCTTGGCGACATCCTACTTTCTTAGAGCTGCCGTAGACTGCGTCGGAGTAGGTGACAGCAGGGCAAGAGGCGTACCCAGAGCAGGGTTATTTCGCGTCGGTCGACTTCCAGTGGACTTCCCTATGGTACCCCTCCCCGCCCTGCTCCATGCACAAAACGCCCAGGCCTTACCACGGCCAAACTGGGCTTAGCACGCTTTGCCGTACAATACATGCTTGGGGCCGCCGAGGGCTGCCCAGGCATCTACTTCACATCCGTCGTCTTTCATTGGTCTTCCCTATGCCGCCTCATTCTTTCCCGCGCACTGAAACACTCCGCCCAGGCCTTCCATCGCCTAGGAACAACTAGGTGGCATTCTGGGGTGTCGGCGGGCTTGTGCGATCAGCATTACAATGCCAACTGGTGGCTGCTCAGGAGCCCAACTGGTCTCCTGAGCCAATGAGACAGCTACCGGTATACCATCTCGATGAGACCACCAGTGGACCAACCAAGCAACAATCTCAAAGCTACCGCTGGCCCACATCCGTGCATATGTGCGAGAAGATAGAGTGGTTAATAACTGTAGTGGAAGGTAAAGGCGTCTATTTACCGAGTAGGGTACCAGAATCCATACAGCAGGCCTACTGTTGGGAATCTGGTGCCGGTGATGTTGCACTTGGCGCATTACCTTACAGCCTAAAACCGTTAAGCATGAGTGTTAAAAGGGCATGCAGGGTACCGGCAGTCGCAACGTTGCGCCAGCATTTCATTGCCCACGTCAAGTCATACACACCCGTGTTCTGTACAATGCCCCAAAGCTGCGCAACCGAAAGCAGCCGAGAGCTATGTAAGAGAGTCCGCCATCTCAACCCCCATCTCAGGAAGTGTTCAACTCTTTTAACATACCTATCATGGCAACGAAAAACGTGACCCTAACTAACCACGAGAAACTGTCAGAGCAGCACTGGCTACGATACCGGCAAGGCACATAAAAGAAGCAAGGCTACTGCATTGGTCTGCCAACCCTGCTACTGATGCACGTCTCTACCTATTTATCTTCACGCCTTCGTTCTTTCCTCTATGGCAAAATGCACCCAAAGATGCACGAAGCCACAGCATAGATGCACGCTGTGCAAAAGTGGGACCATATTTGTTTCTTCAACAAGATAAGGCACCATAGCGTCTAAATCTCAGTTTCCACATCACAAACATGCACGTGCGATCATGTCTGATCACGCCCTCAAACTTCAGACCGTAACCAAAGTGCCCAGCCCGAAAGCCTAAGTGGGCATGTTCAATTTACAGCTCAACACAATGAGGCGATCACCTTGCCGTATCGATTCTAACCGCATTTACCGTTCCGTGCAAGCTAAGAGCAAGGAGCACATCAGTACGGCCATCGCTCAGGCGAACTGACCGTTTATACCCAAGTTCGATACATGGAGACGAGCGCCGCATAGATATAACCATTGGACATACCAGCCATGTAGGCAGGTGCGTCGCGTCTTAGCCGCTCTTCTTCGGAGGGGGCGGTGAAACCTTTGGTGGAGGCGGCGGCGGCGATTTGGTCCTCTTCGGCGGCGGAAAGGAGTTCGGCGGTGGAGAGGAGTTTGGCGATGGAGAGGAGTTTGACGGTGGTGGTGGGGAGGATTTTGGCGGCGTCGGCGACGGCGGCGGTGGTGGTGAGGGTGGTGGAGACGGCGGCGGGGACTTCGGCGGCGGCGGGGGTGGCGACTTCTTCTTGCCTGGCGGCGGCGACTTTGGCGGCGGCGACTTTGGCGGCGGCGATGGCAGCGGTGGCAACGGCGACGGCGGGGGTGACTTGAAGACCACGGGCGGTGGCGGTGGCGGGCGCCGTACCACCACCGATCCGCCGCAATCCGGATCCTCCGAGTCGGCGAGCCCGTCACTGCAGTCATTGAGGGGTTTCGGATGTTTTCGGGAGTTTAGGTCTAAACATACCTTTGCTTCGGAGGTCACAAGGAACAAGCGGGTTGCCGTAAGCAAGGACGAAAGTCAAGAGCTACCGTAATATGCAGGTGAAGGAAGCAGAGACGACACGACGCAAGCAAAAATGCCTGCTAGCAATAATCAACACACCATCAACCTAACACCCCATTAAACTCTCGCCACACCGCAGCACTCACCAGTCGTTATCCACTCCATCATCACAGGTGTCCTCCGTCTTGCCGCTGAATTTGCACACGCTGACCACCGCTTCCGCCTCGCTCTTGCTCTTCACGGTGATCAGCAGCCCTCCCTGCCCGGCGCCCGCTGCGTTGTCCAGCGACAGGCTGCTTGGCAGAATGCCCCAGGAGTTGACGAACTGCTGCGGCTCGTCTGACAGCAGCGCCAGCACCAGCGGCGGGGTGGCGATGGTGGCGGACATGGCGTTGGCGGTCTCGTTGTACTCGTGAACCCTGAAGAGGCGGGGAGGGGGGGCAGGAAGGCAGGGAAAAGCAATGAGAAGTGAAGCAACGGAGTCCCAATCCCCAATCCCGACTCAGGCAGGGAGGGAGGGCAGGAAGGGAGGCAGGGAGAGAGGACACGGGGGTAAGAGAAGAAGCCAAGGTGGGGAAGGGGGGAAAGCGGAAAGATGCAGCGGTTTGCCTAAGCAGCAGCGGTGTAGAGTGGCAACACAAACAAACACTCACCAGATGCGCTTGTCTAGCTCGTCAGGAAGCCCAGAGTCGTACGTGCCAACGTCGGGCTGCCGTACCCTGCGTACAGGTGCGCACGTGACAACAAAGGAAAGCAGTGGGTAAGTGCGAGTAACCCCCTTCAGGCCAGTAACACCAGAGACCAGACCCTATACCGGTAACAGGTAAAGGAGCCTCCGAGACTAGCTATAGGCCTTTAGCAAACGCGCCAGGACTTCGAAGCAGAGGGTGTTTTTCCGGTAGATAGGACCGCTACCCAAGCCAAACCCTAAAACAATGGCTGCTGCTGCGCGCGCACGTGCGCACACACCTGTAAGAAACAAACACGGCGCGCTCGGGTTTGGTGTTGGTGTTGGGCACGATGCCGGTCTGATCGATGGCGATGCGCAGCATGTTGGTCTTGCCCAGACCCATTGCCGGGATCTTGTACTCGTTGAACACACCCACATCCAAATCCGCAATCTTGACGTCGCCCTCGGCGATGGGGGAAGCCCAGCCGGCCTTGTACGCCTGTGTGGACGAGGAGGGGGAGGAGGAGTGGGCGGCGGCGGCGGCAGTGACCCATGGGTCACGTCAAGAGGGTGCGATGGGTGGCTAGCGTGAGGTGGCTGCGATGGAAAGCTGCTGCGTCACGAGGCTACGTGAGATGATAGCTGCTGCCTGCCAGCCCCACCACACGTGGTTCGGTTCATTCTTATCAGCACTTTCTACAGCCGTGCCATGTAGCGGTATGCTAAGCACTGCCGTACATGTGCCGTACATGTGCTATGCATTGCCCCATGTAGTGCCGTACCTGTGGCGCCGTGGGGCAGATGATGGTCTTGTCCCAGTCGGTAGGGCCCGCGGAGCCCATGGGATCAGAGAAATCGCCGTACTCGTCCTTGAAGCAGCCGCCGCCGTCGCAGATGACGCGAGCGGAATGCGCCAGGCCAATGTTGTGGCCTGCAAGGGCGAAAGAAGACGCGTGAGGTCGTGTAGCATTGCTTGTCTGTGCGGTGGTGCGCGGTGCGAAGGGATAGAGAGGGTGTACCGCCAGCCATGACGCAGTGGTAACCACTGACGTTTCGAAGGTGTGCCCCAACCTGCCCCAACGACCATATCGGTACACCACCGGCATACCACCACCTAACGAATATCCTAACGAATGGTGGGAAGAGCAACAAGCCTCTTCCCAACAAACCCACCCACCCACATGCGACCAGCGAACGTACCGAGTTCCTGGAAGGCGGTCACCATGTCTGGCTTGGTGTCGGAGCCCGAGGGGTTGAGCCACGTGAAGCAGTCGAAGGGGGTGCCCGGGCAACCCATGCTGGCCTGCGTGCATACGGGATTTGCACACGGGCACGCGGCAGAGCCAGTTCATCAGTAGGTTCGATCGCATCGCATCAGTGGGGTTTTATACACATGTGCACCAAACGCATCTTGACTTCTTGAAGCATTACATGCCCCTCCTGTCGGAGAAGCTTGGCATCCTTTCGAAGCTTTTACGGACATACCACCGATACCAGTATATACATGCATGCTGACTGCCAGCTGCCATACATCCGTTCAACCATACGACCCACGGGTCTTCACCGTCACCACACCTAGCATGGGCCCCTACCCGCTCCTTCCCCTCTCACCAGCCCAGAAAACTGCGCGGGCCACTTGGCGGGGTCCGCGGTGCCGAAGTTGAAGGGCCAGAACATGACCTTGCGCCGGTATGTGTTCCACTTGTTGTAGAGGGTCAGGTTGTTCTGAGGGTGGGTCACCACACATGCACATGTTAATACCAGGGCGTGGTCAGGTGGCGATGTAGGCAGAGGATGCGGGGTTGGGGTCGGCATTCAGGTAGGTTACCGCTTCTTCCACGCGGCAAGAGCCAGGGGCAGTGTGTATAGCGACCATGTTGGGGGACCGCATACGTCAAGCCGCGCACGATCACACCGATCCCCGTCCCTCCTGCATTCCCTCCCTACTACAACCGATTCCCCTCCAGCCGGGGGCATACAAATGATACAACCTACCGTCTTGAGCCAGGCCTTGGCTAGGTCCGGCAGCGCGTACAGCTCTGCATCCAGGTTGACTCCGTTGCCGTTGCCTGTGAGCAGGTTGTAGGCGCCGTGCGAGGCGGTGCCGGTGCAGGGGATGTCCAGCTCCATCACCTGGTTCAGCTCGGGAGGGAAGTTGAGCTGGTTGTATGAGCACACCTGCGGGGGGGAGGAGGCGGGAGGAGGAGAGGGGTTGAGGCAGGGATGGGTAGGAGGGTGGGGGCTTAGAGAGGGCAATCCTTTTCGCCGGACTGCTTACCCTTGCAGCAGCGCTCCCCTGCCCATTACCACCCCCGCCAGACACTCCGCATACCCGCAAAAGCGGCACATCAGCCCCAGCCCACCTAACACTCCCCCCCATCAGCCCCAGCCCAGCTCACCCGGTAGTATCGCTGCAGGGTGGCCACCACGGGCGCCTGGTCGCCCTGGTCGTACCAGTACTGCCGGATGGTGTCGGCGTTCATGCCCGTGGCCACCCCGCACTTGGTGCTCTTGAACAGGAAGGTCATGGAGCTGATGTTCTGGGGCTGGCCGTTGATGATGAACAGATCCTGGAGGGGGAAAAGAAGAATACCCGATGTAGGGGGGAGAGGAGTTGGGGCGGAGGCGCATGGGCAGGGAGGAAGGCCGCAGAGAAAAGGGGCAAGGGGATGAGGATGCGAACCAGCCGCGAAGTGAGGGTAGGAAGGAAGGGCAGAGGAGGAGAGGAGGCAAGGCTTGAGAGGCTGGCCTCCGTATTCCGCTGTGGCTACTGCCGGCAGGGTTGGTGCGGGTGCGGTCAGCCGTGGGCTGCCCCCAACTCCCTCTCTGAAGTGGAGCGCACGCCACCTCACACAGCCCTCAGGCCGTGTGCTGGCAGCCAGCCGTGTGGGAGTCAGGCGTTGGAGCCCCAACCGCATGGGCTGCTAGGGGATGCGTCAGCGGCGGCAACTGGCGCATACCCCACCTGCCCCAGGGAACCCCACAGCTCAACGGCACCCGGCGCTGTGACGCCGTGTTGCCGCTGCCCTTGTTGCTCACATGCCCTGCAGCTCCTCGGGCAGCTGCTGTGTTCCGGAAGGGCCAGTCCATGCCTGACTTACGGCGGGTTGGCTGATAAACACCACCAAAGCCGAAACCCCAAGAAGCTCAAAGCTCAAGCAAGTCAAAACGCCATCGTCGTAGCCATGTCACCAGCACCACGCCAGCTCACCTCATCGGTCATCGCCATCCCTGTCTCGGGAGCACACCTTGGCGGCTTAACCACAGCCCCTAGCCCCTCCTTCCCTCCTGCGCTAACCCACCTTGGCCCCCACATTGTCCTTGACATCCGGCATGGTTCCCTCCGGCACCACCGTGTAGTTGCCCAGCTTGCCCAGCAGCGCGCCCAGGGTCTGCACCTCCGCAACGCTGCGCCGCGTGCCGTGGAAGTCCAGGATCATGCGGCGGGCGCGAGACTGCTCCTCCGTGAGGGCGCGGCGGCGGCCAGAGGAGCTGCTTGGGGAGGAGGCTGCGGGTCCTGGAAGGGTGCGGGAGTGGGAAGGGTGCGGGAGTCGAGCGGGGTTTGGATGCGGGTGGTGTGGTGCAGGCATGATGCGGAAGGGTGGGACTTGCACACATGCTAGAAGGGATGAGGTGTTCAGTTGTTCGCACCTGCTGCCCCCTCCTGCATCCCCTCACCCCATGTCATGCCGCCCAACCCGTATGCCGGCCGCTCCACATGGCTACCGGTACCCCTCACCCATCCCCACACCCACCCAGCCAGTCCTGTGGTGTCTGGGTTAGGTTTCGGGCAGGGGACATTTCGATTTCTTGCAAATCACCTACCCATCCACACCTGACCCACCCGCGCCTAACATTCCACCCAACCCGCCACACAACTCACCCAGCTTCAGCTTCTCCGCAATGCCAGCAGGCACGGTGAGTGTGAGTGGCGCATCCACCTCGTCGCCCGTCAGCAGCGAGTCGGCATTGCGCAGGTTGACGCGCAGCGCGTTGGTTGACGAGTCGTTGGCGGTTGGGTCGAGCAGGTGGTGGATGATGTCGTTGTCGAGCACCCGGTAGATGGAGTCCTCACTGGAGATGTTCTTGTAGGGGTTGCCGTGCGCGGTGGAGACCAGCACACGGCCTAGCGGTGGAAAGGAGAGAGGAGGTAGGAGGGAGGTAGGGAGGAGAAATGGGGTAAAGAGGAAGAAAGGAGGGAGAAGAGTGGGAGCAAGATGCGGGAGTGGGTCACGCACCTGATACTGTGACGCTAACTTGGACATCACCAGTCACAGGAGAAGGAGGTGGGTGAGGCGGTGGTGGCTTGCGCTTAGGGTGCGGTGGCCGCGGTGGTCGAGGTGGGGGCGATGGCGATGGTGGAGGTGAACGTTTAGGAGGTGGTGGTTTGTTTGTTGCATCTGCAAGTTAACGGGCAAGGCGTCAGTCCACGTACCCCAAGGGAATGTATCTAACGACAAAATGGTATGCTGTATGAATGTATCTAGTTTCACTGGAATGTAAAGGGTTAAGTCGTATCTGCTAGCGCGCTAGTGCTACGCTTGCCATGCAAACGACGTGCTTCGTGGCATATCCAGGTTACTAGCTTAAATGAGTATCTAAACGTAGTTATATAGGCACGGCACTGGAAACCATCTGGCCACGAAACTGCACCGAAAGCCCCGGCTTCCGAGGACATTATGCCTGCCTGCTAAGTACACACACCGAGACCCAACTTACCAACATCTAACACCAAACCCGCAAGAGCCAGCAAAGCTACCAGGAGTAGCCCCTGGCGCCTCATGGCCCTTGGAACTACTAGGTATCTGCGCCGCAGGCACTACACAGCCAAGGCCTTAAGTGCGATGTATGGTTAACAAGTATTTTCCTTCTTATAACGCCTTCATTTCAACAAAACTTGTAGGCAATTGGGTCATTCCATTGCTATATTGCGCCCACCACCTGTGTCACTGTCGTACAGGTCTTTAGAGAAGGTGGATTCACGTTCGACCGGGCATCTTGTCAACTGCGCCTACCCTTATTGACCGCTTGCTCCCCCAAATGCTTTAGAGCATTATGTTTCACAACCTGAACGTTCGGCTTTAGGAGACCTTCTACGCCCTAGCCTTCCGTATGAGGAGAACAATTCTACTTCTACTATGCCGTCTCTTGCCGAACACCTCTTGCATATCGCTTTGCATATCGGTACACAACCTTTGTTGTGGCAGTTATGTTATTCTGTGAAAGTTGCATGCGTAGAAACTATGGCAAAGTGTTCCTAACTTACAGCGTCAACATCCTTTAAGCGTTGTCCTTTGATTGGTAAATGCTATGCCTCCAGCATAGTGGGTAGTCCGGCCTAGCTTTTAGTCCTAAGGCGGAGTCTACCCCTTCAGGCCTCCACAGCTCCCCAACGTGGCATATGTAAACAGCTGGGGTATCTGCTAAAACGGTTTGATTGCAATAAAAACCCGTCCATTCCTCGATCTGTGCCTACGGAGAGGACCGCGGGCCTGAGTTTCAGAGCGCACCTGAGTTGCCGCTTCCAACTACGTTACAAAACTGGCATGTACTCCAGCGCAACGTTAGAAAGAGATGCAGGTAATGTTTCCAACAAGAGCCACCTGTGATGCCGCAACCAGCAAGGGGTAGCCATGTGACTAGGACCCCTTGTAGCTCTCACTCAACCGGAGCAAAGCAGCAACCGCGGCATGGGGAGCCGCAACCCAAAAGCCTGCTTCCCACCCCACTACGAATTCAGACCGCACACGCCCTTGAAACTTATCCCACGTGATCAGCCACAGCCTGTGCTGCCTGGCACTCGCAGTTGACCCATGGGTCCCAGGGGCCATCCAAACGAACATACTCAACCTACCCAAGGCCATCCGTTTTCTAAATGTCCTTCTGCATGCACTGTCCCCTTTCCCTGTGGCCACAGATAGCACCGTAAGTGTAGCCCGCCGTAGCGGCCGCTGCTTTTATGCCTCACATCACCACGTGAGGCCCCTTCACCCTTCGCCTAGCAACACTTTCCCCCTCCCTTTTCCCATCTCTTAGCAGTCCGCCTCCTCTTATCACCACGACCCAACCCGGCCGTACCAGCGAATCAAGCAACACCACCGTTGCCCCGCCGCAAGCCCCTTACGCGGTCCCCCGTGCCATGTACTCCTCCCTGTGTCCTCCTCAACCCCTACGCACCCCCCTTGCCTTACCTCCATGTCAATGCTACCGGCTCCGGCGGCAGCCACAGAGGACGTTCCCCTTCTTGCCCCCGGCCCCCGAGCTGGCCTGGCAAGCCATCATAATTGGCCCTCTCTACCCCTCCTCCATCTCCCTAGCCCGCTCCCTTCCGGCCCCTTACTGCTGCCCCAGCTGCCCCTGCGACACCACCTGCTCCCCACATGCCGCCAGCAGACGCGGCGGCAGCACCCCCTCACGCCCCCGCTGCCGCATCTTGCTCACCAGCTCCCCAAGCTGCTTGCGACCCGCGCCCTGCGTGTCAACCAGCGCCAACACCGCCCGGAGCTCCTTCTCCTGAACCGCCTCGGGACGAGCCGTCAGAGCCTGCGCCAGTCGCAACGCACCGCCGGCTGACAAGCCGAGACCGGTGCGCAGATCCGCGGCTTGCGCGTCGTCGTTTGCCTCAGCTGCAGCGGCGGCGGCGGGAGAGGAGCCCCTGCTGCCGTAGCCTGCCAGGGCGAAGAGACGGCGGCGGAGGTCCGGGTTTTCAACCCTGGCGCCCGTCGCACTGCCGTACAGTACGACGTTGGTGCAGTCGCGGAGGAGGTCCAGGGCGCCGGGGACAGGTAACAGCGACCGAATGGACGCGGCGGCGGCAGAGGAAGATGAAGAGTCGGAAGACGAGTCCGAATCGGAGTCCGAGCCGGAAGAATCTGAAGCGTCGCCGTCGCCGTCCAAGTGGTGTGCAAAGTGCACGGCGGCTAGGGCGAGGTCGGCGACTGCGTCCCGGCGCATGTTGGGCAGGCGAGGCAGGACGGCCGCGAAGAGGGCCCGGGCAAAGTGCGAGTCACGCTCGTCGTATCCCACCTTGCCCAGCACCATCAGCAGCTTTGCCAGCTCCTCCGCCTCAACCCTGTCCCGTGGGTCGTTCCGGACCCGCGCCCACTCCTCCCCCTGCCGCGCCAGCAGCGCCTCATTCGCCTGCCAGGACCGCAGCCCTCCCGCAACCCGAGCCCGGGCGTCCAACCTCACCTCCAGCCCCTCCTCCTCGACCTTCCCTTCCGCACCCTTTGCGGCATTCTCATCGTACACCACCGGCGCCGCCACACCGCCCTCCTCCGCCGCATCCTTTGCCGCCAACACACCGCCCGCCGGCACCACCCACGCCCGCGCCGCCAGCTGCCGTACCAGCCTGCCGTACAACGCCTTCTTCGCGACGCCCCAATCCGCCGCCAGCAGCGTCAGGCGTGCCAGCACGGGTGCAGGCAGGTCCGTCAGCTGCACGCGGCCCAGCAGGGCTGCCAGAGCTTGCGGCTGGGGGGAGCGCAGGGCGTGCAGGGCGCCGGTGAGGCGGGTGAGGTCGTGCGGGTGCACGCAGAGGGATGGGCCGGCGGAGGCAACCACGTGCTGGGCGCTGGCCTGTTGGGGGGGGGATAGGGAAAAGAGGGGAGGGAAAGAGTTGCTGGCGACGCTTGCCAGGCTAAAAACAATCTTGTGGATGCTAAAACACACAAGCAGCGGCGTCCGTGTGTCCGATATGTCCAGTTGGACGGCAGGCCCCAACCCGCAGCCAACCCAACTTCGCCTTCGCAACTCCTTTCCCGTCACAGCAACCCTCCCTGTAGCCCAAACCCTCCGCCACCCGTTCCCATGCTGCCGTACCTTGAGCAGCCCCTCGTGACGGTGACCCAACCTGGGGCAGGTAGGCGAGTGGGAAGCGGGAGGTGTAAGGGGCGGGGAGCAGGAGGGCTTGGCAAGGTGGGAGGCATAGGCGCAATCACATGGAAAGACCACAGGGCCCTCACGAAAGGCACGTACCCGGCCCGGTTCCCGCAGCCCCCGGCACCCATCCCCCTCCTTCCAATCCCCTCAAACAACGCGCCGCAGCAGCACTGCCAGCGACTTTTACCGTGCCCCCCACCGTTCCAACTCTCCGCCTCCCGCGCATGCATGCACGCATGCCTGACCCCAACTACCCTCCACCAGTTGAAGTACCTCCTCCGCCATCCCTCCATCAGTTGGTCTCCTCCACCCGCCCCTCCGCCCCTCCCAACCTACCTCCCAAAGCACGCCAGCAGCGGTGCCAGCGAGCCCAGCGTGAAGTCCCGCAGCACCACCCGCGGCCGCTCGTCGTACAGGTAGCGGCTGCGGGCGCCGGCGGTGCCGGCGCGGGGAGGGCGGGGGCGCGGCCAGGCCTGCCAGCCGCGGATGGTGCGGTAGAGGTAGGTGGCGCGGGGAGCCAGCGGGCCCAAGGCGGGGTCGTGGGACTGCAGCTGGGAAGCGATGCGGGCCGCGGCGGCGTCACCGATTACGTCCAGAGCCTGCGAGGTAAGGGTAGGGAGGGAGGCAGGGATAGATAGGTAGGGAGGGGGCGCAACAGTGAGAGGGGTGGGGATTGAGAGAAGCGCAGATGGATGCCGTGATCTTTTTCGTCTCGTAGACAGCACATGAGGCTCCTCAATGCGCTCCCAGGCGCCACAACCCTCATCCGTGACTAGTCTGCGCTTGGCGCGATCCCACGCCCAGCCCAGCCCCCTTCCAGCCCAGCTCCTGCCTGCGTAGTCCTCCCTTCATCATGCCATACCCCCTTCTCCTACTGAACCCCAGCGAGGAGCTCCGGTCCTTTACCTAGTCGGGCTATTCCCACCCCAATCCCACCTAGTTCCTTCCTCTCTGCCCCCACCTGCGCGTCCCGCACATCCGCGGTGGCGAAGGCCCAGGCCAGCTTCAGCGCCGAGCGATGGTCCAGCCAGGGCCGGTCAGCCTCCAGCGCACTGCGACCCGCAGCAGCGGCCACCACCTCCGCAGCGGGCTGCAGCGGCGCAGAAGAGGCAGAGGCCCGGCCGCTGCTGCTGCTGGAGCCCTTCTGGTGAGCCAGGCTGCGGCTACGGCTGGAGCCGGCACCGACGCTGCTGCTGCTGTCAGAAACAGCAGCAGCGGGGGGCGGCAGCGCATGGAAGCTCTCGGGTCGCGAGGCAGCCAAGTGGCGTGCGACGGTCGCCAGGGTCTCCCGCACGGCGTCCTGCAGCTGCTTGTTGCTGCTGCTGCCGGGTGCGGAGGCGGCGGCTGCGAGGCCCCAGGCTGCTGTAGCGAGGTGCGTTAGGGGCATGGAGGGCAGCCGGCGGGGCAGCTGCTCGCAGGCGGCGAGGAGAGCGGCGGGGTTGGGGTGCCGGCTGACGCCGTACGCCCAGAGCGCCCGTGCGAGCTGCTCATCGGAGCAATCGGGAGCGACCTGGGCGAGGCGGGAGCCCAGCGCGTCCAGCAGCAGGGGAGCGGTGGCGGCTGGGGAGCCGGGAGAGGCTGGGGTGCAGGGAGGGCGCGAGGCAGGTGTTATGAGGTTAGGATGAGGAGCGGATGGGGATCCATGTCCCAGCAACGTCACAAGTCAGAAGGTGTTTGCGGCGTGGTTCTTACCTCTCTTGCCCTTCCGCCGTTGATATCGGACCATCCGCGGAACACGCTGGAGCGTCCGAGTGACTTGCTCGGGGTCAAACCAGGCACCATACTTGAGGACTGGCACGGCAGCATGCTCCAGCAGCGTGGCCGACTCTAACAACGCGTTGATTTTGTTTGTATCAACTGGCTGGATAAAGTTGTAGCGCTTTGCGTTTGAGTTTGTTGTGCCGGCGTATGCCCTGCAGATGATTAGTGCCTCGGGTTATAAAACCACCTGTTGACTAGTACATCGCGCTCTTGGATGATCTAAACGAAGCGTCTATACCTGACGCCCACAGGGGCTGCTGGTGCAAAGCTTGTGCTGCATCCATCGCCCACCACCGCCGCTGTATCCAGTCCATCGATGAACGCGCTAGATGCGGGTAGGGATGAACCTGTAACATTGCAGATGCAAATGGAGAGCTTCGATATTGCTGATATCCCGGCATCGGAACTGGACTAGGGAGCTTGCTATCAACAAAAATCGCTTACCCCTAACATGTCCTAGCCTACTTAGCAGACCGACGCTTAAACGTGTCATTTGTCACGATTAAGTCCTAGCGTCTTGGCGGACACCTTATTTAGAGCAATGTGGGGGCGGCGCCATTAACAACCAAGTCTACCCGAACCAGGAAGGCGACCTTCCTTCTATGCGTAATATCCACAATAAAAGACGACCACGGTGCCGAATAGAGGATGAGCGTACGGCAATTTGCATGGGCTGCTGCCGATGGGCTCCGTAACAGCTTTGTAATATCTTTTCTGCTAACCTTGGCCGCGCTTCCTTCAGCGCGTCCGAAACACAAGGGCTCCCTTTGAGGCTCCTTGTGCCTCTGCTAACTGCAATAGCTATTATGTTGCTGCAGTAGCTCGCTTGGTACCTCCTCGTACCTACCATCAAGAGCCACGGAGGCTTCCCAAAACATAGACATCATGCCCAATCCCATTCCTGTATGCGCGTCATTCAACCATCGGAAGGACACCTAGAAGTTTACAACGAACCAACCACCCCCCCCCCTGTTCAAGAAGGCGCGGCACACGACCTAAAGCATGAAGCCAGAACACACGGCTCCATACACTCCACAGACAGTGCCCAAATCGTAAAGCCTCCCACGCACACACCCACCCCCACTCACATTGGCACATCTTCGCTCACTTATCTGCAGCACACTTGGGTATTCCCCAGTTCGGGGTACATTTGGTGTGGTGGTGCTTCCCCACTTGCTTCGCTTCTTCCTGTAAAGGTGCGCTAGTACACTGCACTAGTAACGACGCAGCAGGCTAAACACAGCCACACAGCTCCCTTTCCTCTCTATCCCCACTCGTTCATTCACACTTTCACTCAACTCCTCACTCAATACAAAAACGGCGGCGATGACAGCCCACCTGGCAACAACAAGCGGAGGCCATCCCGCAAGCAACAGTCCTCACTCTACCTTCAATGCAGTGTATGGAACGTCCCGCGTTCCTAAGCTCCTAACATCCTAATAACGCGCCCTTTCACAGCTGCCCCCAGCTTTACCAGCCCAGCTCCCATAGCCCCAGCACTCATGTTGCACAAAGTCATGCATATGCATCCCACACAGCTCAACACTCCCATCCCTCCTGTCCGTCCACCACATGCGGTTATGCGCACCTCTCACACACCTCTCACCAAGTCGGTTACACACGCAACGCCCGAGAGCACCCTCAACGCCGCAACAACATCCAACATCCGAAACACGCATGCGGCCCGCATGCTGCCTCTGCTGCTGCCCCTGATACCTCATCTGTCGGGACTGGAGCTCCTTCGTTCCTCCCCTACCCGCCAGCTCTCAACCCTGCTGCGAGTAGACCAGAGACGCTGGCACCTCCACCACCTTCCCCCTTCTCCCGCCCCTTCCGACCACCCAACATGCGCCTCGCCTCGCCACTGCCGCTAGTCGCTGCTTGAGTGGTGCCCCGGGTTGCCAGCAGCGTGCTGTCGAGGGGGGCCCATTCAGGGTTCTACCTGCTCCTCCTCCTCCTTCTCCTCCTCTTCCTCTTGCAACCCTTGCTACTGCTACAGTTCAAGCAGCAACAGCTGCTGCCCCCGCTTTGCCCCTGCTCATGCCCCCATGCCCCCATGCTGCTCTCCCCCCCAGCTCATCACGCCGCTGCGGCTCCCTCTTTGCCCTTCTTGGACTGCTCGATGGCTCGTACCATACCCGCACCGCCCATGTATAGGCCGATCAGCGGAATGGCGAGCAGCGCCTGGGGAGCGCAGGGTTTTGGGGGGGGGGATATATACGATTATATATATGAAAAGTGAAGCGATTAAAGTCCCAATTCCAGATCCCAGGGCAGGGGCTGGGGCGGCACGGAGGGTGGTGGTGGTGGTGGTGGTGGGCAGAGTGGCGGGCGAGGGGTACGGCAATCCAATGGAGCCGCGATGAAACACCGGGACCCTTGGAGCACCGGAAGATGCCGGCGCAGGGGCCAGGCCGGCTCAGCGGTTATCATGCTGAGGTGCCGGTTGTACCCGTTGCAGCTAGCTTCTTCCTGGTACCGTACCACTCTTACCGATAATGCTGAGATGCTTTCGCACGGATGAGGCTTTGCACTACCACCCAACCCACCCAACCCGCCCAACCCGCCCAACCGCCAACACCCGCACACTGCTGTCCAGCCCTAACTCACTAACCCACTACCCCACCTGCGTGAAGGGGTCGGTGGAGGGTGTGAGCACCGCCGCTGCCACGGTTGCCCCCACCACCACGTAGCGCCACACGCTGAACATCTGGTCGCTGCTCACGATGCCCAGCTGGCCCAGCATCACTTGCAGCACGGGAACCTATGTGGGGCGGGGAGTGGAGAAGGGGGGGGGGCGAGGAGGGTAGGAGAGGGATTTTGAGTGCATGGTTACTCGAAACGGGCGGTGCTAGTTAAACACGTAGCGGATGGCTAATGCGCATCATCAAAGGAAGGGGCGCCGGGAGGGGCGCGGTTAGGCGGCCGGGGTTTGGGGAGGTCGGGGGCGCCTTGAGGCCTCGTCTACTACCCAGCAACAAGGCCTCCGGTACGCTACGGTCAGCCGCGGTTCAGTTTATCCAATCCTCAGTTTATCTAATCCTGCTCCCCACCTGGAAGGACAGCCCCGTGCTCAGCATGAGCACCAGCACGAACTCAAAGTACTGGTCAATGGACCACAGGCTCTCCACGGCGCCGTCCGCGTAGGAGACGAAGAAGTTGAGCGCGGCGGGGGTAAGGATCTCGTAGGAGAAGGCAAGACTGGGTGTGTGTTGGGAGGGGGGGGGCGATGATGGTAGGGTGGCGGTGCAGGGTCAGGGAGACCAGGGAGGCGAAGAAGCAAACCATAGACATGTGAGAAGGGTCAGGGTCAGGAAGAAGGCTGCAGAAAGAGGACTAGGAGGCAGCGACACTACTGCGGGATGCAGCGCAGACGCACAGGGCAGCAGCTCCTCCTCCTCACCCCCTCCCTCCCTCCTTCCCTTCCCTCCTTCCTTCCTCTCTCCTTCCCCCTTCCCTCCCTTCCTCCCTTCCCGCACCCCGCGTAGAAGAGTATGGAGCTGCCGAACACCACGGGCGCCAGGAAGCGCCGCTCCGCCCGGGTGAGTGCAGGCAGCACGTAGGCGATCACCTCGTACAGCACCGTGGGGGCGGCCAGCAGCAGGCCCGCATAGCCGGAGGCCTGGGGGAGGAGAGGAGGAGGGGTGCGTGTTGGGGGCCAGAGGGGATGGCGAGGGCTGCATGGAAGGCGAGGTGCAATGCGCTTGACGGGAAGATATGATGGGTTTTTGGTATGAGTGGGATGGAGGGGAGGTGGTTGAGGGTGGGATTCTGGTGGGAAGAGAAGGGAAAACGACAAAGGGGTGGATGGGGGCGAAGAGATGGGTGGGCCGTACCTTGAGCGTGGTGAAGAAGAATTCGCCAGGCGAGAGCTGCAGGAAGCGCACACCCGCATCCGCAACGGGTGCTTCCAAGAAGACGACGAGGTCTTTGCTGAAAACGAAACACGCCAGAATCGCGGCAGCGCAGGCAAGCGCTCCCACGAGCATGCGTTCGCGGAATTCCTCGAGATGGTCCCAAATGGGTAGTGCGATATCGTCGGGCGTCTCTTCCGGATCCGGTCGAACGAACTTCATAACTGGGGAATCCTCGAGCGCGTCGAGTACGTCATCATCGTCTTCTTGACTTGACCGCAGCAGCGAGGGCACGCCGGGCACTGCGGTGCAAGCTTGACGCGTCGGCAAGCGAATACCAAAAGCGACGGGTCGCTATTCACACGTTGCTGACTATTTTATGCACCTTCTTCACGGATGATGGGAATTGGTGTGGGCTCCTCGGGTGTGGCTCGGCAACGAAGCACTCTCCGCAAGCACACCCCATGCTGTGTAGCCGCCGCTAAGTTACAGGGTCGTCTCTGGCCTACACATAGCCGTGAGGCGTTCCCTACGAGCATTGCGCGAACGATTCTGCTGGTGTAAAATCTCAGATGTCTGCAATTGGCTAGTAAGTGTACACGCAAGACTAGAAGCAGGTTTGTTGCTTCAGGAAGCTCCTAATCCAAACGTTCGCAAGGAGTGACTGTTAGGGGCTGAGAAACCAGAACCACATGGTTCTGGAGCAAGCCCATACAAGCACAGCGAAATTGCAAAGCCCGGTCGCCTAGGTCGTGTAACTTCGCATCAATAACCATGGGCAAGGCGTCGAAGGATAAACGTGACATTTTCTATCGTAAAGCAAAGGAGGAGGGATGGCGTGCCCGGAGTGCGTATAAGCTGCTACAAATAGATGAGGCGTTTGAAATTTTTACAGGTAATACTTGCAAATTGAGTAGTATTCAGGAGTCGACGGCGGCTTGGCCGATGGGGAAGGTTCAGTTTCTACGGCTGGACCTTTGTAAAGCACAGCTCCATGGCAGTGACACCCACGCTAATGGTGCATACAGGAGTTAAACATGCAGTGGATTTATGCGCTGCACCGGGCAGCTGGAGTCAGGTTAGTTCGGTTCAACCAAACCGGAACCTGTTATTCCAAGCCACCTTTTTCATGGCGGGGGTGACTGCGCCACATGGCATGCACTCCAGCCCCACCTAACCCTGCTTGAAGTTCCGCACTCCTCCCTCCGTAAGCTTCCTTTGCCCATGTCCTCACGCCGGCAAGCCTACCGCTACCTGCCCACTTGTCGCACCCGCTCATCCCCCTCCCTGCCGTTTGTTCCTTTTCGCTTCTTCCCACCTCCTTCCCTCCCTCCCTCCCTTCCTGCCCACCTCTCCAGGTGCTGAGTCGGCAGCTCTACCTGCCCGCGCTGCGCTCCGGCGACCCGCAGCCGCCCACCATCGTTGCGGTGGACCTGCAGCCCATGGCGCCCATCGAGGGGGTCATACAGCTGCAGGGGGACATTACCAGCGAGGCCACGGCGCGGCAGGTGGGGAAAGAGGGATACACCCATTACCCAATGCGTTAAATGAAAATGGCAGGTGGGGATGGCGGGGATATACCGCTAATGAAAAGTGTGCGAATGGGGGCGTGGGATGGCAGCATGCGTGGCATCAGGTGGCATATGTGTAATGTCGCAAATGCGCAACTGCTATCCTGCGTTGTTGACTTTGATGTTGTAGGAATCCTCTTTCCCCCCTACTCGCCTGCTCCCCTAACATGTGGTTTCCTGTGGTCTTTGACCCTCCATATCCTCCCCAGGTGATCTCCCACTTCCACGGCCACCCGGCTGATCTGGTGGTGTGCGACGGAGCGCCCGATGTGACCGGACTGCATGACCTGGATGAATACGTACAGGTAGGTGGGGGGCAAAAAAGAAATTCCAAAGGTGGGGGGCGGGGGGCAGGCTTGGCCATGGCTGTCAAGTGTGGCAAGTGTATGGGTATGGGGCAGGAGTGCGTCGTACAACCGACCCATGGGTCCTATCTGAGTGAGTCTCATCCGCTCCACGCCTCGAAGTGCGTTGCATGTCCAGGACGGCCTCCCACTACCGGTGTACCCAATCCTCCCCAGGTAGTTCCCTCCTGGAAGAGGGTCTGTCCGCTCCGCATATAACGGAACCTTGTCACAATACTTCCCCGTTTTCCAGTGATCCCCTTTCCCTCCCCTCCTTTCCCCTCAGGCCCAGCTGCTGCTGGCCGCCGCCTCGATCGTATGTGCCGTGCTACGACCCGGAGGGACCTTTGTGGCCAAGATCTTCAGAGGTGGGTCCTTGCCACGTGTCCGAATCCGGCCTACCATTAACACGCGGCCCAAACACCAGTTCCACGCGTCTAAACCCACCGCCACCCTGCCTTCCAAAGCTAGCCTCCACCACCGACCTTGCTCCACAACCACCCGGCCCCCCCAGGCAAGGACGTCGCTCTGCTCTACAGCCAGCTCAAGCTGCTCTTCCCGGAGGTGTACGTTGCCAAGCCCAAGTCCTCCCGCAACTCCTCCATAGAGGCGTTCGTGGTGTGCCGCCGCTTCGCGCCGCCCGCCGGGCTGGCGGGGCCTGGGGCGCTGCAGACGCTGCTGGCGGGGGCGGCGGAGGGATACTACGGAGAGCTGGAAGAGGAGGAGGAGTTAGAGGCTGGAGAGAGGGGGGAAGCGGAGGCTCGCACCTCTTCCGCGCCCACCTCGGCGCTGCTGCTAGCCCGGGCGGTGCCCTTCCTGTCCTGCGGTGACCTGTCGGGCGGTGACGCGGATCGAACCTACGACCTGGACCCCGCCACCTACGTGCACCTGGCGCCCGTGCAGCCGCCCACGGCGCCCAACTACAAGACAGCCATTGCACTCGCACGGGCGGCGCGCGGTTAGTATCGTGCACAGCTAGGGGGCCGGTGCGGGGCTAGGGCCTCAAGGCGAGGGCCTAGCAGGGCGTTGGGTGGGGCGGTTCTATGCTGAAGCTGGAGTGGGGAGGAGTGGAGACGCAGTGGGTGTGCGCATTACGCCATGGTTTGTTGTGCCTGGCTGACACGGGTGTTGCCTGCTCTCTTGTCCGTCTTGAGATCCTGGGAACCGCTATGGACATTACGGAAAGAACGTTTGGACCGCTGATGTGTTGCAACACGCGATGGCAAGGCTCTGGGCCCCTTGGCTCGTCCATAGTGGGCATATGCATGGGCGCGAGAGGTTGCAGCCAGCTTGGTTCGCGCGCAATGGCCTAGACATGCGAGGGGATGCGACGCTGTGACGTTGCTTGAGTTTGGTTATGTATGTGCTGTGTTTTGGGGCTAAGGTATGGAGGGCTGGCGCCCCGGAGAATGGGAGATGCAGATGGGGAATGGTGGAGGAGGGGGCTACCGGTAGCTGGCAGAGCCTGAGGTGGAGGTATCACCTGGGCAGGAGCGCAACAGACGAAAGCGGTCCATGTGCTGCCAATGCTGAAACATTTGGTACATTAGGCCATGGCATAGCTTGACTGGCATGTTGCACGTTGGCAATGCTGGGGCTACAACTCGCAGCATAGGCCATAGAATGCTGCGGAGGTGAGTTGGCAGAGGATGGGAGAAGCAATGGTATTGAGAGCTTGGGTCGCTTCTCCTTTCATTGTACATTACCGTTACCGCATGCTTACCGGTATAGACTTCCCTCAAATACCGGTAGCCGAGTCTAACGGCAATGTCGGCATGTATACGATACGGTAGTCACCCGCCGTAGCCTGTCGTATGTTTTGCAACCTCATCACACACGGAACCGACAGCATAGAGAGCCGCAACGCTCCGGCCTTGTCCGACCTGCATCCACCCATAAATCTCCAGTGAGCGGGTCCTTTCCTCGACCCGCTCATCCATTGTGAATGGAGGCGATGCAGTACTTTCTACCGGTGCATCGCCTCCATTCCAGCCCATATATATATTCTGCCCTCCAATGCTGCCCTGGTCCCGTCTCTAATCTATAGTCTTAATAACATGCATTCTCAAAAGTCTATGCCCAGCTGGTGCTAGGCTGTCACTATCATGCCAGGTACGGGAGTTGATTCACATCAGTCCTTTGTAAAACCCCATGGCAATCAATGACGAGCACCGTATAGTACAGCGCCTGCTGGACATTCGGGCTCCTCCTCCGAGCAACTCCCTCCCGAGGATTGTACCTGAGAGTCGCCGGCAAATCCGGAGCAGCCCAAGCATGCTACACAATGTCGCCAACCCGTTGCCAAGAACCCGGCAGCACAGGAGGTCTAGCATGCAACCAGCAGCAGTTTAGTCGTTTAAGCTGCGCGTGCCATACCTAGCACAAGATGCAAACCGCAATCCTCCCACCATAGAAAAGCCCCCCTACCATCACAAGCTTCCTCAGCCCAAGAAAACCACATGCGCATGAAGCTGTGTACCCCGCTTTACTAGCTCACAAAATGCCAGTCGTCGTCTGCGCGAGGCCCCCTGCACCCCAATCCTATCTTTCCCCTGCCTGATCCAGGCATCGTTCTTGCACCGCTTGCTGGCCCCTCACCTTCCTTTCCAGGCTGCTTCCCCACCCCGACCCAGCCACTCCTTCCCTTGATACATTTATTTTAGGTTCATGCGCACGATGCTGCGAATCATGTCCGTCTTCTGCGAGTTGTTTGGCCGCCAGGGACCCGTGTTGGCAAGCCGCTCTAGCTCCGTCTTCTTCCGGGCGTGCTCGGATTCTACAGGGCAGCGGAGCACGGAGCAAATACAATAAGAAACCAGACCAACGTAGGCTCCATGGCATGGCAGGGCAGCATGGCATGGAATAGGGTGGAGCGAAAGACGCGAACGGAAGACCCGACTTAGGCTAGCAAGCAACCAGCCGGGACGTGATGGTCGAGAGGCTCTCAGCGCTTGCATTAACGGGATCCATGTTTTCCGTTTGGTGGCGAGCTATGGGCTTATTTGATGTAAGCCCTTCCAACTGGGGGCACAGTTCCCAGCGGCACCATTACCGCTACGGCGCCTTCCGATTCTGGTGGCCCGCACAAACTCCAGCAACCGCCCCTTGCGCCCCATCCCGGCCTGTGTATAGGTAACTTCTTTATTACTGTTATCCCCATCCGCCCGCTCGCTGCCACCCACCAATCTTGGGTGCCTCGGGGTCATGGATGTACTCCGGGTGCCGACCCAGATGGCGCGGGTTGATGGAGGAGGGGCGGAAGGCCGGACCCCCCTGCTCGCCCTTTTGGATTTCCACTGCGACGGCAATAGATCAACCGAACCAGCGGGCACCGTGTCAGCATGGCAGCAAAGCATCAGGGGGCATGATGCGCGCGACAACGGCGCAGAGTGTGGCAACTGTAACATTCCACATCGGGAAGGCAGCAGACAGTGACAACAACACAGAGTGCAGACCCAAATGGGCGGAAAAGCAACCAACGGGTGCTGAGGGCGGATGGGTCGTCAATCGCCAGCTTACCTTTGAGCTTTCCCGGCTTGGGCGCATTTGGGTCTGAGAAGTCGGGAGGAGCCACAGCGGGGTCGGCTCCTAGCATGTACTCGTACTCGCCCGCTACACCCTTGCCCTTACTGATGGTGATGTTGGGCACACCCGCGCCACCGCGCTTGGGCGGGTGCGAGGGCCGGAAGGGATGCGCCTGCCGCGCGGCAAAGTCTGCTTCCCGCTCCTGCATGCAACAACGCGTGGTGGGGTTTTGCGGGCATGGTGAGTAGCGGGGTTAAGGGGGCATGGAACGAACTCTGGTGCATGACTGCAGGGCGCGGAAGCCCATAGCTTCCTACGGCACGTCTTTAGAGCGATCTCGATCTCGAACCTGCGTCACCTCATGTCACCTCGTCCCAACCCACCGTAACGAGTGCCTCCAGCCGCAACCCGCCCCGCACACACACACACATACGTTTCGCCTCGCGGCCAGTTATTTTAACACACATACACACATACGCACCTGCAGCCGCCGCTGCCGCTGCATTTCATCTGGATCATGTTGGTATTCGTACTCCGTCGCCACCCCCCGGAAGCCCTGCCGCTCCGAGATGGTTGTCTTGTTGAAGCCAAAGGTGCCGCGTTTGGCGGGGGATGTGTAGAACCCGCGCGGCTCTGTCTTGACGTCCGCCTTGGTCTTCTGAACCGTTACGCTGCGGCCCTGGTAAGGCAGGGGTGTAAAGGAGCAGGGGGTTAGAGGGAAGGGAGTGCACTGGATCGGGTACGGCGCGGATGGGGCATGCAAGGTGGGTTAAGCGGGGTTAGGGAACAATTGGGTTAAGTAGGATTATTAGGTTGCTTTGGGTTGCGAGGGATAAGCGTGTCGTGTTGTAACCAGTTAAATTCGCATGACTAGGCGCATCGCACAGCTGCGAGGCAATCCAAGTGTTGGGTGTTGCACTCTTTTTTCACCACCATGACATGGTGCAAAACACCCTGAGAACCCACACAACGCCGCAGGGGGATCCAACCCCTTCCATCTCTCCTACCGGGATGTACTCCACTTTGCCCTGAAGTGTGCCGATGAAGTCTCCAGGTGTCGTGCTGACCTTCATGGGGGATGCTGCCTTAAAAGGCGCAGGCACAACTTGCTGCTTACGCTGCAAATTTTGTTCTTGGAGGTGTCGTCTGCTTGGGTCTAGATATTTGTCACCAATATGGAGGGACTTGAACGTCTCGAACGTTGCATCGTTGTTCTACGGGAAGAGGCAGTTGGGCGGATGCTTAGGCCGCGTGGCCACAGTGCAGGTATGCCGGTTGCCAACATGGTAATATGCACTTGTGTGGCTTGAAGCCATCAAAGCATGAAGTGCGGCAGCGCTTTGGGAAATGGACATGAAAGGAAGATGAGTACTTCATCGGCGTACCTTGCCGATTCTCCCGATGGTCGCCTTAAAGTTCAGACCATGATCACGCAGCTGTGTTCCAACATCTGGCGACGAAGGGCGACTGCCCTTTGGTGAGCCACCCTTTTCGCTTGCCTCTTCTCCTCCTACTGGCGGAGGCGATGGTGTAAGATAGGCATGTTCCATGAACATGCCATACTTGGTTGTCATTTTTCAGCAGCGCAGCGAGTATGTCAGGTAATGTGCTGCTGGTTGCCGACCCTCTATCGAAAACACGAATACTGTTTAGAGTTGAAGGTAGCCACGGTGGAGAACCTTTATACTGGAAAATGTCATCTAGTAATGGGAAGGGAGGTGGGTGTACAAGCTAAGTCGCTAGTCCTTCGATGTGGTACACGGCTTATTTCCGATGCTACGACAAGAGCTTTTCTGTCCCCCGAACTGATGCGCTTTGTCTTACTTACGTTAAGCTTAGATTTTAACCTGCATACAACAGTCGGCTTGTGACCCAAATGCAACTGCAACCGAACAACCATGATCACTTATAACACACACACAAGGCAAACGACAGGTTACATCGTTATTGACTTACGCTGCTAGCATATTACGGCTCCCAACGAGAAGGGATTACCTTTCTATCCCGCGACATTTTACTATCCTGATAATGAAACAAGCGACAACAGCTGCTGCTGGATATGAAACGCTAACAGAAAAGGCTTCTCGTGCTGTTGCGGATGGGAGGGAGCGCCGTGTCTACACCGCATTGGCAAAGGCAGGGTCCAAGCATGCTTGGGTCGCGACGGAGTTTCCCGCCGCTGACTTCACGAACAGATCTGCCTCCCCGAAGCAACTGAGTCCATCAGCTCTGGAGAACAGGCAGGTGGGACCCTGACCACGAGGGCTATGCATGCCGTGTGATGGGGCTTAACTTTCCTGGGTCCGCAAGCGGCAACCGTCCCCATCAGCTAAATTTCCCCCCATCAGCTATCCTAGAATAATGCATAACAGATTGAGCTTAATTCTCCTAGGGTGTCTGCACTGTTCAGAGTGCCAACACCACCGCCTCACCGCACCTCATGGCACTTTTGCGCCGTACACTCCCACACATATCCTGCACATGTCTTCCTGTATCGCAGCGGGCCGGGCGCTACTCCGCTGGCTTCAAAGCCAAACTCCAAGAGCAGTTAGCCGAGGGTACGTGACAGGGCGCTGGCTGACAGCAATGGGCAAGCAAAGGCCGAGGAGGAATGGCTAATGGAGACTGAGCTCCTGGCGAGGGGTCAGGGTACAGCTCCCTTCGAGCGCACGACGCCCAATGCTATAATCCAACAACCCTTCCTGCATGCGTGTTTCTCAACGTCATAATGCCCTGATTCCTGCCACCCATGGGTCCGTGCAGAACGTTCACGGCTACAGGAACGGCTACAACGGCTCGCGTCATCATGCCAGGAAAAGCTTACGCTGCATACCATGTTACCGGAGCAGTATCAGCAACACCAGCAGCAGCAAAAGGCCGCCACCGCTACCAGCCAAACGCACCCACAGCTGTGCTCCAAGCAAGCAGGGAGCTTCCCCAGCACTCCGTCCGCCTCCGCCGCAAGCACTACAGACTCCGTAACTCGCACCGAGAGGCGCCCAGCCACACCACCCACCCTGGCACGAGATCAACAACAGCAACAACCACTGCCACAACATGCTGCGACCACGACCTTTTCCCAGCCGTCTCCGTATGGCAGCCGGCAGCAACCACAACCGCAAAGGGAGCAGGAACAGCCGAACCGGTCGACTGGGACGAACGAGCAGCCGACGCCCCGGACCACAATCCCGAACGACAGCAGGGCCCCCCGCATGGGGGCTCGTAGGAGGCTAAGCTACGATAGCGCAGCTCCCGGTGCCTCTGCTGGTGGCCGCCCCGCTACCACCACTGCTGGTGCTGCTGCCACCGCCACTCCTCCGCCGTCCGGATCTCCGTATAGGGCTCCCAGCAGGGGGGCGCCATCAGGTTCGCGGACCAACGAGCGACCGCACAGCGCCTCTCCTCCCGCTGCAGCGGCAGGCAAACCGGACCTCCGCAACCGCAGCAGCACCAGCAGCCGTAGCAACGCCAGCAGCCGCAGCAACACCAGCAACACAGCCAGCCTCCTCACTCCTACCTCTTCCCCCACCGCCACCAACAACACCAACGCTGCTACGGCGGCGACGGCGGTTCCAGGGGTTTCGGAGGCTTCTGGAGGCGTACAGCGGGGTCCGGAGCCGCTTGAGCTGCTTGTGGGCAGCTCGCTGAGGAAGATGACGTTTGCGGGTGAGGGGGCGAGCGGGGTGAGGGTAAGGGCGAGGGGACAGAGACAACGGGGTCAGGGTGAGGGCGAGGGGACAGAGACTACCACACTCCGTGTGAGGGTGAGGGTGAGAGGGTGCGGGACCCCTTTAGAGCACTGAGTGTAGCGAGTGCGAGGGGGACACAGGGTCATCATACAACAGTCTTGAGCACATGTGTGTAGATTTTCATCTGCCAGTGGTTCTCTGGTCATGCGTGCAGGCCACCGCTCCAGTCAGGGCCCCCACCCGCAGCCGTACGACATGTACGATGATGATGACGCCTACGCCGCATCACACGTGTCGCACAGGTGGGTTAGGGGAAAGCCTGGTCGCGAGGTGCTGCACAAGCCCTGCATCCCTTCCTGTTTATACTCTTCCCTTCTCTCCTTCTCTAGCATCGAGGGGGTCACTGATTCTCGCTCACATGCGCTGTACCCCACTGGGGTTACCGTGTTACCGGTCTGCCGTGCAGGGAGCGGTTGCGGGCGGGTGTTGCCGAACTGAGTGCCGGGCTGCATGCCAGCTGGAGGGCACTGCTGGCGAGCGGAGCCGTGTAGAGCACCGGGAGATGTCGTGGTGACGTGGAGGGGTTAACGGGGGGATGAAAGAGGAAACAAATAACTGACCGTGTGATAAGGCGTAATCATTGTTTGCTACATGTGGGCCAGCCCGAGGAGGGGGAAGCAGCAACTGCTGTGGAAGCAGCGATGCAGGGGTTGCGGATGCTGCGGAGGATGAGGCATCGGCAGGCTGCGTAACGGAGGCGCTGATGCTGGATTTGCTGTGTTACCATTGTCGTACGAGTGCAGGGTCAACCAATGCGCTTGTTACGGAGTCTTTTAAGCGTTTCTTCTTCTTCTTGCGTGTATGTGCGTTATAGGTTTCTTCGTAGGCTTTATTATCTGCTTTTTGGCTGTAGCAACACGTTATGTTGCCCTTGCGTTTTTCTTCTGGTGTTCCCTATGGTATTATTCATAGTTATGGTGTTTACCGGTATTAGCCACATTCATTTACTGTGTGTTCCTTTTTCCGAAACGGGGGCTTCATTCCCTTTTGATTCTTGATTACGCACTTAGACCTCCGCGCTACTAATACCATGTATATAACGTACAGTAACCCTAGCACGCTTTTCTAATCTATGCTATCAAACACGCCTTATACGCAACCAAAAAGTGGACTATTGGATCACTTGGATGGAGCAGTGTTTCCCTTTTTTAGCTTGTATTCCCCGCAAGTTCGCAACCCTTGCAACCGTTGGATGGCCCGTGGGTCGGCCTTGATGTACAACCCCGGTGTGCACTTACGCCTGCACACACACACGCTCACGTTAGCCCTTGATTGTAGTTCGGTACGGGCTCCCACTTCTGCTCTTAAGCTCGGTTACAACGCGAACCGGTTACGATACCTGCAGCATCCACCACTGCCCTCTGCTCGAGGCAGCCAGCCCAACCACACATACAGGCTGCACCCTGACCTCCCGCCGCCGCTGCTGCCCAACTGCAGCTCTGCTGCTGCTGCTGGCACAGGAAAGGAGGCGCAGCACACGCAGGGGAGCAGGACCTGCTGCCACCACCTACCGGCAGTTTATTGCTTGCTTCACCGGACAAGCAATACACCTTCACCTCCTACACCTGCAGCTTGCTAGTGCTGTGCTGCTTTTGCTGTACCAAGGCACCTTAGGCCCTATCCACTTAAGGACTAGGGGAAACCCTACCCTCAGCGAATCCCTTCCATGGTGATCCCTTACTCGCTACACAACCCCAAAGTAGCCGCGCCCTGTATTTTGCTGGACACCATCCACGACGCTTAGCCTCCATACATGTGCCACACAGCCCCCCCACGCCAGTCAGTTAGTTGTTTCCTCTTTACACCCCTCCACGCCTCAGCCCGCCCCCCGCATGCACGCAAGCAGCTCGGCAACCATGATGCATCCCATCATGACAGAGCCTTGCCACATCGCTGATGCTCCCTCCTCCTCTTACCCCCCCTCCCCCCGCAACTTGCTGCTTCACTTCTCAGTTACTTTTCCCCCGCCCCGCCCCGCCCTGCATGCATGCATGCCCCCTTCTAGTCGTCATCCTTGAACGGGAACTTCTCGTCCCGGTGCTCCTTGAGCTTCAGCCGCAGCTCGTAGCAGTCGTCCCCCTTGAGCATGTCACTCACCCAGCGGCACTCCACCTCCATGTTCACCTGCGGGAGGGAGGGAGGGGCGGGGCGGGAGGGAGGGAGGGGGGAAGTAAGTGAGAAGTGAAGCAACTGGAGCCCCAATTCTATATCCCGAGGAGGAGGGAAGGAGGGAGATATGGGGGTGGGATGGATGCAGGGAGGGACAAGAGTGAACCAAACCGCACCGGAGGAAAACGCAGGTCAGGACAAGGCCTGCAGGGAAGGAGTGAGAGTGGAGATGGGAGGCAGGGAAGCTGGGCGGGTGCCAGGCTCGAGGACCGCGACCCGTTCCAGCCCTGACCCTGCAGCGCTCCGCCTCCCTGTTTGCCCTTCCCCTCAAAACCACCTCCAGTTCCCCTCGGGATATGGGATTGGGACCCTAGTTTGCACTTATTATAAATTTTTCTCACTTCTTTTATTTTTTTCCCCTCTCCCCTCGCCCGCAACCCCGTCCACCAGCACCGCTGCCGCCCTTCTCCTTCCGCTGCCCTCTCTTCCCCCCTTTTCACTGTTGTCACCGTCAGTGTTTGTTCCATCGCGGCTCCGTATCAATATCCCTCCTCTCCCCCATGGTGAAGCTTATCGATCCAGCTCCTTGATTTCCTCCTTCCTATCCTCCCTCACCCGCTGGTGTTTCCGCGGCTCAGTTTATCTAATCCCCCTCACCCTCCCCTCACCCTCATTTCCTTTTCCCCCCTCACCATCTCCAGCGCCCCCCGCACCACCCCCGCCAGCACGTTGCAGTAGCGCAGCTCGCGGTACTCCTCGGGCAGCTCCACAAAGTCGGCCAGCGGGTTGTCAGTCAGGATCTGGGGAGCAGCAGGAGGAGGATAAAAATAAGGAGGAGGAGGGGGAGGAGGAGGCGACGAGGAAGAAAGCGGTTTATTGTTTCCCATCGCCCGAAACTCCATCCAGAGACACCACCGGAGGAGGAGGAAGGAGGAGGGAGAGGGGTTAAGAAGGAGAGGAACAACCAAACTGTGAACGAGAGGAAGGGGCAAAGGAGGAGAAGGAGAGAGGCACTGCGGGGGTAATGCGGCTGAACAGGGATGAAACGGAGAGGCCTCAAGAGGGAGACACGAGGGGGAGGGATTTGCGTGCATGCGCGCTAAGGGTTACCAACCCCACCCCATCCCCGCCATCCCATCCCCACCAGGCTGCATTCCGTCTGGTCGGGGCTCCAGTTGGCGACATTGGCGCTGACGTTGAGGAACATGGGCAGCGCCTGGGGGTGGAGGGGAGCAGAGGGGTGCGCAGGCGCGGAGGCGACGTTGATGTGAGGATGGCGTGAGAACGGCGTGAGAACGGCGTGCAGGATGGTATAGTCCCGGCCCGTTGAACATCAACCGGGTCTTACGACTCCTGCCTGTTACTTGTTTAAGCCAATGGATGCGCCTCAACGGTGGGTGCACAAATGACCTGAGAAGCACTGTTAATTGGCAGCAAGTCTTGCCTGCCCGACCACCTAGTCATCCCGTGCCCATCTACCTGCTTGGCCACCACGTCCGCGGTGTCCCGAAATGAGGAGCAGCGGGTAATCTTGGCCTTCGCAAGGAACTCATCCACCAGTCGGATGCCTATGTTGTAGCCCCTTGGATCAATTCAGGGGTTGGGCGGTTAGTAAGGGCTGCATGGCATGCTAGGGCAAGCCACGAAGCTGGAAGCCTTGCTACAAATTAGTACTCTTTACTGACCAAAGCACTCACATCTGCTCTAACTGTTTGTTGACCTCCTCGATGTCCTCAAAGTCGGATATAAGCTGGCGGACGATCGAACCATAGGTCAAGGTAAAGACCTCAGCGTTCTGCAGGTAAGAACGAAGTGCTAATATTTGAACACCAGTTTGGAACCCAAGCACCCCAAGGACTCCATAAGCCGACCGTTGGACCCTTACAATTTGCTCGAGGCTGGGCGCATTTCGGGCCCCGGAGGGCCCACCCCTCAGCATTCCTAAGTGCGCGTCCTATATATTGCAGCAATCTATACTTCTAGTGAGTCAGCATTCTTCGCAATGGCATAAAACATAACAGTCGCGTTCTGCAACTACGCCACCGCAAGTAGGAAACGCCTGGATCCGCGTTAAAAATTTAAAACATACCGTTCTTATCCACCTGTATGGCTTCATCGGTTATGACTGGGGCCTCATGGCACAGGTACTGCCGTACTGGGTTTCTTTTGGAGCGGAAAGTAGCCATGGGCGCAGTTCACACGCCTTGCACTTGGGAGGGGATTCTGTTGTCCCAGACAACACAGGAGGTTTCCCCCTTCTTGGCATATGCAGCACCCATCGCGTTTTCCTCTCCCCTGCAACCCCTACTACCGTAGTCCTCACGTCTCTGGTTATGCATGACCCCACCGCATGGTCAGTGATGGGTGTGTACCGTGCTGGAAAACACAGAATGCAGCATCACCACCTGTGTCAACAGAACCCCTTTTGCACGTGCATGTGTTCCCTTAGGCGTCTCGTTGCTCCTTTCAAGCGTCTCCAACACAGCCTCTATACCGGTATACGATACACAATATCGTCGACGACCAGAGACCACGTGTACACCCGTGTTTTAGGCAAGCAGGGAAGCAGGGGTCTACACCCTTTTTACAGCTCTGAGAAAGCTAACATGCCCTGTAGCCCTTGGTCTTTGCTCAGGAACATGCTGCTAGCTACGACTCCACGCTGCCAGTCAAGCCTCCGGGCTTTTAGTTAGAAGGGATGAATCGTGAACTCGACTGAAGGACGCAGGCAATTGGACTCCGGAGCCCTCAGGGAGGGCGTCAGCGGCCCACACCCAATCAACACACCAGATAATGAAGCAGTTGTGGAGCACCCTATCCGCTGCAGCCACCAGCAACCGACACCCCAACGAAAACCACACTTGCAGCTTCTCCCCAGATCCTCCATGCAGACAGCAACAATGGCAACAACAAAGACGGATTCAACAGTGCTCTATAATGGTACAAAAGCTTAAAGTACAGGCGATACCGGTAGTTCAGGAGTTCAGAGCAGCAACAGCGTATGCTGGCAACACCAATTTGTGTTAATGAAACCAGGGGGTGTAATTCGGAATGAGAAACGCCGGTAAACCTACATACAGTTAGCCCAACACATGTATTTGGCGTCTAGCCCCACCACAATGCGCGGGGAACCAAGCAACAGTGGAATACCCATCGAACAAACGCCACATGTGCACATTCCTACCCCTTCCACATGCAAAAGCCCCACCTACTTGTCACAGCAGGTAACAACCAACCAGCCGCCGCAGTCCACCATGCAAGCATACCAACCGTGCAAGCGACGCGACCCGCAGCCTGCCCCGTGCCAGCAAGGCATGCAACGACGGAGCCACCCAACGACCCCAAGTGCAGTACCATTCATACTCAGTCTCTCCCGGCCACTCTTTCACCCCCAGTGCTCCAGTACAGCCCAGACCTCGCACGTTCGGCTCGACTAACTCGATTCCATTCACCAAGAGCTTGCCGTCTGGCTTGCCATACTCATTCAAAACACTGGGTATTCTTCTTTTCCCCCGTCCCTGCAACTAGCACGGCTGCTACCAAGCCGCCATGTCTAGCAGCTTCTGCCAGATCCACCCACCATCACCTCCATGCCTACCACTCATCCCCACCCCCGTCACCACCTCCCGCACCCCCCTTGCGCCGCCGCCGCTTCTCCTCCTTCCGCCGCAGCTGCTCATCAAACTGCTTCAACTCCCGCGCCGAGTAGTTGGGATCCGCTCCCGGATCGCGGCTGAAGTCGCGCCGCGGGTCTTCCAAGCCCGTTCCTGGATCCACCCGTGGATTCGCAGCCCGTGGATCTGCCGTACCGGTACCTCCACGCCGGATCTCCACCAAATCCGGGTCTTCATCCCGACCCAGCTGCATTCGCTCGTCACCTGGCCCAAGCTGCCGGCCGGCGCCGCTGCCGCCGCTGACGGTCTTGTCAGTGGAGCTGCTGCCGCTGCGACCCATGGGTCTCTCCCGGGCTCTCCTACGATAACAATTAGCACCAGGACCAGGCGTCAGCGCAAGCAAGCAGCCCGTCCACACGATCTCCACACACACGCCGCTTAGTCCCCCCCCCCCTCTCTCCCTCCTCTTCAGCATCGCTTCCTTCTTCTCTTCTTCCCCTTCCTCTTCCTTCTTCTCTTCCTCCTCCTCCTCGGCCTCCTCAGCCCCCCTTACCTGGCATCCCGCGCCATCACGCCACCCAGCCCCTCCAGCAGCGCCCCCGCGCCCCGCAGTCCGCCCCGCAGCAGCGCCCCCACCGCCCCCACCGGCCGCAGCGAGCGCAGCGTCTCGGGCTCCGTCTGGGCAATACGCTCAGCCTGGAGGAGGTGGGGGGTATGGTGTGTTTGGGGAGGCGCGGGCCCGCGGGGAAAATAAGTTAAGACGGGGACGGGAAGGGAGGAGAAAGGGGCAGAAGGCAAGGGCCTGCGGTGGCGCAGTGCAATAGACAGGCGTTTATATGGTAGGTATGTTGTTGCGCGCCTGCGCTTGCCTGGTGCATTCAATCGTCGGTCGCCGCTGCCGCACGCCCTGGCCATTATTGCGCCATGCATGCACCCTCGCCCCCGCCCCCCACCCACCTGTGGTTTCCTATGGTATGGCATGGTCTTTCACACTCCCCCCCTCACCTGCACATGCACCACGCACAGCGCCACCATGAGCAGCGCCCAGGGGTCCTGCCAGGACAGGCCGCGCAGCAGCAGCGGACTGCCGTACAGCGCCGCGTAGGTGCCGTACAGGGCGGCCCGCTCCTCATCACTCAGAGCAGCCAGCACCCAGGCCTGGGGTGGCAAAGAAGCAGGAAGGGGGTGCCATTAGGGGGATGGGCGAGGCGGGGAGTGGGTAAATTAATTAAGGATTAAGTTGGGATCGCGGGGAGCAGTGAGGTTGCCACTTACCAATCACCAACAAAACTGGGAGAGATGCAACATGCAAGACTGTCTGGTAAACCTAACAGGAACTCGTAGGCATCGCCAGCAGGTCCCTCTACCCGCTCACTCCGTCCCGAAACAGCTCTCCCCCAGCTTTCTACCTCCTACTCCGTCCCCTACCAGCCAATCGAATAACGGCAGGCAGCTGATGAAGCCCATAAGGCCCCACACAAAGTTGTCCTCCGAAGCACCTCCGGCACCACCCGCTTGCTTGCCAGCAGTGCCGCCGGTTGCAGGTTTCCCGCTAGTTCCGAGCGCCCGCCGGTCCGAGGAAGGCGGCAAAGGCGTTGCTGCGGGGGGTGGCGGCTCCGAAACCGCGGCTAGCAGTACGGCATAGCTGATGCCCACGACAGAGCTGATGGTAATAATGCTTCGCAGCGTGGAGTCGATCTGTTCCGGAAGGCCGGCTCGGCAAGTGAGTCGGGAGCGGCTTCTCTGGGAAGATACTGTATTGAATCCGCGCTGAAGCCTGGAGAGTGGTTGCAAGGGGTCCAGAGACTGGACGTGGCTAACTTTTCCGTGGTGAAAAGCACGCGCCCGATGGACCCATGGACCGCTGCTGTGTGCGCGAGAAGAAGTTGCGCTGGTGCAGATGACTGGCATGCATGATGAAGACGAAGGTTGATAAGAGGCAACCGTAAGGCGGCTTCGGTGAGATCGATGGGGAGAGATGGCGGTTGGCTGGCTGAGCAATGTAGAACTCTGTGTGGCAGAGCGTTCAAAGGTTCCACCGAATGGCCTCAGATCCATTGCCAATATAGCGAGACAAAGGAATTTAAGGTCAGGCAAATGTTACGGGCTAGCAACAGTCAAGCAAAAGTGGATTATACCTTCTTATCGGCAAACCAGTAAAATACTACCCGTAAGGTGGGTACATGCACTACATTAACACCGTGTTTGCATGCTCATGGAGTGACGTCTAGGATTTGTAGCACATTGCGTCACGCCGTACGATAGCGAGCGAAGTACTAGCATTGTTCGGTCTTCGTTTTCCTACGTCATCGCATGGCATAGAGTGTAGATAGTTGGCCGACTAGGCCATTACTGGGACAGCTGCAACAATGTTGGCGCAGCAGCTCCGGCAGCGCGGCTTTCGCGCCGTGCCTGCACCTAGTGCACTAGTGGGGCAAAACTGGCTGAAACAGCAAGACGCTTATTTCTCCGTTGAATCCGATGGCAAGCTGCCGTCAAGCACGCCAGGTCCATCAGCGGTACCCACCGCTGCAAATCCACCTGATAACACCGGCTCTAATACTTCGCAAATAAAAAATGATCACGTAACAAATGAGCACGGGACCAAAGCTGCGCCTCCGCATCCATCGCCGGCCACATCAGCTGCGCTGTCGCAGCTAAAGGCGAAGCTTGCCAGTCAGGTTTCGGCGTCATCGCAAGCAGCACCACCGGCAGGACAGTCGGGTACTCAGCACCAGCAGAGGCCTGCGACCAGCCGGACGAATGCTTCTGAGGGACGCATCCAGCAGCACCAGGCGGCTAGCTTCCAAGGAGTTCCGCTGCAGCTTGGCGAGGCGGGAAACCCCCTCCAGGTGAGGCATCCGGAGTTAGGAAGAAACAGCCCAATTCCGGGTTATAGCGTCCTGCCAAGCCACGGCCTTTTACACTGGGCTTAGCCCATCACACTCTGCTGTTAAGACACGAATCGCACCCACCTCCTCCACCTGTCGTTGATTAGATTACCCCCATTCCTTCTGGCAGCACCCCTCTGTACCGGCGCAGTATTCCTTCCTTCCTCCTCCCTGACTCCTCGCTCCACCTCCCCTGCCCTCACCTCCTCCTCCCCCCCCTCCCTCCCCGCTGCAGAGCATGGCCGCCCTGACGCACAACTCCGTGCAGCAGGTGGAGGACTACACCGCCGCGCCCCTGGCCTCCGACCAGCGCCTGCTGGCCTCGCTGCAGAAGCTGGGGGAGGCGCCGCAGCAGCGCGCAGCGACCATCATGCAGATGGCGGCGGGTAGGAGGGGGGGGCGGCAGTTGTGTGGTGGTGTGGACGGGGTTTGGTGCGCATCTGGAGTGTGACAGTGTGTCGGCGTATATCCTGGCCTGGTGGCGAGTTGTCCACTGGTGTTTAGATGTCATTAGCCGTCCTTCATCGGTGACCAGCTTTGACCCTCCATGCGCCCGCTCTTCCTCCTCCTCAACACAACCACAACCGCCACCCCTGTGCCTGTATTCCTGCATTCCTGCTGCACCCCAGGCACCGCGCCTGCTCCCCCCGTGCTGGTGTGGGCTGCCGGCGAGGTGGTGTCGCAGCTGCAGCAGCTGCTGCGGGAGCAGCTGCCGGCTGCGGAGGGGGATGCGGGAGAGCTGCGGGGGCAGCCCTGGTACGAGGGCGCCCTGCAGGTGGGTGGTGAGGGGACAGATGAGGGAGCGGTGGTGCATGGGGTGCGTGTGGTTGGGAATACGGTTAAGGTTACGTCATGTAGGAGAACGGGATTTCGGCTTGTGAAGCTTTGGCGTTGTGGCGATGCTGCGTTCTGGTTGTGGGCTTGGCAGAGGGAACGAGTACGGTAACGTAGCAGGTCTCGCTTAGGACCAGGAAGAGGTTTGGAACATGCCAGGATGGTCCTTTCCCTCAGCCATGCGTCGAGGCATGTACTGTTACCTTTGCTTGCCCTCTCCAACGCCCTTTGACGCGGCGTGCGTTGCTTTGTAGGTCGCTCGGCTCGCGCTGGCTAGCCAGTCACAGCAGCAGCCGCAACCCCAGACCGAGCTTCAGCTCCTGCGGGCCTTTGCACAGCCTCCTGCCGCACCCACACCCGCACCCGCAGCAGCCGAGGCGCAGCCGGCGAAACAGCAGCAGCAGTCGCAGGAGCTGTCGTACAGTGTTTCCTGGGAGGCCCTCCTGGCCCTGCCACAGCTGGCGGCAGTCCTTGACGCGGCCGCCAGCCGTAGCCCTGCCCTGGCGGCGAGCCTGGACCTGACGAGGGTTCGGAGCGCCGTCACCGCCGCCGCTAGGCCGCCTGCAGCGGCAGACCGCTCCGCGGCTGCTGCTGCTGCTGGAAAGGCCGGCAAGAAGCAAAAGGAGCAGCCCAAGCAGCCGCTGCAGCAGCAGCAGCAACCCTGGTTGCTTCCGCTGCTACGGTCTGCTGCATCGGTGGCGAGGTCGAAGGCGCTGGAGGCGACGGGGCTGGCGGCTAAGGGAGCTGACGTGCCGCTTAACGCCGACGCGGCGTTGACGGCGATCGCCATGGGTACGGCGGCGGCGACGCCGGCGCAGCGGGCGGCGGCGGTGGAGTGGCTGGCGGCGGCGTCACTGCTGCAGCACGCGGAGGAGCGACTGGGAGTTGCTGGCGGCGCGTCGGGTGTACGGAAGGAGGCCGTTGCCGTACTGCAGCTGTTGGGGCTGCCGTTGGAGCCGCGGGAGCTGCCGTACTTGGACGAGCTGAAGGTGGGGAAGGGAAGCCGAGCCGCTGGCTGGGGGCTGGCTATGCTAGGCATGTTGGCTAGGGGAAGAAGCGAGGTGGAAGGAGAAGGATGAGCGTGACGACCGTACGCTATCCTGTTTGCTCTTGATCCAAACCATGGTTCTTGAGGTGCACTTTCCACGGTCTCTCCCGCAGGTGTCGGAGGAGGAGGTCAGGAGCTGGCTGTCGCAACTAGCCAGCCAGCTGACGGCCGCTCCTTCCACCCCAGCTGCTGCGCTGTCCGTGCCGGCCCACCTGGAGTCTCGCATCGCCTCCGCTCGCCGGCACCTAGCAGCAGCGGGCCGAGCGCTGGTCCTGGCTTCGTCCCCTGACGCCGCCTCAACCCCGACCCCGGCCTCCACGCCAGCCCCTGCAGCAGCAACAGCCGCACCCACGCCAGAGGCGACACTCGCATGGTTGCGTGCCGTGGGCGCTCCGCTGGTTTCGGGGCTGCTTTCCGGCGGGTACGACAGCGTGCGGAAGCTCCAGGAGATGGTTCCGGAGCTTCGTGAGGCGTTGGTGCTGCGGTTGCTGGAGGCGGGGCGAACGAGCTCCGGTACGACAGCGCTGGCGGCGACGCTGTACGGCGATGCTGCGGCGGCGTGGCGTACGGCACGTGCTGACGTGGCGGGTGTGACTGCGGCGGCGGAGCTGCTGCAACGGGAGGCTGTCGAGGCGGAGCTTGACTACGTGCGGGAGAGGTAGGTCGTGATTGAAGGGGGCTAGGGGGAGGAGAGGGTGAATTGCGTAGGGCAGATGTGTGGAGGACTGGCAGGAGGGATGGCAGGAGGCAACGAGGGGCCGTCGGCTGATGCGCAATAAATTAAGGAAAGCTCCACCACATTATCCGGTTTATCGCCCATGCGACGCTCTTTTCCCTAACTTCTCCGTACTCCATTGCGTCTCTCACCAAACCATGCCCTTTACTACCTTTGCTGTCTCGCCCAGGTTCGTCCCCCCGGCGCCTCAGCTGCCGCCTCCCCCAGCCCTGCCCACCGACGCCGACCTAGCAGCGGCGGTGCAGGCGCTGCCACCGCAGCAACGGCAGCTGTACGACAGCTACTATGCGCTGCGCCCCGACGGCAGCACCAGCGGCAGCGGCGAGGGTGATGCGGAGCTACGACGGCTGGTCGCCGACGCACTGGCGGCGGCCGGGGAGGGCGCTGTACGGCAGGCGGTGGGCGGGGACCTGCAGGTGCGGGGTGTGTGCATGTGGACGTAGATGTGGATGCGGTTAGGGGCTTCCGCTCTCCTCGCAAAAGGTCTTTTATCTTCTTGTTCTATAGGTTATCTGCCTCTGTCCTCCTTACTTCAGCGTTCGCGTGTTCTGTCCGCCTCTGCCTGCACCTGAGGGTGCTGAGTTCTATCTGTGCCCGCTGCTGTGCTCTGCGCACCTCTCGTCCCCTCCCCCAGGCCTGGCTGGCTGAGGCCCGGCAGCGGCTGCTTGTGCTGCCCAACCCGCTGCTGGCGCTGCTGCTGCGCTTCCTCAGGGTGCAGGTGGGCAGGGCAGGAAGCGGGTGATGGGGGGGGTGAAGAGGAGGAAGAAACAGGGCAGGGGGGAAGGAGAAGGCGCAATTGGAGCAGGATAAGAAAGCAGCAGGGCTCCTCGCTCTACCCTGACCCTCTCTATCCGCCCGCCGCCCCCTCACATGAACAACCTCCGGCCCCGTCTCTATCTCTCCCCGCCCCCCACCGCTCCCCTCCCCTCCCCACAGGTCTCCTTCACCCCCGAGTCCGCCCAGTTGCAACGCAACAAGCTCACCGCGCTAGCAGCCCTGGTAGCCCAGCAGCAGCAGCGCGCAGCCGCCGCCGCCTCCACAACCGGCAGCAGCGACGACGACAGCGACACCGCGTCCTCCGCTGCTGCCCGGGAGCTAGGGCAGTGGGTCCGCGGGGAGGGGCAGCCGGGCGCTGGGGGCCGGGTGCCCGCCGCTCTGTCTGCGGTGCTGGGTGAGGCGAGTGCGGGGGAGTTCTCCAGCTGGCTGCAGGCGCTGGCGCTGAGCAGCAGCAGCAGTGGCAGCGGGCTGAGCACGCATGAGCTGCTGGCGCAGCAGCAGATGGAGCAGGATGTGGAGCGCTATCTGACGGTGGGTTGCTGGGGGAGGAGGTAAAAGAAGTTTAAAAGGATGCGTGGGACGGTGGGTTGCTGGGGTGGTGGTGGATGGGTGCATGGGGGCAGGAGGCGACAGGGTGTTGGGATGAAGTGGTGGGAAGATGTGATGCGAAGACCCTTATCCCTTACTCCAGCAGCCCGCCCCTTGTTATTCAGCGCCCCTTTGCAAACCATGATGACGGCATATCACACGTTTCGCTAGTCGTTTCCTCCTTACTCCCCCCCCCAACCTGCACTTATCATTATTATTCCCACCTCTCCCCACCCTCCACAGATGACACACGACCCCCGGCTGCACATGCCGCTGGGCGCTGCGGGCCCCTCCGCCTCCTCCGCCTCCGCCTCTCGCCCCACCTCCGCCTCCTGGAGCCTCCCCGAGCTGCGGCGGGGTGAGGCGGCCTGGCTGGAGGACATGCGGCCGCAGCTGGACGCGTACCTGCAGGCCATGGTGGGTGCGCGAGTGTGTGTGACAGTGTGACCCCAGGCATGCACCGGTACACCGGTACCTCTCCCCTCTCCCGGCCAAAGCAGCCAAGGCCCAACCTACAACCCGGCTCAGCCTGTAACCCGTTCCTGTTGCCGTACTGACCGTTTCTGCTGCTGTGTGGTCCGCCTCCTCCTCCTCCTCCTCCTCCTCCTCCTCCGCCTCCTGCGCAGGGCTACCGGCGACTGGGTGACGCGGAGTGGGGCGTGTACCGGGACACTGCACTGGCGGAGTGGGACACGGGGCGGGCGGCACGGGAGGAGAAGGTGGCGGCGGCGGGGCAGAGCGGCTTCTTCAACCCCAGGGTACGACGTGTGTGTGCTGCTGGTGCTGGTGGTGCTGCTGCTTCCTGCCTGCATGTATCCCTAGTCGGGCCGTGGGGTTTAGGGGGGGTTAAAGCGTTCTTCGCTTGGCTTCCTTTTCCTTACACACACCTCCCTCCTGCCTCCCTCCCCCTTCCTCCCCACCCTCCCCCAGGCTGACGAGGTGTACCTGCAGCAGCTGCTGGAGGAGAACATCGCGCCAGGTGGGGGGGCAGGGCGGGCTGGGATGGGCTGGGGACCGTAGAATGAAAATGTACTGCCACTACCTTGCTGCAGGCGCACAGGTGCTGCAGGTGCAGGTGCAGCGGACAACCCCTTGTCGTCATCAGCGGCCTCCCTGCATGCCTCCCCTGTTTCACTCCCCGCTTGACTTGCTCATCTTGTTTGCCTTTCTCACCCAATCACACACACTGGGTACCGTATGCTTCTCCCTGCCTCCCTCCCTCCCCGCCCCCCCGCCCCTCAGAGGACCCGCTGGGCCCCCAGTCGCGGCGCTACCTGGACACCCTCACCCGCAACCGCACCTGGAACTTCGCGCAGAGGAAGCAGGCGGTGCAGGTGCGGGGGGTGGGGGGTGGGGTGGGGTTGGTGAAGACAGCAGGGTTGGGGAGTGAGTGGGTGAGAAGTGAAGCCAGGCATGTGTGGCGAGACGGCGAGGCTCCCCCGTGGGGTGCTGCATGCATGGGTGGCAGGGGGGGCGTGGGGAGCAGGGCCGGGGCCGTTGGTTGGCATGTCAGGGTTGTCATGGACAGCTCGAGTCACCCGGAGTGAGTTTTGGGGCCTCCCATCCGCCTTCCCTCTCCGCATCGTTTTGTGGCGCCCCGCCCGCCCCCAATCCCACAGCCTAGCCCTCCTTACTTGCAGTATCACTTGCTTTGGTTCCCCCTGACCCTCTCCGCATCCCTTCCTGCTCCCTCCTGTCCCCTCCCCATCCCTCCTGCCCCCTCCCCCATGTCCCGCCTCCACAGCGCCTCATCCAGCTCAATGCGCACTTCCTGCGCCAGCCGCCCGCACCCGCCGACGGATCGCCCTTCGCGCCGCTCTTTGCGGTGGGCGGGCCCGACCCGGTGCCCAAGCTGGGTCCGCTGGCCCCTGCGGGTCAGAAGCAGCTGCAGCGGCGGTGGGGCGCGCTGACCCATGGGTCAGGTGCCGCGGTGGAGCAGCTGCAGCTGCCTGAGGGGTTTTGAGCAGGGAGGTGTGCGTGTGCGAGTGATGGGACGAGCACAGGGGTTGCACATGGCGTGGTGGGGGGGGCGTTCAGGATGCGTGTGAAGGGGTATGTGGGTTCCAAGGGGGGATGTGTGGTGGCTTTGGGTTTTCGAGCGTGGATCAACAGGGCGAGAAGGGGGAGTGGTGAGCGATTGGGGGCTGAATAACCGGAGGACCTGGGCAGATGAAGGGGGCAGCTGTGTCGGAAGGAGGAGAGTGCCTTTCCTGTGGTGACGCGTTAGAAGTCAGGCAATGGGTCGCGTGGGGCGCGCAACTTGCTCTGTTGTTTGCAGGGCAGGGGATCAGCCGCGAGCGAACAAACCACGGCGCGCGAGCCGCAGCCTTAAATCTGAATACGGTACGTTGATGGGCCGGTGAACGGGTGGACTGATATGGGCCGAGGACTGCAGGCGTAAGGCCCCCCAGGAAGGGCGCAGAACTGAACTCTTAAGCATCAGAAATCTGTAAGAAGACGACTAGCGGTATACCGGTGGCCCGGCTGCGCTGGCATGGCTGCAGGGGCCCATAACGCGGCTCCTTCCCGCCGCATCGTCATGATGATCATCGTGATGATGGTGAGACACCATTGGTGATGGATACAAGCTTCTTGGGGCTCGTAAGGCCTGGTAGGGTAGTTGGGAAGGCAGGGCTGGCATGTACAGCACAGCAGCTACAAGAAAGACGTAAGAGTGGAGGCAGTGCACTCGGCTGAAGCCCCCACGCAGCCCCACGAGGCACAACACGTAGGCCAGCAAGAGGCGTCACTACTGTTGGCAACAACAGCCCTGAATACCGCGAGGGCGTTGTTACACGGCCCGTTCTCAGCAGGGTAATCCATGTGGGAGCTCTGTACTACAGGGCAGTGCTTGAAGGTCGGCAAACAGAGAGAGAGAGAGAGAGAGAGAGAGAGAGAGAACGGAGCAGCGGAAGTTCTTTCGGTGACGGTGTGGGGAAAAGAACACACTGCCTGAAGGGCTGCGCATGCGGTCCATGGGTCATTGTAAAAGACGGTTAGCGCGTTAGTCGTCAGGATGTCGTGAGGCAAAGCTAAGCCTCAAGTCGTTTTGTGTGGCAGATGCAGATAATGAATCCCTCATTGATATTGAAGAGGATGGCCGGCATATAGCGCCTGCCAACATTGGACGTTGCCTTTACTAGGGCGACACGAACTTGGCGCGTACCAACATCCCCTAAATAGACAAACAAAATAAGTACATATATACCTCACTGTGAGTCCATCCGAATTTCGCGCATTCCCCCCAAATCAGTTTGTCGTCCTGCAGCTAATCATGGAGACGGAGCAGCCTTGCAATCGCGTTGAGGACGCCAGCAAAGCGAAAGCTGTTAGGTTGCTGTGGTGTGACACAGCTGGCATACGGCGATGCAGGCAGGTCCTTTCGTAGTTCGTACCCACTGCTTGCTGCTTCACGCTGCTTCTTCTTGCTGCTTCACGCTGCTTCTTCTTGCTGCTTAACGCGGCATTTGGCAGCCCCAAGTCAAGTACTGACCTTTCGCCTCCAGCCCGCTTCAATGTATACCGTCTACACTTCTCCAACATAGCAGCGCTCCTACCGCAACCTTACCTCCTGTCCTTCCTCCAGCCCAACAGTCGCGGTCCGCACATCCCGCGCAGCGCCTCCGCCTCCTCATCTTCCTCCCTCCCCTTTCCCCAACCTCAACTCCGACCACAATTAACCCCTCCGCTCCGGGGCCTCCCTGTACGGCATCCCTCCCTGCCCTCCCTCGTCCTGCCTCTCCACCCAGGGTCCTCCCCAGTCGCCGCTACCTGGCCACCGGCGGCCGGCTGGGTATCACCACGGCCTGCATGGCTGCACCGGCCTATGCGGACAGCCCGGTTGAGGCCAGCGGGCTAAGTGCGGTGGGCGAGGTGGCGTTGGTGGCGGTGGAGGGCACCCGGGTGGCGCTGCCCTGGTGCCCGGGGCACCATGCGACACTGGCGGAGTTCTGGACGCAGGCGAAGGACGGAGGTGAGAGGGCGGAGGTGCGAGGGCGGCGTGGAGGTGTGGTGGAGGGAGGGGTAAAGGGAGGAGTGAGGCGGCGGGGTGAGGGTACCGGTAGCGTTGGCACAGGGGTCAGGTAAGGGGACCGCTAACCGTCATTTTTGTTGTTGTGGCATCCTGCCGCCACCACCCTAATGCCTTGCCCCCACCATTGCCGGTTTCCGCTAGCACGGGTTGGCTTCTCTTCGACCCCCCGCCCCCCATCTCTTGCCGCCCCCCCCCCGCACCTGCACCTGCAGCGGAGGTACCCTGGGAATGCTGTCCCCGCACTGCCCTGCGCCGCACCTGCAGCCTGCTGAGGGGGCGGTTCGGACTGGAGATGAAGGTGGGTGCCGTACCGGCAGCAGGGTGCTGTTGTCGGATGCATGCCAGCATGCCAGCCTGGTCTTCACCCCTTATCAGGAAGTAAAGGGATACCCTTCCCTCGCGTACGTACCACGGCACCGCCCACCAACCTTGTTCAGATAACTGTTTCCTTGCGTCGCCACGATGCCTTCCCCAGCCAGCCATCTTGATGTGCACTGCTGCAAACTGAAGTGCTACCTGTAAAACGACTTTCAAAATGTGCAAAACCGACATGCAGGTCGGCTTTGAGATCGAATTCTTGCTGTTGGAGCCAGCTGGAATGCCGCCCGGAGCGGTGAACCGCGCTGCTGCTCACCAGGGCAGTGCCGCTGCAGGTGCTGCTCCTCCTGCTTCCACCGGTAGTGGTGGGGGTGGTCTGTACGGCAGTGGTGGTCTGTACGGCAGTGGTGGTCTGTACGGCAGTGGTGGTCTGTACGGCCCTGGTGGTCTGTACGGCAGTGGCTGGCGCCCTGTGGACTGTGCGCTGTACTGCCAGAGTAGCGCCCTGGACCGGCAGGCTCGAGGTGCGTGGGTGGGGTGGGGTAAAAAATTATATAAGTGAAACAGAAATGAAGAAGAGCAGCCAATGAGGCACTGTAATGTGTGATGTCAATCCCATGGCCTGGCTTGCATGCAGTGAGGGTATGGGTATGCACGACCCATCCCGCTAGGGGTGGGTGGGTGAGGGGTGGGGGGCGGAGCTACGGGGAGGAGACGCGGACTACACAGTGGCGTGTTGGGGCCTTTCTTGGGACGACCGGTACCGGCAGCTGGCGTTGCGGGGGTGCTGCTGGGGCAGCAGGGTTGGCAATGCGGTCAGGGACCGGGCCGTGGAGGTGGAGGAGGTGAGGGAGTTGCGGTGGCGGGCTCGATCAGACATGCGCTGCTGGGGTCGGAGAAACAGTGCTGCATCTATGCACTCGAGCATGTACCTAGCGCACGCGGTCCCACCCCATCCTACATGCCCCACGTTTGTGGTTTCGTACGGTATGGTCTAATTGGACCCCGCATGCCACCCCACCCCACCTTACCGCACATGCCACCCCACCCCACCCTACCGCACATGCCTCGCAGTGTTGGATGCAATGGCGGAGGCTCTGGAGGCGGTGGGGGTGGGGGTGCTGCAGTGGCATGCGGAGAGCGCACCAGGTATCGTATGTTCGTACCATGGGGGAGGTGGGGCGGTGGGGCGGGGGCGGGGCGGTGGTGCGGGGGCGCTTGTTAGGTGAGGGAAGAAAAGGATACCCAATGAGGGGGCGAGGTCGGAGTGCGCGCCTGCGAGGGGTGACAGGTGAGTTACGAAAGCTTGTGCGTGCACAGTTACGAAAACTGTGGAATGAGGTTCGGGTAGGGGATGCGCGTGCCTATCTTGTTCCTAGTCATCAAGAAGAAGATGGGTTCCCCTTTACCTCCCTCCCGCCTCCCTTCCAGGGCAGTACGAATTCGCGCTGATGTACGGCGAGGCCCTACATGCGGCTGACCAGCTGCTGCTGGCAAAGGAGGTGCTGGTGGGGGTGGCGCAGAGGTGAGGGGGGCGGCAGGGGGGGGCGAGCGCGGGAGGGTAAAAGTATTAGTGAGGCACTGCAAACCGGGGGAAAAGGATTGTATAGGGAGGCAGGTTGGAAGAGAGATTGCGGCAGGAGGTTTGGGGTTGTGAGTTGTTTTCTAATGGGCCGGTGTGTGGTTGGGGGTGGCTTCGGGCAGCAGACTTTCCCGCATGCTGGGCGGGTTACACCTTACATGCGTACGTGTGGGGTCCCAGTTCTGTTTGGCAACACACCGCTACCGGTTTACCATTTGGGGGTGGAGCCACGCGTTGAGCTAATCGTCTATCGCACCGTCTACTGTTTATCTCCCCTTCCAACACAGTTTCGGGCTGGCAGTTTCCTTCCTGCCCAAGCCCCTGCCGGGGCAGGCGGGGTCGGGCTGCCATGCGCACCTGAGCCTGTGGCGGGAGGTGGGGCAGGTGGGGCGGTGAAGTGGGGAGGGAGGTGGGTTTTGGAACTGGAAGAAAGTCTAGGTTGGTACGGAATCGCGATGGCATAGGGCATACTGGCACGGGCCGAACCTCTATTCCCCTTCCGCTCCTCCCAATACCGGTAACGTCGCAGCTCGCCACCCTCACGCATTTGGCTCCCCGACTCCCTCTCACGCCCTCCCTCGCCAGGACGCAACTAGCCACATGCACACCACCTCTGCCCCCACCTCCACCACCCCAGCCTCCACCACCACCACCTCCTCCTCCTCCTCCCCAGCCTCCACCCTGCTCCCAGCCCCCTCCGCGCTTCCCTGCTTCCTATCGGGCCTGCTAGCCCACCTGGAGAGCCTGCTGCCCTTCACGGCGCCCTGCCCCAACAGCTTTCAGCGCATGCAGCCGGGTGCATGGGCGGGGGCGCATGCAGCATGGGGGGTGGACAACCGAGAGACCCCGCTGAGGCTGACCGGGATGCCGGGACGGGTGGAGCTGGGGTGCGGGGGGCTGCTGGGGAAGGATTGGGGGGGAGGAGGAGGAGGGGATGGAGGTGGGCGGGAGGAGTGGGAGGGCATGCATGTGGAGTATAAGGCGCTGGATGGGGCGGCGAATCCCTACATGGCCCTGGCGGCGATTGCGGTGGCGGGCATGATGGGTGGGTGCATTGGGGGAGGGATGAGGGTGGGGGATGAGGGTTTGGAGCCTTCCTCAGGAAGGAGAGCAAGCGAGCGGGAAAGCAGCCGGGTTGTAGTCAATGGTTGTATGTCTTCGCCAGCTCGTTTAACACTTACCATGGGCTCTGTCTGGTGATCCTTGCATCACTACGGACTTTTCATCACTGGCTCGCAACCCTGCAGTTCTTCTCCTCCGTCTTACCCCCATCCCCTTCTTCCCGCTTGCAATCCCCTCTTTTCCCCAACCATCCATCCCGCCCACTCCCAGGCCTTTCCGCACAGCTCGCCCCGCCCGAGCCCTGCCAGGTGCCCCCCGCGCAGCTGCCCCCGGAGGAAGCTGCGAGGTTGGGGGTCCGGCCGCTGCCTGGGAGCCTGCAGGAGGCACTGCAGGGACTGCAGGTGGTACGGGGCCTTTTGCTGTGTTGAATGCGTCATAGTGGTTGCTTGTCAGCTGTAAAGCTTTCCTTGAAGGTTGAGGCCCTCTGTTGGTCATTAACCGCTTTCCTTCACTCCTATTTGGCCGTTTCTGCAGACATCTGAAAGCGGGAAGGCCTTCCAGGCAGCCTTGACAGAAGGTATGTGAACAGTCCTCTTCTATTACGCAGGCATAGAAAAGCAGTGGTCGTGCTTTGCTGTGTCCAAGGCGACACGAAAGAGTTATGTATTCTGTTCCTCCTTTTCCTGCTTGCCAATATGCCTTCGCCTCCCTGCGTAAACAGCTATCGGCGCCCCGCTGCTGCGAGCGCACCTGGCTGTGCGGCAGGCTGAGGCTGAGCATGCTCCACTGGACCACATGAGCGATCTGCTCCTACGGTATACTTAAAGGCCTGATGTCGTGGCTGAAGTATGCACCCCTTGCTTGCAAACTTTGTGGGTTTCCAAGCACCTTGTGGGGGTCCCTACGGTGCGTTTTGAAGGTCTTAGCAGAGTGAAGTTAGGGCATAACAGATTGCAGCTTGCTAATTTCCTTCTATGAATCGTTAGTCCGAGGGGCTTCGGGCTACCTGTTGCTGCAACGCTTGCGTGATGACCTGGGGCTCTGGGCTGTCTTTGGCCCTTGGTTGATCATCGTTACGTCTATAACAATATACGTTTAGACCTACATAGGGCACTCCTTTACGGAGTTCCTGTACGGAGGCTGTCCTGGGGGTGAGTGGTTTCCAAGGCCTGGATCCAACAGAATCCAAGTTAGCGACTGCTTCGCCTTCCCTTTTTACCTAAAGAACCTTAACAGAGCGATTCTTCTTACGCGCGGACCTTGATACACGATTTTTGTATACGCAAAAGGTCCCTGATGTTGACAGGGTCGCTGACTCACAATGGCCCGCCCGCTAGAACATAACGCATCGCGAAGAGATGCATCAGGAGCAAAGAGGGGGTTGCCGCTCCCAAGGATAGACGGGACATCGCTGGTAAGATGGCAGCAGGCGAAAGGTGCTGGCCAAACGTCGCGACACACACCAAGAGGACCCCAAGAGGATGCAAATGTTCTAGCTACCGCAACTGCTCCCATTACAATACTTGCAACGGTTACCATCTCCATATTGGACTCTTGACGGATTTGCACTGGGTGTCTGCGCTACCTGCGCGCTGACGCATTCTGACAGATGCCCCAGTAGCCTTTGAGTCCACAAGGATGGGTGGACGGTAGCGTTGTTTTTTCAACACCTTTCTTCAAATGCCTACTGCACGCACGCTTATCGTGTTCCTTAAGCAACGAGGCCCCTCACCACAACCATTACAACCACCAGTATGCCACCCAGGCGTGACTTTACTCCTCGCGGTGTAAACGCACCCCACCTATCACTATAGACACAACCGGTGTCGTTGCAGAACGGTGACTTCTATATGTCCATGCCGCTTGCTCCATGGCTATTCCCTCAGCATCACGCTTTGATGTGCCAACCTTCCCTCCTTTGCGCCCTACCCAACCAACACGCCTTCCTCCCAGATTTCCCTCCTCCTGGTCTTCGCGGCCGCCGCTGCTCTGCCTCCACGCGCCCGCCTCACGCTGCTGGGATCGGAGCTCCTTTTCGCGGCCTCCAGCGCCCTGCGATACCGCCGACATAACGCCGGGACGGCACCCCCAACAGCTGGGGCCACTTCAGCAAGCAGCGACCCTAGGGCCCTCCCACGTCGGCGCGCAGCGTCTTCCACGCCACGCAGCAAACGGCAGCCACTGCCGTTCCCATTCCCATTCCACCAACTACTACAACGGCGCCCTCATCCACACCACTTACAACCGCCGCAAAGCTGCAGCCAGCAAGCTCCGCAGCGGCACGCCTCCACCTGCCACGTTGAAGGAGGAGGAGGAGGAGTACGGCGTACCCAGCGGTTTGCGCTGCTGTGGATTCCCCATTGGCGCTGGCGACTGCCTCTGGAGGCCACTGCCGCACCTGACGACGCATGCACAACAGGCACCGACGCAAAACACGTAGAACAGGTTATCCGTACGAGCGTTTCCAGCGTTGCCGTTGGTGACGATCCTGGCGTGTCTCAACCGCAACCGCTGCCGCCGCAAGCAGAGCAGCAGCCCCTGCTGCAGGGTCCCAGGCAGCGCCGCTCTTTCTGGGGCAGAGGCAAGGGGCGCGCCGTAACTGTTGGATTCATAGGTAGCTGTACGGCAGCGGGCACCGGAGACGTCGTTGCTTGGGGTGGTGGTGATGCTGCTGCTGCTGGTGGTGGTGGAGAAATGGGCCGTAGCCCAGAAGAAGACACGGTGCATGGCTGCATGCAACAGCAGCTGTCGGAACTGCGCACGGATCTTGACTTGCAGTCGGACGTTGCGGCGAGGGCTGAGCTGCTCCTGGACAAGCTGTTGGACCCACGGGTCGGTACCGGTAGCTACACGGGAGGGGTTGTATGTCTGCTCGTCCACTGCCATGCCGTGTGAGCGGCTGGAAGAATTCTAAAATAAGGCATCTGACCATGCCTTACTTTCTTTATAACCGCATCTCATTTCAGTCACCTTGTCTGTATCCATTAACCCCTCTTGGCACTCCGCCGCCATCCAACCCCTTCCCCAGGAGGGCCACCTTCCCCTGCTGCGCGGCGGCCACCTGCTGTCCCAGTGGTTCAGCGGGCTGGCGGGGCCGCACCAGCTGCACCTCACCCACCTGCAGCTGCTGCTGCAACACCTGCTGTTGCCGCCTGCCACCGCAACGCTGGAGGCCGCTAGTGCTGCCAATGCTATGACGACGGCAGCAGGTACACAGCGATACCAGCTCCGGCAACAACAATCCACCAATGCTGTCCAGGTAGGGGTTGGCAGCGGCGGCGGGTACGGCGAGATCCATGTGGCGGCGGCAACTCCCTACAACGGTAGCGGAGGAAGCGGTGCCGTACCAGGAAACCCACATGACCGCGGTGTCGCTTCTCCTTCTTCGTGCCATGGTGCATCATCAACTCCGTCGCCAGTGCTCATTGCCGCACCCGGCGACCCTGCACTGACCCATGGGGCGCACCACGACTCGGAGGCGCACCGGTACCTACAGGCGCTAGCGACTCGCCTGATGGAGAGGCTGGAACTGCCGGCTGCTGCTGCTGCTGAGGCGGCGGCGGCGGCGGTGCCCGCGACTGGCGCAGGCAGCATCGGCGGCGGCATGAGCTGCACCGCTGAGGGAGGAGGCTGTGGCGCCGTGGCCGCTGCTGCTGCCGCTGCCGCTGCTGCTGGAGGTGGAGGAAGCGGGGTTACACATGAGCCGACGGCAGATGGCAGCATCAGCACCGCTGGCGGCGCCGCCGAAGCGACCCTGACGCCAGCCTCCGGAGCTGCGCCCCACAGCCCGAGCACACCGCAACCTACTGGCGCTGCGTACTCCCCACTTCACACACCTCTCCTACCTACCACCAATCTTCCCAGCTGCTCCACCCCTCCCTCGCCCGCTTACGCTTCCTCAGCACCAGCACCAGCTTCCATCTCACCGCCCATCGCGGCCTTCGTCGGCCACCCTTTCGCGTCCAGCCCTCCTTCCGCGACTCCCTCAACTCTCTCTCCGGCTGCTCCCGCCACGCCTCTTCCCGTCACTCCTCCCCCTGCTACCTCCACCACTCCTCTCCTCACTGCCTCCACCACCCCTCTCCTCACTTCCTCCACCACTCCTTCCCCCGCTGCCTCCACCACTCCCTCCCCCGCCGCTGCTCCCGTCACGCTCCTCTCCGCCTCCTCCGGCCCCCTGCCCGCCAGCTACCGCCCGCTCACTTTCTACCTGCTCACGGAGGCGGTGGCGGGCGCCACACACATCGCGCTGCGGCTCATGGGCTTCAGGCTGGCGGGCGTGACACCCAGCGGCGCGGCAGCGGTGTACGAGTGGAGCCCCCCGCAGGCGGGGAAGGCGGCAGGAGGGGGAGGACGGCGGCAGGGCAGCAGGTGGGGAAGGCGGAGGTCGGAGGCGACGGCTGCGGTGATGGAGGGAGGTGGCGCTGCGGCGGCGGCGGCGGGCGGCAGGGGGGTTAGGGATGCTGCTAGGAGCGAGGTGGATGGCGGCGACGGGGCGGCTGGGAGTGATGTTCGTACGGCCGCTGAAGCGGCAACAGCGGAGCTGCGAGCTGCTGCTTCTGCGGCGACGACAACGGGTGCAGCGGCGGCAGAGGGTGATGGGAAGGACGACGGTGGTGGTGATGGTGACGCCGACCTTCCGCTGGTCTTCCTGCACGGCATCGGGCTGGGCCTGACGCCCTACCTGCGGCTGTTGGGTCGGCTAGTGGTGGCGGCTGGCGTCGGCGGCGGTAACAGCAGCGTCTATGGCGATAGCGGCGAGCAGGAACACCAGCAACACCAGCAGCAGCAGCAGCAGCAGCGGCAGCAGCGGGCGCCCCCCCGCCGTGTGTTCGCGGTGCAGTACAAGCACGTGTCCATGCGGCTCACCGGCAGCATCCCCGCACCGCAGCAGCTGGCGGCGGATGTGGCGGCATTCCTCAGCAGCAGGGTGGGGGGGGCTGGCGGGGGGAGGGTGCTGGGTGCTGGGGGGGAGGTAGCTGATTGGGGAGGGTGGAGCTGGGGTTACGGCGACACGCTTACGTGCTTTGCAGGGAGGGTGGAGCAGGGCAGCGGCACGTAACAATGCCATTAGGGTGTTTGGCATAGCGTGAGTGGTATTTGGACCGCTGGTTGATGACTAAATGACCGGCACTGTTGGTGCTGGGAACAGCTGGTGTCACTGCATGCCGCCGCCATCGTCGCTCCTTACCTTCCCACACGCCCTGTCTCTCCCCCTCCGCTTCCTCCCCCCCCCAGCAGGGTGTCACCCGCATGTCGCTGCTGGCTCACTCGTACGGCAGCCTGGTGGCCTCGGCGCTAACCAAGATGGCAGCAGCGGCACCCGCAACAGCAACAACGGCAAGGGCCCCCGCAATCAGCCGCCTCACGCTGGTGGACCCCGTGTGGTGAGGCTTGAGCGCATGACATGTGCCCCAAAAGGGCTGCGCGGTGAAAGGGACGGGGTTGAACTTGGCTGGGGCGGAGGGAGGGGGGGGGGATGCGGGAGGCCCGCAGCGTGCGTGTGTGAGCGCACTGGTTCGTCCACGCTTTTGGTTCCGTAACGTGTGGAGTTTCGCACCCGCAAGACGACGCTGTAGGCATGTATCGGTCGCTTCCTATTTCCCCTTGTGTACCCGCGTACCTGCATGCTCCTACCCGCGTGCCTGCATGCTCCTACCCGCGTGCCTGCATGCTCTTACCCGCGTGCCTGCATGATCCTATTCACCCTCCCTTCGCAGCTTCGCCATGTTCCTGCCGCATTACGTACGGAACACCATGAACCTGCCACCGCCGCCGCTGCCACCATCAACGCTGGAAGCGATGGCCTCCTTGCGAGGCATCCAGCAGCCGGAAGCCAGCAGCCAGCAGGGCTTATCAGAGACGCCATCGGACCTCCTCGCAGACGCCGCAAGTGATGCGTTGATGTCAGGAGCTGGCTCCGGAACCGCCGGTGCAGTGCAAGGCAACGATGGTGGGCAGCAGCACAGCATGGCGGCCGCTGAGGGCGGGGTACCTGGTGCGGCAACCGGCAGGGGGCGGACGGCTGCTCCGGGTGCTGCGGTGCGGCGCCGTCTGGTTAGGAACCTGCTGCGAGGTATGTAACTAGCTGACAGACCTTCTGAAGCGGTAAAAGTCCCCTGATGTATGTGTTACAGCACTTGCGCAGCGTAGCCCACGCCTACCAGTCTCCACCGTCTTTATCACGCCTCCCTACCTACTGGTATCTCATGCTGAGCCACCGCTGCCGTACACTTTTGCCGTACACCGCAGGCCTGGTGGTTGCGGAGTTCCACTGCTCCGTGGCGCTGCGGCGGCGACTGGACTGGGCCGCCGTCAACCTGTGGCCCTCCGAGCTGCCGGCGGACAGCACGGTGGTGCTGTGCGGGCGGGACAACCTGGTGCCGGTGCGCGAGGTGGCGGCCATACTGGCAAACAGGGCGGCCATGATGGGGCGTGACGCGGATGTGGCTGCTGGTAGCGGAGGTGGAGGTGCAGGTGCAGGCGGCAGCCACCCCACCGTGTTGTTCCATGAGCAGCTGGGACATGGGGGCTTCCTGACGGACGAGGCCTGCCAGATGCAGGTGCTGGCGGCGACGGTGGGAGCGAGTGTGGAGGAGGTACGGCAGAGGCTGGCGGAGGCGGCGACGGTGAGCGCGAACCGACGCCGCGGCGTGCAGCGCAACTGCAGTGTTGCAGGAGCGACCGCAGGCAAGGCTGCTGGTCTGGGCACGACTGCAGCCGAAGCGTCTTCCACGCCCATGCGTTCTACCGTCCGCTCCAGCGCTAGCCCAGGGCAGCGCCGGCGCTGGCTGCTGGCGCTGCAGGTGCTGCGGCTCCGGCTGTGGCCGCCGCTGCAAAGCCATGCTGCTAGTAACGGCTGTAGCAATCCGTACGGGATTCGGGGCCTGCCTCTAGAAACAAAGGGCAAGCCTGGAGGCGCCAGCACCGCCGCTTCCGTCAGTAGTGGTACCAATGCCGCGAACAGCCCAAACCAGCAGATGCGGTGGCGTCGCTACCGCCCAAGCACACCACAACAGACACACGCCCCAGCGCCGTCAGGGCTTGCCCGCACTCCGCCCCGGTTGCTGCAGCTGCTTTCGCCGCTGCTGCCATTCCACTCAATGCGCTCAGGCCAGACGCAGCAGGACCCTCAGCCCCAGCCATCCTTAAGCCCCCCTCCTGGAGTCGGCCTTGCGACCAGATTCCGACCCTGGGCGGCTTTGCGAGGCGGTCTTGCACCAACAAGAGCACCTGCTGTCGCTACGCAGACCTGCCGGCCCACACCATTATTACCACCGTCCTGCAGTGCTGACGCGTCGTCTGATGAGGGAGACATCATTGAGGCATTGCTTCCGGGGCTGTGCGCTGATCTTGGTGCATGCTGTGAAGACGGTGGTGGCCGCAGCAGCAGGCGTGCGGGCGAGGAGGAGTGCTGCAGGGGGATGGGGCAACCCGTCAGCTGCAACGGCCTCATGGCATGTGACCAGGTCGACGCTGATGCCGACAACATCAACATCGAAGTCGAGGCCTCGGTCGCTGCTTCAACCGCAGATCGCTTCAATGGCCAAGTCAGCGGCATCCATTGCGGCAGCAGTGATGGCTGCTCCTCCTCCTCCGATGACGACGATTATGCCGGGGGCGGCGCCAATGCCAGCATGGGCTGCATGTGCGGTTGCGATGCTTGGGAAGCTGGCGGAGGTAGCCCAAAACTGGCAGACGCAGGCTCCTGGGCTGACAGCACATGGCACGAGGGAGGCATTCTTCCGGACAGCAAGGTTGGGGTTGTGCCGCCAGTGACCCATGGGTCGTTCTTGCCGCGACCCAGATCAAATGGCGTGCCTGGGGCCGAGGCCTCCATGTGCCTTGCTTCTAGCGTTCCCACTAGCCCTACATGCATCCGCGACAGCAACGCCTGTGGTGCAAGCGCGGTGGCGTACTCAGGGGCGTCCGCTGCTGTTGACACGCCTTCAAGCAGCAACGGAGGCAGCGACCTAGCAAGCGGTGCTAGGGATGCGTTCCCTTGCGGCTGTACGAGTACGGGAGGCCGCTTGTACGGAAGAATGGAGCATGTCGAGGCAGCGAGCAGGGGCAGCAGCAGGGGCAGCAGCGCAGCTGTGAGCCCAGTACGCCGCCAACTGTCGCAGCCGCCGCCACTGTCGCAGCCGCCGTCGCCACTGTCCGGCAACATGCGGCAAGCAGCAGTGCTTCCTGTGCCGGGAGTCCCGCCGCGGCGGCCCCGATCTGGATTGGTAAGCGGCATGGATGTTGGCATCCGGTGAGAGTGTACGGCAGCGCTGGTGCCGGGGCGTGTGCAGTGTGCAGTGGGCTGGTGGGGGCCTTGTGGCCCTGTGGCAGCCGCCCTGTTGTGGACGAAAATTCTGTTCAGCCGCGTTCGGGTCCTTTTCGTCTGTGATGTCCTCATGGTTTCGTAACGTTTCCGTGCTGACTAGAGCAGCTAGTCTTACATGCAGGATGCCAAGTCCTATACTGTAGGGAGCAGGCGGGATTCATCCTTCTAGGCGGAGTGGACGCAAGATGCTTAGCGAGTATTGAGGATGGTAGCAGTACCGTATTGATTGCAGGGTTTTGCAAGTCAGCATGAGTGACCCAGCTGTGAAAGCTGTGAGGTCCGTAGGTCTGGTGTAGCATGTCTTGAGGAATGCAGTGCATGGTAGTATGGCATGGTAAAGCTATACCCAATAGCGCAGGAGATCTTACTAGACGTACAAAATGACGACATTTGCAGCAGGGGTGTAAAGATGGTACGCTGGAGATAAGGTTCCTGTGAGATGCTGGCGTACTGTGGGTTTAGGGCTACAGGGGCCACGGTTTTGTGCAGGCTAGGCGGATGTAATACCTGTGGCCGCGCGGGAGTCCCGGGCAGAGAGGGACCAAAGGAGCAATGCCGGTAACTCGAGAGCGTGCATGTACCATCCTCAGCTAAAAGGTATGTGCGGGAAGCACTTCCCACTGCGTGCCTGTACGCTGGGTACGTCATGACCTGTTACCGGTAGCCATCTGTTATCTGGTCCATGTATGATGTGGGATGACGTTGCACATGGCCTTTAACGATACCGATGCGTTTGCTTTTAGGGATATGAGCTTTTCAGTATTGTCGCACATGCTGTATGTGCCGCATGTCCATATGGCCTATACCGTTATACGATCGGCTAATTGCTGGGAGTAATGTAAGCAGCAACACTTCGCCCCCCCTTCAGGCATCCTCATCGTCAAAGCGTGTGATTTGGCAGTGGTACATCTGCTTCAATATCATCATAGCACCCGTTTGTTACAGTCCAGTGTCAATACAGTGCGGGAGCCTGTAGAAGATACATTACTCTCACTTTTTTCTTAGACATGCACAAAGTTTCAACAGCAAGATTACCGTACTACGGTGTTTTAAAACAGCAGTTGTAGCAGGAGACAGCCCATGTCATGAAACGGAAACCGGGAAACTATGCGTGGTAGCCAAAGAAACAACCAAAAACGATACAAGGCAAATAGTCGCCGCGTCGGTGCAGCTACGGAGACGCTACGGAGACGCAGCATTTGCTAGCTGGATCAATACCGACCCATGGTTCACATCGCCACCGTTCCTGACACCAAGTGCTCCAGGGATCCCAGCTACATCCTTGTTCGCTCCATTCCTGTGCCGCTTCAAAGCATCCGCATGTCTTGGCCGAACGGATACACCGTCTCATGTTCCATGTCGTGTCGTACGTTGACTCCCTGCCAAACCAACATTAATCTTCAAGTGTGCCGTAGGTACCAGGGACTCAAAGCACACATTTCGCCTCATGCCCATATGTACTCTACTAAAGGAGCCAATTCGCCCAATGTTTTAGCACTACTTCTGCTTACCCTCCGCGTGCGGTAAGTCATAACTCATAAGCTTATATCGACCACGCCTGCGCCAGCTCAGCCTCCACCTGCCCTATGTAGTTTCTCCATACGCACTACCCCCCTCCACAGGCAACCATACATACATTCAGCCTTGAAACACAAAGGGGCATCGCTCAATACAGCCATGAATGATGCCCAACAATTTACTGCCGTCGCGCACGAAATAATATGATTCCCTGTTAAAGAGGAAGCCGGATGAAGCATCTAGAAAACCTACCTGCAATAGCGCAATCCGCATGCCCCCTCCGCACCTAGACCTAGACCACGCTAACCATGCATGCACACGCCCGCATGCGTACATTCTCCGTTTGCCCGCCTCTCCACAGCCCGGCAATTTTCCCCATCTCTTCAAACCATGACCTCCTCACACCTTGACATCTTCAAACCACGACCTCCTCCCTTTCCTCTCACCCTACTCCGCCTCCTCCGGTATGTTGGGCACAGCTCCCTGTATGATGATGCCGCCCCGCTTGCCCGGCACCACACTGCCGCCCATGATCTCCGCGTAGCACTGCGGCAGCGGCCGGTCAGCGGGCGGCGACAGCCACAGCCGCAGCAGGTGACGCGTGTGGGCGGGGCTGTCCCTGAGGAGGTGAAGAGGGAGGGGCGGGTGCATGGTACCATGTACGGGGTAAGTGAGTGGGGCGGTTGGAGATGCGGATGCAGGTATGGGCAGGAGGGCGCACTGCGACTGCGACCGGCAATCCAGGAAAGCGGGCACGATAAGAGTTCTCGCCTCTAGTACTCTCAACCGCACAGTTACCAACGGTTGTGATGCATCGGCGCACGGCCTGAAGCAAGCAGCCTGCCCTCCCCTTCCCGCCCGCTACCGGTACTTCCCCATCCTGCTGCTGCACCCACACGCCACACCCACCTGAACTCCCCTCGGTAGTGCAGGCAGGTGTGGTTGGACAGCAGCTGCACGTCCCCGGGTTGCAGGATCATGCGCAGGCTGAGCTGCGGGCTGGCGGCCAGTTGGTTGAACAGCGCCATGGCCTCATGGTGCTGTGGGGTGAGCTTGGGCACCTGCGGGTGTCGCTGGCTGAGGTGGTAGTAGTTGTCCGAGTAGTTGACGGAGAGGTAGCCGCGGTGGTAGTTGAAGACGGGGATCTCGAAGAAGGGCTGCTTGCCTGCAGGGACGGGGGGTGGCCGCGTGGGTGGGGGCAGGGCAGGGAAGGGGCAGGTGTGTACGGCAGGTGAGAGGCCTGACGGGTGGGTGGTAGGTGGGGAAGGCGGCAGGCGGGTAGGTGAGCAGCTAGGGGCCGGGACGCGGGTGGTGTTGGTAGTGCCGGCGGCAACTCACTGCTGTTGGCAGCGTGGAGGAAGACGTGCATGGGTTGAGACATGCGATGTGTACGACTTAAGGTAGAGCATGCAGTTGCAGTGCAGCCATCGAACGTAACCCGGCGTCATACGGCGTCCTAAAGCACCAAGGAGCAGTGCCGTCCTCATGCATAGAGCCACCGCGGTTCCGCCCCTTCCCTTTCCCACCCCGCACGTCCCCCTGTACGCGTCCCCTCCGTACAGGACCCCGGACCCTGTACAGCAGCGCTCTCTCTTCTCCCATCCCTCGCCCCGTCCCGCTACCCATTACGACACCCACCCTGGGGCACCTCCGTTTTGCGGTCGAAGTACCAGGTGGGTCCCGCCAGCAGCGGCACCAGGTGTGGTGCGGTGCGCAGGATCTCATTGTGTACGGAGATGGAGGAGGACCAGCCGCTCTCGCCGCCTTCCTCAGCGTTAGACAGGCACAGCAAAGCTGTTTGGTTTGGGAGGGGTGGAGGTAGGGGACGTGTAAGGCAGGAGGGATGTGAGTGGGAGGGTAGGGAGTGGACAGTATGCGGGTCTAATGCTAACACCGTAATTAACGAAGCGTCGACAGAGCCCCCAACCAACAACCCCAGGTTAACACACCGCGCCCGACCTGTCAACCAACCACCCCTGCCCGACCTACCAACCAGGTCCGCGGGTCCATCATTGTGCCAGGGCTGAGCAGCGTTGGTTGCGTACAGCCTCGTTAGCGCGTCAGCGGGGTCGTGTCCGATGTCCTTGATGTGGCCGATCAGGTGCCCCTTGGCGTTCTGCGGCACCGCGCGGCCCCAGTGCAGACCCAGGATCCAGAACGCGGCCAGCTGCTGCTGCCGGCTGTAGTGCTGTACGGGCACTCCGCGGATGACCGCCCAGCCGCGACCCGACTGCGCTTGCTGGCCGGCCTCCAGCAGCGGGCCGGAGAGGGTGGGCAGAGTGAAGTCGGAGGCGTCGACGTCCTGCGTCGGGGAGGGAAAGAGGGAAAGAGGGAGAGAAGGGAGGGGTGTACGGCGGTAAGGGGGGGTTGTCTCACTGGACAAAGAACACCATATAAACTAAGGCTTGATTGGTGTACATCAGAAGCCATCGCAGCGGCAGGACGAAAGAAGTTTAAGGGATGCAGCGGGAATCCCACGGAGTGCGAGCAGCAGCAAGCATCCCCCTGCCCATGCCCCTGCCGCCCCTCCCATGCAGCACACATGGTCTCCCTCGTGTGCCGCACCACCCCTGCAACTGCTGTCCCCCAACATGGTGCATTTTTTTCCCCCACTCGTTGTTTCACTTATATAATTTTCCCCCTTACCACGCGCCTCCCCCGCTTCCCCCAGCCCCCACCCCACCTGCAGCTTCTTGCCGCTCCCTAGCACCGCCTCCACCGCGGCATCCAGCTCAGCCACGTGCTGGGCGCTGAGGTGCAGAATATGGTCCTCCAGTACGGCATAGTCGGAGGCGACCCAGGCGTCGGGGCCGGTGATGCGCGTATACGGCACAACTGAGCCTTGGCTGCAAGGTTGAGAAGGGTTTGTGGGTGAGGCGGGGTTGGGCCGGCGGCGGGGTGGGGGAAAGAATGGGAGGGCGGGTGGTGGGGGCGGCTTGTTGGGACTTGTTTGGGAAAGATCGATGGCGAGCAATCAAGGTACGTGAAGGCTATGTGGTAGAAGGATACGAATTGTGAAGGCGTGTCGCTAATTAGGAACTGTGGATGTAGGCAGAAGTTACGTGTGCGTTACGCCGGTGATTGTCAGATTGCATCAGGAAGGGTCAGGCCAGGTCAAGCTAACGTCAGGGCCCGTGGTTCGCCGTCAAACGAGGTCGAGAGGTCATCGGGCTTGAGATTCGCCAGCTCAAACTTATTATGCTCCTAACCAGGCCCTAAGACGTAATAGGAAATAATGGAGGCGAGCGATATGGCGCGTCAAGCCACGCGTTACCATGCTTGAAAGGGCACTTGCGAGTCGCGACTCTTCAGTTCGCTTCCACTGATTCTAAAACTCCTCCTCAACCTGCCTCACCTGCTTGTCTTCACCGCCTCAGCTGCCTCCATGGCGCCGACGAATATAGGGACTTCACGGTATGAAAGGGACCGGACGGGTCTGCTCAGCGCCGTCGTGCGTTCAGGAATACCGTTAGTCCGTAAGTGAACTGCGTAAGGAGCACCGCCGTTGTTACACAAAGTCCCGTAAACGATATGTTGATGAAGGAGCTGCGAAAGTGTGCCTTATATACGCCTGGAACAGGAGCCAGCGGGCCAGGTAGATTCCGTACGATTGGCTTCCTGGCCTTCAGGCCTCAAGCAAGAAAAGCACGTACGATAACCTAAAGGCCATTTCTTCAGAGTCTCCTTTTACCAATATAATAATGATTGAGCGGCCGCTTGCAATGGGTCATCGCTCTCAGTGCTCCGCAGCCGCGCTCCTAAACCCCGCGAGCATTTCACGTCTTAGGCGACCAATCCTTTTGGGCCAGGAGAGCCTACACCCACATTGCACGTCTAACTTGCGTTTGCAGGGAAAGATGGCGATGGGCGTTGCTGTGTTACGCGGATGCAATTGAATGAATGACTGTAAGCGCTATCGCCAACCTGCTGTTGTTAGCTATAACTACTGCACCTGCAGCGGCCTTCACGCATCATCGGGATATCCACGTAACAGGCTGCGGTACCCCTATTATCACGGTATGTGGCAACCTTTTCTTTTGCGGCTTCCGTCGTGGGCGCACGGCGCGAAGCAGCGACTTGCACAAACGAGTTCACGGATGTGACCCACGGGTCGCAAAACGCCGCCAGGAGCCCTCCGTCATCAGCACGCGTTAGTACTCCATAAAACAGCCATCACAGGCACGCAAGCTTTAATGAATGGCTTACATATTACTTTGGGCAGGCTGTAACGCCCCTGCTGACTCCAGCGGTGTGCACTTGCTTCAAGATGGCCCGCCAAGCCCCTAACAGCAGCCCATGCACACGCATACCCTCGAGCGCAACAAGCTACAA